CCTTTAGATTCTTAAAGTATTCGGTAGTAGTATAATTATCCTTCTTCTTATAAATAGTATACTACTTATTATAACTCTTTAAATTCTTTTCGGTTAACTTCAAATTATCCTTCTTTTTATTCTTTAAATAACCCCCCTTTTTAGTAGAGGCGGTTATAGCCGAATAATAATAGCGAGATAATTTAAATAATAGGAATTAAGTAATAACCTCTTCTAAAACGCGCTTACTATCTATATTAGGCTAGAGCTAAGTAACTAAAGGTTTAGTAGTAGGATACTACTTAATAGTAAATATAAATTAAGCCTATTACTATATAATATAAATAGGATATAGCGTTAATTTCTATACTTCTTATAGGAGGTTCTTCTACTTTATAATAAAGGTAGCTACGTTATCCCCCTCGTAATAGTAGAAGGTAGTCTATTTATTATACTTTTACTGAAAAAGCTATAGATTTTTCTGATCCTATATTTTATAGATATAATTATATATAGATAAGGCTATTTTAAATAGATTAAGGAAGATCTTAATAGACTTATCTAAGGATTTAAATAAGAAGTAAAAATAGCTACTATTTAGCTTCTTCTAGTCCGCGAAAGCCTTATTCTTTTCGTAGATATTCGTATATATCTAAGCTTTAATCTAGCTATACGATACTTTATTAGGGATAGTTCCTTTATCGGTAGTAATATTAAAGCGGACTTCTTCCTCAGAAGGGATCTAGAGGTAATTACTTATTAGTAGGAGGACCTCTCTAGTTATTATAAGCTATAGCTCTCGGTCTTAATATTCGAGGAAGTATTAAAGACTTTTTCGCTAGACGGTAAAGTTAGACTCCTCCTTAAGAATCGCTTTAATATAATCGTAGCTCTTTATATTATATCCGTTAAAGGTAATTCGTCGAAGTCCCGTTACGGATCTATAGTCCTTCGGTAGGCTCGTAGTCCTAGGGTTCGTAAGGTAATTAGACGCGGAGTCCTTAGGTTAGATGCGGAGTCCTATAGGCACGGAGCCCTTTATAGCCGTTGAATAGCTACAAAAAGGAGATAGATGCGGAGTCTTATTGGACGCTGGGTCCGTTACAGCCATTGATTAGCTGTTTCAGAAAGACGCGGAGTCTTGACGATTTGCGGTTACGAAGGCTGTTTTCGAAAAGCAGCGCTGTAGGATGGTAAGGATATACGAATACCCTTACTAGCGCGCTAAAACAGGGCTCATAACCTATTTGTAGGTGATCTATAAGAAGGAGAAGAGAAAGGTGAAACGCAGCTAGATTGGTGTGAGAGAAAGAGATGGAGAAAGAGAGGCTATCTAATGAGGTTGTGGGTCCCTTGGTAGTGATGCGGAATATTCCTCCGGCAGAATCCTCCAAACAAGTTTGATGTTCCCTAATGTACTGGTGGAAGTGCGGACGGTTTGGATGGTATGTTCTGGTTGGTTGGATCCGTGGGAGCTTGCTCTGTTTTGCTTTGTGCCTTCCCTTCCGTCGCAGCAAGGCGGTGGAGGCAAGGGCCATATAAATAGAATCGGATCAAAAGAGTCTGAATTGGAAGAAATCCTCTGAACCAGGCTAAACAGGGGAAATTCTATGAAGAACCCAATAATCCACATCCGAGGCATTCACTTCCGGAATATATTCGTACAAAGCTCTAGCACTTTATCCGACACCTTCTTCAAGAAGATCCTTGTACGTACAACACAGAGATCATCCACCTTTGTGCCCAACTTTGGGCAGAATGGTCCTTAGGGTGTTTTGTTGTGTTGTGTTGTCTTTCTCTCGACTGCTACGCTTCGGCCTGTCTGCTTGCAGACTGCCTTCGAGCATTATCCCCACTTCGCTAAGAATACGCAGATCAGAAGGCTCCTATAAGCGTATAACGTTATCGTTTCGGATGTCCAATTAGACTTCTTGTCAAAGCGTTTGATATGTCAATATTGGAGAAGACCCGACGAGCTTGCTCCGGGGACGCTGGCCGTGCGCTCCCGTGATCAAATCAGGATCAGGTCATATTACGATAATTCTAAGTGACCAGGAAGTTACATCAAAATCCACTTCGGGCTAGGAAATAAGTTGAATTACTTGGAACTAAGTGCAAACCCATCTATTTCAAAGACCATACGTCCGTGAAAACCGCTTCCCTGATCATGCAATTTAGTATCCCCATGGTTGATTCTCAGTGTCAAAACGTTTCGCCCGTTGGCGTCCTTGCTGCTCCATAGGGCGTGACTTCTCCATTGAACGTTGCTTCTCTGTAGACTTCTTGGAATCGGGTGTTTCGTTGACATTCGTGGGTAGCAGTGAGAGGCGACTCACTGCAAGAAGATATTCAAGGTTGGAGCTTCCGTCTGAGGCTAGCCCACCACAATCTTCGAAATCTTTGAGGACCTTGTCGATAATCTCCGCCTGGCCACTCATATGCAGAAAGTTTCCAATACAAGCGTGAATTTTGAGAAGCGCGGGATCTGGAAGTTCCCAGTCTCCTTTGTGAACCCTGAATCTAACAAGCCGATTTCTGGGTAAATTTTGTATCGCATCTGTGACGGCGTCTGGAAAGGTCTTGATACGATATTGGTGAGCAGTCCCAGTTGCTTCAAAAATGACTTTAAATTGTCCGAATTCCTTGTGAAGCATCATACTTAGCATTAGGACGTTCTTTTCCGAATTGATTTGTTCCGAGGTAAAGGATAACCGGCGAAGAACCGGAAAGTAGCGCCTTAGGTTGACCCAAATCTTTGCGTGTCTATCCACTGCCTCGCGGTCATTTGACTGAAAGGATCCAAGTATAAATGGAATAATATGGGCCGCTTCAAGATAAGTCGTGGGTGCATTCTGTGGATGGGCGTGATTACCACTATACCTCCCCGTTGCAACACATTTATAGCCATCCCTTTCTAAACAGTGGTGCCGGAGTTGCGATTGAGGGCCTCTAGTGATGGGCTCGATACCCTGGCTCTTGAGATTCTCGATTGAATCTTCAACGCCATAGCGTGGAGACGGAGTAATATCAGTGGGCGTTTTGCCACCCTGTGCTTTCATGGGAATCAATAAACCAGTTTCGATGCTTCGGACTAGTTGCCGAAGCTGCTCATCGTTTGCACACTCAGAAACGTCATCCGCTAGGTATTCCCGTCCGTCAGGAGAAAGGACCTTGAAGAAGTCACGGAGAAAGTCCCTGGTCTTGTCCGTTGGATTAAGTTGGGCGTAACCATTCAGCTTTTGATCTAGCCTCTGGCTTGAATATGAGTATCGACAGGACGAAAAGACAAGACAAAGGGGAACTCACCGTCTTTGAGGATGACAACATTATGTCACCTACCCAAGTTGGGCCAAGCTTGGGGACAGTCTGGACGGTCGTAAAAGCAAGGCGCCCGTACCAGCTGTGACAGTTGAGAAGAGGATACGATAGATGATCGATGAGTATGATTGCTAGAATGCTTGGAAGAGGATGGATGGATGATGAATGAGTGGGATTGGTTGAAGAGGGAAAGTTAGGTGGGGACGGGGAGCCAGGAAAGTCACGTCTCACCGCCTTCCCTATCTACCTATCCATTCTGCTATTGAATAGAGGGAGATCGCCCAGATAATCCTCTTCAGCGGTCTATCCTGTCCAGCGCACTAGCTAGCGCTTCACCATGCGCCGGGTACTGTCTTGCCGAGGTCGCCCTTTAGCTAGACGCTATTCTATTGCCAAGATAGCTTCAAATCGTAGTGACCCGTGCCATCTAGAAGGCGGGGATCGAAGGTCGGCAGGTTCGCTTGACGCTCGCAAGGGTCGTCTTCCTTCGGCGCAGGCTCTAGGTGGGCAACGCTAATGACTAGATAAATACCTTTTTTCAACCAGCTTGCAGGTAGATCAGGGAAATATGCTACGCATGTACACAGACACATAGTTCATAATAGTCTTCCGCAAAACCCTATTTTGCATAAAATTAAGGTCTTGGCTATAAAAGGCTGTAGCAGAATTGATTCAATTGTACTAGGCCAACATGCTGTTTTCAACAATCTTGAGGAAAGAAAGAAGAAAGGATAGGAGTCGGTCGCGGTCCTTAACAGCGTCGATCCTATCTCGGTTAGGAACCACTAGGACCTCGCTCGGACCCCTTCTACCAAGGCGGTATCCGGAAGGCCATAGCATATGGTCAACCACCGGGCTCTGGCCCGTCACAGTACCCCCGTTCTCACCTTAACAGTCGATATAACGAGATCCGCGCCCCTATCGTTCCGATATTGATTTGTAGTCAAAATACGCCCAAAACGTCCTTCGTACTTATTAAGCGCCTCGTAGTCTCGAACGGAATCTAAGGGTTCCTACGTGGTCTCTGTATAATCTGCCTATTTTACTAAAATTGTTGCGAGTATGGCATGACTGGACGGACTCAGGATGAGAGAGAGGATAGGACATGGGAGGACATGGACACGCCTACCACGTGTGCCACGCGCGCAACGCGCACCACCTCAAAACTTAGGATGGACTGTAGCCTCTTCTTCTTTCTTTTTCTACTCTCCAGCTCTTGAGATCCTTGAACACCACGCAGACAGTTGAATAAAAGTTTAGGAGTCCTTCTAAAGCTTTTCCAAACGGGCGTACAACACTGGAAATAAAAATAGGGCGGACCCTACCTACCCTGACGACGGTCATCCTACCCCGGCTGAACTGTGAACACTGAACACTGAACACTACCATGCCTAGCTGCCCATAAATTACATAACCAGGAAGCCCCACCACCTACCCGCCTGCAATCGTTGGAAATAATTATCGATCCGTTGCCCACTTTTACCATTCTCTGTCTTTCTTTCCGGGGAGATTTGAGTCTGTCGCTTTCAACTTAACTACTGACTCCCAGTGGTCGTATTACTTGTCAATTCTTTCTTTCCGACATTTTTCAGCAACAAGCCGACGGTTGGCTTGATTTGTGCGCTCACTGCGTCCTCCCGAACGTCCCTCGATTCGGGATCAAGACACCGCCCGAACCCATTTCAACACCAAAATTTGGGAAAATGGCGCCTAAGAAGAAGGCAGGCAGGCGTCAAGAAGAGGACTGGGAAGCCGAGTTGGGCGAGACTGCTTCCCCCACCGAGGCTCCTGCGGAAGAGCCTACTCAAAACGGCGGGGGCGAGGATGGTGCCGAAAACGAAGCCGGTGGCGGGGGTGGTCTGATGGCTGCCCTGCGAAAGAACAAGGCTCGTAAAGCTAAGAAGGGGAAGCCCGTCAATGACTTTGTTGAGGGTGAGGATGCCGGCGCCGATCTCGCCAGCAAGCAGCCCGAGGAGGGCACTTTTGACGTAGACGATGTCTTCGCTGGCAAGCCCAAGAAGCCAATCATGGAAACGGGGTCCACGCCGGCTCCTGCTGACGATGAGGGCGAGTTCCGCGTGAAGACCAAGAAGGAAAAGGAGAAGGAGAAGAAGGAGCGCGAGAAGCAGCGAAAGAAGGAACAGGTACGTTTCTACATTTCTCAAGAGGCCTCCCTCGTGCCGTTCGCTCCATAGTGCTGCCCTACCTGGAATCTAATCATCTGCGTTCACTTAAATAAGGCTGCTGCGAAGAAGAAGACTGCCCCTGCCGCTGAAAAGCCCGAGCCCACGAAAGCCGCCCCGGTTGAGAAGAAGGTTGAAGCCGAGCCCGCAGCAGCGGCTAAGCCGGCCGGTAAGGGCAAGAAGCTCCCACCTCATCTCGCAGCTTTGCAAAAACAGCAAGAGCTCTTGCGCAAGCAACGCGAGGAGGAAGAACGCATTGCAGCCGAAGAAAAGGCATTGTTGGAAGAACAAGCCCGTCGCGATGCTGAAGAGGAGGCTAAGCGTGAAGAGGCTCGTCAAAAGAAGAAGGAGAGAGAGCGTGAGAAGAAGGAACAGCTGCGTCGCGAGGGTAAACTCCTGACGAAGGCTCAGAAGGAGGCCCAGGCTAAGATCGAGCTCCGAAAGAAGCACCTGCTCGCTTCCGGTGTCTCTGTGGCTGGTCTGGAAGGCGGTGCAGAGAGAAAACGCCCCGTCTATGAGAACCGTAAGAAGAAGGGTGGCAAGAAGCAAGAGGATGACCTGGAAGCCGCTGCTGAGCGGGCTCGTTTGCAGCGCGAGGCCGAAGACGAGCGACGGAAGAAGGAGGCCGAGGAGAAGGCCAAGGCCGAGGCTGAGGCTAAAGCCAAAACAGCCCCTGTAGAGGAAGACGATGCCATTGAGGACTGGGAGCAAGCCGCAGAAGCCGAGGACGACGTGAAGGACAGCTGGGATGCCCCCTCTGACGAGGAAGAGCAGGCGAAGCCCGCCGAGACCAACGGTGCCGACAAGGCTGCCAACGGAAAATCATCTGAGCAAGATGACTCCGACTCCGGTGAGGATTCTGACGAGGACAGCTCAGACGAAGATTCCGAAGATGAGGAGCAGTCTGCCACCCAGAGAGCCATTGCACAACGTAAGGCTGAGGCGGCAGAGCGGAGGAAGAAGCAACACGAGGAAGCCATGGCTGCTCGATCCAAGGATGATCTTCGCTCCCCTATCTGCTGTATTCTTGGTCACGTCGATACCGGAAAGACCAAGCTTCTCGACAAGATTCGACAGACCAACGTGCAGGAAGGCGAAGCTGGTGGTATTACCCAGCAGATTGGTGCTACCTACTTCCCAGTCGATGCCCTGAAGCAGAAGACTGCTGTTGTAAACAAGGACGGTGCATTCGAGTTCAAGGTTCCTGGCTTGTTGATTATTGATACACCTGGGCACGAGTCATTCTCCAACCTACGTTCGCGAGGTTCCTCGCTTTGCAACATCGCCATTCTGGTCGTCGATATCATGCACGGTCTCGAGCCTCAGACTCTGGAATCCATGCGCCTGCTGCGTGACCGCCGCACTCCTTTCATCGTCGCACTGAACAAGATCGATCGTCTCTATGGCTGGAAGAAGATTGACAACAATGGTTTCCAGGAGAGTTTGAGCATGCAGAGCAAGGGCGTCCAGAATGAGTTCCGCACTCGTTTGGAAGCTACTAAGCTTGCATTCGCCGAGCAAGGCTTCAACTCTGAGTTGTTCTACGAGAACAAGTCCATGGCCCGCAATGTCTCGCTTGTGCCCACCTCTGCCCATACTGGCGAGGGTGTGCCTGACATGCTGATGCTTCTGACCAGGCTGAGCCAAGAGCGTATGACCAACTCTCTCATGTACCTGTCTGAAGTCGAATGTACCGTTCTTGAGGTCAAGGTGATCGAGGGTCTCGGAACCACCATTGATGTGATTCTGTCAAACGGTATCCTCCGTGAAGGCGACCGCGTCGTTCTGTGCGGTCTGAATGGGCCGATCACAACTAACATCCGTGCCCTGCTGACACCTGCACCCCTCAAGGAGCTGCGTCTCAAGTCGCAGTACGTTCACAACAAGGAGGTCAAGGCTGCGCTCGGTGTGAAGATTGCCGCCAATGATTTGGAACACGCTATTGCTGGTTCTCGCCTTCTCGTCGTTGGTCCTGATGACGATGAGGAGGATCTCGAGGATGAAGTCATGACCGATCTAGAGAACCTGCTTAGCCGTGTATCCACCGACAACCGTGGTGTCACCGTCCAGGCTTCCACCCTTGGTTCTCTTGAGGCTCTGTTGGAGTTCCTCAAGCAGTCTAAGATCCCCGTGGCGAACATCTCCATTGGTCCCGTCTACAAGCGGGATGTGATGATGGCGGGAACCATGCTTGAGAAGGCCAAGGAGTATGCCGTTATGCTTTGTTTCGATGTCAAGGTTGACAAGGAAGCCGCCGCTTACGCTGCCGAGGTCGGCGTGAAGATCTTCACCGCCGACATCATTTACCATCTCTTTGACGACTTCACCAAGCACATGGCCGCGCTGACTGAACAGCGTAAGGAGGAGGCCAAGCTGCTGGCCATTTTCCCTTGCGTCATCAGCCCTGTCGCTGTCTTCAACAAGAAGGATCCCATTGTCATTGGCATCGATGTCATCGAGGGTAGCTTGCGCATGCACACCCCATTGGCCGCAGTGCGCACCAACGCTGCTGGTCAGAAGGAGATCGTTGATATTGGCCGAGTGTAAGTTCTAAGGCTTCTGATTTGACTTTGCTTGTTGCTGGGATCTGTCACTAACCATGATTGCAGAACATCTATTGAACGTGATCACAAGCCCATTGCTGTTTGTAAGAAGGGCCAACCATCTGTGGCCATCAAGGTCGAGGGCCCCAATCAGCCCATGTATGGCCGTCAACTGGAAGAGAGTGACCAGCTCTACTCGCACATTTCTCGTGCAAGCATCGACACCCTGAAGGAGTTCTACCGCTCAGAAGTCACCATGGAAGAATGGGCCTTGGTGAAGAAGCTCAAACCCGTCTTTGATATTCCTTGAATGCTTTTCAAGTTCAGTTTCCACTGCGACGAGTCCGGGCCCTAGTCTTTTGAGCATTGTGGAGCGTTCGTGCGACGATGTCTCCCCAGAAAATCTGATGCGGGCGACTATGAGCCTTTCCACCATACGGTCAAGCTGCACGGAAGGCCGGTTGTTGGAGGTAGGCCTGGACTGGAGCAGAGTCGATGAAAGAAATCCCATGACACGCGCGAACTACGAACACTCACGACTTGCAAATGGACGAGGCTCAAAAATGGAATTTGGACTGGGCAGTTACCATTATTGTACATGATATAAGGAATCAAAATACGCACGTTGTTTCTCTCGTTCTTGACTGTTGCCCAAAGGCTTTGTCCAACGCGTATCCGTCTCCAGTCAACTATCGGTTGTAAAGCCAAATGATACATTTGCTAGATGCAGGACTTGTGTACGTGTACTTAGTACCATATTAATGCGTCCCGTCATGGTCTCGCTGATTAAACGTGCGGCAACGCATTCCTGGATTGCACTATATATATCTGATTGATATCTTTTGAGTTACGCTCCCAGAAGTTCTCGCTGCATGCGAGTCTCACACGACTTCGCCTTCCCATCGCTCCGTCTCCCCTCCCTTCTTCTCCCAATCCAACCAACTCCCATTGTACACACCGACTTGATCCTGGTTGTACCCGGCCTGGACGGCCATTTGCGCTGCGAAGCGCGCCCGCACACCCGCCTTGCAGTAGAAGACAACCTGCTGGTCCGGAGACGGAATTGGCTTGGGAAATCCAAAACGTGTCTCAAATTCATCTTCGGTCAGGTAGAGTGCGTCCGCCTGGGAGGCAAAGGGGATGTTGACAGCAGTTGGGATCACGCCGGTGCTGGCCAGCTCGGCGGGTTCGCGGACATCGATGAGAATGACGGGTTTGTGAGAGGGGGAAGGTGTGGATGATGGGAGGGCAGCGGTGATCTAATAAGTAGTTTGTTTAGCTGAAGTTTCCTTCAATTTGTGTTGATGAAGCAGCCAGGTGTGTTGTATGTCTCATGGCCGGTGGCCAGGGCGGCACCAGCCAGGGATTGTCATGGAGAATAAAGAACAAACTGAACTTACCTCGTCAAACTCCCATTGCCGGAACTTGGGTCCCGGCTCATCACTGTTGTGCCGAACTTGGTAATTGGAGGTAAGCGAAGGTGGACAGAGACCTAGAGGCTGCAATTTGCGCCGGCATTGCAGGATAGAGAGGCTGTTGTTGGAGGGTGATGCGAAGCCTCGGCGGATTGCGGGGAGAGCTGCCTGTGCCGAACACAAGACCGGTACTATGGAGCTTTGAGTGGAGGATCTTGAGATATGACAGTTGACGGCTCTGACCGAGCGTCGAGACATGAAGTTGAATGTAGCAGCCATGACTCTGTGGTATGGCACAGTGCTTGGTGATTCTGGGGTGTAAGTGTGAGGAATGAGACTAAACCTCGGCGGTCATGTCGCGGAGATGCGGAGAGGGTCAGGTGGATATCGTCACGTTAGTGCCATGTTGGACCGCCTTCTTCTATAAAGAAAGCTGTCACCAGACTCACTATTGGCGGCCTTCTGGGCCTTTGCCAATTTGTCTGCAGTATATTTATTGAATTGAGTGGCTCTCTGCAACAGATCGCAATGCTCGCCTCTGGATTCATTCAGTCAAGAGGCCTCGGTAGTCGCTAGGGGCGTACTGCAGACTGCAGACAACAGTCGTCTGCATGGCCCTTTCGAAAATAAGCCTTGAATCCCTCAGTGGGTGTCCAACCAGCTTAATTGACTCAGACATGCGTCTGTGCAGCCTCAGGTCCCATCATCAATCTGTCGTGTCTCACGACAAATCCTCAGGCCAAATACCGCTGCCTGCCATACAAAACATATGGTCTTGGAGTTTCGGGTCCTTGGGGCGGAGGAAGTCCAAGTCCACATCCTCTCTGCATGCCTCATCTCCAATTTCTAGAACATCAAGAGCCCTGTTCAGATTGTGAGGGATCTGAACCTGAGAAACGTAAAGATCCCCGGAGCCTGGCTTGACTGTTCTTTGCCAAATTGGCACAAGCGGCAGTGGGGAGTGAGACACTTTGGTGCAATCCTGCCCGCAGCCTTGGGGGCGCCTAATTGAAGAGTGGCCGGCCGCCCTCCAGAACACAGTCAACACACAGGTAAAGCTGCAGCGAAGAATTGCTTTGCTATTCTACTACCTGAACGAGTCAGCCGCTGAGTCATGGAAGCAGCATAGACTTCTAATTTATGAGTGTCATCAAGAGAGAAGTTCTGACTGAATCCTTCCTTCTCGGACACTCAAATAACTCAGAATGGACGACCTCACGTCCAGCGAGTCCCCTGCTCAGCTGATGTCATATTGCTTGCGAACCGCCCGTCAACTCAGCAGATCGCGGAGATTTGACTGGTCCGAAAGGCTGAACAGCGTTTGCTTGTTGTACTCGACGAGTCGACACCGATCGCTTTCGCTTTTTTTGGGGGCCAAATGCGCCATGCATAGAGTGGGCGAGTCTAAAAAAGAAAGAAACTTTTCAGCCTGCAGCGCCTGGCGGAGCCCTACACACGTATCAGGGCATGGGTTTGACAGACTGGTCAGCCATAGCGCCTAGGAAACAGGTGCTCTAGCCAGTAGTGTCATGTCTAGATTCACGCGTGCAATACCCCTCTGGGAGGCCTGAAGGAAGGTCCTAAGTGCGTCTTCACCAAACAGCCACAGTGACATACCTATACCTATGTAGCGGCGACCTCGACGATCGCACCTATTCCGCGGTCCTGTTCTTCCCTGGGCTGAAGCCAGGAAATTCTTATTATGAAGGTCATTTCCACCCTGCACTGCCGAGGTCGTCTGTCAAAGTTCTGAAGGTTACACCGGTCCTGTCAGGGTACAAGGAGAACGTCAACACGCCAATTTGCTTCTTCGCCTTTTGGCCTCGCAGTCATGATGCTCCTACGTCCACGCAGCCAAGGACCCTCCTCTCTCTGGTGGTCTTCTGTCACTGCCATGCTGTTCGCACCTCTCATCGTCGCTCAATGTTACTACCCAAATGGTACGTTGGAGACCGATGAAAGTTACCAGCCATGTCCCGGGTTCGATGGCAAAGCAAGAATGTGCTGCGCGACAAATCGCAAAAACCCATTTGGTGGTGCGGAAGCCAATGGCTTCACTGCCAACAAATGTCTTCCTAATGGTCTGTGTGTGGACGGATCTACGAGGACAGATCCCTCGGGCCAAGTCATCCTGATTCAGAACTATTGGCGGGATATGTGTACAAGTCAAGATTGGACGCAGGAAGGTTGCTTGAACGTGTGTACCAATGCTGTAAGTGTTATTCTGCATGAAAATGCTGTCACACAGGCGCGATGAAGTCAAGATACTCGAAAGAGTCCTCCAACCCCGGCTCATCGATTAACTTGTTCTATATGTTTCACAGCTAGGCAATACCACCACCCGCATAACCCCATGCGACAATACAAATTCATCCAGAACCTGGTGCTGTGGCGACACCCAAGATTGCTGTAACGGACCTGATGCGATCTACATCGCTGCGACTCTGCCAGGCTACGTGGCAAATATGACTTCCCCGGGCACTTCCACAACGGCTCCCACAAGCACAGGCACCGCCAACCCCGCGACAACCACCGCCTCCTCCACTACCGGATCATCGACGGGATCAACAACATCATCTTCTTCATCCTTTTCCTCCTCGGGCCTTTCTACCGGTGCCAAAGCCGGCATCGGGATTGGAGTCGCTTTGGGTGCTATTGCTATCCTGGCCGGTCTGGCTTTCTTGCTCATGAAGCGACGAAGACGCAATGCTCGCTTTGCGGCACTGGAGAAGGATGCTCACTTTGCCCCTGCGCTTAGACCAAGTGAGTTGTCGGCTGGGGATTCTAGGAGCGAAGTGCCTGCGAGTCCTCACTCTTTGGCTCAGGAATTGCCGGGTAGTTCGACCACACGTTGATCAGTGTGTTGTAATCGCACCTTGGGGGTATTGGATACGTCGCTTATGTTACTGGAGGATGATTGTCAAACTGCATCCTACGTTAAAGGACTTGACTTTATTATTGAATAATAAGGAATGGCGTATGTTGCAGATGCGCGAAACGGATATTCGGTATATAAATCCATACACAATCAAGAACGAACCTAGAAGACATTTTACATGGACCCGAGTTTGCCTTAGTACACAAAGAAAAGTAGACGAGAAAGAAAGATCATTAATATTACTCTAGAAGTGGCTTCGAAAACCTTCCGCAACGACATGATGAGGAAGGGGGAGAAATATTGGGCACGGAGGAGCATGTGCCTTGCACTTGGAAGAAAAGGGAATGCTCAGTCGCCCCATTTTGTCGAGGGCCACACTATACACACTGTAGGGTATTGTAGAGATCAAGGCAAAGTTCCCAGATCAAGAATGGTGACCTTTGTCAGGTTCGTTCCAACATGGGCTGAAAACAAAGAACGAAGAAGTGCCCATCCGACGCCGTGTTGCTCGAGGCAATGAAAGAGGAGATGAATTCCCCAACCTGTCTACCTCGCGGATAGAAAGGCTACGAAGGTGGTATCGTTGAATTTGCGATCTTCGAGAGATTCGAATGGCTAGGCATTTCAGCTCGAAGCTGGTACATTAATTCATCAGTCAATCCTTCAGGCACGAGGACGGAAGGTGAGAAGGCAGTCGTCCTGTGTTTCTTTCGTTAGCTATCTTTCCGGAGATCTCACACGCCAATGCATAGACATACCTGAGGGAAGATGGTGGCGAAGACCTTGATGTCCTCAGACTGAGCAGTAGGAGTGTGCTCCCAGTCCATCTCCATACTAGCTTTGCCAATCATGGCCATCAAAGACAACTGGGCGTAGGTTTGACCCAGACAATAGTGGGGCCCAGTGCCAAAGACGAGCCAGTTCTTGGTCTGCTGCTCGGCCGTGCCGGTGATCCAGCGCTCGGGATCAAAGGAGTCGGCATTGGGGTAGGCCTCCTCATCGTGAGTGGCGGGCCAAACCGAGGGAATGATCATAGAGCCCTTGGAGACGGTGATCTTGTCGGTGATGGGAAAATCCTTCTTGACCAGGTAGGGGACCATGATGACAGGGGGGCGGTAGCGAAGGGTTTCCTTGACAACGGCGCGGGTGTAGGTCATCTGGTCAAGCAAATCCATGGAGATAGGGACGGAAGGATCACCATTGCGCACAGCCAAGTTCTCCTCGCGGACCTTGTGAAGAACCTCGGGGCGATCCGCCATCAACTGGAACAGCCAGGTAGAAGCGGCACTGGTGGCGTCCTGGGAGGCAAACAAGAAGGTGAAGATGGTCTGAGCAATTTCATAGTCGGAGAAATCACGCAGGACCTGAGGGGGCTTCTCGGAAGGATCCACCGCAACTCCCTGGGCAATCTTCTCGCGGTACTTGGCCGAGTCCTGCTGAGCCTTCACCCAAGCATCCATGATACAGGTCACCTCGCCGCCAGCGGCCATACGGGCCTTGCTCTTGGCAGTGCACTTGCTGAACTCATCGAGAACCATGTCGGCAGCTTTCTTGCCGTACCAGGTCTTGGTGAAAGGCAGGATGATCGGGAAGTTGACAAGTTCCAGGGCAGCAGTGATCAGGTAATAGTCGTCGGCAACCTTTTGCACGGCCTCATCGGACATGTAGTAACCGACAAAGGTTCGGCAAGAAAGAGCGGTCATGAGCTCGCGGAATTCCGGCATCCAAGGAGTGGGGGTGTGATTGGTCGCAGCTGACTTCTCCACAAAGCGCTTGAAGTACTCATCGAAGACTTCAGCAGCGCGGGGCAGGTAGTTGGCCAAAGCCTGGCGGGTGAAAAGGCCGTTGAGTCCCTTGCGGTATTCGACGTGCTCCTTGCCGTCCAAGAAGACCCAGTTCGACTTACCAAGCAACTTATGCGCGGCATCGACCACACACGGCTTGACATAACCGGGAGAGTTGAAGATCTTGCGAGACATGTCACGGGTCGACGCGATCACAACGAACCTGAAGGCCGCACAATGAGCATGCCTGATTCTCGACGGTCGTGAAAGCAGTGGAAGACTGTTTGAGTACTCACTTATGGAAGACCGACACACAGCTCAGCTCGCCGCTGTCCCATTTGGCCTTGTATTCGGTGAACTTGGGGTTGACGGATTGGAGGAAGGGGCCCATGAACGGGATCTTGTAGGAGGGACCAATAATTTTGCCCTTGAGGTAGTGATACTTGACTATTCAATCCGAGAAGAAAGAAAGAGAGGCGCACGTTAGCCAATTGCACCAAGAACGGGTTAGAGTCTTTGCAAAGAGGACCACGACTCCGGACAAAAGCAGAAAAAAAAAGGAGCCAAGGCGATCGGCCATTCGAGCCGACAAGAGAGTCCAAGAACATACACTGATCATAGATGACTGCACCCACAAACAGAGTGATTATCAGCTTCCACACCGTGAGGCCATCCAGGACAGAGGCGACCAAGCCGGCCGGCGCGAAGAGTTGTGAGGAGGCTGTCGCATCTGCGGACGGGGAGACGAAGCTTCCGGACATGTTGAGGAGACTGCCGGACAGAACGCGATAGAGAGGATGAGGGAGCCGGACACGCTATGTGAGGAACGAGACGTAGTTCTCTACCTAGTGTCTCAATGCCTGAACAAGCCGTCTGATCAGAAATTGGCCGTACACTCTGTACAAGAATTGGGCTTGAGAGGTGGAGAGAAGGAATGGGTCCTGCTCCTCTGGAATATTCAAAGGAAATTAGTCAGGGGCGGAGAACCCACCAAATATCTGCCCTCTCCCGCTACACTTTGTGTTGCCCGTATTCGCATCTGTTGATTGGCCACGGACCTTGGAACCACTGCAGGGTTGGCACTGGGGGCGGATGGGGCCAATCTGACTGGGCCAAATTTCCACATTAGGACTAGTGCAAGTTCAAGATTCGGATCGTCTGTGTCCCGAGAGCCGCAGGGGATGCCGTCCGGTGGCCTGACAGTCCGACACTGACACTGACTGACACCTGACTCGATGCTGGGTAAGTTAGTGGGTACTTTCTATACCGCATTCATAGCACTGCCACTGGGTCATTGGTACTGGATACTTGCTGCCCACTGCCCACTGCCCACTGCCTACTGCCTACTGCCTACTACAAGATCTATTGACTCCATTCGACTTTCTATGAATGGTTCTTTATTAGTACGACGAGTAGTGGTATCATGCCATGACTCGCGCCGGGGAAACAGCCTAGTAGGAGAGATTCAATATGTTGGTGTCACTGCCCGGTTGACCGTACTACATACAAAACATTCCAGAAGATGTCCACGCGCTACTATTGGAATCCATCGCCCATGTCGTCAGGTAAGTGCTAAGCTATATTACTATCCTCTAGCAGTACTGGCTGTATGTACCCTGTTGATGTTGCAGACTACCTCCTACACTGCTGGTACACTCTGTGGACACTTATTCTGCGTTTTGTTTTACGCCTTCAATGCCTACTACAATGCCGACTTAGTACGGGAAATATAACTATCAATAATACAGACTATATACATGAGTCTAAACTATAGATGCAACAGTTCCTGGTATATTATGAAGCGATCCCGTCATGAACCAGAAGTACTTGTTGCCATTAGAACCAGCATCGCATACCCCGACGCTCCGTATGAGGTAAAAGGTGGTGCCTGATGCACGACCTGCCAGATAGGTAGTATACAGAAGGCAACTAACTACCTATTCATCTATAACTACCTTAATACTCAATCGCAACTGGTACCCGGGTGGATTGTCCGGGCAGGGGCAGAAATTGTACCTGGGAATGATGCTTTTTACCCGGTAAAGTTGAGCACTATCTGATAACATTAGATTTCTTGGTAGTATGAGTGTCGTGACTGTAATCGTGACTGTAATCGTGACTGTAATCACGGGCAAATTACCTCCGGGCAGGCCGCGACTACACGTGATGCATCTATGATTCTATACAATCATTGATCAATTCCCTTGTAAGTACCTATGGTACAGTGTACCAGTGTACCTAACTTCCTATAGGCAAACAGGCATACTCTGATGACGCGCAGGCTAATACCTTCTTGCACCGAGACACGGGCCACATATTTTGAAAGCAACAAGTCAATGTGATCATCCCTATCAAACGTTAGCGGACTCCAGTGGGAATGATGACATGGCGTAGATGTTTGTCTCATTGTAAACCGTGTCTACTTACTCTACTATATATCCCTCGCAATGTTGACCTCCCTAACCGAAGCTTAGAGATCGGCGAAGGGACATTCATGTTCTGACGAAAGGTACCCGCCTAACCTGGGCGGCCAGCACGAGTCAACTCAGCCTTGTAAAGAAACGTAAACCTGGCAAGGCTCGTTTTCTGCTCTGGTTCATACCGGCCATGCAAAGATCGTCTAATTCTGCGATACATAGATAGTGGAACTTACACAATTCGGTCGCGTATTATAAACACAACCACCTTGCACCATATAGAATATTTTCTTTGCGCTGTGATAGCAACAAAATGACTCCCAATGGAATTAAGACAATACTACCTCCCCGTGATAGAGTGCTTAAACCGGTTAGGATATACAGATGGTCTCCATATCAGCGATGCAAGATGAAGCCTGGTTCGCGTTCGTCACCAGCTATGAGCTCCGAAATTGAGCAGGAAGGAACCAATCGCTGGACTACATACGTGCACTTTGACTTCAGCAAGACAGAGGACCGCAGTGACCATTATAGAGATGTGCATCTCAGCGGGAACCGAGTACCGTGTCTCACTTTCAGCCGTGAGGACCTACGTCAAACATCGGCCGAGAAGGTTGTTCAAGGCTTCTTGACCTACCCCAGTAAATCACAAAGAATTAACAATTGGGATAATATCGTCACAAGTCTTTCATCTTTATGTCCAGTGTGCTAGAGTAACTCTTTGACTTATTCAGCGCCCACCGAATCCGAACCATCCTCGCTTCTTCTCCTCAGGCACCGCAGAAGGAGCTTGTTCAGGAGCTTGTACCGATGCCTGCTGGCCTTGGCGCGGGTAGTCGATGTAGTTCCACGCCACGTCCAGGAATAGCGGCTTGACGGGTACGGGCTGCATCTGGGGTGGATAAGGCACGAGATTGTTAAGATCCACCGCGCTGAACTGTTGGAGAGATTCCACCAAAGGGAGGCCTTGGCTCGAATCGGACTTGGCCCCAAGGCGTTCGAGGGTCACCAGACCGCGATACTGGGCGACAAGTCCACGAAGGGTCGATGCCAGGTTCTCGACTTGTGGCTTCGAGACTTCGAGTTGTGGGGGACCCTGGAAGCTGGCAGAAGAAGACGGAATAGCAGAGCCAGAGAGTTCAAGGGCCCGAGCAAAAAGGGCCAACGCTTCGGTGGGCTTGCTAAGGACACTGTACGAGCGGCCCAAAGTAAAGCAACTGAGACGAAAGAAATCATTAGTGATTTGTGCAGCAAGCAAGATGTGGTCGACGATCAGACTTACCGCAGAGCCCGGAAATAGCAGCGCTTGGTTTCCACATCCTTCACAAATGCTGCATCAGCTGCAACACCTGGTAAATCGAGAATGAAGTCCAGACTCTGCAAGGTCGAGTCGTAGAGTACCACACGCTCTCGGAGTTTATTCAGCTTTTTCCCGTTGCTCGCGCTGTGCTTAATATCTTTGGCGTCTGCATCCTCGCCAATTGACAAGCCATCATGCTCACCACAAAGCACACGGTTTCGGCCAACACGCCATCCTACAAGACTGTAGTTGACTGCTGTCCGAGTAATTTGGAGTGCCTGCAAGCGTGTATCGCCGGGGTCCACACCCTCATTGGTCAGATCGTCAATGGCACTCTTTGTAGCATCGACTGCATCCTGGCTTGCAATAATCACACTATCGTATGCAGCGGCCCGATCCTTGGCGCTGGCGGACTTGCCTTCCCCAGCTAACCATTCACTGAGACCGTCTTCTGCGGCAGAGGCGGCGGCTAAAGCCTGAGAAATTGAGGCATCCTCCAGCGGGACAGTGCGGGATCTCCAGGTAATAGACTCAGGGAGTTTTTGTACCTCCCCCTCAGCAGTGCGTCGCGTTCCTGCTGCTTCTTCAGCAAGGCAGGATGGGTCAATTTTCTCAACTTCCCCACGGATATTGGAGTCTGAAGGGAAGTATTCAATTGCCAGAGACGAACTTGGCTTAGACCTCGGCAGCTTCATCTGGTAAGCCGCATAACGGAGGCTAGGATCGACAGTTCCAGTCAGGAGATCACGGAAGGAGTCCTTTTTCTCGCGCTGTCCTAGGGCGGTATAGACCACACGTGCAATAGCGAAGTCGTGCAGACACTGCTCCCACTTATGCTTCTCCAACCACAGCGCACCGGAAATTGTGGCCAGGTAAGCCCGAGCCTCCAAAACATCGATGTCCGTGGCACCAGTGACCGCTTGATCATGGAGCAAGCTCACAAGGTGTTGCGCATAACCGGTCGCTTTATGAAGTCGGGAGATGATGTGACGCCTCGCTGCACCCGTGATTCCCTTGGCCGATGGATCTGCGGAGTGCGTTGACTTCTCGTGCATGGCTTGCGCCCAGGCTCGTTCAGATCCAAGAAGGAGAAGGTGCGCATAACTGTTTGTCAAGCATCAATCAGTCAAAGATCTGCGCGTGTATAAGGAGGAACAACTCGTACGAGACATTGGCTGCAATGTTTTCGGCTGTTACTGCTGGTTTGGCAGTGTACTTGCGGCCTTTCGCAGTGGCCTGGCCCAGCTTCTTACGCAATTTATGAAGCTTGCGTGTCGCGTGCGCGCGGTAGGCATTATGGTCTCCGGCAAGGAGCACTTCTTCGCGCTCTTTAAAAATGTAATCCGTAATGTCCATGATGACTATGGATCTTTGTCGGGTTGTCAAATTGAGGGGTGGCCGATTGTATCGACCCCAGTCCGTCGAGTTTAGTGGGTATTCAAAGGCGGTGCATCGTTTCGGGCAAACGAATGGCCCGATTTGCCCGGCAATTATTTGCAACCTCTCCGAATCTTTTGCGTAGTTAGCTTCCCTTGCCCACGAGCTGCTTTGTACAAACCACATTGCTCGCCACTTACAGGATACTCGATCACCTTGTTCTGAGTATAACCCTGTGTGTTTGGGATCTCTGACTCACTGTCTTATTTGTGGGCAGTTGTGATCTCCCTTCTAGGTATGGACTGGCACCATGCTCTACACAGCTTTCTGCGGGTGTTTGAAATTACAGTTATGCCTCGTGAGTCTTGCATGCTGAACAAATAATCGAACATCTAGGGTTTTGTCATACGACATGACGCAGACTGCGGATTCTTTACGGTGACTTCAGTCTTTGACTTCGCATCAGTCGGGGGTGATGCTCGAGCGGGCGGCCGGCTGCCTCGAGAGCGCAGGAAGGCGCTTTCTTCGAGACTCAAACAGCACCATTCGCTCTCGGAAAAGCTTATCGAGGAATTTCTGGAAGCAAAATGCTGTGATAGGGGATGTTGCGAGCTTCTTCTTCGCTCTAGCCCTTCCGCTCAGCCATCAATCATCAACCTGCAGATTCCGATCTCAAGTCACGCGCGGACCTGAAAGAGATGGCGGAACGCCTTTCCTCGACTTTCTCTACCCTCGTCGATCCCAGGAGCTTGCGATAGAACGACTCAAACGTCATGGAAAGCGTTTTGGTCTCCGCCGACGGAAGCGAGCTTTAGTCAGCTTCTCAAGGTCCTATGCGTCCAACGCCACCTCCCCGTCCCATTACACCACACTCGAAGAGCCACGTACAACTGGACCGCAAACGACAAATACTGGATTGGAAGCAACGAGGTCTTCTGAAGGGTATCTATTAGACTTACTTGCGAAGCAGAAAGCTGATTTCGATCGAGCGTGGGTGCTTTACATTGCTGCCGGACGACCGTCAAGCTTGCGTTCTGCATTGTGTGCTTATCTGAGTCGGTCAACGGACCAGACAGACAGGGATCGTGCGTGGGAGGTGTTTCAAGAAATTCCCGAGGCAGTCCTTGGGGAGAATGACTTTTTACATGCCGCTCAATCCCAGCTCGGTTCTCATGATCCCTCAAAGCTGCTCGCGTTGTGCGAAAAAGGGCTCCAACGAGGCTGCGGGCTAAAATGCTGCACGTTGACATTCACGCGCTTTTGGAAAGCTCGAAACTGGAAGCGCACGCTGGAAGTCTGGCGCTTGGTGACTCAGTTTGCTGAACACGTCCCTGGGTCGCCCTACCGGAAGCTGATCAGCGAACTCGAAAAAGGTCGTCTCTCCTGGGATGCTGTGGCACTAGGAAAGTTTGTTGCCCGAAGTCGAAATCCAGATGGTCGCTTGCTGGCCGGCTTCATCCTCGACCATATTTTTCGATACTCCTACATGCTACGATCTGCGTCTACGGGAATTCTTGTCGAACTGTTTCGAGTCTATCACGACATGGATGCATTGAAGCCCGAATACTATTTGAAGACTCTTGGAACGTTTCAGGCGAGCGAAGTCAGATCCGTCTTCATACGGACTATTGTGTTCTATCGGATCATGCGGCGGCAGATGCCGGATCTGAAACCCCCTCAATCATTCTACACTGCGCAGCTGAGGGCATTTGCCCAATTCGGGATTACCTCAGGCATCCGCTATTTTCTCGATGAGATGAGGCACTTCTACGGCATGCCGCACTTACAAATATACAAAGACGCTATGCAGTCATTTGCATATGCGGGCGACGCTGAGCAAGTCAACTTTCTGTTTAACAAAATGGTGGAGGATCATGGGCCTCCGCGTAGTCGAAAATTGCTGGCGCCTCTTCTAGACGTCTACGCACGACTTGGAAACGTGCAGGAGACCAAACGACAATTCGGAAGGATTTCTGATGAATTTCATCTTGAGCCAAATGACGTATGTTGGAACATTGTTCTCAAAGCATATGCAAATGAGGAGAATCTCGCTGGCGCGCTATCGACCTATTACCAGATGAAGCAAGCGGGTGTGCTCCCCAGCGCGCACACTTTTGGCACTCTAATGGCGCTTTTCGCGAGGCGAGGGGACATTGATAACACGCGTCGCTTGCTCAAGGAAGCAGAGCGCCATGGCGTTGAGATCACAATGCCCATGCTGGAAATGGTTGTGCAAGCGTATTGTGCCAATGGGCTGCTACCCCAAGCCGAACAATTTGCCGTTGCCTGCCAGGATTTCAATGTAAAGGGCTCCCCTATCGGACTGTGGAATACACTCCTGTTTCAGCATGCACTTCGAGTCGATTTCGTGGCCATGAATCGAGTGTGGCAGCTCTTCAAATCAGCTGGAATCAAACCTGATGCCGTCTCATACGCCAGCCACATGCTCATCCTAGCGCTCGTCGGTAAGACCGACCGGGCACGAAAGACCTTGCGAGATCTGCACAAGAAGCGAGTATTCCAAGCGACTGATCTGCATTATGCAATCATTCTCTTCGGCTATCTCAAAAGTCGCAACCGGACCATGGTGCAGGTCATTTTCAAGGAGATTGAGGAGCGATTTGGTCAGGACGAAACGAAGTCGACTTTGCTAGAGCTCAGAGACCAAATAGAGCTTGATATGAGCTGTCGGGATCCTTCCACCAAGTCCAGTGCAGAATTGCGATTGAAGAACGCCGAGCATACTCTTTTGACCTCGCTTACATCGATTGATCGCCTCACGAAAGGCATCAAGCTTCCGCCATCAAAATCGCATGTCAAAGCCGCCTTCTTGGATTCCTTTTATACTTACCGAATCAAGAATCTTGGTCTCAGCGGTGCCATCGATGAAGCTCGGCAGCTTTTCGACGAGTACTTGAACAAGAAAAGGATATTTGCGGTCAGCGAATCCGGATCTGAATCAGCTCCACTCCGCTTGATCTCTGCCATGATGTTAGCGTATCTGCAAGCAGAGCAATACGTGGAGGTAGAGAAGTGCTGGCAACTTGCCTTCTCTAACACAGTCAAAGTGGCAAGTCGTGTTGACATTGAGGAGCTTACGCGCACTGACTCGCTCGGCGTGTTGTCAATCCGCGCTGCCACACACGAGTCTCAAAGCGCAACAGGTCAATCGTCAACACCGCCAACACCGTCAACTTCAAACATATCGAGTGATGCTCAGCCGTCACAGGCTGCTTCGTCTGACAACCAGAAACATACGCGGGAGAGTGCTGGTATCATACCGTCGCAACGGTATACGTTGTCGCGTCCTTTATCCATATATATGCGTGCGTTAGCTTACCAGAGCAAGGCAGAGCACGTTGTCTATGTCGTTGCGGAGCTTGAACGTCTTGGTTTTCAGCTGAGCACATTCAACTGGTCAACATATGTGCAAATGCTGGCAGCTTCTGATAGGTTTGACGACATACTGGAAGCTTTCCGAGCGTTCGAGCGTCATTTCATGCCCAATTTTCCCGACTGGAAGCGGCTTCAGGCTGGGCAAGGCATCAAGCCGCTAGGTGTGCCATTTACCATTCAGCAGCTCGAAGACAGTCGCCATTTCCCCCCTCCATCGTCGAGCCTGGGGAAAGCGTCAAGAACCTATTGGAGCAATATTGACCCAGGTTTCATGCAGCCGACTTATGTCTCCATGGTATACCTAGCCGCCGCCGTGGACCGCATTCGAAGCCAAAGCATATTGAAAGGTGGCGAGGAACTCGAACGGCTGCATGCAGTTGCTCCAAAGACAATTACCGAGATCGGGCGGATGCCGTATCTTCGCGACAAGTTCCAGGGTGTTCTTATTCGTCATCGATCTCATCAGGCCGATAAAGACAGGCAGAAGCACTTCCGCCGGCAGACTGTGGCGGCAAGTGGTATATTGGGCATTCGCCCGAGAAAGGGGAAGAAGAAGACTACCCAAGGATCGAAGCCATCTCTTGCTGCGAATGCCCAGGTCCATCCCGTTGGAACACCCCTTGCTGACTTGGAGGCCGCGAGATCTCGTGAAGCCATCTTAGGTCCTTCTCCCGTTGGGCCTGAAGATGATGTCTTCACCACGGAAGATCGAGTCGATCTTGACTCGGCTATTCGGGGACGCCACGCCCGACAAGTCCATCTTCACAGGTTGAGAGCTGCAACAAAACGGTCAGAGCGCAAGATTATTGAAGATCACCTCTCTAGCGTTGAGAGTTCTCCTGAAACAAGCGCGGAAGTTGGTCAAGACACCCATGGAGACGAAATCTCGACTGACTTTGCCAACGACTCCACTGGATATACACAAACAATCTCATCTCCGCAGTACGAGAAGAAGCCATGAATTGCCTCGTTTGTACACTATGTGTTTTGTTATTTTAGCCTTTGTATACCTATTATGCCTTGAACTATAGATCTCAATGTACAATACTATTTCCACGCTATTTCGCTACAAGGAGGAGAGAGTGTCATGAGCGGCCCGGCATCAGCTTGTCCGTACGTCCTCTTCATGCCAGGTTCAGCGTCTGCAGAATTCAGCAGAAGTCTTTTTGAAGAGGGCAGCGTCGAGCAGACATGTAACAACGTAGAGTCTCCCGATGCTGCATGAAGCACGACCAGCCACATGAACACAGAGAAAGTATTAGGTACTCGGTTAGATACTGACACTTGGCAGTAGCAATGCGTAATGTTGGCCTCAACCTGACAATGGATCAGCCCTGGTGATCTGCTCGTGGTCCTTCAAGTGTTCAAGTTGGCAGTCGCGACGGTAAACCAAAAGTTGAAGCCAAACTCGCTCTGCATAGACTATAGAGTCACAATTATTTCGAGGGCCAGTTTCGGGCCCTGTTGTTTATTCGTTGGACTGAAATTCTTTAGCATAATACTGCTAGTCAACTTGAGCAATATCGATCTAAGTCGAATTGTGCTATTGGGCATAGTTCTAAGACGTAGAATGCAACCACCTTATTTGAAGAAAGACCTTAAGTGAGACGTCAACCGCCGCCGGGTCTTACCGCAGATTTGTTCAATTCATGTATGTTACCCCCAGGTAATTCACCCGTTAGTTCCTAAGAAACCCTTGCTGGGCGCCACGATCAACGCTTGGGACTGCCGAACGGTCTTCTGGAGGGGCCTCCGGCTGCCGATTTTTGTCTCCAGATGGAACGATGAAGCGCGTTGGCATTGTGCTTCTCTGTGTCCTCGTTTGCGTTGGGAGGTCAGACACATGTTACATGCTCAATAAAAGTATCCGCTGGGTCACCAGCCAGCATCATCGTCCTTACCTCCGCAGGTACAGAGAAAAGGGGAAGACTGGAGCCTCGGCACGCTCCTTCGACGGTCACCTCAGCAGATAGGACGCAGACGGGACTATTACGAGTGAGCCATTCCTCCCACTGGGTTAAGTCAGGGAGAAAATCTCCTCGGACTTTGACATTAAGAAGCACTCTGTACGACTCTCGGTCATTGCTTCTTGTAATCGATCGTGCACGACGTTCTGTTGCACGACCACGGCCGATAGTTACGCTTAGCAAGCCCGCCTTGGGGATATAGATTGGTGCGGGCCCAATCTGATTCTGTTGTGCGAAGCGAAAGACCCGGGCATAGATATGAGCTAGCGTTGTAGCCTCGCCGTCTAACTCTCGAAGCTCATCGATGAGAATCCGTGTAAAAGAGATTCCAATCCTCGCGATTGCCGACTGTTCCCAGTTAGCCGCCGCGATAAGCTCTGCGCTGTGAAGGAGGACCCAACGCCGCTGATCATGCACAATAGTAGACTTCGCGTGGAAACTCTTCGGGAATGCTACGAGGACTCTATCAATTAACCCTGGGATGTTGGACGAATGAGTGGTATTAGATTTAGTAGTGTGTGACTTACGCGAAGGACCAGCTTTGCTCTGTTAGTCCCACAGACTCTTCATACCCAGAGTAAACGTTGATCCGGACCGTTGTCATCTCCAGAATGCGATTGTGACCAGGAAGTAAGACGAGATGAGAGTGTGCTATGAGACTTAACAAGCATATTTGCTCATAGTCGGTTCCAAACCCGAGAATGATTTTGAAAACTTGTAGAAATTCCTCTCTCAAGCGTCACAATCTCCATGTGGTCATTTCCCTAGTGAGAAGCGAGTGAGAAGCGAATACGGCCATCTCTTGAAATGGAGGATATGTTGCTGCATGGCTAATAGCCTTGTCCAGGTCATGTGGAAATCGATCAAGGCAGCATTTTGGTCTGTTGCGCCTCAAAGAACTTGAGTGGCTTTGACATATTCATTGTTGCAGCTTGGTGCAGTACCCGGGAGGTGGAGTCTGTACCTGAGAGCTGAGAGCCGATTCAAGATTAATGACGAAGAGAGTGGGAAGCGAGACGGACTGCGGAAAATGCGATGTAAAATGGGCAATTCAGAAAAGATGACCTGGAGACCGACTCGCATTGCTCCCGAAGTGAAGCGGATGAAGTCGCAAGACTCAGAGGAAGAAACAAAACACGTGCGATTCAAAAGAGAGACATTTCCCCATTCAACACGCCAACCCCCAAAAAGCGGGCGGAGGGCGGACAAGCTGATGATGTCGCCGCGTCTCTCACCCTCCCAGTCTTCCACCCCCCCCAAACCACATCATCCTCGTCCATTCTTGCCTTTGCCCCCCTCCTCCTCGACTGGTGATGACCACCGTCCAGGGCCGCAACGGCCGTTAAGTTATAGTGTGGTCACATTCACTTGTTTACCTTCATTTCAGAAGTATAATATGACTTCGCCCTTGGATCAGCTGGTCAAGGGCGCTGCCCCAGCATCGAATGTCCGCGCCTCCACGCCGGAGCCGTTGAATCCCACCCGAGCGTCAACAAACTCGCACTCTGCCTCGCTGCCCCGATCATCCACCCCCGACCCTCTCGCGGCTCTTCCGTCCGCTCCTCCTCAGATCTACTTAAACTTGCTGATCCTCGAAGCCTCGTTGCGTGCACAGTACCTCGCCCTGCGCGAGCGTCGCCGCCAAAACACCTTCTTCCTGTTGGTCCTTGCCGCTTGGATTGCGTACTTTGCATATGCGCTGTTTCTGCGCCCACGCGAGGATGGGCAAGGTGTCGGTGGCTCGGTATATTGGGTGATTGAGATGGGTGAAAAAGTCGCTCTGCTTGGTGGGGTAGTCACAGCACTCCTCGTCTGGGGTACCGGGCAGTGGGAACGCGGTATTCGCTGGCCTCGTCGGTGGCTGGCCGTCGCTAATCGCGGCTTGCGCGTGATGAATACCAAGGTTATCGTCATCCGTGGACCCTGGTGGCATGAGCTCTTATCGTACATTTCGTTCCTCTTCCCATTCTCGGCGCCGTTTTTCCCTTCGCCCACGGGCAATTTCCACCTCGTGGAACGTCATACATCCGAGAAACACCGTGGTAGTCGGCAGCACTACCAACAATACTATAATGGCGGAGACAGCGAGTCGGGCCTCGTTGAGGAAGATCTCAGCGCCGGAGGCGACTACGTGCGCCTGCTTCTACTACCCAAATCATTCTCCCCCGAGTTCCGCGAAAACTGGGAGGATTATCGCACCGAATTCTGGGAGAAGGAGAACGAGCGTCGAGCTCAACTGCGGCACAAATTGCGCGAGCGAAAGCGTCAGCTGGCTCAGGCAGAGGGTGGATGGCTCTGGCGTCTGGGTCTAGGTTGGCGCGCCTCGCAGCGTCGCCGCCTGGTCTCCGCCACCCTTCACAAGCCACTCGAGTCCGAACATACCAAGCAACGGCCAGGTTCTCACCACCACCATCATCACGCTTCATCCGTGTCCTCCAAGCTCGTTCAGGAGCACCGCGCGCCCCTTGCTACCAGACGCGGTACCCGATCTGAATCGGTTCATTCTCGGGGATCCTCCCGCAGCTCCACCCCCGTGGATCTCGAGGATCGTCCCCCTTCTCGCTCCTCTGCATCCGGACGTCCACGGCGTGGAAGCACGACACCTTCGATCCCGAGTCCTGAAGCAACTCCGCAGCAACGGAAGCGTAAAGGGTCCAAGACGCTCCGTCATGGGCTGTCTCCTCTGACACAGGCTCAAGTTCGGGAGGGTGTTCATCTACCATCTTTCTCATCGGATGACTCTGCTGCAACACCATTGAGCGAAAAGGATATTGAGCCTTTCCCCGCGGCTTTGTCTACTCCAACCCCCTAAACATAGATAATCTGATCCCTTTGAAGCGGTCCATCTTGCACACTACGCATAGATTGCGTCCAGTCTTGTCCTGTAACATAGCGAGGATTCTACATGAAGTGTTTCCAATTTGAATCGGCCTTTCCATGGTTCCCGTGCTCTGTAACTGAGTTATACTTCCCCTTGAATCAAAACTTTCCCGCCTCGAGTTGCATCATTGTAGAAGACCCCACATTGCTTCGCGGTGCAGTCTTGGCTTTACGGTCAACTTGAAGACACGAGTGTCTGCTCTCTAATGTCGCTGTCAGTGTTTACCGTCGACTAGTCTCTATACTCGACCGTCGTCTACCGTCTAATCACATGATAGTCGGGATACCCCGGAATTTCCACGGGAGCTCACGTCGGGATGGCCCGATCGCCGAAGTCGGCCCTCGCCGGTGCCTCCCCCGCGGTGCCCGATAAGCTCGGAGAATGGTGCGTGCTGAACTGCCCCTCACGTTCATTCCGCTTTTTATACCTCCGTGTGGCCAGAGTTCTTGTCTAGAGGTCTTTGGAGGAATTGAAAATACAGCTTTCTATAGACCAATATCGAGATCCCGCGCAAAGGCACCACTGCTCTCTTTCCAACCCGGCAGCCCCTTTGCACCTTCTCCCTCCTCTCCTTAGGGCAATCGGCACGCGACATTTCTTCCCGTCAAAAGCAGCAAGAAACAACACAAGTCCCTCCATACCTTCACGATGGGCAGCGCCAGAACATACTACGCGCCCACGGGTGGCTTGCCCCCTCAGACGCAAATCCTTACCGACCGCGCAATGTTCACCGAAGCCTATGCGGTCATCCCTAAGGGCACCTTTAGCGACATCGTGACCAGCTTTCTTCCATTCTGGGACAAGACCCGTCTGTGGGTGATTGCGCGCCCTCTCTCCGGCTTTGCAGAGACCTTCTCGCAATATATAATGGAAGTGCAGGCAGGCGGTGGCAGTGAACGCGCGGAGCTAGACGAGGGCGCCGAGGGCGTCATCTTCGTCGTGGAGGGCCAAGTCACCATCACACTTGACGGGAAACCACACCAACTCACCGAAGGTGGCTATGCATACCTACCTGCCAAGAGCGGCTGGAGCTTGTGCAACAAGGGCTCGTCAACTGCACGATTCCACTGGGTCCGCAAGGCATACGAATACGTCGAGGGTCTCGACAAGCCTGATCCGCTCTTCCTGAATGAGAAGGATATCATGCCCACTGAGATGCCGGGCACCAATGGTGCGTGGGCCACGACGCGCTTCGTGGACCCATCTGACATGCGGCATGATATGCATTGCACCATTGTGACGTTCGAGCCCGGTGGTGTTATTCCTTTCGCGGAGACCCATGTGATGGAGCATGGACTTTATGTTCTGGAGGGCAAGGCCGTCTACCGCTTGAACCAGGACTGGGTGGAGGTTGAGGCTGGTGACTTCATGTGGTTGCGTGCGTTCTGTCCCCAGGCTTGTTATGCGGGTGGGCCGGGGAAGTTCCGTTACTTGTTGTATAAGGATGTGAATCGCCATATGAAGCTGTCACATCACTCTCGCCCTTAGAAAGCCTACACAAACTGTACATATGCAATCAAAAGAATGAATATAATCAATGATCTTCAGTCTCCCGAATGAATAAGAGGAGCCTGCGAGGGCGGTCATAGCTCATGTGTATACTTTCTGTTTCGCGCTATGGACACATACGGACTGCCGATAGGGATTGTTGACAGACAGACAACGCAGGCCTGCCTCAAAATGATTGAGTATCGTTATGAGACGCTCAATAAAAATGTTACTCGAACATCATAGATCTAGACTCATTGGGACGATGCTGTATAGTATGAATTGGTCATATTACTGTCATCCAGCCTCATGCCATCACCCTCCTGTAAAGGACGAACACCATACTCCAGACGAGGCATACCATGCATGATATTAGATCACTGCAATACCCAAAAAATCGACATCTACCTGGCCGTCAGGTCCAATTCTGCCCACTTTGCCACCAAATTAGGTAGTCACAAAAGTTAAAAAAAAGTTCATCGAACCAGCCATCAAATACACTGGTGACTAAATGCGGTAAACATTATCGTCTCCCTCGAGGAACCTGCTTGAAGTTAGGAAAGGCTGCGTTGAAGGGGTGCATCAAGTTCCAGAGTCGGGTCCGACATCTCGGATGAAGTGAGGTGGAGGTGCGAGCTAAAACTTACATAATCTTGTTCTCATCATTCAAGTGCTTCAAGGCTTGTAGAGCCTCAGATCGTGAGAAGACTTGACCGGCTCCATGCTGGGACGAAGTCCGCACACCTTCATTGACCGCATCGATCAACTCGTCCACATTCATCATTTCAGTGTCATCAAAGAGCTTTCTCATAAGTGGTCCAAGAATCTGTCGGAAGAGCGCCAAGCGTGTCGGGGAAATTGGTTGAGAGGATGTTGAGGTGGACTGTGAATCATCCGTCTGAGACTGCACCAGCTGAGACGCGGGCTGCGAGGATGCCACCGACATTTGGGACTCGGTGTGCGTCTGTGTGCGGGTCGTCTGACTCGAGCGCAACCGCTGTGCGCGAGGGCTAGCAGTGTAGAGACTGTCCGGATCATCATCTGGGCCAGCAGTGCTAGCGCCAGCACGCGACCTCGTTGCAACTGCTCGTCCGGGAGTGGCGCTAGAGGTGCCGTTAATGGGCGTACGATCATCGCCATCATCGTTGTCCTCGTCACTGTCGTCGTCTGACTCCTCGAATGATGTAACCTTTCTGCGCTTGCGGCGAGTATCTTCCACGATTTCCTTGAACATGGCGAAGCGAAGAATGGCCTCGGCATGCTTTGCATCCTTCTCTTCAACACGATTGGACAGACGGGCCTTGGCATGTGCGGTGGAAAGACGGATCAGCGTCTCAAGGGTACGGGGTGTGATGGGTGAGGTTCGGCGCTGAGTGCTGGCAAGGTCGTCATTTCGAAGAGCCGAGTATGCAGCGATGATATGATCGGCCGCACCTTTGGTCAACACGGGCTTGATACGGGTCTTGGCGTATTGGATGTACTTCTTGATGAACGGAATGCTAATAATTTCGACATTCTTGTTGCGATTGCGGCCCGAGTTGACCATACCGCCGTGCAGCATGACGTTGAACTTTTCAAAGACCTCTGTCGGCTGATTGGCATCGACTCGATCTTCGATGCCGACACCCAAGGTCTGATTGAGCTGTTCACGGACAGGGGCACCTTCTTCTGTGCCCGGTTGGCGGTAACGATGCATGCGCAGGACGTGCTCCGAAACAATTCTGTCACGCGCATCTTCGATGTCGTCGGTCACAACGAAGAGTAAATCGAATCGAGACAGAAGAGAGTCTGGCAGAGCGATGTTCTTGTGTGGATCCTTGTGGGGGTCGTACTGGCCGTAAATTGGATTTGCGGCAGCCAAAACGCTACAGCGTGCGTTCAGACTGGTGTGAATGCCAGCCTTGGCAATGGTGACTGTCTGTTGCTCCATGACTTCGTGGATCGCCACGCGATCGATATCACTCATCTTGTCAAACTCGTCAATGCACACCACACCCCGGTCAGCGAGGACCATGGCACCGGCCTCCAATCGACGTTCACCTGTCTCTTTATCGGACGTGACTGCGGCAGTCAAACCTACACCTGAAGAGCCACGACCCGTCGTGGCGATCGCCAGAGGAGCTGTGTTCAGGACGAATCGAAGAAGCTGAGACTTTGCCGTAGACGGATCACCCACCATTAGGATATTGATATCGCCACGAAGATGGGTGCCGTTCTCAAGGTTCTTTTCCATACCACCAAGCAACATCAGCAGAATGGCCCTCTTAATGTAGTCATGTCCGTGAATACTAGGAGCAAGAGATTGGGACAGGAGCTCGAAGACGTTCTTTTTCTTCGCGATTTTGTTGATGTTACGAATGTCCGTATCGGTGATAGTGGCCTGAGCGATACCAGAGCCGCCCTTGGAGGTAAGTTGAATGATGTTGTTGGCCATGACGACGGTGCGGAAAGTCGACGATCCGGAGCTTGCGTTTCGGTTTCCAAGCGTACGGTATATGCCAACAAGTTGAATTCTGTCTCCAGGCTTGGCTTTATCAACGAGATCGTCGTCAAGAATCACATCAACACTTCGAGGCAGCTGCCCTGCTGGCGCTCGTTCAGGCATTTCTTGGATTGAGATGGACTGGTGATCCATGTATGTGGAGTAGCCGTATTCGGTAATGAGCTGAGAATGTGAGAAAGATACCTTTGACTGTGTTTCATTGCACCGCATGAACTTACAGGATTCTTGTCTTCATCTTCCTGAGGATATACGTTCAAGCTTGTAGCTCCGCTGGCGGTCATGGTTTGATCACGATATTTCCTTGAGAAGAATCGATCCTTCCTTTCGCTGTAGTGAACACTTTGGATGACCTTTGGGCGGACAAGAGAGCACTTTGTGACAATGCCCTCGAGTGAAATCATGCGATTTAGATGGGAGGAGCTGAGGGTGCGAGGGTTACATGAGAAATCACCAAAGGCTCCAATGTAGGCGCAGTAGTAATTCTGAAATCGCATGCTGTTAGCGTGGAATACTGCTCTGGTTCTCCAAGAAGAACAAATGACAAACCACTTCGTCCAATTTCTCCTTTTCCGGGCGGTTCGGTAACCGCTTAACCACTTCTTTCAGGGCATGATCAAAAGCTTGGGTATAATCGAATGGGGACATGCAAAGACTGTTTGCAGGGCAATGTCAGCTATTTAATATGTTCCATGCCATAGAATTGAGGTCATACCCATCCGAAAGTTCGCGATTGTGTGCTCGGATTTCATCGAGGCTGACCTACACCCTTGTCAGTCACTTTGTCCTTCTAACAAGTACTTCGGGTAATAGAAAAGTCACGAACGGTCAAACGCCGCAGACCTCTATTCAGCATAACCACAATGTCGACTCGATAACTGGTGCTGTTGTCAGAAGGTCTGAATCGCGCTCGTTTTGAGGTGGCCCTACTGACCTCCGCGCCCGTTCATCGCCTGTGGCAGCAAAAAAATCAACCGATTAGTTATGATCAACGGGAGTGTCCTGTTCTCAACTTACTTGGATCAAGAAATTCGATCGCGGCACGCACCCGATCTTGGGCGGCCTCATCTATTAGTCGAATTCCATCCATCGTTGCGCGCTGTTTAATTTTTGCGGAGGTAGCGAGTCGAGGGGCAGAAGACAACCGTGAAACTCGAGCGGTGCGCGTTCGCCCAATTGGGCTAAATTGCATCGCGTTCGGAAGCGTGGCACGCGTCTGCTTACATAACAAAGCTGTTGGGGGGCCTGCACCTGGAGGTGATGCCGGGAGCCCCGCCTGGGGGCAGGTTAGTCAGGTTAGTCAGGTTTACCTGCAGTCAGCGGCTGACTGGCAGCGAGATCAGGTGGAATTCCACGAACTTTGAAGGTGTCAACCGCCTTCCTGAACTCCCACCCGATTCGCCCAGGCTGCTGTAAATCCCGCGACAGGCGCCTGGCCGATTCTCGGGGTTAAGCGGCGTGGCCGATCGATCTCCGGATTAAGTTCTGCTTCATGATCAGGCCCATGACCTTAAAACCCAGCCTCCTTCCAGTGACAGAGTACATCTGTCATCAACAATCCCGCGCGATCTCGCCGCGCTGCTCACTGCTTCAAGTGCTCCCAGCATCATTGTGCGCTGCTCCCGCGCACCAGGCTCTTCGTGTCGCTGTATACACTTCTTGTCGACTTCACTCCATGGCCTCGGAGTCTGCCAATTCTTCATCGCAAGAGGAATCCCGCAACCGTCGTAGACCTTCATCCGCAATGCAAGGCGAAGAGGGCACTCCTTATGCCGCCCGTGCGGCTGCCGGCGCAGCTGCAGCCAGCAACTCTTTCTTCCCGCTCGGATATCGTGAGGGCTTCAGTCAATGGGTATGAGACTCCCTCGGTGCGCTTCAACTTGGTGCAATAGTACTCTGTGAGCCGAACGCTAATGATCAAATTCTATTCAGTGGGCTCGGATTCCTGCGGCAGCTGCGGAGCACAAAGTCTTGTCTTACTTGCCATATCTCCACCATGAACCTCCCACCCATTTGCAAACGGGAAATGTCGCAAGCTTTCCCAACGGGTCTACGCCGGACAGTCTGCAGACTGCAGATCATACACAACAAGGACGGATTTCGACCAACTCGTCCAACGACCCGTATGGGCCTCGTCGGTGGAGCTCCAGCATGGTCGAGCTGTCAGGGAAAGATCGGGCACTGAATGAGTTCTCCGTGGAACGCGTGGGTGAAGAAGCAGAGCAGCATTTGGTCATGCTGCACGGGTATGGTGCCGGTCTGGGTTTTTTCTACAAGAATTTTGAGCCTTTAAGCCGGTTGAAAGGATGGCAGCTTCATGCCCTGGACATGCTGGGTATGGGCCGTAGCACACGGCCGCCATTCAAGATCAAAGCCAAGGAAAGAGAGGAAGCAATTCGTGAGGCTGAGGCATGGTTCGTGGACGCTCTGGAAGAATGGCGGATCAAGCGCAAAATTGATCGCTTTACTTTGCTCGGCCACAGTCTTGGTGGATACATGGCGGTGGCATATGCGTTGAAATACCCGGGCCATCTCAATAAGCTCATCTTGGCGTCCCCCGTGGGTATTCCCGAGGATCCATACGCCGTGAGTTCGGATGTTACCGAACCATCCGAATCCACACTGGCGAGCGAGCTCACCCAGGATCAACAAGAGATTGCCTCTTCAGCCGCAGTGCCAGGATCCGCCCCGAAGACAACGGACGGCAGTTTCATCACTGGACGCAATCCTGAACCCAACGCCGAGGCAGCTAACCGTCCTCCACGCCGAAATATGCCCAAATGGTTTGCTTACCTGTGGGATGCGAACATCTCTCCCTTTAGTCTTGTCCGATGGTCTGGTCCATTGGGCCCACGCATTGTTTCCGGATGGACGTCGCGTCGATTTTCGCACCTGCCGTCGGACGAGGCGAAAGCACTCCACGACTACTCATACTCTATTTTCAGTCAACGCGGCAGCGGTGAATACGCCCTCGCATACATTCTCGCTCCGGGTGCCTTTGCTCGCAGTCCTCTGATCCGCCGCATCCATGGCGTGGGTCGCCAGATGATTGCAACCGACAACAGTCCCTTTTCTAATCCTGCCTCAACCACTTCCCCGAAATCCCTATTCCCAAAACTGTCATGCAATTCCTCTACGAACCCAGAAGTTACGGGCGAGTCCGCGCCAATTGACCCTCTTACCGATGCGCCTGCGCCTCGCCGCGAGAACGGTATTCCCATCGTCTTCATGTATGGAGACCATGATTGGATGGATGTTTCCGGGGGTCACGCCGCGGCTGCCCGTCTTGAAGAAGAGAAACAGCGAGTCTTAGCCAATGCATCTATTGATGAGCGAGAAAAGGACCAAGGCTCTTCAAAGGTCGTCGTCATCAGCCGGGCCGGCCATCACCTGTATCTTGACGGTTGGAAAGAGTTCAACAAGGTGGTTCTGGCTGAGATGGAGGAGGTCAGTCAACGTGAGAATGGAGCGTGATCTCCCAATATGTTACTTCAGGGAGTCACCGCCTACGAGCTACGAGTGTTTCGTTGTTGGAGCGTGCGAGCGTGATTTTCTTCAGGAGCAGGCGTGAGGTACACACCCATGTTCTCTTTACATTTTCCTTTTCTTGCTTTCTCGTCGCCTCGTGGGTGGTATTTCCGGTCATTTGCGGGACAGTGATTTCCGCCTTTCCGGTCTGCTACAATGTACTTACTGATCCCACTTAATATAGAATCTCACACGGGGGTTGAGTAAGGTCATAATCAAAATCGGTGCACACCTGTACCTGAATTGTACCTATCAAGTTTCTTTATGTATTCGCGAGTCACATAATTGCTTGTAGATGGAACTCATCGAACTCGGGTAATCGCTCTCTAAGGCGCAACAAAAGCCATACCTGGCGAGCACGAGTAGTTCCGGCAAAGAACATAGGATAGTGTGCGTCTGATGATGTGTTTAGTGTTTATAGTACAAATAGCAATAGGCAAAATGAGAACGATCACATCCATTCCATTATACATGGGCGGCTTAAACACCCCAGCCATGGCAGTACGCGTGTACAACTCGTCGTGCCGTTAGCAGCGGCTACTCACGAAAAGCATCATGCCCCATTAGTGACCACTCGCGAATGAGGGCCCGCAATACTTCGTCGGCGGTGCCTCACCCCCGTGGGATAGTGAGCCATCAGCCTCGTCAAGCCAAGAGACGAGGAATCGCGGTCTTCGCCGGACGGGTTTAATCCCGGCGTCGTGGCACCACTCCCACTTGAAGAAGATATGACCGAAGAAGGAGGCAGTTGATGGTCTCTGCGATCTATCTTCTGTAGGGCGAAGTAACCGTAAGGTCCCTGTCTCTCGCCTGCGCCATGGCTGGTTGGTAAGAAAGAGCTGGCTGCGTCCGCGGATCTCGACAGGTACGCCTCTGAACGGGAAAGGTCATGTGTAAAGGGCGTTCGTGCCGATGAAAGTGACGCTGAGAATGGTTGAGGAGTCATGAAAGGGCCAGCTCTCGATGCGGAAGGAGATAAAAACCGATTTACAGATTCTGGACGAGTGGACAGTGCTAGCGAGAGGAAATCGCCGGTGCGACGTTCTGACGTTGTGAGGGCCGATGTCGTGTGAGAACGATGGTGGTGGCGTGCGCCAGAATGAGAATGAGAGCGACGCGAAGAAGCAGACTGTGCGGGGTGCATGGCATGAAGACCCAAGCCACTGGCATGAGGGTAATAGTCCAGATTGGGCGGGCTATTGACTCCTGGGGCCGATCTCAGATGGTCTCCCAATCGAACCAGGTGCGATGGCAATTCGAGGCGATAATTCAATGACAGCCACGCCAGATCGTCAGCATCGAAACCCTCGGGCTCGAGTGCATGCTCCCCTTGCAGACTTTGAGTGGACGAGTTTGATGCTGAGTGGAAGCTCTTCTCTTGCGCTGAGGGTGCGGTTCGAGGCCTTGACGCTTGATCGGAGGGATATTGGTATGATCTCCAGCCGCCCACGCCTTCAAAGTCCCGTCGTTCATCGCCGCTGACGGGGAGACCAATGTAGGGTTCGCTGCTGCTAGGCAGGTGATGAGCCTCGATCATACTCTGCGCATACGACTTGACATCATGTTTTGTGCTTTCGTCATTTGTCTGAATAGCACCCACTCCCGGAGCAAGATGGTCATCGTGACTCCATCGCGACTGCATCAGACCATGTGCCGAGTTTCGTCGCGAATTTCCTGCGGCCGGTGTGACCGGCTCCGATGCAGCAAATGAGAGGAATGACGAGCTGGACAAAGGAAGCGTGAAGAAGCTCACTACAAATCCATAGATCACATCCAAGTACACCACGGAGAATCGCACAAAGAGGGTCGCAAGTGCGACCCACAGTGTCACCCAGGCCGACAATACCATTGGAATGGCAATCAGACCCAGGATGGGAAGCGCCACCAAGTTTGTGACTATGGCACCCATGATGGAGGGGATTCTTCAACCTTGACGTGGACGATTACATGTTTCCGCTGCGAGAGGGTTTTGTAAAAACAATTGAGCTGGAGAGTATCCTCCGAGGCCAAAACACAATCGATATGAAGAGAGCTTAATTGGCTGGGCTTTGGAGGCCAACGTGAATCCAAAATGAGTGAGGGGACAAGTCACTGAAAAAGCATGTGACAGAGAACCGATCAAAACGTGGAGAAACGGCAACTAAACTCAAGTTGGAGTAAGTTCAAAGCTGAGCTTGACAGCCCACTTACATCATCTGGACCCCACTGCGGACAAGCATCCATGATCACGGGAGTTACTAACGGAGTGAAATTCATTTTCAACATGCCTTTTCTATTTCACGTTTCCTGTCTTTCGTTATAATGCCGGCCAGTCCACCCTCTTCGGAGCTTCAAGACACCGATGCGTTCCCGTGGGATCTCGGCGTCTATGACGCACATTGTCATCCGACAGACACAATGGCGTCGATTGCGGATATAGCATCCATGAGCGCCAGAACTCTTACGATTATGGCCACACGAGGCCAAGATCAAGGGCTCGTGTATGACTCGACATTCACAGTGAATAAGCAGGCCGGCCATGCCAGTGAAGAGGATAAAGTGATACCAGCATTCGGCTGGCATCCATGGTTCTCATATCAGATCGTGGACGATAGCAGTGCTGCCAATCCCACAGGGAAAGATGCGCATTATTCAGCCGTCCTTGCGCCGTCGCCTGCCGAAGACGTTGAGTTTTTGAAGAATCTTCCAGAGCTCAAAATTCTCTCTGCACTGGTCGCCGAGACTCGGGACCGGTTGAGACAATTCCCACATGCACTGGTGGGCGAGGTGGGCTTGGACAAGTCCTTCCGATTACCCGGATCATGGACTCGAGAGGATCTCGAGGCTCGCGACGAGCAAATGACTCCGGGCTCACGAGAAGGGCGCCGTCTGTCCCCATATAAAGTCAAGCTGGATCACCAGCGACTAGTATTGAAAGCACAGCTACGCCTAGCGGGGGAGATGCAGCGTCCCGTCTCAGTGCATAGCGTACAATCTCATGGAGCGGTTTTCGAAGTATTACGAGAACTATGGAAGGGCCATGAACGGAAGACCATGTCTCGACGGGAACGCGCGAGACTGCAAGACGCCGAAGGAGCCCTTTCTGATGACGAGAGTCTCCCCGATGTCGAGCATCTCCAGGGAAATAAAGATGATCTTCAAGAGCAGCAAAGGTCCACCACTATGCGCAATACAGACAGTGCACAACCCTTACCCTTCCCGCCGCGCATCTGCATGCACTCCTACTCTGGCCCCGTGGAGCCCATCCGCCAGTTCTTGCATGAGTCGAACCCGTCCGACGTCTATTTTTCGTTCTCGGCCGTCATCAATTTCAGCGGCCTGTCATCCGCAAAGGCTCTGGATGTGATCAAGGCGTTGCCATCCGATCGTATATTGATCGAAAGTGATCTTCACATTGCGGGAAAGCGGATGGACAATCTATTGGAAGATGCAGCGCGGCAAATTTGTCGAGTACGCGGGTGGGAGCTGCGAGAGGGGGTGCAGCAACTCGCTGAAAATTATAAACGCTTTATCTATGGATAACATATATTTCCTCTTTCAACGATAGACATGAGTCCAGAATACTCGTGCCCGGAGGCTCCCACCTGGAGTCATGCCTCTTCTTGGCTGGGCCCTCAAAATTACCACCTCTTACTAATTACTACAGCACTGAGTGTATGTACTTCCTACCAGAAGCTTGACATCCGTAGGTTAATGTCAGAACAGTGAAGGAATAGACCTAGATTCGCCGATTCACGAGATCGACAATGATCTTCTTCGGCGGGCAAATACGTGGAATAGATAATCTTATTGGGTCTAACAGCAAGCCTCAAATATCATGATCTATGTCTAGCTGGAGGTGGGCTGAGGAGAATACACGATTTCGAGTTCAGACGTGCCAACACCTGCTCCCTCTTCGATTACCCCCGCATAAATCACCCTTTGTATGTTCGTCCCTTCGTGAGGCTAATATTCATGTTGTAAAAAGAAAGTTGTCAAGCCGGGCGTATCAGAGCCGACATACATTCAGAAAGGGGCGGAATTTGCAATGCCGTAGATGCAATAGATGGCAAATAATTGCGTGCCCTGAAAAAGGGGAAGAAATGACCTATACGCCATGCATCCAGCCACCGTCTGGCATGAGGTCTGTTAGGGGAGCGTCTTGCCAGTATATCTGACGCCACTCGTCCTCGAGTTCCATGAGACCATCCATTGCCATGGGGACAGGCAGGTCGGCATCTGTAAAGGAGAAAAGTTGACGCCAATCTGGATAGTCGCGAGATTGATCCATCTGGTCAATCTGCATCGCAGTCGAGTAGGGATCATTTCGCTCCAGAGGTCCCACATTGAGCCGCAGGGGAGCTGTGATCCAATTCTCGAATCCGGGATTCGCCTGAGGTGACATTGTGGTCTGCTGTGACCGTGTAGAATCCGGAGTACCGACACTGTAAGACAGCTGTCGAGAATGATGCATAGAAGATGCCGACGCAGGAGAGGTGACTTGCAAAACTTTGATCGGTGGGTGAGGATGAGAATGAGAATGAGGAGGATGAGGCGCCGCAGGTGGTCGAGCGAGTGGAGGCGGAGCCGTTGAGTGTGATTGAGCTGCAGCATATGGTTTTGAACCACCGGCGGTTGCTAAGCGGAGATCTTCCTTGAGTCGTTTTGAGTCCTCGAAGAGACGGAGGATTGTGCCTGCATGAACCCAGTACTCTGCCAATTCACGCAGACTGAAGGACGCTGAATCGAAGCGTCGTAGAGCGTTGATTGCCAGTACAGGATTCGAGAACCGAAGCTCTACCCGGACTTGGATCATCGCAGTGAACAATGTGTGAACGCCTGTGTACCAAAGGAATCTTAAACGATCGTGTAATCTCAGCTCCTCGAAGATGGAGGCGATGACGCTGGCAGCCGCACTACAAATCTCGGCGTCGTGTGGCCCATAGTCATCTGAGTATGCAGATGCCCTTGGGTGGGGCCGATGAAGTAGAATCAGGAAATTGTTGTAGGTCAAATGAAGCATAGCCGACCAGGGATCCATGTCGGACGCTCGCAAGCGCATATTATCGGGCAGCTTCAGAGACCAATTTGCAAGCGACTCGTCAGCTTCTTGGAGAACAGCTTTCCGACGTTCTTCTGTAGCTCGAAGGCCAAATCGGTCTCTGATAAGATACGAGATCATCGTGCAAAGCTCAGTGAAGTGAATAACGAAATCTGACTGGACGTTGGGGCCACAGTTCTCAAAATCAGCGAGTGTCAAGGGTGAGACATCCGAGTCGTCCAGGTTACTGCAAATCATGTGAGTATTTGTGCCTTTTGAAATGAGGATGACAGCAATCACATACATTGCCTGGGGTCGTCCATATGAAAGTGACACAAGCACATCATATTGGACGATAATGAACCAGAGGCGTCTCCACATTCGCCGGTCACGGGTGACAAAACTGCTCGAAACTGGATTGCGGTGCATGCCGAGACCAGTCGCAATGCGTGCGGCCACGCCGACCCAGAAGTGAGCATCCCCGGCAACATCGTCATCGGCTCTATCCGAGTGCCATGTCAATAGCAGAGCCACCTGAACGAGGATATCACGATTCCGCTCAATGCGATTATCGAAAAGATACTTGGTGCGGCGGAAGAAGATCTCTTTCAAAGTGTCGCGCTCTGACTTGGGACGAGACACATGCGTACCCACCAGAAGGATGGCTTGAAGCAAAAGTATTGGCGGGGGGTCAGCGGGATCCCGATTGCGGTATTGTGTCATGAACAGATCCTCGTCGACAATTGGATATCCAGGATTGACGTAGGTGAAGTACGCTTGTACCAGCTGATCAGCTAGTGCAGGCTCAGGGAGAGTGAGCGCGTCCATCAAGAGCTGATCATGGCCCGTTTTCATTTGTCGCCGAGGAATCTCATTGCTTGCAAAGTGGTACACATTGTCGGCTTGGTCGCGCTGCTGGCGAATCAAGAACGACATATTGGAGTGTTCATGGCCAATGTAGAACGCGCGCACTCCTCTTTGAATCTCTCGTCGACCGGATTCCTCTTCGTCTATGAGTTTGACCAGGTGCTGTTCCATTTCGGAATGAGCCTCATGAGCATGCGACAGGTCTGGACCATGACGCCCAAACGAATTGGAGTCAGAATTGGATTGGAAGTCATGAGGCTGATTGTTCGCGAGAGTCGCGTTTGCAGGATCTGTACCGAACGTCGTTGCAAAGCTAGTAGGAAGGGGCGTCCCAGCTGTTGTGGGCGGATTGACGGCATTCTCTGAGGTCGGTAAAGGCCGAGATCGGATGGGAACAGGATCCAGAATCGACCTTACAGCCAGTCTTTTTTTCTTCTCATGGATGCGACAGTCGTTCTTTCCGGAAGAGCGACAGTTTGTGCAAGGAAGACCGACTACACGGGCATCGCAGCGAACTTTACGACGGTGGCAATGGACACAAGCAGCCGAGCCTACGAGCAGCCAAAATCATCATCGATTAGTACGAACACCTTGTAATGACTCGGGAACCTCTTTCGCACCACCAAGTTGAGCCTCATAAGGGCCACATTCGCCGCGCGTACGAGACGGCACTTTCATGACAGTTGTTGAGCCATGAAGACCTGGTTGCCGGCAGGACTTGAGACTTACCTTGTTTGCGCTTGCTCACCCCATCGGCCGTGAGCGGCGGGGAGGGATTATCGTTGGCGGTAGACATGGCAGAAGGGCCATCCACATCGTTTCATGCGCTGATCGGCCACTGTGCTGCATTATTTTTCAGGAGCAGTTACTGCCGAGCGATTCAAGGCATTTTGTTTCAGGCGAATAACGGTCTCAAGGAGGGGAAGGCTGAGATCTGCGACTACGGAGCGAAAAAAGTTCGGGAAGTTGAGGGCTGCGGGATCGGGTCCGAGTCTCTCTCACTGTGGTGGAGTTCGTTCCACAGGCAGGCGTCGCAGTGGTTCGGAGGAGATTATGTAAATCAGATCGTCCCGCCGACCCCAGCAGTGGGGCTACTTCAGACTTCGGGGTCGAGTCTATCTGAATTAAGGTAGTCCAGTCCACAAGCTGATAGTAGTGTCTGAGCAGTGGTCTCTGTGGTTCCTCGGGGGAAACATTTTCGAGTCATTGTCGGGGTCCGTGGGAAGCTACCAAGTACCGCGATCTGTTCTGTTACATGCGACGCCTAAAGCGGTCAGTTACAAAAAAACGGACACCTTGAGTTATGTAGTCAAACTTCACTGAGCGACAGTGGGTTGGTCGAGTCAAAGAGATGAGATAGATTGAGCTAGATATTGACTTTGCAACCGCACGCAGATCGAATCAAACCAAGCCGCCTCTGATAGTAGTACTCCAGCCAGGACTATCATGTTCAAGCGCTGTCAGGTTAGTAGATCTACATACCGGCTAGAGGCGTTCCGAAGCAGTATGAGGGCCATCTAAAGCTACGGTTTTTGGAGTCGCCAGCCTCTCACGTTAAGGTCCTGCAGTCAAGGTCTCAAAGTCTCAGGTACTATGGCAAGGACAGCAGGGAGTGCATCGCTTGCTGGCAAAGGACTCACGGTTCATATTCGCCTTCACGGCGTTGCAGTCGGAAGCGACCTGTAAGTGGGAACCGCAACCGATATCTTTCGTAACGGACAACCCACGACGAGGAAATTCTAAAGGGAGTCCCACTGCTCAGTGCTCCCTTCCAAGGCGGGCTGTTCCTTGATGTCTCAACTGAACGCCCATGTTTCCCTCGGGGCTCACGTCAATAGAGGCACAATGTCATGTCACCTGCCCTCGAAAGGCCCCACGTTCATCACCTGACGCTGTAAACACAAGGCAGGCGGATACATGTCATTTGCAGCTTGCGCAAACATTGAACAGCACTTGACCAGGAAAGTAAGTTTGACACAAGACCCTATATACGCTCCGGACGTGCAACGTCCCGTGATCTGGTCGTCTGAGTCATCAACGCGTGGTATTCAAGACAAATATCGCTTCAGCTATCGATTCTCGACACGATTTGATGTCGAGACAGGCAGAAATGGTTGTCTCTAATAAGCATCTCCACCAGCGCCGTTGTGAGGCTGTCCAACGATAGCGGAGTACCCATATGCCTCTTGGTCGGTCGGGTCCAAATTGGGGTTCAGGATTTGGTTCGCTCCCTCGGCGCCCTCTGGAAACCCACCGGGGCGAGGCTGACCGGCGCCACCAACCTGACCACCAGCACCAAATCCACTGCTCTCCGGGCGGCCCTGATTCTCATTTCGCGTGGTTTGAGTCTGTGACTGGATTAGTGGAACAGCAGACATGCAGGTCGTTTCGGACAACATGACTCACTTCACGGTACTTTGAGAGATAAATTTTCAGGGCCTCCGCATAGTTCTCGAAACCTAGGGAGGTCATGGCGAACAGAATGTCCTCGCCGTTGACAGTCTTCCGCTTCTCTTGCTGGCACTTCTCCGATGCTGGTAGCCTCATATGTTAGCGCAGATACCCGACGCTTGCACGATCGTGGTCAAGCCGCAACTCACCCTCGCTGGTGATGAACGAGATGAACTCGCTCACACACTCCTGCATGCATTCCTTGGCTTCCTTGGCGATCTTGGCATTCTCAGGGAGCGCAAGTTTCATGATGCGAGCCACTATTCAGAGATAATGATTAGCACGGGGTCTGTTATTCGAACATGACGGTGAGGTCGCGAGATCGATAGTGTGGATCTCAGTGAACGAGAGACACGACAGCGGCCATGCAGCTTCCGCGATCCTTGCCGTTGAAGATGGACAGATTGGACATTCTGGACCATGCAAGTCTCTTTCCGGAGGTAAATAGAGGTAAATAGAGTCCATGTCGACCTCAAATCGACCTCGCCCTTGAGAATAAGGCGCGCCTTACGCCCAAGGCAAGACGAGAGCGATGCAGTTCCCACAGCTTTGTCGATATTACATATGGCCATGTCACTCGATCACGTAGCGGCGGAAGCCAACTGGTGGCATTGTTGATGACCAACCGCTCTCCACAGAGGGCTGGCTATCAGCCGAATGGTCGGGGCGAACACGCTATGTCGACGGCAATGAGAAGCTGCAAGGAGAGACAAAATGAACTTACCATTTGCAATTGGCAGCCAGCGATCTTGTTCCTTCACCTCAAACTCACCCTGGCCCTGACCTGGACCATCCTGTTGCTCTTTGTCCATGTGCTCTTGTTCGTCGCCAGAGTGTGCACCTGCTTCCTCATGCTCCTTGGGAGAATGCGACTGTGATTCAGACATGATTATGACTCTTTTGAACCTGCTCACGGGCTCCTTAGGCGCCGGTCCTGCTGTTCGCTCTGCTGTCGACACCCACGTCAGCTTAGAACATCAGGTTGGGCCTATTGTTTCCAAGCCAGCCTTGGCCGAGGTCCTTTCGAGCACTTTCGTATCATTGGTTGACCACGTACCGCTTCACAATAGCCCCAGAGAGCGCGTTGTTCAAAGCACACACAGGTCGTGCGGATGAACCTCCAGTACCCGCTTGTACTTGCAATGCGAACGCAACTGCAATCAATTAGCGCGACTGGATATGGGTGGAACTTGTCTCAAAGGTTCAGTGCTCAAAGCCAATCAGCAACTACTGCATGTCGCAAATCTCTCTACACAAGAGGACAATATACGACCGAGGTGCGATGTAATGCAATGGAGTTAGCTTGTGAGCTCTGAACCGAACGAGCTCGGTGACGCCGCGACGCGGGAGACAACGCGGGCGGGTGGGTCAAGCCTTGGGGGGGTGGCTCGTGAGCCCAAGAAGACTCATGTTGTACCACATGGTAAGGCTCACACGCTGTTGAAGGGGATTGGGCATACCTTCTGATGGAGAGTGAAACCGGTGTTCGTGATGTTATTGGGTATCGACGATTGTTATTCCTGATTCGCCTGTATCAAGTACAAACAAGGGTCAGGGCGCTGCGGTGGTTGGGAGAAGACTCGGGAGGGTCCTTTCACGTCCGGAGGGCCGAATGGACGAACCAGAACTCTTTCCGGTTGAAGGCGGTGGTTGGCCATTGTACAATGTACATACCTTAGAGAGATGGAAAGGTAAGAAGTTACCGAACAAATCAGGATGCGGAGGCCCACAAGAGAGGTTGTTGCAAGTTGGGGGTGGAACCAAATCCAAAGGAATGCCAAATTGCCTTGACAGGAGAACTGAAGAGATGAGGAGTTGACAATGACAATGACAGCGTCTGGACCTAAAGAGGGCGTGAGGCGGGCCTGACCCGCCCCGAGTAACGATCAAGTCTGGCGGCCTCAGGTGTCACACTTAGTGCCTCAGGCTTTACATGCGCTCATATACTCACGAGTCACGAGTGTCACCACATCTTAGTACTGCTACAGCAAGACTCCGACATCTACTCCTACTATTCTTCAAACTAAATTTACCAAAGACCACTAGACGTTGTCCATGAGGCCTTCTAGCTAATTTCCACAATTACCTGCTGTGGTTTCAATGCAGCTATCAGACTCAAAGATTTACAACAATAGTGAGGGTGCAACAACGGGCCCGGGCTTCTTACAGAGTGTCCCTGGACAATATGTTTGAATGAATGTAGGAAAGTAGTTGGGTCGGTACCTAATCTATGACTAGGAGGAAAGCGTTTTATACACGCATTTAGCATCTTGAGGAGGCACTAGTGAGCAAAGCCAGAGCTGCTAGAGGCGTGAGGATACACTTTTCTGTCATACAGGCATCAAAGTATGTTCGACTTAGGAGTTCCTACCTGTATGAGGGGTGGGTATATCTTGTAATAATAATGTCAATTTCCGATTGCTCGATATGAAGAGATCAGCGGTTTCAGAAGAGCTCCGAGAATGGAAGAAGATGCTCGACTCTCATGGCGGCTCTGACTGGTCGACCAGTGTTTCCAATTTCCAGAAGACTAGTATTTGCATACTCCAGTCAAGCTGATGAAGACGAATCATCCATCTCAATCTTCTTTGAAAGATTGAGACTTGCACGATTGTGACATTGGAAATGTAAAGACATGAAGGAGAACAAAGCTGGTGCATGAGTCATTTCAGTGAATTTCATTTAAACCACTAACGAAGCTGGTTGTACTTCATATCCAAGCTCTTTCCCACTGGAACGCCGTGTGCATATCTCCCAGAGTATGGCCTCATACTTTGCCGTCATTTTCTAGGGAGGGTTTTGAGATTCAAACATGCCGCCTAAGGCTGTACAACCTGAATGTTGTTCTTTTTCTGTTCGATGAAAAAGGCAGCCGTTAGCACATTATTCTATGAAGAGTCCACACACACTACATCCTGCCAGTGTTGTTTGGCATGTTGAAGACTCACCTTCCAGTTGTCCAACTCGTTCTGTTTGTTCTTATATTGCTTTAGCATGTCGTCCAGCACCTGCTTCAAGCCATCGGAGTTGGTCTTCAGTGCTGGCAGGACGTCCTGGACAGTACGCTCGACGAGGACACCATTGACCATGCGGAAGCACTTGCGGTCGGACGGGAGAGGGTTTAGCGTCTCAATGACAAGCCTAGGAATAAGGTGCATCAGTATAACTCAAAGGAAAAGTAGCCCGCTGCGATCGTGGCCCGCTTGACGCTAAAGGGGCACAGGAGAAAGCCAGCGCGGTAAAGTCTTTTGTGATCCGGAAGCTGAGCAACTGGAGGGAAAGAGACTGCATACTTATGTTCCTCAGCTTCCTGCTCGATATCCCCAATCTTTGACGCTAATTGTTGTAGCGTGTTCTTGAAGTTGGTGTATTGAAGCTGGAGCTCTGGAGAAAGAGAAGTAAGGGTCAGCTCGTATCACTCTTGACTGATAAAAACCATATGAAGTAATGCATACCTTGCTGCTTCTTCGGATCTATTTGCTGTTGACTAGACATTATTGCGATTGGTGCGGCGTATGCATGCACTTCAGGAAAAGAGAAGCTCGAAAGTTGCGATAACGATGCGGGGCGATTGTTGGTCAAGATTCCGCGGCTCGGCAATCATGGCATGCGGATGTCAGTGTCACACCGTCTACTTTTCCTCGATTTACAGAAAGATTAGCTGAAACATTTTTGATGTCTTCCTTGAAGACTTTATTCTTTTGTCATAAATTGTTGAATACCTTGACCACAGCAGCACAAGGCTCGAGGTCTTAAAAGTACTTACTCAAGGATGATGGTCATGTGACTGATAAGAGAATGTTTGTCCTGTTTGACTCGAGTTTCGAGGGCAATTAAGATGCGGCGCATTCAATCAAGCTCCGATAAAGACCGTCCGAGGCTTTTGGTAACCCCAGCGCTGACATTCAGATATATCGGAATCGTTCGACATGGATCGCAATGGATTTAGTCATGGTGTTCCGCCGGCCAAGCGACAAAGGACAGGCCACTCCTCATATGATCAAGATCAGATGTGGCATCGCGAACAGCTTGTCAAGTCTGGCCTTGCCCAGCAAACTGGTGTTCAGCATGCACATTACCTCGCGGAAGATCAAGAAGATACACGAGTGCATCTGAGCGTACACGAGCTGCGGCCTCCTTTCCTCGATGGCCGAACGATTTTCACCACGCAGCTGGACCCGATCTCCGCTGTTCGCGATCCCCAAAGTGATATGGCAGTCTTCAGTCGCAAGGGAAGCAAGGTTGTTCGGGAACGTCGACAACAAAGGGAACGCCAAAAACAGGCACAGGATGCGACCACAATGGCGGGCACAACGCTAGGAAACATCATGGGCGTCAAAGACGAGGAGGAAGGTGACAGTGCAGTAGCCGCTCCAGTTGAGGAAGTCTACAAGCGCGGAGGGAACAAATTCGCCCAGCATCTCAAGAAAGAAGGGGCTGGTTCAAGTGCATTCAGCAATAGCAAGACATTACGCGAACAAAGAGAATACTTGCCCGCCTTTGCTGTTCGCGAAGATCTGCTGCGCGTCATCCGGGACAATCAGGTTACCATCGTCGTCGGAGAGACCGGTTCAGGAAAAACGACTCAATTGACTCAGTTCCTTCATGAAGATGGCTACTCTGAACTCGGTATGATTGGCTGCACGCAGCCACGTCGTGTCGCAGCGATGAGCGTCGCAAAGCGGGTTAGTGAAGAGATGGAAGTTGAGCTCGGTGACCTCGTTGGATACGCTATTCGATTCGAGGATTGCACTAGTGATAAGACGGTCATTAAATGTGAGTGTTTATAACTCTCATGCGCAGGATTAGGGAAACGGGGCGCGTGTCTATCAGAACACATCTAACAATTATCTTTTTAGATATGACGGATGGTGTGCTGCTTCGAGAGTCTCTGGCCCAAGGCGATTTGGATAAATACTCATGCATTATTATGGACGAAGCTCACGAGCGAGGATTGAATACAGACGTGCTCATGGGACTTTTGAAAAAGGTTCTTGCACGGCGCAGGGACCTGAAATTGATTGTCACGTCGGCCACAATGAACGCAGACCGTTTCTCTCGCTTTTTCGGCGGAGCTCCTGAATTTATCATCCCCGGCAGAACGTTCCCTGTGGATGTTCATTTCTCCCGATCGCCCTGTGAAGACTATGTCGACAGCGCCGTCAAGCAGGTTCTGACTATCCATGTATCACAAGGACCAGGTGACATACTCGTCTTCATGACCGGACAAGAAGACATCGAGGCAACCTGTGAGCTTGTTGAGGAGCGACTGAAGCTACTGAACGATCCTCCGAAGTTGAGTATATTGCCCATATACAGTCAGTTGCCGGCAGAGCAACAAGCGAAGGTTTTCGAAAAAGCCGACAAGGGAGTCCGAAAGGTGATAGTAGCCACCAACATTGCGGAGACCAGTCTGACTATCGATGGAATCATGTATGTTGTCGACCCGGGCTACTCGAAGCTCAAGACATACAACCCCAAAATGGGCATGGACAGCCTCCAGATCACACCAATCTCTCAAGCAAACGCCAACCAACGGTCCGGCCGTGCTGGACGCACAGGTCCTGGAAAGGCGTACCGCTTGTACACCGAGACAGCCTACAAGAACGAACTCTACATACAGACGATTCCCGAAATTCAGCGTACGAGTCTGGCCAATACTGTGCTTCTCCTTAAATCCCTCGGCGTCAAGGACCTCCTCGAGTTCGACTTCATGGACCCGCCATCACAGGAGGTGATGTCCACCTCATTGTTCGAATTATGGGCTCTTGGGGCACTGGATAACCTAGGAGAACTGACACAACTTGGTCGTCGCATGACCCCGTTCCCAGCTGATCCAGCCCTGGCCAAACTTATCATCATGGCGGCAGAAGTTTACGGTTGCAGCGAGGAGATGCTCACCATCGTCTCCATGCTGACAGTACCGCACGTGTTCTACCGACCGCGCGAGCGCGAGGAAGAAGCCGACTCTGCTCACGAAAAGTTCTACGTGCATGAATCGGACCATCTGACACTACTCCATGTCTACACACAATGGAAGGCGAACGGCTGTTCCGACCGCTGGTGCACCCGCCACTTCCTCCACTCCAAGAACCTGCGCCAGGCCAGGGAGGTCCGAGATCAATTTCAAGACATCATGACTCAACAAAAGATGCCCCTTGTGAGTTGCGGTACCGACTGGGATGTGATTCGGAAATGTATCTGCTCAGGCTTCTACCATCAAGCCGCGCGTCGCGGTGGAGGTAGTGGCTCTGAGAAAGAATATCTCAACCTCCGCACCAGTGTGTCGATGTACCTGTCGAGATCCAGTGCATTGTCTGGCCTGGCTGATGCCCCGCCATTTGTTGTCTATCACGAGTTGAGGCTTACCGCCCGAGAGTACATGTCCGTTGTGACAGCTGTTGATCCCGAGGTACGTGCCATGCATTTCCACCAAACCCTGGAGCTTTCGACCCAAACGAAAACTGACAATTGTGTTCAAAAACCCCCCTAGTGGCTTGCCGATCTCGGAGGAGTCTTCTACTCGATGAAAGAAAAGGGATACTCGCAACGCGATCGCCGCACCAAGGAGCGGGAAATCAACAAAAGCATGCAGATCCAACAAGAAATGGCCGATGCGCGTGTCATGGCTGCCAAGGCCAAAGAAGCCGAAAAGGACCTCGACTCTGCGCGACGCAGGAATGAAATCGAAGTTGGCGGAGCACGATCTGCTGTGCGCCGGCCGGTGGTTGTTCCAGGTGGGAAGAGGCCAGTTGGTGGTGTGAGCGGGTCGTCTTCTCCGTCTCTTCGGCCTGGCGCTGGGTTCGGTGGCTCTACAGGCAGTGTTGTGAAGAAGCCGATTGGAAGGCGGCGTCCTGGACAATTCTAATCCAAGATCTTGCGCTCTGTCTGTTTGGCGCATACTTGGGTCTTCATGTACACAGCATTGGACATGTATCTCTCTAGCAGCAGCACTGCCCCATATCGCTGCGATGAACATACTTGAACAAGATACCCCCATCAATTACAATTTTGCAATACGACGCATGGACCTTGCACGTGCTAGGAGATTCTCGACTTATGCATGACTGTCTTGCATAGTGGTTTGGGTATTCTGTACATGATTGATCTGTGGCAGCTTCCAATGTCTGACGATTGCGAGACCTGATCTACTACTACTACCTTGCTCCTGGAGTGTTTCTCCGAAAGTGATAAAGTTCGCCAGCCAAAGTAATCGTTCTCAGAGCCTCGGCATTCCAATTGCCCCTCCACCAAACGGACCAGCGCCAGATAGGGCGAAGGAGCAAGCTTGTCTCAAAACAAATTTTCTAATGACAGTAGCAAGCGATTTAGTTGATGAAGTTGACGCAGAAGAAGTGTAGGATCAAGCTTCCGAAAATGTAATCGGCAAAGGCCCTAATTCCCACCAACAGGTTAGCATCGAGCGTGGACAAGTAGATTTGAATAAGTATGAGACCGTCGACAGAAAGGGTTGAAAAAAGTAGAACGCGGAGATGGAAACACCAACCTTTCGTGCGAGATGCCAGAGCCCTGTCCCTCATTGTCTTCATTTGCGAATCGGGCATTTTTCCCCTTGGAGCTGGGCTTACTAGACAGGGTTGACCCGCTGTCACTTGTTTGCATTCGGAGACTGGCTGTGAGCACGAACTGGCCCACGGCTGCGCTGAAGCCACTCAGGAAAGCGTTGAAGGGCTGCATCGAGGAGATTGATTAGCGCGGGGACTTTCATACGCTTCCTGGGGACAGAGCCTCCCCCCTCCAACTCTCCATGCAGCAAGATGGGAACGAGGCATTGAGATCATAGCCCCAGCGTGGGACCTTGGCTCCTATATGACCCGAATCTCAGAGTAAAAATCAAGAGCGAAACAGAACGTACATAGTTTCCAGCCAGAACGCAGTACAAGAACTGCAGGCCGCCGACTAGGACGAGAAAGGCCATGAACGCATCCAAGAGTAATGTACGTTGGGGGGTCGTCGCCACATATTGTTCCCAGACATTCTGGGCAATGGCCACTGCTGAGGCATTGGTCTTCAATGTGGTCGGGCCAGAGGAGAGCGTTGCGGGCGTAACGGGTACGGCCGCGGAGGTGTTAGTTGAGGCCGCGTGTCGTTTGGCAGGCATGGTTGGGATGATTGGGCTTTGAGTGGACACGATTCCGGGGGTGAAGGGGGAAAAAGAGCTTTTGAAAAGATGAAGGGGTGTTGCTGTCAGAAAAGCAATATTTTCGATATGCTCTTAAGCCGAGAGAATGTGGTCGAGAAAGGTCAATGGGCATGAGGAATCGACAAATAAACGGGATGGTCGTAGATACGATGCCACTTGCGAGCTGCGGTTCCCCCGGGCTTCGCTATCGCTATCGGATGAGTCACGTGATACATAACCTCTGATTGGAAGAGGCCCCAAGTATACCAAGTTGCTCTTTCTGGTTTTGTTGTTGACAGTTAATGAATATTGCTAGGATAACACAGAGCGCTAAGGTTTTTCCCTATTGAGCCCAGTCAATGCCCGGAGAGTGCTTCTAGGAGCAGCATAGCACGCGGTCATGGAGAGTTAACCAGCTGACAGCGAGTCATTGAGAAAAATCTACTCCTACTAACTCACCAGAGCGGAGCAAAGCAAATAGTGTACCGTCAGTGGTCACAGCAAAAAGCGGATCTATTCATCCATTCAAGTACTGGCACATAGTTGGGAATCTCTCATTTGAGAACCGAAAACATCGCGACAAAAAGGCTAACATAAGTCATCTCAAGCTCGAAAGTCGATCACCCCTAGGGAGGTACTACCGTACACCGTCTCACTTCCACTGTCCCGCATTTTCCACACCCCCAGCAACCTTCTTCGTCCCATCCTCAATTCCAGTCCCCGCACTTCCAATCGCATCTCCAACCGGCTGCCCAGCACTCCCCGTTGCACTGGTGATGGTATCGCCGACTCCGCGCGCCGCGGCACCAGTCACGCCGCCCGCTGTGCGGGCGACTCCTCCGACGGTGTTGCCTAGGGTGGAAGTGACGAATTTGGCGGCGCCGGTGACGCCGCTGTCTTGGGAGGAGGTGTTGATGGGCATGATGAGGATATATTTGATGGTATTTGGTCGGGTATGCTTGGTTTGAATGAAGGTAGAAGTTCCGAGAGGAATTTGAGGTGGAGGTTGGCAGAAGCTTTTTTGTTGTCAGGTGTTCCAAGACAGAGTTTTGATAGATAATGGTATCTGGAGAGTCTACTAGACTGTTGGTTGTCCGAAAGTCTTGAATTAAAGAATATGGACTCGTCGGGTCAATTCGAGTTTATGATAAACAATCGTGCCTTCAATATTACGATGGTTGACCGAGGCATTCTTATACGGAAGATCAAGATGGATGGGTTGAAAAAGAGCAATGATGTCATCGTTGGCCTCTGCCCGTCCGCCATGTTGCACGTGATGGGGTGGCTGTACACCTGGATGATCCCTAATTTATTTGACATTGTGGCGCTGTGGCGCAAGTGTTGTGACTGGATCATTGTGATGATCACTTGAATGTTGGGGGGGTGATATGTTGGTGTCCCAACTAGGCGGGAGGATACTCTCGTCGAAGTGAGTGGATAGCGGTAGTGATGCAGATTTCTCGTGGGCTGAATGTGTGCTACGATAGGCCCATCGGAGTGACAATTCAACGCGATACGGGTATGATAGCACCGTAACGCACGACGCATCCAGACGTTAACAATTCGTAGATAGCCCGATTTTCCGGCTGCTTATGCTCCTGATTAGTATTAACCTGATAAGCTGGGTGTCCTACGTACTACACCGAGTCAGCTAAGAACGTCCCAGAGTACCTCGAGTGTAGCCGTCTAGTGGGTGAAGGTAGCAGCCAGGTCTGCTTACCTCTTGCACGCATTTTATGTTGATGTCGAAAGGGGAGATGAATTCGTATATAGTATACAAACATAGAGTGGAGAGACAGATGAGAAAGCATATCTGCATGCGGCTCGAGGGCCATCCAGTATGATCACGTGGGGAGAAGTTCATAACGTCGTATGCGTGGTCGTTCAGATGAGAGTATTGAAGGGGTATGGTCTCGTACACTTCTCACTAAGATGAAAGGCAAGATGCCATGAGGTCGGAAAAACGCACGGATATCATCGTACGTGCGGGGAGAGAAGAGGAGAAAGAGGAGAGAACAAAAGTTATTATGCAAACCATGTCGAAACGTGGGTTCCTTTGCCCAAGTCAACAAGACCTTCGTTTTCAACATCCAGCTGAAAGTCGCGCATGACCTGATCCCACTCATCCCAGTTCGAATTGGTTGTCGGGGGTATTTCGATCTGGGTTGTGAGATCATGGTCATTCTTGCCATTGCTGTTGCCGTTGCCACTGCCACTGGTGTTGTTATAGCCAGTGTTAAAGCCATCATTGCTGCTGCCGTTATTGACTGTGGGCGTGGTGAAGGACAGATTGGCCGGTGCGTCAACGCCCGCAAAAGACCCCCGCAGAAGCGGATCCTCAAGGTCCACCGGTGCCAGAATGTTGGTATCCGGAAAGATACTTTGCAGGGTCTCCCAAGGTCCCTGGCTTAGATCAACGTTGATATCCGCTTCGTTCAGGGCTGACTGGCTGTCGGAAGAAGGAACTGACGCCGGTACCGATGTGGACTCGGGCATGTGAATTTGTGGTAGACTATGACGATGCATTCTCAGGTAGTCGTTCGGATCAGCAAAGAACGGTGGTTGTTGTGGGCCGAACTTGGCAAACAGCTCGTGTTGCTGTTTTGCTCGAATTGCTGTCGCTCGTTTCATCAACGCAGCAAGTGGACGCCAGAGCATCCCCTTCTTATGCGTCGCTTGACGTGACCATTCAAGGTATATGCCTTGAACGGCATTCCAGGCTCGGTCGGTTACCGGGCAGATAGGCCGCACGCAAACCTCGGAGAGGACGAATGCGATGCCATACCATTGCATATTGGTCCGATACATCCAGCCCCATTTAGCGGTTCTGGGATCGGTCTCCAACAAGCGACCGAATTCCAAGACTTCAATCGCAGTCAAGAAGAGACTTTCTCGGGTCGCCTGGGAGACATTGGCCGCGCGGCGTTTCCCACTGGTCATCGGGTGATGGATGGACAGCCACAGCTTCGCAAGAACAAGGCGCGCTACCGTTGCTATTGCCCACTGTATGGGGATTTTCATATCACAATGCTTGACGTAGCGTTGCTCAATGCGGTCTGAGATGATCCGAATCATTCGCTCGCAGCGTTGCATTCCGGCGCCACCATCAACAGGACCGATTGCCCCTTTGTCAGGGTAGCCGTAGTTAGCCCGGCGCAATGCGCAAGCAATTTCGCAGCGGACGAGGCAAAATGTCACATCAGTCACACCTTCGCGTTCTTTTGGAGGCTCTGTGGCCTCTGGAGTGATATCGTCGTCATTGATATTGAGCGGAAGTCGGGTATCGTACATGGACTCGTTAATTTGCGAATCTGTTCCGTGATCATCGGACGATCGAGCATCTAACAGACAGATATGCCACCAGAGACGTCGTCGCATCTCTGTTTCAAATGGCTTCAATGCAAAGTTGGTTCCATCGCGGTGTAGGCCCAGACCTTGCGCCAGTCGCACGATGACTGCTGTCATGGACCAAACGAACTTGGAGTCATCTTCCCGCCGAATGCAGATAAGGAAGAGAACCGCAGCTTGGATGAGAACGAGGCTCTGGGTGTTGAGCATTCCAGCTCGCGACAAGGCTTGCTCTACCGCGAATCGATATTGTTTGATCAGTGTGGCACGCTCTTCGCCAAAACGAGACAAACATTGTTCCGCCGTCAAGCTGATGATCGCGGACAAGTATATCGCGAAGACGAGCGCTTCGTTGTTCTTGTCCAGAGAGTCTGGATTTTGCGCGGCTTCGATCAGTAGGTTCCTGGCCGTCCCCAAGTGCACAATCGTGACCAGAGGCGCCACATTTTCTCGGTATACCTCCCAGTACAGTGAGACCCGGGGAAAGAGGGGGTGAAATTCCCGGAGTGAATGTGAGAGGGTGTAGTAACCAAATAAGAAGCCATCATGGGAGCCAGAATGGGAGGAATGAGGAGATGGGTAGTCTTCTTCTTCGGAGGATGAGTGATCTAAGATATCCTGCAGCTCTTCGATCTGTACAAGACACCGAATAAGAAAGCATCAGTGGTCCAGACATTCCGAAGTAGTTCAATTAATTTTGTGGAAGGTCCTCTTGAGACATACCTCGTCTCCCAAGCTGGCCCACAGCCGATTGCTCACATATCGACTCTTGCCTTCGTCGATCACCAGTCTTCCAAATTCATTCTCAAAGTTCTTCGGCACCGGCGCCTTTGGGTCATTCTCAAACGGGCACCCGGAATTGGAGGCAGTGGTTGGTTCCGGGCTGGCAGTGATAGCCGACGAGATGGACGCCCGCGCTGGAGCTGGAGCTGGAGCTGAAGCTGAAACAAGCGTGGCCGGGGCCGGGGCCGTGGCGAAGGACACCGGCGCTTGATCTGCGGCAATTTGAGTCGGAGACAGACTCGTGATCGATGCGGTCCTTCCCGAGCTCTTCGCGCCCGCGCCGTTGAGATGCTCAATCACTCCCTCGAGACGTCGCAAGCGCGATAAGAGCTCGGAATCAGGTGGACGCTTCGACTTGCGCGGGGCTCGGCCCGGTGGGGGAAACACGCAGTCGACCCCGGCTCTGACGCAATTTGAGCATGGCGAACGCTTGTTGCACCGAACTTTGCGACGACGACAAGTGATACAGCTTCGTGCGTTTGGAGCCTCCGGGCCAGGGTGGGGGGCGGTGGCGGACACGCCAGCTCGCGCGCCGGTCGGAGAATTTCCGTGGGCGGAGGAGGACTTGGGGCCTTCCGGGGATGCCGTAGGGAGCGACATGACAGGACCACTTGGACAGGAGGAGGGGGGGGGGGGGGGGGGGGGGGGGGGGGGTTTCCTTGATTGATGAAGACTGAGACTTCCCAATTCCTCACCGCATCACGATGCTCGTCCCCTAGCTGACTGGACTGAAGGCCGGGTGCGGTCAGAAAAAAATAAACGTGAAAGAGATGAGCTTGTCAGCAACGGATGCCAACTGTTTGAAATCAGACCCAAAGAGACTTTCCGACCTCCGGTCCCTTTTCAAACACCAACCCGTCAGCCACGACCCTTTTGGGGGGTTCAAAGTCCCACAGTGAAAGCACTGCAGTCCATGTGACCCCGAGTGAGTCAGCGCAATCGCAACGACGGCAATTGTCCCCTTTTGAGTAAATCATATCTCCTATCCCCGAATGGGACTCCGTCATTGATCTTGTCGGCATCTTCAGTCAATTTGGGTATATGCTGGCTCGGACAGAAGGTGTATACTGAATAGTGTATACTGTTACACTGTATGGTGTCTACTGTTTACTTTGAGTGCTCGGAGTCTTACAGATGGAGCCAGTCCGGAGATTATACAGAGCATACTCGTAATGGCACTGCACGTCAATGACGAAAACAGAACAACAGATGGACATGAGAAAAAAGAATAGACAAATTTCAAGTTAGATTTCTCGTTCCAGCATCTTTGGGCCTCAAAGATCCACAGTCAACAATTAGCGTCCAGCAAAGCAACCTCATCCCAACGGGCAAGCGAAGACCGAATGTCTCAAATAACCGTGAGATTGAAGCAAATTGGGTCCATCAATGCCCACCGCCCTGGTGCATGCTCGAGGTCAAGATGTGCAGTGTAACGAGTCTTTCCGTCTGGGAGACTACGAGTATATAACGAAACCATTCCTTACATTCTGAACATGGGCGAAATTCATAGTTCCTAACTTCCTACAGATCTCGTGACGGGGCCCTCAGAAACCCAGTTGTGGTCTATCGTGCTAAGTAACGAGATCTGATAACTTTAAAATTTAAAAAGTAGTCTCGACACATGCCTCATGGACTAAATGTGGATCTACTCCGATGCAGAACGTCAGTGCTCTGAGCTGACAGTAGTTTACAAGAAAATCGTGATAGTATGAGTAGTTCATAGTCATACTTCATACTCCATAGTGGGATTCCCAAGAAAAGTGGAAAGGCTGGCTCCCAACTGTCTCGGCTTTCGGAGTTTGACCCAGTTACGTTTGCCAAGCCTTTGCCAAGGACAATGACAGCAGCCATAAATCTGGGGCTGACTGGTCACTTTCAGCGTCTCAATGCCAGGGTTGGATTGCTTTACCTAGGTCTGTAGACTGGAAGAGGGCTCAAAGAGCTCGAGTTGGATACTCCCAAGACAGATAGAGATGAATGTGCACGGTGCAGGGACGACACAGATTGAGTGGGCTCGAAAATAATAGCACCTTCAGCTTCTGGTATGGATACGGAAATGAAAATGTACAAGTCACTTTCGGACAAGGTGATCAAGAGACAAATGCATATCTCCATATCGCTCAAAGAACGAACGCTAATAGGGTTGCAAGAGCACGTGAAATGCTGGAGGAAATACGACGCGATGCACAGAAACAAGAGATGACAGGTTGAATATGAGAATGGATTGGTAGATCCATGGACGTCACAGCAACGGCCGTAGAAATGGACATTCGAAGACGCAAGGTCCGAGGGCTTCGAGAGATAGGCTGAGAGATAAGAGGAACGAAAATCGCGAATGTGGTCATTAAGGGGCATTCGAGACGCTAGTGCGTTCCGATACAGAAAGAGCTCGGGCTCTGGTCGAGCCAGTTATATGCGTGACTGTGGATGAAGTCTCGGTGAGGGAGGGACATATCGATCGACCGTGACACCAGGAGAGATGAAGCGTCGGCATGAAATGTGATGTTGTAAGTTGACAGAGATGGTTCAGACACTGATTCTAGACAATGGGATCCCAGACCTTGGTCTCGTCATTGAACTTGTGCCTACATCAGGACGAGCCCAGTCAGCATAGAACTTGTACTGGTGAGCGTCTGGGAGTCACGTACCCGCCAAAGAACTTGTTCGTCATTGATTTCGGCCCGTACTCTTCTTCCAAGAGCCACGTGTAAGCGTAAGGCACCTTCACCGGCACATCTTCAAAGTAGCTGTCCCGCAGCGGGAAGATTTGACTCTCGTCGTAGCGGTGGTGGTCTTTACACATCAAGGCCTCGATGTTGCCTCTCTGGCGCTGCTCATCGTCCTTGCGCACCGCCGTGATGTCGATAAAGAGACCCGAGGACGTGTCGATCCAGCGACCGTCAATGACATTCAAACGGTCTTGGGTAGTGCGCACCACGTAATGAGGGTTGATTTCCAGGAGGTATGTTCGTCCGCCACTGACACCGGGGATATCAAAGTGGTGCTGAGTCATGTTGTAATAGTCTGCGAGAAAGTGGATGGTTGGTTCGGAGATTTGCACATCGAGGTCGTTGTCCCATGGGAAGATCTGAGTGAGGAAGATGTGAGTTGGAGGTCCCCTGCAGTCGAGTCGCGTCCGGTGGCGCCATGTACTCGTTCATCACCCCTGCATCGAGGGGAGCGGAACCTGGGGTACTGTGACGAGCCAGGCGGAGTGCAGGTGAAGGAAGCGACTGACCTTTTGATTCCACCACCACGCGAGTAGTGTGCCGTGCATGATCCAGGTTTCAGCTCCAATCGAAGCCATCGTGGTCAAATACGTCCGAATGAGAGCTGATAGATGAGGTGTCACTTGGTCATCGGGCAGAGGCGACTCTGCGAATCTGTAGCGAGACTTGTTCAGTGAACGCGCGAGATGAGGGTGAGATCATTTTCGTACCTACCGTCCGTCATAATGATAGTGAAATCTGCGGGTGTGAATATGTGTCAGTATCTTGACGCTGAGCTAGAGCCACGCTTATTCCGTCTACGTACGATGATTCCGCTATAGAAAAAAAGTCCGGTTAGTCCACGAGCTCTTGTCAGACGGGTTGGGTACTGTCTTCCCCGATTTGATGAGGGCCCGAGACGCCAGATCAAGGCCGAACTGTTGAGATCAGGGAGCACTCACTGAAGTACTTGTCTTGTGGAATCTCCGTCACGCTCTCATAGTCCTTGGCGACATTCTCGCGCACACTCATAAAGTTCGTTTCACCCGACGGCAGGGCTGCGGCGAGAGGGATGGTCGAAAGGAACCCACCGAGCCTCGCGAGGCTGCAGATGGTGAGTCGCATAGCTTGGGCGAACGGTCGTTTGCAATGTGCAAGATGATGAGATGGGACAACGCAATATGAAACAACCAGAAACGGAAGAGATGGGTATCAACACAGCATGCGACGCCTTCAGATACTATGTGGACTCGATCACAGGTACTGCTTGTGGTGTATGACAGTCTGTACGTGGATGTACCTGGAGAGAGTCTGGGTTCTCGCAGAGGGGGACTCGTAAAAGGAGAGGCTCAAGAATGGAAAACAGGCCGTGATTCTCAGATGCAAAAAGACCGGTCCGAGGGGTCGATTGAGGGACCAATTAATGGATTCGGTGGGAATTACCCAGCGAGCAACGACGGCAAGCCACTGCGGAGACGGACGGTAGATAGTAGATAGTCGATAATTGCTGTACAAGGAATGCCCACGCCGGATGAGGGCCCTGATAAGAAGGATCTGGGATGGCACTCGAGAGACTCAGGCGAGCGTCCCTCGACCGGCGTGGAAGCGAAATCACGATTACGAGCGGAATGAACCATGTCAGCCGAGACACCGTGAGAGGCGCCGGTCCAAATTGGATTTGACCATCAGGATTATTCCGGGGACTTTGCAGTTTGCACTTTTGCAGTCGTCGCGTGGCCGCTTGTTCGAGACTCTCGGCATCTTGCGATCCACGGTCCCTCGGGGCGAGTGGGACCCCCCGATTGACGAGTCGTCCAGATTGTGGTGTCTGTCGAGTGTTGACGTCCAATCGTGGTACCCGTGAAAAATACTTCCACTCGCTTGCGACTCCCAGACAGAGCACGGATTGGGGATCGCGTGCGTCCGCTGTGGGCGGAAGGAAGGCATTCCCATCATCGTCTGAGTTTTGAAGGGCCATTCATACGTCCCTGAGGTTCCCTTAACGTGCCGTGCTTGACGCAGTGCGTCATGACCGAGACCAATAAGCCAAAGTCAACAACCGCTATCGTGGATCCTGCTGGAGAACAGAACATCGGGGAGACGACGGCATCGATTCCAATTGTGGCTGCGCAGTGGGCACTTTGGGCGGGCTTGGCTCGCAGCTAGTTCTCTGTTTCTCATCACTCCGGTTGGCTGACGGCCATCTCGGCGATCTCTATCCGACGCGCACCAACATCCACTTCACGAAAAGCAGGCTTCAGGGGAGTTGGAAAGGAGACATTGTATACTTGGGAATGGTCTCCAGCCTCCATGGACCTGCTACTGTCCAGTACAGGCGCGGGGGCAACTCCACTCGGTCGGCCCTGTCCTGGATCCTCGGGTCTTGGTCCACGTCAGCCTGCTCACGAGGTTGTCTTGGGAAGCTGAGCACGCGAGTTGGTTCGCGTAGGGCTTCTTGGCAGACCCGATCGAAATGTCGTACTCGTTTGAGCATGCGACGGGTTACCTAGAGCAGACGATGAGCGGAATTCAGCCCTGCGGAGCAGTTTAGAGAGAAGCAATCACAAGACAACAAAACAACAGAACAACAGAACAACAGAACAACAGAACAACAGAAGTACTTTACTACTACTAGTACTAACTAGTAACTAGTAACTACTTGACTGCTCTTGTACTATAGTCGTGTCGATGCTCGTACCAGATACCACGCATCCAGTTGGGGGAGGCCGACCACGTCCACTCTCACCTCCGGACTAAAACAATTAGTGACGGTCGCTAGGGAATACCTCCTCCTTCCACGCTCTTCAATGGTGGGAAATAAATGAGAAACACGGGTGGGCAACACTGACGTGGACGTGGATACTTTCAAAGAAGCAAGACTCTCACCTGATTTTAAAGACGATAGTAGACAATCAACAAGCCACTGCCAGTGAATTGTTAATAGTCTTTCAAGTCACAGTGCCCTTCGTCAGAGGTGCTGTGAGTCGTAGTGACTGTACTGACTACTAGTTAACTAGTGACTTACCTGTCAACAGGTACTAACTACTAGATCAGTGTCCGTCCCGGCAGACACAGTCTTGGTCGAGGTTGCTCGATATTAGCACATAACCGCAAGACCACCTGATAAGGCTAGAGCTATTTCCTCAGCACGAGAGCGCTCAACTCTCATTTCCATCAAGTGGCCCCTTCTTGGGTATATCATGGGTCCCTTTTCGAAACCCACCAGGGTTCGGTACAGTCTGATTGATAATAATTCTACCTGTTGTCGACCCACCCGGCACCCGACATTGAACAATGCAATGAATCGTTCATCTGCAACCGCCAACCGACTAGAATTTGTCACGAGTCTAACGACTACGGAGGGGCCACCTTATGTAAAGCATACGCAACCACTGATCAAGCAAACATGATTCCAACCATAATAGCCTGAAACCAGTGAAATTGAAAGGCCTCCACAGGCTCTGTCAGAGGCAGACATCTCGCTTTCGACTCCTTCCGTGTCTCCAGCGGTTTCCGCTTATCCACTTCTCTCGCCTTGGTTGGACTGCCGACTCCCGAACCACCTGCAGCCCTGTGAGTGTGCGGTGCCATTGGGATGCACCCATTCCAGTCAAAGCACAATCGTAATCTGGAACTTGACTTGTGCAATCCCGATCATCAGCATAAATCATGTGACCATCTCTTCTCTGTCTCCACGGATATTCCGCATCGCTGAAGCATCTTTACTCTTGTTCACAAGTACAATACCTGTGTACACGGTTCAACGGTTGACTGCCAAAATACTGTACTTCACCCACCGTAATTTCCCCCAAAAGCCTCCCCCTGTCAGAAGACCGTAGAGTTGTAGGACCAGGCTTAGTATTCCGCCACAAGCTTTCTTCTCCCAATATTCTTTGTTCGCAATTCCTGCATCGAGGCCCGCCCCAGCCACAAACACAATGCAAATCAATCGCCCGGGGCTAACGCGAGACCCAAAATGGCGCGATCGCAACCACATCTCGTGACTCGTAAGATCGTGAGAGTGGTACGCGTCCCCTTTCGTTTTTGAGCCTCTCGACATCCGTGGCTCCCTCACTTTTCTTTCCCCCGGGCGCATTTGCGCAGAATATATCCGACTCGCACGGCCAATCGTAGTGGGCAGTGGTACATCACAATCAGTACATTTACTAGGAAGTCGCAATCTCGGGCACTGTTGAGTTGAGTACCCCTGACTCCTGAGTCCCTACCAAGCGAGATATGGACAGTGGACAGTGGACGTTCAGTGTCCAGTGTCCAGCCTTGTGGTTTCCTCCAGGTCAGTAATCATTCAGCGATTGATCCCTCACTTCTAGCGTTCGACTGTAGGTCAGTCTCACCATCTCATGAGGTTGGACAGCGTGAAACTCTCTCACCATCTTTAATAGCACATGATAACCACGAGTCATGGCACTGTGACACATAAGCAGCTTGATATGTGCAGAGTAAACCTTATATGATCATTTCAGTCCGCTAGACAACCGGGACTCCCATCTCGTCAAGAATCAAGCTGAGCCGGCATGGAACCCTAACATGTCTAGTACCTACTACCTACAATGGTAAAATCATAAAATGTAGGTCCCGTCGCCGACGCGTCTCCTCATCCACCGGCCCATGTGACTGTCAGTATCCATCCTGTCCGTGACCTCCACTGGATCAGACGTTTCCAAAGACGGCACGGAGCGCCTTGACGCGCCTCAAACCGCCTTGTGAGAAAAACAAGCTTTTTGTGTGCGCCGGTTTTGGGCATTCAGCACGGGATTGAGATTGCAACGACGTTTTACCAACAGACCTGAGACTCCAGTCCAATGTCCACAAAGCTAACATCGGAGATGATTTCCCTGTCATCTCATTCTCGAGTCTGAGTTTCTGCACACGTCTCCCGTTGTTGCACGGCACGAAGGAGGGCTTATCAGTAGATTGATCTGATTAAAAGTTCAGAAAGGGGTTTGAACTTCTCTTGATCAAAGGGGAATCATTTCCATACATCTATCCATTGCAGATGATAGATGCACTGTCAGTGTCCAGCTGGAGTGGCCAGTGTCCAGTGTCAATCATCTGTTATTTAATCATGCGTGAGTATGTAGTAGTACCGAGGTCTTCTGATAGCTGCGGGTGATCTCTCTTGGCCAGAGAATATGATACGTCCATCGAGCACGAGTCATGGATTTTACCCCCCTGCTTGAGCGAGCATAACCATAAACATGGAAACACAGAGGGAGGAAGATCCATATATGCCAGTGTAAAGAAAAAAACACGCGTTGAGTCCCAAGTGTTCATTCGTCGAAGACCTCAACCCTCACCACTTTACCCGTGACATCCAAGCTATGGACATTGGACCAATGGGCACAGCCTTTGGGCAGTACTGTAAGTTACATCAACATGAGCTTGATTTGTTCATTGCGATCATACATCGTTCCTCTCGGCTGTTGGCTCTGCGAGCCTTGCATACCTATCCTCTTCCATAAAAGTTCGTGTCTCCTCATATCTGTCGGATCATTCGATAATTTCTGGTATTCATTTTTCCACATCAGTGGAGATACCCATCACCTGCTCTGGACTCTTTCCTGCCTTCTCCCATTCCCGGGCGATCGTGTCGACGACCCAATCGCCCCGCGGCGTCAGCTTGAATCTGACATCTTTGGGTGAAGTCATGAATCCTTCCACAACCATCTCCCACGGGTCTACCACATCCCCCTTCACCAAGGGCTGGATATCAAAGGCCCAGAGCAGACATGCCACTTGCAGAAATGTGCCTTCCGTGGCCACTCGCTTGCCCTGACAGACCCGTCGGCCTTGCCCAAACACAGGCAATGGAAGATCCGCCCGCACCTTGACGTCTCCCCCAGAGCTCTGTCGCAACCATCGCTCGGGTACAAATTCCTGCACATCTCCGAGCGTTGGATCAAAAATCTTTTCATCACGACCAATCGCCCACGCATTGGCCATGAGCGTCCATCCCTTTTTGATCTTGACTCCCTCGTATTCGTCGTCCTTGTCTGCTCGGCGGGGAATGGAGCCAGGGGCAATCGGTCGCCAGCGGAACAACTCGTGTGCAATTGCATCGATGAACGACAGATCCGCTCGGTCTGAAAATCGAGGAAGGCGATCACGTCCCACCACCTCATCCAAAATCGCATGTGCCTTAGTCAAAAAGGAAGGGCGATGCAGCGCCGCAATGAAGAGCCAGAGAAGTTGACGTGGGGACGTTTCCATGCCACCTTGAATGGATGTTGCGAGTGTGAAGGCGAGATCAAGATCGGAGACGCCGTTCTTGGCATGCTTTTGAGCTGTAGAAATGGCCTGTTTGGTGGCGTTCCATCCTGGTTCGTCGCGGCCGTGCTTGAACAACCGCATGTAGAGATCTACCTGTTGAGCGTAGAGCTTCTCTGCGGATCGCTTCCAGGGTGACAGCAACGACGGCAGATGGCGCAGAGCAGGGATGATATCTGGGAGAAGCGGATTGGCGGCCAGATGAGTGATCTGGGTCTGGGTATCTATGACTTCGTGCAGGATCTGATCCTCATATTGCGCGACGCGCAATCCATAATGCAAGCCGAGGATGATGCTGGACTGCGTGCGCTCAAGCTGTGGATAGATTTTGCCGGTGCTGATGGTTCCCTCCTTCGACTGCTGGGTGATTTGACAGAGGTCAAACAGCAACTGCGTGGCCTCGAGCTCCATCAGCGCCTGGAACTTCGGGGCGGCTGGCGCTCCCAAGCTGGGGGACAACAGCCGATGGTGCAGTTTCAGGTGATCATCATAGTCGTGCATGAGCGTGAACTTGGACTGTCCCGGCTGGGCATCGGTGATCATTTCCATGCTCACCGAAGCCGGGCGGTTGCTGTACCATTGACTGCGGCGACTGAACAATTCCGTGACTGCCGCGGCTGAATTGAGGACGACAATGGGAATGATGCCAAACAATTTTGGCACCGCGATTGGACCATTCTCCTTGGTCCACGCATTCCAATTGACCAGAGGTTTCTCGATGGGCGAGCTATGAAGGTCGCCAATGAGCGGAAGTTTTCGGAGTGGCTTGGTCGTCTCGTGGACGGTTTCTGATCTCTTTGCGCGACTTGAATTGACATAGATGAGTGCGACCAGAACTCCCAGCGCACAGGTCACTCCTATCGTCAGTGCATTGCTCTCCATGTCTACGGTCGCACGACAATCATGTGTATTGAATCAAGCTTCCACTGGTCTTCCTTGTGTATCAGTGAGAGAGCGACAGAAGAGGAGAGGGAGTGAGGGAGTGAGGGAGTGAGGGAGTGAGGGAGTGAGGGAGTGAGGGAGTGAGGGAGTGAGGGGAGAGGGGGAGCGATCCGGAGCTGCGGTACACAGGCCATTTTATCTACTACTATTGAACCGGCGAAGATGTATAGACGCAATACTGTGATGAAGGTTTAAATCAGTCAGCATACACTCAGTGGGCACAAATGACAAGCTTCTTGAATCAAGTGCCGACAGTCTGAGCGAGTTGGATGCCTTAACGCACGGTTCCCTCGTCGGGCGGCCGTGAGCGGACTCGAACCAGCAAAGCCTAATTGTCGAGTGGATCCCCCCATCCGTCCACTCATCCAGTGTGAATGCCGCGACGGAAGTCCCTCATTGGCCTCGGAGCATCCTGCTGATCCTCTCCGAGGGGTTGGATGAAACCCGCACGGGTGGCTCCTTGCGGTTCCCGACAACAAACCAGAAACTTCTCAACGGGTTGAACATGGATGGAGATGGGACTACTCGAGACTAGTCGACACTCGACAGACTCACGGCCCAGCGCTCAGGTCCTGGATGGAGTCCGGCGGCGACCTCCTGCCACTCAGGTTCCTGAGTAACAAAGCCGTTGTCGGCAGGTCTCCGAACCATCACGGAGCGCCAAGTCCTCGGACGTTGCTGGTGAAGGAGTCTAGTTTCAAATCCTTCAGGACTTCGTGCCAGTGAGAAGCCAGATCCAGGAGGAGTAATTGTGGGAACCTTCAAATTCACGAACAGCCTGACAGTGAGCCACATGGAAAAGGACCTCTCTAGACCCCATCGCGAGTCAGGAAGACCCGCCGCTGGTGGATATGACAGGAGCAGAAAAACTCTCTTTCTCTCTCTCTGTCGAAAGTACACTCCCTTGTTTGAAGCCCATCCGGGACGGGTGGCCGCGCCACACGCCGTTGACTACCTGCCGGGGGTCGCTTTATCTGTCAGATAGGAGTCTATGCGGCTTAGCGTGTTCAATCGAGTATGTGCTCCTGGCCATCTGCAGGTCCAGGTGGTCGATGGAAGGATTCACACTACTTTGAAAAGAGCAATGATCGCACTGAAGGATCGTCGACGGGAAATCTCGAGTCGACAAGTCCAAAGGTGAAGAAGAGCAATACTTCAATTACCTCGCTGCACCTCGCAGCTTTGACTTTCTGACCTGTTCATCTGAATCGATACTGACGGACAGAGCCTCTGCTTGGGTGCTTATAATAATGGACCCCTAAGTCCATTTCCATCCCCCAGCTGTACTACTGTTGCCCCTCCTGTTTCCTCGACCCCAAGTTTCTCAGCTGCAGGCCTGCTTAGTCTTGTGATCTTCTGTTGACCCTGGATCGCAAAGTCGTGGTTTATTACCATGGGGGTCACTTTCCCCATTGTGAAGACAGCCCAACGAGAGGTGCTAAGTGTGGCCCTTGTCTTTTCGATTCTTGCGGTGGCTGCGGTCTGCTTGCGGTTACTGGCTCATCATCTGGCACGTAAACCCTGGACGCCAAGTGACTACGCAATCATCATTGCTTGTGTGAGTGGGAGGCTCCTCTTGCAGACCCCCTCAATCCCCGAGTCATGGATGCTCTAGCTCACCTCTACATGCCAGATCTTTGCGGTGGGCCTTCAGTCGATCAGTATCACCGGCGTGATTCAAGCTGGCATCGGATACGACCATGTCACAGCCATCGCCGCGGTCTATGGCCTGGCTCCCATCACCAAGCTCCTCACTTTGGTCATTCCACTGCAGTTTCTATGGGTCCTGAGTCTGAGCTGCACCAAAGTCTCAATCTTACTCTTGTATCTGCGCATCTTTCCCGTCACTTGGGTTGTCTGGGCTTCCCGCGCAACCATGCTGGTGATTATTCTCTGGGCCATTGCAACCATTCTGGCAGGCTCGTTGATATGTCGCCCGTTTGCGTTCAATTGGGACCAGACCATCCCAGGGGGTCACTGCGGGAACCAAGTCCAGTCCTTTACGGCGACGGGTGTCATCAATCTGATTACCGACGTATTCGTGCTGATCATCCCCATGCCGCTTCTCTATAAGTTGCAGATGGCCACCTACAAAAAAGCAACTCTCATCATTGTTTTTGGCTTGGGTTTTGTGTGAGTCGGCTTCTCGCTTTCCCTTCCATCTCTCGCTTCTTTAACCCAAATGACCCTCTCTTTCTCTTCCCCGCGAACCCAGCAGCTGACCGTCTGTCCAGAACCTGCATCATCAGCGCCCTCCGCATCGCAGTCCTCTCCTCCATGGACTTTGCCGACATCACCTACACCATCCCCCGGGCCAACATCTTCAGCGGCGTCGAGCCCTGTCTCGCCGTCATCCTCGCCTCTGTCCCCCTCATGCGTCCCCTTCTCGGCCGCTCCGCACAAAACTCCGAAGTCACCGCCGCCCACACCCGCAAACCGTCCGAACCATCCGCAGCCTCGACCAAGCGCTGCGAAAATGGGTTCCTGCAACTCGAAGATAACTCGAGCCAGTTACAGTTGAGGCCCGTGGGCACGAAACATCGCGTCGGCGTGCTCGCACAGGAGACGGATCGTACAAGTGAGGAATCAATGGAGATGACGCAATCGAGTCCTCGTTCTCAGGATTGTGATACTAAGCGGGATCATGGGATCTCAGTGAAACAGGAGTGGGATGTCCAGCACACTACTCATTAAGCATATAAGGGTACAGCAAACAAGTAAACATGAAGCACATAAGGATACAGCAAACATTTCCCCCAGCCAGAGTATGAGCATCGATTCTAATACGTCCAATCGTCCGGCTCATCTTCCGAAACCCCCTCCAGCAGCTTTGACTCCTGATTTTTCTCCCGTGGCGCGAAGAACAGGCGATTCTCCAAGCAGAATGCCTCGGCGCTCTCGTACTCGCGACTGTCTAGGAGTTGTATCAGGGCTTGGCGACTCTGGAACGCTTCTTCCGTAAGTCGATGACGACCCTTCCGCGCGTACATGTGTGTCGCAATTGTATCAAGGGTTCGAATCGACTCCGGGATACGGGCGAGATCTGAGAATTTTTAGTCAGGAGTGATTTTGTATAAAACAGCAAATAATGTCGATACATACCGGCTGCCCGAATACGTTGCGGGGTTGTCCCATACAACTTTTGAAAGCTGCGGTATGCAGTGTGTTGAAACTCGTCGGCTGGGTCTGGAAAGTTCTCAAGGAGCGCTGAGGCATCCCCAAGCACATTACCTGCATGTACCTTCGTTTGGTCGGTTACCATGTCGCATATCTCCTGTTCTACCGGAGTCTTCTCCACCTTGTTCAGGCGTGGGCGGCAATAGGATAGTATTGTTCGCAAGCGAACGTCTCTGCAGATCTTGGTTTCTGCAGCTCGTATAGTATCATGTTCGCCGAGAGCCTTTGTTTGGGCCTCCAAAGCCTGAATTCGGGCGTCGGACTGAGACTTGTGACCCTCGAGAGTCTTGTTTTTGCCTTCGAGAGTCTTGACATTGCCCTCGAGAGTCTTGTTTTTGCCTTCGAGAGTCTTGACATTGTGCTTGAGAGTCTCGACCTCGGCCTTGAGTTCTCGTAAAAACTGCAACATCTCGAAACCTCTCTGGTTTGCGGCAGTTTCCCGTGAATCGTCCCACCTCAGAGATTGGATATCGTTGGCAAGTGCTGTCTGGCACTCTTGCAAGGGATCTCTTGTAACCTCTGTTGAGCCTGCGTAGAGTATGCTCGCAGTGCGTGCCAGTGTCTGCTTTTTGAATGTCAGTAACAAAGGGTAAAATAGTAGTGAGATGGGCTACAGGCTCGAAGGAGAGAGTACCGTCATTGTTTGGAACGGGCTGGCGGACGTTGCTCTTTCGAGCTTCGGCCGCTTCGGGCTACTGACCGGAGTCACAGACACTGGCCGGCGCTTGTAGGGCGTACCAGGAGATTGCATTTTGTCAACCGATATGAATATTGGAATGGCTTTTTGGAAGTGTTTGCTTTTTGGAAACTCAGTTTAGTTAATGGAAATGGTATGAAGCTACAAATTCAGCTCGGAGGTCCTTGATTATTATTATGTTAGAATTCGGCAAGAGCATCTTTAAATGGCAGGTGCGTTGTAAAACATGGGAACCCAGGTATCATGGAGACATCTGCCCGTTCCTCGGCTTTCATTCTGCAGGCGAAGTAGTGTAGGTACTCAGCGACTGAGCTCCGCATTAATGGGTCTCAGGTCCGGCAGGATGAGGTCCAACTAGACCTGTGATGCTCACGGGGTTGTTGTTTTCCTCCAGCCTCCGCCCTGTATTTATACATGGTGCCTGGGTAGATGTAGGATAGGTAGGTATGTCTTGCTTCCAAGTGAGAACAAATGGGCAACTGATACCACACAATCAATATTCATGCCTCAGCCATGTGCGGACCAGTTGAGGCAAATTGGATCATGATGTTGCGGAGTTCGGGTGGGACGATAGACATGTCGCGACAGTGCTCCCCGTCAGGAACTTCCGATATCGAATTCCACGGTCGTGGCAGGGGACAGTTGCGCTGGGGCATGTATTTGATCTCGGAAAGAGGGGTAGAACTACGACCATAGGCAGTGAAACCGGAAGAAGATATATCATGCATCGTGGAAATAGCAACAATCCAACATTGGTCGGTTGAACATGTAGAATTTGTCTGGATACTTCCAAGTTGGCCAGCCGACCTATGGACACCCGAAGTTACGTCCTAGAGTAGATACTGATGTCTGCATTAGCAGGTATTTTGTGGGTGTCAAGAGAAATCGAAGACGAGGTTCGTCAGTGATGAACAGGGAAGTGGACTGTACAACCTAATGTAGTTAAATGTACATGGCTACATGCTATCCAGCGGAATTCCATGCAGTACTAGTACTGTACCCCAGCCCGGCCGGACGTCATTTGTGTTCTGCTGTACTTCCCTTCACTTCTCCACGTTTTCATCCCAGACAAACTTCCGATATCAAACCCCATCCACCATTTTCGCTTCCAGCGACACTGCTTTCTCGCTACCTGGATCTGCAAAAGACTACTCACAATACCGAACAACAAGCGAAAACTGCGCTACCACACTCCACCTTTGCCGACCACCCGAATCCCGTACGCTGCTTGGTTATCTGCCGCGCGGAAACTGTGAGGCGAATTTAGATACCAGGCCATCCGTGAGGAGATGCCGCCTCCAAACTCGGCATCAGTATGTCTGCTGCTTCCTACCCCAAGTGAAGTAGTCTGCAGGTCTTACATGTCGATGAGATACTTGTGATTAACTGCTGCTGCCACGCATTAGCACGGGACGCCGGTCTTGTCCCCTACATCGCGCGCGCCCGTACCTGCGCCCGAGACCGAGCCTCCCTCTCGGCGAAGATCACTCACCGAGACCGTAGTCTCCTTAGGCCGAGAGAGTGACGACGCCCACGACGAAAATGTCGACTTCCTTCGCAACCGAGCTTTCTTGTCAAACCCACCTCTACCGTCGATGAGTCGCCGTCCCCGTCGCGGCTACGGGATCCCGCATCTCCCGCAGGTGGCCGACCTACCTAGTGACGACCGAATGGATCTCGATAATCCCAGCAGTACCCGCCTGTCCGTCGAGATCAACCATCGCATGCCAATCGTCCACGACCAGTCAGGGAACCAGAGGGCCATGCCAAATTACGAAAACCGCCGGGCGAACATACGGTCTCTGTATGGATGGGCCCCTGGTTCAGACGGAGAGAGCGAGGACAATCGGCACGAGGAGCCAGAAGATGAGCTAGTCCGGCCTTTTCTTCACGCCGCCTCTGGCCATAGCGAAATATCCAATCGAGAGGTGGGAGGCGATACCGAACATCGCGCGTCAGCCGCTGCGGGGTCCGTCCCCAACAATGCCGGTCGCTGGATGACACCACCGATTCCCATGGACGTCCTGCTGTCAGCACGGCGACAGCCGAATGCATCGCAGATGCGAACGCTGGAGAGGTTCCTTTTGGATCGATATGGATCTCAACCGATCGACGAGACTGCAGACACCGAGCGGGGAGTGGGCTCGCCGTCAACCAGGGTTTATCGATATCGCCCACCGAGCCGGGGAGATTTCCGCCGCGGGATGAACAATAATGAGCTTCGTGCCAGAGTCGCTGCCAACCGACAGTCTATTCACAGCCCTGCAGAGGACTCGCTACTCAAAGATACTATCAAATACCTCGACCGTTTACGATATTCGAACTCGTTCGAGGAAAGCATTAGCTCTGCCGCTGCTACAGGCTTCATTTCCCTGGAAAACTTCTCGCTTAAAGACAATGACCTTTTGCTCGACATTCATGCTATTGGACCACCCGAGCGATGCTCATGGCTACAAGAGGGAATGGTGTTTGAGGGCTGCCAGAAAGCAGCCAACGCGGGGGGCTCTGCTTTACCCCAACGCGCTCAGGCTCCCCGTGTCATTACTGAACCGGTGATCGTAAACGGCAGTGACGGGACTCGAATCAGTGTACACACTCTTAGTGGACGCCGATATCTCGCCAATACTGCGCGCGACGAGAACTGGCCTGTCAAGGTGACGATCCACAGCATCAACTACGCCGACATGACCCTTTCCGGAACGATGGAGGCATACAACATACCCGACAAATCGTCGCCTAACCGTGACGCTCATATCATTACCTTTCTGGAAGGCGAGATCATTGACTTCAACCAACACACGCTGGAAACCAAAAATTTCAAGGCGGATGCAGACATCGACAGTACGTACTGGCGAGAACTGCAGCCGTTCAAGGATCTGTCAGATGCTGAGATCTCGAAGAATCTCGTGAGCAAGAAATGGATTACGGAGCAGCTACTTCAGGGGTGGATTCTTATGCGCTGGAAGGGTATGGAGTGATCTCGCTAGCCGATCTGACTTTGGTACAGTACGCGTGGCTAATATTTATCCAGAGCGATGCTTCATTACTCCCACAGATGCCCGACAAGGCCTAACGATCTCTGGCTTCTATTACATCTCCCTTCGCCGTGAAGATGGTCGTGTCGAGGGTCTCTACTATGACCCCGGTAGTTCGCCTTACCAGCAACTTTCCCTGAAGCCAAAGATGGCCAGAATTGCCTGTCCGTCATATTCCTTCCGCTAGCTCCGGAAGAACCTATGTACAAAAGGTAGAGCATCTGGAGGCAGCCCCTGCTGATCATTGGTCAATCACACCAGAGCCTCACAAGTTGAGGCAAGCTCTTGTTATCATTACTCTGACTTTGTCATCCCGTATTGAGAGAGGGACTCATTGTTAGTTTCCCCCATCTTTCCCCATGTTCGCATAGCCGTTTGGAGTTGTTGGGTTAAAATTTCTGAAAATTTTATGTTGATCAGCCGTTGTCGCAAATTCCATGAGAGCGTATTTGGGAGCTTAGTGCGTCTCGAAACAATATATTACTTGTGCACCACCGCCACCTCGGAATGTATCGCTTATCCAGTGGTCCGGATTCTAAGGCGTCGCAAATTTCTCTCCGCGCATGTGTGAACCTTATCGAGCGCCGAGCTTGTCAATGCAGATTCAGAATTCATGTGATTACCTCTATCTACTTCGTCTCCCAGCCAGCACCTTCCCAGCACTGGAAGCAAGCAGACAAATCAGCGCTTCAGTCCTCTTTAGTCTATTTCCAAGGTGAAGCTCAGCTCAAACAGTACTACTTGAGGTAGCTCCAAGGACCTTGAGTATGAACGGCTTTAGGTGTGTTTGATATAGGTCCTAACTCGCATGAACACTTGTAATCGGAAGAATCAATCCATATGTGCTCTCTCCGAGACTGAAAACTGATTGCCAAGCCCAAATACGCATAGGTTTTCGGCTGGCATCAAGGCCAACATTCAGCGTATTGGAAGAGGCGGGCGGACTCTAGGGTAATGTCAGTCGTCCATAATCTGAATGGGATAGCGCAAGCGACAGTCGATATTCGGTAGTTGCTTACATCCTCTACACACTCGCTACCTCCCTGACCAATTCCCAACTTTAATTAGAACCTAGCAGCACCATAATCAAGGCAATGTGATACTAGTTCGGTAGGAATATTTCAATAAAACCCAGACCCAAACCCAATCGATGCAACTACCTTTAAAGGCGGTATGGTGTCATTTCTAGTACAAGATGCATTCTGCCGTCAGCGGGTTGATTTCCAGATCACATGACACTGACATAAGCGTAGGGCACACACACAGCCGAATGGGTGGATATCCCCACCAAAATTCGTCCAGCCCGAAGTTTTTTTTCGACTAACGCCAACTCTTCGAGGAGAATTCGACATTCAATCGAACATTCAAAAACAACAAAATGGTACGCTCCTGATCCAGATCAACCACATAGTCGCAGCGGTGTTGGCGTCACGAGGAATTGATCATCAGAGTCTCCATGGACTACCGGCATCGACATGTGGCTCACAGCCGTATCTGGTCCTCGACGATGGGTGCGACTGTGAGCTACGTTGTCTGGGCCGCCGAACAATCGCTCGCTGATCCAGATCGTATTCCCGTCACAATCTGCGCGCGCAAGGGTAAACACTAACACTGTGTCGAATAGTCGGACGGAGAAGAGATCCAGAACCCCCCTGTTGCCGCCGCCGATGAGGTCGAGGTTTCCGCTGACGCTGGCTCCGGCCAGATGTCCGTCCTCGACGCTCTTAAGGGTGTCCTCCGCATCTCCCTGATCCACGATGGTCTTGCCCGTGGTCTGCGTGAGGCTGCCAAGGCCCTCGACCGCCGTGAGGCCCACATGTGTGTCCTCAACGAGGGCTGCGAGGAGGAGGCCTACAAGAAGCTCGTTGTCGCTCTTTGCTCCGAGCACAAGATTCCTCTGATCAAGGTTCCCGATGGCAAGATGCTCGGCGAGTGGGTCGGTCTCTGTAAGTCACTCGTCAATGATGCCTCGTGATTGCGAGTGTTGTGCGCGCGCAGTATGTCCAAGTACGTTTGGCTAACAGCAATTTAAATAGGCACCCTTGACCGTGAGGGTAACGCCCGCAAGGTCGTCAACTGCTCTTGCGTCGTCGTCAAGGACTGGGGTGAGGACAGCCAGGAGCGCTCCGTTCTCCTCAACTACTTCCAGACTGAGCAGTAAATGCGCCACTTCCCGCGCTATACCCATCACTATGGAAATCGGACATGCGTCGTGCGATCGGTCTATCAGGGGACGGAAATCTCAGGTGCTGGCCTGTTGAGCACCCGCCGAATTGTCCACACGATCGGTTTACGAATCTTTTGACCTATGAGGTACCCAGCTTTTGAGCCTGGGTCTTCTTGATATGGGTTTCGCGGTCAATTGGATGTTTGTTGGCGGAACTCTGTTCTTGACCCGTTTGCTCGGGTAAAGCAATGTAGCACTTGAGGCTCCGTTATCTACTGAATACAAATCACGATGAATTGATGACAAGATATCCGGTTGTCTTCGTAGATCTATTTCTGGTTGCTTAAGCTTCGTACTCAAGACATGTGATCTTCACGCCATGATACAGCTTCCTGGGCTGCCGGCGGGTCTCGCATATGCCTCATGACGCTGCCGATTGCAGGATCTGTAGACAATATAGTTCCAAATTGTCTTCTCTGTTGGGAAAACAATAGCAACTAAGGGGTCGAAGTAATTCATTGACAAGAGGGAGTTATTGCAGTCGTACTGGGAATGGAAGATCAGAGCGGATTCTGTAGCTTCATTATGATAGTGCGCAACAAGAGAGTCATTATGACACAGTACTTAGTACAGTAGAGTTCGCTGATCAAAAAATGGTAGCTTATACCGCAATTTCGAAACCATCAATTGAAATGTGAACATTGTTGCCTGTACAGTGTCCAGGGGTTGTTCCAATCGCAAGCTGGAGGCTAGACACTACGGAATTCGCGAACGTTGCGAATCCCGAATTCCGCCCGGTCATTCCAGTAACCTCAGATAGCATCATATCAGTGTAGGTAACTAAGTAGTAGACTATTAGTAGTACCTAACTGCAGTTAGCTAGTTGTTCTGAGTCAACAGTTAAATTGCTTGGCGCGCTATCAATATTTCTTGAACTACTGAGACTTGATTCACGTCTGATGGTCTTAGATTTTTGCACTTCTAGGTTCTTCAAGCTATCCTGCTGGGTTGCTTCTTTCCCCAAAAAGTCTGAACCTAGGACTTGACATGAATGAGGGATGTTCATCGATCGTCGCTGGCACAGCAGTATATCGGCGGGTGCAAGATCCTTGACCTGGATGTTCGATGATTGTTGGAAGTAATTACCTTAAGGCTCTCTCTGCACTCTGCATACATCGAGTAGAAAATACTACTAGTACAGAACAATACAAAACTCAATGCATTAACAGTTCTTGAAATTTGTACCAGTACTGCGCCCAGTAAGGGTCAATTTGATACCAGCCTTTAGCCCGATTCCATGGCGACAAGAGTTCCTTCGGTCGGGTTTCGGGTTTTGACATCTCGGTCTCAACCGATCAGCATGATAGGCATCTATGCTCGACAAGCTCTATGAAACGTCAATCGTGCTTGTCCATCTTCTTCTTTGTCCCTGGAATATTTTTCATCCAAGGCCGGCTCGATGAACCAACATTAAAACCTTCACTACAGCCCAAACTGAGACTCCAGTGCCAGTACGATCTTGAGAATGGCTTCCAGTCCGCCTCCGAATACCACTCCAGCACCTTACGGACGTGCCTGCGCCAATTGTTCCCACGCGAAAAGCAAATGTTTTCAGCTAGCCGCAGGCACAGGCTGTGAAAGGTGAGCTGCGAGAACGATACTCATGAGGACAGCCTGAACTTACAACAAAAGCAGATGCCAAAGGCTCAAGAAAACTTGTCGACCATCTACTACAGTACGAAAGCGAAACGGGCGCGCTTCTACGTCTAAGACGGCCCAACTGGAAGCCAAGCTTGACAGCTTGATGTCACTTCTTCTACGAGATGAACCCTCTACAGACACCCCCGGCTTATCAAGACTTGCTCTCCCCACTACTGTCCCGCAGGTACCTCAAAGCCGAGAGGATGGTTCCTCGCGAACTGCGAATTCTGACGGCATTCCGACTCCCCCAGCGACAACCGCACTAGGTGGAAGTCCCCAGGCTCTGGATACCCTCTGTAGCAGTATACCAATATCGCCAGAGAACGCCGAGCAAATGCTGAGTTTCTTTCGAACGGAAAGCATCAAAAACCTTCCATTTGCCTACATTCCTTCCTACATGACCTCGCAGCAACTTCGACAAGAGAAACCATTCTTCTGGCTCTCTATAATGGCAGTTACCAGTCCACACTGCTTGCAAAGAGAATCCATCAATTTAAAGCTAGCCGATTTCATTCACCAAAAGATACTCATCGACTTTGCTCCAAGTATGGACATTCTACTAGGGATGATGACTTTCTTTTCGTGGTAGGTTCAACTCCTGTTGTGAATAGCATAACTTTTTTGACCTCTGTTACTGCAGGGCCACGTACTCTGGAAGGCATCAGCAGATTCTTTACCCTCACGTCATTATGGGTCTAGTTTGCGATCTGGGAATAAACAAACCAATTCCGACGGAGCCATCGACTATGCAAGCCTTTAAATGTGCCGTGGGTTTCAAGCAGAACACACCAACTTCAAGAACCATGGAAGAGCGAAGAGCGGTGCTAGGTTGCTATCTCATCACCGCAAGGTATGGACAAGACACACCTGGGATAAGATTCCATCGAACCCCCACTGAAACAGATTCTCATTACTTCTAGTATCGCCTTAACGACGTCGAAAATCGATGCGCTTCGATGGACACCTCACATGGAAGAATCGCTCTCTGCCTTAACCAATGCTAGGGAGTGTCCCGAAGACGAACGTTTGGTGACTTTGGTCAAACTGAGTCTCGTCATGGACAAGGCCTATCATCTCCAACGGGATGGAGATGGTCACCATGCACCCTACTTCTATATCAAAGCATTCCAATCTCAACTCAATCTCGTGAAAGACTCGATCCCTGGCTCTTTACGAAACGATGGTATGTCTCGTGGTAATACGGTTTATTTGCGTTGCCTTCTTGCTGACCAAGCCAGACTCTATCCTCTTTCATATTGCAACCACCGAGCTCGTAATTCATGAGATTGCCATGCGGGCACCTTCTACACCTAATACGCCTGATCTCCAGAGGCTTGATAGTCTGTATACGTCTCTTCAAGCCGCAAAGACCTGGTTGGATCTTTGGCTATCTCAGCGTCCCACCGAGTACATGGCATTCCCTTACACGATATTTGGTCAACTTTCACGGGCCCTCGTTAGCTTGTATCGACTGTCGGTATTGGATGATCCTGCCTGGGACAGGAACTTTGTGAGAACTACTGCCAACCTCCTCGAATACCTCAACAGAATGACCTACGGGATGAAAATGTCCACAACCCACCTCGCAGTCCCTCATCAATCGGAGTGGAATGTTTTTGAAAAGGCATCGACCATGTTTCAGTGCATCAGAGAAGGATGGGAGCCAAAACTGATAGAAGCTTGGTTTCCCAGTCCACAATCCCGAGGATTTGACGATACACTTAATGCTTCGAATCCTCCGATGTTGGATGAGACTCTTCCGATGAATGGCCTGGACGATCTATGGATGATGGATGTTTTCGGCTCATTATAATTCTTGGGAGATTGAAAGTCTTCCATCGCATATTACTCTCGCATGTACTATATGGACCTAGTATTAACATAAGACACGCAGTGATTCAAGTTTTCGAAGTCTGAATACCTGACCTAAACTAGGACTTAACTTCCATGGAAGCTGAAAAGCTTCGACAGACCTGACATCTTCCTGAGTTCTACGTTCGGTGAGCGGCTTGTCTCATCGGTTTTTTTTTTTTTTTTGAGATTGAGCTGGACACTGCCGTCAACAGTAATCAATCTAGAGCAATCATCGACACATTGCTATCAGTTCTTACACCTTGAAGACTTCTAAAGACGTCTCGAAACGTATGAGATCCAAATAACACTGATCATCGCCTAGGCTTTGGTCATGACTTGGTAAGTGGAAAGTTGATTCTCATTTAGATGATGGTGAAGTCATGTCGGTCTTGGGCTAGCAAAGTGTGCCTCCTCGACAATGAACATCTAACACACATGTATTTCAACTTGACCCAATTGTCTGCTTTCGAGTCGTATCGGCCACTTTCGAGACATCGATGGCGAGGTATCATCGGCCTTGAAGTGCACACGTGGTGCATGGCGACTCCTAGTCTGAAGCCAGACACTGCAACCTGCTGCGCGCTTCTTCCCGAATGTGATGGACAATCTCGCCTGCGCTCGCAACATCGTGAATCAGGCCGATGGCAGCTCCTGCATACGTTGCTGTTCGACCCTCTGGTCCCCAGGCACTATCCCCGCCTTTCAAGGCCTCGTCGTGCAGCGCTTTGAGATCGTCAAAGGCCCGTCCTGCCGTGTGCTCCTCATATGATTTATTTATAATAGTTCTTGGACTGTACTCCGGAGGCCATCCGAAGGTACCCCGAAGGTGGTTATACAACAAGGTTCGTGTCGTCGAGACGGCCCCATCTGAAGCCCGAACGATCTCCTCCTGATATCCTTTGCTGATTCGAGCCTCAGTCGCAGCTAGGAATCGAGTGCCCATCGCGACACCCGACGCCCCAAGACACAGGGCGGCGGCAACTCCTCGCCCATCGGCAATGCCTCCAGCCGCCAATAGATTGATCTCGCTCCCCTTCATGACATCTGCGACCTCAGGGAACAGGGTCATCAAGCCAAGTCCATCTTTTGCCCGTCCATGGCCTCCCGACTCTGCTCCCTGGACGACCACGACATCAGGCTTTTCTGAATTTTGAAGAAGTTGCCTTGCCTCTGCCAAAGTACCTATCTGAATCCAGATTTCGGTCTTTGGTGATGCTTGTCGGATTCGACGGGACCAATCGTCAAAATCTTGTGGACCGTTCTTTGGAGCGTAAAGCCACGCAGCACAGGGTCTGAAGCGCTCGATGGCTCTGACGGCGACTTCGATGTCGTCTCCCCACAACTGGTAGCCGATACCCACCGGTAATGTTGGCTGATCACCGCGCGAAGATTCCCCAAAGGAATTCGACGAGGTCTTGGCTTTCTCCACGAGCTTTTTTGCTTCTTCAAGATCGGTCTCGGTGTCTTGCGTCTTAGCTCCGGGGCCAATGAAGCCCAAACCGCCTGCCTGAGATACAGCGAATGCCAGGGCTGGACTGGACATAACACGCATAGGAGCGCTTACAATGAAAGGGCTGGTAGCCCAAGCAAAGCGTGACAGGAGTTTTGTGGCCATTTTCTTTGGAAGACTTAACTGTCAAGACGGAGAAGATCAGAAACAGCGAGAAATTATCCCCCTTGATATGCTCTCATCGGCTTGGTTCACAATGTAAGAATCTCTTAGCTGAGCCGAGGCATGAGGGATGAGCTGATGGACGGAGAGCACTCGATACGATTACGTCTCCACCCGCTAGTGCCGCAACACCCGCAACACCCAGCGTCTTGTACATCTTGATCCCCTCAGTGATTCAGCGGATCTGAGCCACGGTGCTCACAGAGTGCATGATGGAGAGGCCCTTGGAGGCTTTGGAAACTTCCAGACGGAGGCGCGCTTTGGTGGCTTGTATTCCGTGCAGGGAGCGCAAGCGAAAATGCGATGGACAGGATCCCTGCTGCACTTGCATCTCATGGGGATATGAATGTAACTACCTCGCTCGTCGCCGTCGTCGATCCCGAAAAGTTAGAGCCACGACGCCGGATACTCAAGTGGACCTTCATCGTACTTCTGTACAGAAGAATCCCGTCCTTCAGACTGTCCAGACATCGAAACCCACTGACACAGATCGCATCGAGCTTGTTCGACGCCTCGAAGCCAACTCAGGGGCCGCATTTGTCAGGAAGCTGGGCCTCAAAATCGATCCGGCTAGAGCACCTAAGCTCAACTTATTTAGCTGGAACATTGGCGCCAGAGCATGTGCATCTCCAATGCCATCTGTCTTGACGGTGCCGATCGTAGAGATCATGACGCTCGAAGACATGCAGGCTAAAGCTCAGATCTACTTCGACAAAGTGCACCCGTGTTATGGATTCATGGATCCACAAGTGTTCTTCGAGCGGCTTGCTCTTCGTTGGAACCGCTTAGAATTATGGAACATCTTCGACAGTACCATCGCGGGTGTGGTGGCTATTGGTTGTTTCTTCTCCAACCAGCAAGCGACTATTCCTGAGCTGCATCTTGTGCGGACAGCGCGCCACATCTTGGAGATGCAAAATCTCGCGGGTCCTCCCTCGATTGACCTCTTGACAGGCTGGACTCTACGTTCAATTTACCTGCGTATGACAGACACACCGCACTCAACATGGATCGCAAGCTCCACTTTGATGCACCTCATAGAAGCAGCAGGGCTCCATCCAGAGCCTCAATCGGTCTTGCCAGCTCGAGTGCAAGGCAACACAGATATCCAGAGGCGGATCGTTGGTATGGCGCACCACTTGAACGTATGGACTTCCTACGATCTTGGCCTGTCTCGAGTCTCCTTTCAGAACAATGAGCTGCCTACACTTCCATCCCCTAGGCAGGGTGACTTGACCATTGAGCTTCTTCGGCTTTTGCCCGTGTCTCTCAGCCTTGATCCGAGCAAGACCAAGAACGAAACAGACTTGACCTCTGCTCTTTCAGATTTGTTGCGAAGCGATCACACTCAGCCTCCGTCAGTCATGGCGCAGTGCAATCTGGTTCTTTGCATCCTCCGGCGTCTTCATACCCAGAACTTGAACATCTCACCCGATGCTGCAGCAGAGGTACTGAGCCTTTTAAAATTAGGATTGCAGAGTGCTCGGAGCATGGTTGCCAGCTTTTCACCGTGGCACCATGCTGCAAACGTGCCATTTCACATCATCTGTGTTCTTCTCGTCATGGACACACGTCCATCCCTAGCCATGCTTCCGGAGGCGATGGAGACCGTGAAAATGGTTGCCAATACTTGGGATACTGAGACGATGAGGGAAGCTTACAACACCGCCTGTTTACTTGTCATGCTGCATCAACAACGCCGAAAAGACGATCTGGCGATCTTTAGCGAGACCCTCTTAGAACGTCGAAATGACGGTTCTCTTGGTTCTACCCCGTACATTGACCCCAGCTCAGAAGAGTACTCCTGGCTAGGTGCATTAGTCGCTGACCTGCCAGGTCTTCAGAGGGTGGATCTCGATCAATTCCTTGGCGCAAATATACAGAGCTCATCCTTCTTTGGTATTTCTGACTGAAGATTTACGATGCACTGCGACAATTGCGAAATGTCACCACATTGATTGACGATCAAGTAACCATCTGTCTTTGGACCGCCAGCGTACAACAGTCACGCGCGTGCCTTGGGCCGTAGATGAGTGAAACGGCTTGGACACTTGGCAGCGAACCAGACTGTATATTTTGGCTATTCTCAAAGTGGCGATCAGCCATTCACCGGTGCATCATTGAACCATTTCAAGTGGATAATAACAACATGGCCGTAAAGTATCCGGAGGCGACTGTGGAGCCAACAGAAAGAAGGGGACTGCGCCGTGCGGAGTCCACGTGTGGAGTCTTGCCGAACACCGAAGCCCACCTCTCCCGACCACCGAACCTGGCTGTCGCGCCGCGCCTCCCATGGCTAGCTACACTTCTGCTTGACGAGCGTAACGTCCGAATGTTCATATCGAGACCGAATACATCCGGGATTACCTCACAGACCTCTCGCTGGTAGTCACAACGATTACCATGGTCACCAAGGAAGAAAGCCGAGGCCTCGAATCGCAGCCATGCAAGTCCTGCGACCGATGTCGCAGCCGCAAGGTTCGATGTATTAGTACGTTCACACGGTGTACCAAAGGGCAAATACTCCATATGTGAAATGCACTTCTCACCGTCTGGTATTAGTGATCCCTGGACAGAATTCTCGATGCACCCATTGCGCTGTAAGCCCAAGATCGACAATCTCAGAGGTTGACACACTGACACATGGTCGATGCATCGCCGTAGAAGCGAAATGAGGCCTGCCATTTTACCCAGAACAAGCGTAAGCTTAGGGTGAAACACTCAGCAGTGAGCTGTAAGTGTTCATCTCGACGCAAAAGTGGTTGCATCGATCTAATAATGCTGGATCACAGTGACATGCAGAGGTAGTGGATCTCATGAACCCTTAGTCGATGACAGTGAACGGGTCATATCGCATGGAAATTCGCGTTCAGGGACCCCAATTGAAGGGGTCCCTGCGCAACTTGGGTTATCGCCCGTCTTTATGGATCGCATGCTTCAGAATCATGGCTCTACGGGAGTGCTCAGAGACAACTCCTCTCTGCTGATAGTAAGTCGAGAGGCAATTCATATGGGCATGATGTTCCGAAATACTGATCAAGCTTCTTAAAGGCCCCTGAGCACGATGGTAAGGTTCTTTAGTAGTGGAGATTGTTGCAATTTATGGACTGACATTTCCCTTGCGAAAGTAACTACATCCAGTCTTGCATTCTTTTCAGAGCGCCGAATTCGATCCCTATCTCATCGGCTGGGAAATGACCGGCTAAGTGAGCTGGTGGAGACGATCGAGTCTGTTATTCGAACCCGACTTCTTGCTCAGGGTCCGTCCTCGATATCCTCCATCACCTTCAGAACGCCCTCAGACATCGAGCATGTCCCGCTTGACAAAGCCAAGTCCTACATTGATTGTGAGTGCTTGTCAACCTCCTGGGCTTCGCATTCTCCTTTGCTAACCATTTGTTCATGAATTCGATGATCAGCCTATTTTCAACAGCTTCATCCGATATATCCCTTTCTGGACCGCCTGGACTTTGAGAACAAGGTCTTTGGTCCTGATCTAGCGACTCACCTGACCACAAGTCACGCTTTCACCGCATTGTATTACACTGTCATGGCACTGGGATGTCAGTATCATGAAGGTGGAGCTTTTGACCCGGGCAGCGGTAAAGCCTGGAAGCTTTTCCAGGTAGCCCTGGGCCTGATTTCAGACATCATAGCTCCGAGAGCGACTTTGATAAATCTTCAGGTAAGTGTCATTCATCCCTAGTACTGCACTTGAATGATCGAAGACTGAATTCCATGGTACAGGCGCTGGTCGCTATGGTAAGCAAATGAATTTCTCTTCTTAGAGAAGCTGGGTCCCGGACACACGAGGGAGAACTAAAAAAACTTCGCGCTCTGTCATCTAGTCCATTTTCGCGATGAGCACGTGCTGCCTTCAGATTGACGAAGTGCTTCTTACAGAAGCAACGCGAATGGCTCAATTATTAGGATATCACCGAGAGCTGGGCATCGGAGACTCCAGGCATAGGGCAACATGTTACAGAACCTTCTGGGTAGTCTACTTCATGGAGAAACAAATGGGGTTCAATTTTCAAAAAGGCTCGGTGAGTAGACTTCTCACAGCTGTTCCAAGATCCAAGCTTGACATTGTCAATGAGGCGTGCGCCAGCAAGTATTGACCAACGTACCCAGATGATTCCTGACTATGACATCGGATGTCCGATCCCTGAGGTCCCAGAGTCAATCACAGGGAACTGCAATTGGTTTCTTTCAGCGATCGGCTTCAGTCGAGTATTGTCCCAAGCTTACACATCGCTCTTCTCTGCAAGCGCATCTATACAGTCGACCGATTCCCTTCACCAGGCGATTGACATAATCGAGTCCCGCCTGGAGCGTTGGCGACTAAATATACCAGCGGAATTCAGACCTGGGAGACCGTTAGGCCGCAAGGAAGGTGGCACGTATCCATCTTCACATCTATCCTCACTTCAACATAGCTTCAAGATGATTGTCCTCCGGACCAACTATCACTACTACGGTTTAGTCATTGCGCTGGCCAGACTGAAGATGCACATTTGCAGACAAGATCAGTACAGTCAACAGGAGGAAAGCAAACGCCTACTCATGGACACAGCTCGTGCGATTGTGGAGGAAAGCAAGAACATTGAAATTGCGGCACACACACCGATCTAGTGAGAGAAAGAGACCCTTGATTCTGCGAAGAACATCCGAGATCAAAAATCACTGACCTCAAGAAACTGATGTAGCATTCTGGCCGTCCTTCCACTTGCCGCCTTGTTCATTCTGTTCGATTTCATCGTGCACAACCCGACGCATCCAGAGACGCGAGATAACCTGTCATTGCTGGATGTCGTAGCTGGTCATTTCAGTCTACTCGACTACAAATCAGGTGGCTTTCTGCCTGCGTCATTGCTCACTGAATTCGCTCAGATTGCAAGACAGTACGTCAGGGACTTTGCCTCCACATCGACTCAAGAGCCGCCGCCGCCGCCGCCACAGCAGCAGCTGCCGCATCAGCAGCAAGCTGAGGAATCCCTCGGTGGAGTCGACGTGGCACTTTCCTGGCCCTCGCAGACGGCTACTGAGGTACGTCGGTACTTATGAAGACATTGTATTGAGATGAAAAAGAAGCGTCATCAACCCAACAGATTTCGCTGACGTGAACCGGTTTCTCAACAGAACATGACTGATCTCAACAGGGAGGAAACCAGTGGCGATGGAAGTACAGATTATCGTCCGAACATCATGGAGACCTGGGAACCAAGAGACTATCTACACTACCCTGTCTCGCCGGAATTCGGCATGGCCGATACATCTACGATGGGAGCTCTCAATTTCCAGAGCTTGTTCGGATTCGTTGTGCCGGATTTTCAATGTGGCGATGAAGTATAGCTCAGTCATGAAACATGAAACCAAATCTGATCGTCTCTGGTGGGAATATTATCATGTACACTCTTCATTCTTTCGCCGGCGTCGCCGAAATGTGACACGTCAATAGTCTGAACAGGGAAATTGCTTGATCGGATGTAAGAATGCCAGGCGAGGCCCAACAACTCAAAAACATCCCGAGCAATCACAGTCGGGATAGAGTTTCTGACCAATAAAGACATGGTAGAAATGAGATAAGACGAAGTGAATGAGGGTATCCATCAAGGGATGAGTGGCACAACTGAGAAAGAAGGCTTCGGCGTAATCTGTCCACTTCAACCCTCTGAGCGCGCATGCTATGCTACTAAATGAAGAGGCCAAACTTGAAAAGGCACTGTGAATGCAAGCACTGTGGATGCAATAAAAATGAATTCGTTGCACGAACACAGAAGGTATCATAATCATACAATCGAAATCCGTTCTTCCCGTCGCATTACTGGTGTCAATTGCGCCAGCGCCCAATGCCAATGCGAAGAGCCTGGAAAGTAAAGATAGCAAGGTCGCGCTTGAAAACCAAAAATATGTACTTGGTCAAGGATGGTCATGGCCAAATCCATTATATACGCCAGCACCGTTGGTTGCTACAGCATCAGGGCTGGTCGCTGAACCGTTGGTCTGTGGGGAAGAGTCTGCGAGTGGCTCGGGGTCAAGGTGCATGCTGATGCAATCGAGCTCGAGGCCGCTGAGATGAGGGATCTGTGGGACGATGTCCATGAAATCGGAGAGCTATGGTCGTGGTTTCGATAAGCGGATATTCTGGACAGATCAGGAACCAAATTTGAAACTCACCTTGACCCAGAAAACATGCTCTAAAGCGAAATACTTTGGTCTGGTCTCGCAATCCAATCGCATAATGTCACCAAAGGACGCACTGTGGTACCTAGGGTCGTCAGTATACACCAGCATCCGCCGTGTACACCGCCAGAGGTTCATTCGTTGAGTTTCAGTGGCTTTTCGCTTCTCCCAGCTGGCATCTGTCAAGGGAAACATCATTGAGTTAGCCTGGCCTCTTTGGAGAAAAAGATGAACAGCATTGGCGTATCTCACAGTCAGAAAGCTGAAAGTCATTCGTAGCCAGCAGGGGGGCCACCAAATAATTAGGGATCCACTTCTCGTCGGCGACCTCAACCGCACAGCCGGCGTCAAGCTGCCGGGTCACAACAGTGACCAAAGGCAGGAAATTCTTGAGCCACGAGTGACTTCGAGCGCGGGGATCATGCGTTCCGACAAGATAGGCAGAAGCCCGAAGGCGACCTGGTAGGGCATCTCGACGTCGTTGCTCCTCGGCCTCCTGTTCACGTCGCAACTTGGCCACCCGCTCCCTCTCAAGCTCCAACTTCTTCAGGCGCTCGTCCTCTGCTTGTCTGGCACGGCGCTGTTCCATCTCGAGGCGCTTGCGCTCTTCTTCTTCAGCCTTCTCGCGGGCAGCCCGTGCATCCCGTTCAGCTTGCGCGGCTCTTTCGACTTGCGCAGCTCGCTCTGCCTCTGCCGCTTTTTCGGCTTGCGCAGCTTGCTCTGCCTGTGCAACTCGTTCGGCCTGAGCAGCTCGTTCGGCCTGAGCAGCTCGTTCGGCCTGAGCAGCTCGTTCGGCCTGAACATCGCGCTCGGCCTGCGCCGCTCGTTCGGCTTGGGCATCCCGCTCAGCTTGTTCCGCACGTTCAGCCTCCGCCTTCTCCTTGGCCAGTCGAGCCCGTTGTGCCTCTGCTTCAGCTTCAGCCTTTGCTATACGAAGCTTCTCCATGGCAAGGCGTTCCTCCTCCGCCTTCCTCGCCTCCATTTGACGTCGATGCTCGCTCACCATTTCAGCTCGCGCCTTCTCCTTGGAGGTTTCGGATAGAGAGCGGTGTTCGGAGACAGGGGGCGATGATTTTGGCTCACTGACTTTGTCAATCAGGTCGCGTTCTTTCAATTTGTGTGGCAAGACATCTTGAGAGAGACGTGAAACTTGTTCCGATTTGAGAGACGAAGCAGCTGGTTTCTTCGACGTCTCAGTAAGCTTGCGGTGGGTCGTCTCGGGGGTCTCCTCCTTAGGCCGAGGCTGCTGGGCTTTGTGCCCGTTCACCTCTTCCACCTTCCGGGGTGTTCCATTTGTGAGATTAGACGCTTTCTCCTCAGCCAGCACACGGCGCTTCTTCTTCCGCGCCTCCGGTGACAGACGATCGTCACCACCTCTATCACGTGATCGAGATCTCTCAGGCGAAGTGTCCGTACGAATGCGTTTTAGGGAAAGAGAAGAGTCGGGATGGCTTTCTTGAGGCCGCACATTTTCTTCGTGGCTGGAAAGAGAATCTTGGGCAGCCAAGCTTGGTCTCCGATCCCCGTCCTGCGGCCGACGTCCAGCGATAAGACGCCTCTTACGGACTTCATCGGTCTTGGCAACACCACTAGATTCGCTGCCTCGCCGAACAGAAGTCGCATGTTTGGCTTTTTTAGAATCAGGGCGACTGGAATCATGATCGGAACTGGCGAGAGCATAATCGTGCGGGTCTCGCCCATCCCGTGTTTCGTGTGAAACAGCCTTGGGGCGGCCGCTGGGAACTGCGGCTTTCTTTTCTTCACGACGTTTTTCCTTTGCAGAGATGTCATGATCCTTTGGTAGTCGTTGACGGTTGGCGTTGGGGCTCGCGTCGTTTGGTCGTTTGGTGCGTGGAACGGGTGAGGATGAGTCTCGCCGACCATTGCGTTTCTCATCCTTGTCCGTAGCACGGGCTCGGCGGGGAGAGGATCCATCCTTGCGTCCCTTTCCCGGACCAATGTAATTCTCATACGCCTTCTTGAGTATGTCGTATTCCTCTTCCCAATTCTCTCCCTGTCGAGATCGGGAGAGTTCGTAATACGTCTTGTCTTCAAAAAGCCGCCGCGTGGGATCAAAGCCCGGCTGACCAAGGATGAGTTGAATGCTATCCATGTTACCCCGACCGATTGCAGCGAGCATGGGGGTATTGTATCCAGGCTTGTGGCCGGACCCCCGAAGCGGGTTCGGATCAGCATCAGCGTCACCGATGGCATACATCAAGGAGAGGACGTCGAAGTGGCCTCCTTTGGCAGCGGCAATGAGAGACGCGTTGTCGGCCTTTTGAAGTATGTTCAGAATGCTGACCACGCCCTGCTCATCGCCTTTGGCCGCAAATTCCCGCAGATTCTCGGAAGTCGGCTGCGTCCACAGGAGATCATTTCGCGTGGCCTCACTTCGTCCGGTCTTTCGCCGGCCAGTGGTGCTGGCCATCGGGGGTGGGCTTCGCGAGGGACTGGCAACAGATGCCCGACGGGATCGAGGAGGCCGATCAGGTGCCGCCTGCTGCTCCTCCGAGCGTCGACAAGGGCGAGAGTTGGCCTTGGCATCCGCTAACATCTTTCGTATATCGTCATATTCGTCATCCTTGAGGTCCGTAGGGACCAACTCATAGGGCTCATCACCTGAGGCATTCACAGTCCGAGGGTTCGCACCCGCTTCCAGTAGAAGTTTCACAACCTCCACGTTTCCATTTTCCACCGCATCGATCAATGGCGTGTCCTTGTCGATGTTCTTCGTGTTGATTTCGCAGCCCGCATCCAGAAGAAATTTGACAATCTGCTCCTCGCCATTGAGAGAGGCGACTTGCAGAGGGGTGTTGCCTGCGTTGTCCGGGACATTCAAATCCTCCGGTCGTTCATTGTACCGCAGAACTACCTGATCGAACTTGCGGTCTGCGCAAGCGCGCGCAAGGGGGGTGCGGCCACTCTTGTCTCGCAATTTCTTCGTGCCCAGGTGTCTCGAGGCCGATGCACCCACACTGGATCCGGGCTTGCGAGCATGTGCGCTAGGGAGCGGCGAGCTGCTCGTTGACGAAGAATTTGACACTCGGTCCTCCGAAGTTTGTCGTGGGAAACCAGTGATTAAAGGCGTGGGAGCTTTCTTTTTGGCGGCGACGTTTGATCCGGATGCGGAGCGGTGATGGGACGGTCGTCCAGGTGAAGCCGAACGAGAGCTTGCAGGCGGGCGTGACACACGGGTGTGACTCGGGTGCTTGATATCGCGGCTCTCGCTTCCTTGTTGACCACGATGACGCTCCCTCTTCTCGCCAGGGTTATCACTCACACTACGTTTTCGGTGATTGCGCGGTTTTCCAGGTTCAAGGTTGCCGCTGCTGACATCCTTCCTCACATCTTCCGGCCCCGATGGTCCTTCGTCGACCTTTTCCACCTTCACCACCGATGTTGGGGAGTATCCTCGATCGGTTGGGCTTCGCGCCCGTGTTGGCCGCTCGTCGTCATCATAATCCAGACGAGGTCTCTTCCGATGTGAGCTGTCGAGTCCGTCGACGGCTCGACGGTGAGGGTCATGGCGGATGGTCTTTCTTTTCTTTTCGGGGGAGAGAGATTCTCGACCCGATTGAATGATGGTCTCGGCCTCTGAATCTGCCTTGGGACTGAGGGGGTCCATCCCGTCCTTGTCCGCTGCTCCCATCGGGTGGTGCGATCCAGCGCTGTCTCGACGGGGTGAGGCGGTTTGAGTAGAGATAACCGGTTTCAGCGCGGTCGCTGCATCAGAAGTGGGGTTGGTGGTGGATGAGCGAGCAGGAGCGGAGGAGTTGGCGTTCGGAGGCTTCCGATCGGGAGACGAGGGTCGATCCCTCGACCGTGAATCGGCCTCGCCATCCTGCTTCACCACCGCGAGCGTATTGTTGCGACCGACATCCAAGGCAGCGGAGAGAGAGACAGGGTCAACATCACTCATAGCGATAGCACTCGATTGGAATAGATTCCGCTCGTCATTTTGGGAAGCACGCAACAGGTCTGTGCGACCGTTCGGAGACCAGCAACGCCAGCAGTAATGTGCAGACGCTGGTTACGATCCTGAGAGCGTACGGCGGGTGGGCAGATTCACGAATGCGAAGACTAGGAGTGGCGTTGAGTTGTCCTTTCGTTGGGTCACTAATTGAAACAGCAGACAGACACGGCTTTTCTTCGTAAGTATACGAGGATAGCACAGGTACTCCAGAGACCCCAAATTCGTCAACAGCGACCGTGAAAGACGAACGGTGGTGGTGTAGTGGTGGTGGTGATGATGATGCTGGTGGTGGTTGTGGCGGCCACGAGGAGGAAACGACTCGGGGAGAGCGTCAAGAGGGAGCAGGAATTGGTGACGGATGCAATTGGAGGGGGCGAGTCGAATGCGGAAGATTCGCAGGAAGAGACAGAAGAAGTACCCAGACCAAAAGAGATGGAAAAGAGATTGGTCGGCGGTGGATGGACCAGAACGGGTCAGAAGGTTTGAAGAGGAATGGAGGGAGTGGGAAAGAGGAGGATTTGGGGGAGGTGGCGCTGACGAGGGGATCGATTGAAGAAGGAAGCGGACGAAGAAGGGAAAGAGAGAGAGGAGAGGGAAGAGAGGTGAACAAGGAAACGGGGGGGGGGGGGTGGGCACTGGGCAGATCGAGCGCGGTGAATCATCGTCCAACAATTCCATCTTCAGGCTTGGACTTGGGGTCGGTGGACGGCTGGACAGGACCGAACATTGCGGGTTGGGGGGCGAGTGAACTGGTGAAGTAGATAAACGGTCGATGGTCGACGGCGTGAATACAGGTAGTTCGAGCTCTGTTCCGTCTTGCATGATGGCTCCAAATGCTGGACTTCTCCCGATACAAACTTGTTGTCATTCCCCTGTTTCACTGGGGAGGCAATGGGAAAGCGGAGACTGCGAAGACCCCGGCATATCGTCCTGGATGGTCTCGTGTGCAGGACGACGGAGAGACAGTGTTCGGGTTCGGGTACGACTCTAGCAACTGATAAGGATTCGAGTAGTACGAAACTCCCCAGAGTCGTAGTATCGGATGTAGTATGTCGTTAATGTACTGTTCCAGTAGATACCACTATAGGTAAGATGGTAGTGCCCCAATTGTGCTGTATCTACTATCTACTACTATATCCATTATCTACTCTCTACTACTATATCCATTATCTACGATCTCACTACTACCTCCTAGCAGGTACCAAGGTAGATACAGTAGATAAAGGCAAATGATCACTCAACCGTCAGCTCACGACAAAGATCAGTAGATATACCACACAGCCACAGCAGGATGGAGCCATGGACAGCCGCACGGCGAAAAGAGATGCTAGCTTCTTACCGGGGAAATGGTGATGGAATCGACCGCAGCTCACACAGTTCTGGAAGTCGGGGACTGGAAAGATTACACTTCGAGGGTGATGGGGTGACGGATCAGCGCCATGATTTGAATGATGACCGTATGCAACTCTGCATATGGCCATGGACTGAGTCTCATGTTGCAGGCACCAAAGAAACATACGATTTGTCCGAGTCCTCGACAATACCGAAGACGCAGCTGCGTGATTACGTGATAGGTAAAAGTAGTAGTACCTGATAGTAGTAGTTATTAGCATTCAGCCGTCCTCCGCCCGCTTGTTTAGAGCTCTTGCGAGTTGCGAACCCCCAAGCTTCTCCCTGCGCAATCCACACTGACACAGTCACATACATAAGCCCAAGGGTACCTGTACCTGGCGACCAAGATACTGTCTTGTATTGAAGTATCTGTTGTCAAGTTTTGTCAACCGAATCATGTGCCACTCGTCGAAACTCGAAAGGGAGCGGATCGGCTCGCATCAGGGATGTTTGCCCTGTTTGACTCATCACACAGTAGAACATGAGGTTTCAAGACACAGTAGGACTCTCCAATCTCCACGTTTTCCCTGTGCAGGGCCAGCCTCTCTCTGTAAGGTGGCGATCGAGCTCGATGCGGCCATTCAGCATCCGGCCTGGTCCCTATCGCTTGTCACTCATCAGTGATCACTACTATCGGTCTTCAGAAGTCGCGAGCCGAAGTTCGCCTCCCGGTCCCATTGTGGAAATGGGTTATGGTGATCCCCGCCACATCAAGTAAACAGTCATGCAGTCCTTACAATACAGTACCTACTCCCTACATAGGACATATGTAGGTAGTATGTAGGTACTACTACCACCTACTTCCTCCTTAACTCGAAAGCTAACTAGAGCATTGGAGCAATGGACACTTGAAGGTGCACCTCACTCCAGAATCCGTAGTGAGATGATAGCACTACTACGGTCCGTAAGTTTAGTACTACTGTTACTCCGTCGGCAACTTGGACCCGATTTCGTGAATCCACGACTGTAGGTGAGAGTCACATGCCTAGGTTGCCCACCCATTGATTTCCCACAACGGAATCCGCTTGAGTTCTCAACTTGTCGAGCTTTTCTCGAGTCGTCGCCTGCGCCCCGTGGCTCGTCGAGGTCCACTTCCCACTCAACCCACTCTCGGCGGCTGGAGCAACCAAGCTCGATCAGTTGGAAGCTGGCGGGAGCTCCGAGGGGAAGTCGGCCCAAGTACCACCGTACAAGGGCTGCAGTGGGTGCTGTTGAGTGGGTTGTCGACTCCGGAGTCCTCAGGAACGAACTATTCAACGTGAACTCGGTCTAGTCCTCGAGGCGAAGAAGTGGAAACATGATTACCTGGTGGATGACGCCCATGGCCACTTGATGGATCTACAGATGGCAATCCCACTTCAGAAGTCACACTTTCACACTTCTTTGGACTCTACAGTCTACACTCTACAGTCTACAGGGATGATGATGCACAGGACTGTACTTGTACTTTGTACCATCGCCAGGTCCCCCCACTTTCGGACTGCTGCTCTTTCGGTCCCGTTGTGTTCTGGTTCTGCCCCCAACTCCCGAGGTCTCCAGGCCCCCGTCTCCAATTGGCCTGTCATCGTCAACGTGAACGTGAACGTCCGTCAACGGTGGTGTCTTCATTTAGCGTGAAGTATACACTTGATGCGTCGCCAATCGAAGTAAGGTGACTCGGTTGGGCTTGCTTCCGCACTCGACTCAATTTGCACATGCAAGGAGCCACCTGCATCATGCCCGACGTTTTGTCGTATGTCGACAAAGCCTTGAATACAGCACACATGGACGCGGTCGATGCGCTGCGCGCGTTCTTTCTCCTCGCTGCTGCTACGGTACGGCCACCAAAGTTGCGCCTCATCTGTTTCCGACGGGACTGCGATTGTTCGCGCAAAGAGCTAATCAAGGTCAACTTCAACAGACAATTTCCATCAGTCTCCCTTCCTCGCTACGAGATCGATTCCTCCTCTATGGCCCGCGCGCGACAACCACTCCGCCAGACGCACAGGCCGATGGTGCCAACTCGTCTCGACCAGACGCGCAATCTCCAAAAGAGTCTCAGGCGCAAGACTCTCCTTCCGGAATCGGGTTTCTAGACTACCTCGCGACCTGGCAGGTGCCGCATAGCTATTTCACCCAGTTCTATGTCGCCTCCATGGCATCTTCGGTATTCTGGGCAATTCAATTATGCTGCCGCGGACGTGTCTTCCAATGCATTGTGTCGCGAATTAGTGAGGAGCACCTGCACCAGTCCATGACCCTGACGCAGGTGCTCATCTGTTGGATTCTCCTCGCGATTCAAGGCTCTCGGCGGTTGTGGGAATGTCTCATTTTCGCCAAACCGTCGACCTCGAAAATGGGAATTGCACACTGGCTGCTTGGCGTGGTGCATTATATCGCAGTGGGCATCGCTATCTGGATTGAAGGATCAGGTATGGAGAACAAGGCGCGCGAGAGACTCCCCAAGAGCTTCTCCCTTGACAAGATCAAAGATCAAGCCTGTGTTTTTGTTTCTAACATCTCCTCGATTTGTAGGCGCAATCCTCACATCGAGTCTCACCCTGGCCGATTTCCAATTCACAAACGCTCCGTCGTTGCGAACGTTTGCCTGCGTCCCGTTATTCCTCATTGCGTCTGGACTCCAGCACGACTGTCATCACTTCCTCTTCTCGCTGAAGAAGTATACACTGCCGGATCACCCACTTTTTCGCGGAGTCGTGTGTCCGCATTACGGGGCCGAATGTGTCATCTACCTGTCTCTTACATATCTTGCCGCGCCTCCCGGGCAAGTCGTTAATAAGACCATGCTCAGTTGTCTGATCTTTGTGGTGGTCAATCTGGGGCTGACGGCGCAAACCACCAAGATCTGGTACATGCAAAAATTTGGTCGGCAGGCGGTGCAGGATCGATGGTTGATGATCCCGTACGTCGTCTAGTGATCGGTCAGCAACCTTGATCCATCATGGCTCCGACCCCATCGAGCTCGAGTCACGGAGGTCAATTGGCCAACCGGGCGGGGAGCAAGCTTCTCTCGAAATATACATGAGAAGAGACCCAGGGGCAACATTGAGCAAAAGAGTGAGCCTGATACGCATCAGTGCAGGATCGTTTGGGATTTCCGTCCAGGCGCACCCTATGTCTTCCCACCCAAAACTTTCAGAGCGTTGCCCATCTTAGCCACTTTCAAGACATCCCGATACGTCAAGCTCGTCCTCGTAGCTCTCTCATAAGATCCTCTCGCAAAGCCATCCCGGACCCCCAACAAGTCCCAATTACAAATCGTATCTGGTCCCAAATCCTCATCGGCCACCTTTTCCGCAATTCCATGCAAATACCCCGTATACATTTCGCCACGAGTCACCAACAAACTCCTCGGCTCCTGCAGAATCCTAAACCGGACCTGGGCACGATCCACTCGTTCTCGGGCATCGCCATCTTCCCCAGCACTCTCCAGCTTTTTATCATAAATATCCAAGACAATCGGCGCTCCCAAGCTCACCGTCGCCACGAGCGGATAATACGCCGGTCCGTCTTCATGCGGCATGATCCCCTGACCCGGTCGGTACTCATTGATGAGGACGTGGTTTGGCGCGGCGTGCGGAGACTCGGCGAAGATGCCCAGCTCGGTGAATTTGGGCTCGATGACGGGGTAAGTGAGCCAGGGTGGAAGGGCGGCGGAGAGGAGGGTGTTGGTCTTGGTCAGAGACGAGGGCCAGGTTTGGAGTCGTCGGTGGGTCAATTGAGTCCAGCGCGGCAGTGGTGCGTGTGAGATCTAGATGGGGGAGAGAGAAGATGGGTTGGTTCAGACTTTAGACTAGGTAGTTTGAGGACTGTGTGCCCGTTGTGCAGGGCAATGGAGTTGATTTTGCCTCCGTTCAACGTGTCAAGCTCATCGGTGTTTCAATTTTCAACTGGATGCTGGGTTCAGGTGCGTCCTGGTACTTCCGACGTTGAGTGGTTGGTCGGCCTCCCATCTGGCTTCCAGCCTGTTGAGGGTGGTGCTATGAACTACATGTGTCTGTTCTGGAGCTTCCTGGTTGGGATTGTGCGCTGGCTTCGACGTCCAATGTCGCGAGATTGGTCTCTTTGCGTGGACAAGAGGATAGATAGTAAGGGAGGATGCACGCTTACCTTTCGAAGAAATTGATCCTCTTCCTCCTCGGTGATGAAATTGGGAATGTAATACGCATCATTGGGGAGGGACACGATGCGTGCAGCTTGAAGCTTTTCCGAGATCGCCATCATCGACGCAGCCTGAGCTGAATGGCCTCTGTGTAGAAAGGCACGATAACAGATGGAGCACCAGGTAACGATGATAGATGGTAAGATTCGTTCTGTCAGTCCAGCCTGCGGTTGACCGTGAGAGGGAAAGGCAGGGTGACAAGCCCGGCAATGTTGGTACCAAGAGCACGTCAATGAATATATTTAAGACCTGTCTCTCGACAAAAAGAATTCACCATTGCTTCTTCTCTCGGTAAACTCAAGTGGGAGGTGTTGTCCAAAAAAAAGACGACTTCAAATTCCCCCACACTCATTCATACCGTGGTTGTCACTTACGTCGTGCTTGTTCTTCCGTCTTCTCTGCCTGAGGCCACAGGGCCAACACCCCCCCACCCGGTATCGCCAGAAACGCCCGCCGGAAAAACCTCATTGTTTTCAAGTCCGGCGAGTCGTCAACCTTGCAAAAAGAGAAGTTAGAATTAGCAAGGATCTTTCTTGCATTGTTTTCCTTGAAAAACGTATTCCAGTTTGCCAGGAATCCATATGGCTCCCAAGAATAACGCCAAGGGTGGTGACAAGAAAGGCGCTGCCGCCAAAGGCAAAGGCAAAGATGCCGGTGCCGACGACAAGGGCAAAGTAAAGGGCGCACAATCGATCAATGTGCGACACATTCTGGTCAGTACTGGAGTCAACATATTGGAGCTGTGAATATTCCAGAGAAAGAGGGGATTCTTTTCGAGCTTAGCATGCATCATTATACCCTCGCCGACAAGGGTTTCGCTTCCTCGGTGGATCGCGGTTTGAAAGAGTGTATCGACGAGGGGGAAAGGCAGTCAATGACAACCAAAGGTTCCTGATACTGACTGGGCCGATGTGAATCTTCCAGTGCGAGAAACATGCCAAAAAGGAAGAAGCTCTTGAAAAGTTGCGGAACGGGACCAAATTCGACGAAGTAGCCCGTGAATTTTCTGAAGATAAGGCTCGACAAGGTACGTGTAGTATATCCCCCAAATTCTCTCCCAATCCACCCCTTCTTCTTCTTCGAAACCGAGACCGGCAGAAACTAGAGACAAATACTACAGAATAAAAGACACCCTATTTGCTCTACCACCTTCTCCTTTTTGATAATCACTGCTGAGAATTCTTCTGACCTCACCTTATTTCCAGGAGGATCGCTCGGGTGGAAGACGAGAGGGGATCTGGATCCCGCGTTTGAAAAGGTGGCCTTTGAGCTGGAGCCAAGTACGACTGCTAAGCCCAAGTACCAGGAGGTCAAGACGGGCTTTGGTTATCATATCATCATGATCGAGGGACGAAAGTGAGCTGGGCTCTGTGCAGGCAAAGCTCGAGGTAGCAGACTAATGGCATCTCATGACCAAACACATGCTATTTCAGTTTCAAGGCAAGAATATCGAGACTCTCGGCGGCTTGGTTTGATATGCGATGTTTGATATGTACTATATAATGGTGACATGACCCTGTCGCACAAAGGGATGTGTATCACTACCAGTGGAGGACGGTCTCTGAAGAGGCTGAGATCGTCTTACTCCGTTTTCTTGGCCGCTTCCAGACGAGCCCGTTCTTTGGACCTCTTTTCCTGTCTCTGCACCACTGCCTCGGCACCGATTCCGCCAAAGACTAGTGCAATGCCCAGCCACTGGCCCGGTTTCAGCGAATGACCAAACCAGAACACACTCAACAGCATTGTCAGCATCTTGCGAGTCACAGTCACAGTGACGAGCAGAAGCGACGAGAATCGGGACAATGTGTAGAAAATAAACAATTGGCCAACGGCTCCGCAGGCGGCGAACCCAAGCACGTGTTTCAGTGCCTCGGGGTGTCGTGACAGGAAAGAAATGGCCGAGGACAGCTCTGTCTCTGTGGATGGCGGAATAGGGATGGGCAGGAGGTTGTGCAGAATACCACTCTGAGAGAGCTGGGGCATGATCAGAAGGTATGCGGTTGTCAGGGCGGTCGACAAAACATTCTGCGCAACCATCATTTGGGGACCGGTGAATTTGGTGTAGAGTTTGGGAGAGGTGAAGACGTGATCCTGCGTCGTGTTGGTCAACCCATCCAGGAGCAGGTTAATCGAGAGGAGGAAGATTCCCCATGCCGAGGAACCGGATTGCTTGGCTGCGGATGCGGCCACCTTCTTGCTTGTGCTCGGGTGGTGGAGAGTAAACGTTGCGACTCCGAGAGTCACCAGCAACACGACCATGTACTTGTACAGCGGATACCGCTTCCGGAAAATCGTCAAGTGGAGGGCCATGACCGGCAGCAATTTGCATGACTTGGCCAGAATGAAAGTCAAATAGTCAATGTGCGCAAGACTGGCGTAGCCAAAGGGCGAAGCCAGTGAAGACGAGATGCTGACGAGCAACAAGGGGAAGAGAATACGGCGCGTGGGGAAGATCGAGGGTACGTCTTGACCCAACGGAGTCGAGAAGAAGAGGTACAGAAACCCGGTGATTGCAGCAAAGGTAGACTGGATTGTATTCAGGACGAGGGAATACGTCCAGCGCTCCGTCGGGGGGTTAGGCTCGGTGGTCGTGGCAGGCCGAACGGGGTAACTCGTCGTCGTGATTGCTTCTTGGAGGACTCCCCATGATAGGCTGTGCAAATGGAGTCTTGGTCAGTGAACTGATTCCCGAGGTCAAACCGAAGCAATTCATTGTCCACGCTTGTCAAAGACGACTTACAAGGCTGCATATATACCGAGGACACAGATGAACAGCTGCATCAAGCCGGGGCTATCGGCAGTTGGTTGAGCGATGGGGACCGGCGCCTGAGACGGAGCTTTGCCATTGGCGATTGCTGAATGGGATAATTGCCCATTTGCAGTATTTTCTGTAACTCTTGGCCCGTCAGGGTGCGACTGCATCAGTTCCGACGAGGGACTGCGCTGAAGTGGCATCGTTTGTTTTTGGCGACCCATTGCGACTGGTGAAGGAGATCGAGCTCGATACCAGAGAATGCAAATGCAAGAAGGTAAATATGAATTAAACCCGAATTGACGGTCAAAAGAGCAGAAGCAAAAAGTTGTGAAACAGAAGTTGCAACCCAGACCCTTATCCGTGAATTATAACAGTCAAATCGCTCTGCTCGCGAGGGTAGAGAAAAAAACCACAACTTATGCGACAAGATGATGCCATGTGTTCACAGGGTTTAGCCTTTTGCATTTGTTGGCCTTATCGATTGTCGATCGCCCCACCGGAGAGTCCTGAAGAATGTCCTAATAATAAGTTGAGACATTCGCAATCTCAGTGTCGCCTGGACATAGTGTTCTGAGGAGTGGCTTCTTCTCAAATTCGAGTGGTCATTTGGGATGCTTTCCGTTTATTCAACGCATCTTCGTTGTTCCAAGGTCGCTATGTTCAAAATTTCTACATCAAATAAACGATGTGTCGAGTCGTGGACTGATAAACACGAGCTTCAAAGGCGGTCTTGGTCTTGTCTCCGGGTAAACGTCCAACTTGAAGGCGGTGGGCCCCTCCCCACGGAATAATTGAGCCGCGCATTTGGTTGCGACGGAGAAAAAATCGCGGGACAGCTATACGTTTAACGAATCCAAAACGAACTATACCTCGCGGATACGATCACGTCTTGGCCCAGAACCCACAATTCACACAGAATGTCACAATTGAATCCCTCGGCCCTCACGCGACTCATCGAGTCGCAATCAGCCTCAGACGATCCTCAGGCCGCAACAACCATTCAAATCCTGCATAATCTCCAGCATCAGCACCTCTGGACCTCACTTCAGACCCACGACATTGTCACAACATCAGACAGCACAGTTGAAAATCCTCAAGATACCCCTCGGACCTTGATCTCCGGTATCCCGCCCCATCGCGTCTATACTCATCCCGACGAGCAGCTGTACATGCTTGAGAAGAGCATTACAGAGGATGATCTTCAGCCGGAGAGAATGTTCGTGATACCCACCGCGCAAGGACAGAAATGGAGTCTTCGGCGAATGGCAGTTGCGTTCGATGCATTGGCGTCTCTGGAGAACACTGTCACCGAGGACGCAGAGGTGGCGCGGGGGTCTGCAGACTCGGGGAAGGTGGAGAAGCTCGACGAGTATTACGAAAAGAAGCGGGAGGCCCAAGTCACGAAAGCATGGGGTACCAGGCGCGCTTTGTTGGCAATGACCAACAGGGATATGGGTGGAGACGGTACTGTCGTCTATTACATCGTTCAGGAGGGTGAGGTCAAGCCCAGACAGAATTGAGCGAGGCCGTACGGGAGACGGTTCGGTTCATCATATCTGTGCAATCTAGTGAGGTGGCGGACCTTCCTCATGCGCAATTGGATGCGCATCACACAGAGGAGAATCAATCACTTCGCATGCGAATGCGAGAGTTACTGTGGCAAAAAATCTAAGGGGAAATCGGACACGAGGGCTCACGTTGAAGCTATGTACAAGGCATTAGGATACGCAATCACCTCCGGGTATATCCTTGGACCACGGTGCAATGCAAGAAGCTGATGAAAAAGACGGAAGGAGGAGAAGAAGAAGAAGAGGAAGACAAAGCTGTGGAAAATCGCTTCACAGAGACCGCGAATTATCTTGAGGCGGGCGATCGTCAGATTTGAGACATCTCAGGTCAAATAGTCTTGACTAGGTGGCCTTGAAGCTCGCTCTTGCTCGTGACGACAGCTGGTGCAATATCGGCCATACCATTCCTTGATGTTATCCGCATTCTTGCCAAATAGGCTCTCCACCTTGGCGGCCTGCTGAGCCTCGTTACCTGCGCTACCTTTACCGTCGCCGAGGAGAAGCTCAATCTGGCGACAGCGCCGGACCTCTCCACGAAGCCACCGCTGCCATTCGCTTTCGATAACTTCCTTCTCAATGCGGTTGACAACGCGTAGGCCAACTAGAAGGTTGTGTCTGTAAACGCCGAGCCGTTCCCTGGTATCCAAGAACCGCTTTGTTGCACTTTGCGCCACTGCCTCGCGCGGATTGGAGGCGCTCAATGATAGCGGAAGTTCCGAGTGCCGAAGACTGTGCTCATTGAAGGCACTGAAGCATGTACTAACGTTGCCGTCATGAGGCCAAATCGTGGAGTTGGCAACTGCTTCATCTATGTCCCGAAGATAGATGGCTTTGGTCATGACCATATTCGGCTGAATACCAATCTTAGCCATCAAGTTGCGGGTGTTACGCTCGCGCCACCACTCCCGACTGTATTTTGACGTGTACAAGCCGTTCAAGAGTGCGCTCACCACGAGCAGTATAAGTATGACCTTGTGGGTGCTCAGAGTCTTAACAGACCAAGTGATGAGGCCAAAGGAAGACTGCATCAAGAATGACAATGCGCTTTCCAAGAACGACAGAACCGTCTCCATCACGAGGTGCGGCATCGTGCGGTGAGTGCGCTTTCGCGTCTCTAGCTTCAAGTTGCCGCCCGCACCTGTGAATTGTGACACATTATTCAGACGGCCGACATGGCCAAAGATGGTGATGGCTTTCTTGGTACGACTGTGTGCGCCAAGACGGCGTACTTGGTCACTGACCAAGTCCACAAGATCTAGTGCATCTTGTTCCAGATCGCCTTCTGCCCTTTGATCGATGATTCCTATCTTGCTGTTAGAACACTAGAATCATCGACTTGATAACAGAAATTGAAACTCACGTTGTATGCCGAATGGTGTCTTGAGCCATTCCACTTTATTGTAAATCGCTAACTTGCACTTGGACTTCGCGACAAAGGTAATCACAACCTTACTGACAAGACGGAAAGAGCGCCGGAGAGGAAGATGCCATGGTGTTCGCTTATCAGTAACAACGTAGCAGAGGTGATCATTTAGCACATCGATGATTTGATAATCCGAGATACTGTTATCCTGGGTTCGTCCTGCGCTCATAGGTCAGCATCAAACACAATCGAGTAGAAACCGATGGCGATTACCGAAAACATCCGTTGTCTGAATCTTGTACTGGAAATCTCTTCGCAGATGCCGAGCTTCTGTGCTGGCCCATGGCCCCTGTTTGATTTCTATGTACACACAGAAACAGGCAAATGTCAGCAATCAAATTATGCAGTGCATCATGCGGTTTTGGCTCAACTGACCTTGAGCTTCACGCTCATGCAGCAAAAGCTGCCAAAGGGCACTCTTATCTCCGAACAGAATATGGAAAAGCGCTTTAGCACTGATGTCAAGGGGTCTTTCGATTGCCAACTTCAGGTCGCCTTGAGGAGTGTATTCGACGGGCTGCGTGGGGAGTCGGAATTTGGGGTGATCTCGATTTCGGCCGCCTCTGCCGCCATCTATGTCCAGGTCTTTATCAATGTAGATGGGAAGGTGGATGTTATGGCCATTCTTGGCATCAATTCCAGATGCATTCTCTTCCCAGCTGTCGGCGCTCGATTGTCGGGCCTGAACGTTGCTCTCCATCTTGATAAGCTCCCTGATGATTCCTTCGAGTGTCATCTGCTGTACAGCTATCGATGCCTGAATCAAAAAATTGAGGCGTTTCTGCAGAAGGCGCAGGGGCTCCAGGAATGTTTTCACCGTGATTCGTCCAGGCGTATCGCTGCCAAGAGGGGGTATCAAATGGAGGAAAAGGAAATCGCAGTCACGCCCTGAAGCAGCCGTTACTTCCTTGATACCGTCTAGTGCAACACTAGTGGTCAAAACGAGACCGAAGTGGTGGCTGTAGAAATAAATGTTGTGGGTTGTCACGTATGCTCGTCCAGGGAATTCTTGCTGCTCATTTGGGCTCCAAGTGGCTCGGAAGACAAGGACCAGGGGTTCGTCCCTTTTGACATCAGGGAACAGCAAGCGGAATTGAGCATCTTGGATCTTCAACTGTTGTGGATAGCCACATGGGTACTCAGGCTCTGAGATCATAGCTCGTGCTGCTCGGTGAATCTTGGATGCGTCTTCACCATCGAGGCTCACAGTCTGTCGATGACGCGGGCCCGAGGGTTGCCATGGTGTCCCAGATGCATCTGGGACTTCTGCCTGGGCCGCGATTTTTCCTCCGTCAGATTCACTCATCACCGACGACGAATCGTCGTGGCTTGAAGACTCGGCCTTTTCACCATTCGCATAATTTTGCTCCCGCTGGAACTTGTTGATGAAGCTCCAATTGGAGGTTCCCCATAAGTTGGCCATCATGCCGCTGGGCATACCTCCTGTACTATCTGTAAGACCAAGTCCGATTCCTCGTTCGCTACTCACCACCACAGCGGCTTTGCTCATGCTTGTGGGTGCTGGGGGGTTGGCAAGCGTAGACGGCGCGAGGCTTAGACCGAAATCGTCTGGACTACTTGAGCTTCGACCTCGGCCGCGCTCCACGTCCTTGATATTGGCCGCAGCGGCGCCTCCATATGGGAGCAGGTTATGACTGGCGGAAATAAGACTAGCAATGCCGCTCGCAGGACCGGGGATTGACGGGGAGCTTGGAGCAGCATTGTTCGACTTGCGATGTATATCCAGCTTTTGAATAATTCGAGCCGTGTGATCTCTAGCATGCTCCCGGGCAGATGTCTCGATGTCTATGCCTGTGAGCCTTCGACTCGAGAAGTCGGTGCTATTCCGCATGGCAAGACCGTCGCGATCAGGAATTGAAAGCGTCGAGCTTCTTTCAGGGTGAGATGGCTCGTCGCTTAAGATTGGCGTCAGAGATTCACTTGGATCTGCGGTAAACTCAGGCGCAGGAGGCTGAGAAATCGAGAAAGCTGGGTCTTGAACAGTCATTTTTCCCGAGATGGAGAGATCTGTGCTCGCTGGGTTTTCAAGCGCCTTTTGTTTGGCGGCTTCAAAAGCGCCTATCCACTCCATTAGCTCCTTCTGAGTTTCCGCTTGTAGAGTGATACTGTTATTTTTCGTCTTCACTTGGAAGCAAAATCTTCGCTCCTCCTGGAAGGCAGGTCGTACACTGCATAGTAGCACGCCAATTCGTTCACTCTCTTCAACTCCACCAGTACGCGAGCCTTGCACAAGACAACCAAAAATGCCATTCTTCAAGAATGCCCAGCGCCTGACCCACGCAGTGCGACTGGGTCTTCCCGAAACCGTGCGCAAATTCAGCCATCCTTGCTTTTCAGGTCGAATCTCTTTGCCCACATCCAGCGTGGAAAGGGGTCGCGAGCTCAGATATGGTACCGTGGAGGTTGAATAATCTTCGAGTTCGCGGGGCGGACGCGCTATCATCTCCGCAGCTTCTTCGATCTCCTTTCTTGTAGACAGAAGCTCACGTTTGGCCGATCGGTCGCTCGCTTCCATCTCATGAACCCAGCCCTTGACACGGTCCATCTCGCCGGACCACTTTGAGAATGTCGAGTGGTTGTTGTTGTGAAACATGCGGAACTCTCGCCATTGATCGAAAGAAATTCGAACGAGTAGTCGGTCAAGTGCATTGCGTACTTGAGGGGCCTGCACGGAGAAGTCCAAGGACGCCCTCAAGTATGCCTTGCGCGCCTCGTGAAGCTGGAAAGCCTCTTCTCTTAGGGCCGATGCTTCCTTTGACTTTGACTGAGAGGCGTATCGGGCTTGTAGATAGTCGTATTGCTTCTGCGCATGCTCGAGCACACGTCGGTTCTCCTAACACGAAGTTTAGCATGTCGCTCATCCCGAGGAGGCCTGTATGCGACAACTAAGTGAACGGGGCTCTGCGCACCTTGAAATGTCGCAAGTCCTCATGAATGAAGACGCGGATGGGCTCTGCTATCAGTGATTCGATCTTTTTCGTTGCCATCAACAACCCGGTCCAGAGGTCCTTGGATCCTTCCCCACTTCTCCTCATAGCCAAAAGTGTGTAATCATGGTCCACGATAGCCTCTGAGACGACCAGCGGGTTGGAATAAGACAGAAAACTGTTCACTACGCCCTCTATCGCGACGACGTCGGAGGCGAGCTTCGCGGCTGCTTTGGAGTATCCGTCCAGCCATCTTTCAATGAATTCGATCTGATCGCAGAAGTGGAGTGTTGTGGCACGGAAGGTCGGCGAGTCGAGCGCAGCCTCTTTGAGACCGACAGGGCTAGCTTTGTTGTCAGTACCGTGATCTGCTCCGCTATATAATGCTGCGGAGAGCGTGGATTGTCACTCACACCACGCTGACAAGCTTCCCGACCTGGGGTAACGGAGGCGATTGATTCGACATTTAGCACATGCCTTCCAATGCACACTTGATGCCAAAAACGCTTCTGCACGACACAATTATGTGGGGATATTTGACCTCCACGAGTTCCGGGTCTTCCACGAGCGTTGAATACGATCGGCAGAGGACTAATCGAAGCTTCTTGCATGCTCGTTAGCGTCGTGAACCTGCCGGCGAGTCTGCGGCGCTTCAGGGTGATCTAATTGGCTACGTCAGTGACACGACCCCCGGACTGAGTGCCTGCCTGTCTGGTATTAAAATTATGTGCCTGACGATACAGGCATCAATCAGTGGCTGAGAACCATGGTCGCATGGGCGGTCAGAGAATTTTTTCTTTCTGCCGGCCGCCGCATGATAGCAAGTCAAAGCTCGTCAACTATTTTCAGAGAAGCAAACATGGAGCCCCCATCGAAGAAAGCACGAACTCTATGGGAGGAAGACTCCAATGAGTCCGGTGATGAATCCGGTGGTGTTTCACTCACAAAGGGCGCAGGGGCAGGCTTCAAGATCAATGAAGATTATGCCCGTCGATTCGAGTATAATAAGAAGAGAGAAGAGGTTCAGAAACGTACGATAGTCATATTGCAAGTCTCAACACACTGAACTATGTTGGCTAACTCAAACTTCACTGTAGTTGAATCCAAGTATGGCAAGGTCTCTGGAGTCGGCAAACAGCGGGCCGACGAGGCCTCCGACGACGATTCGTCTTCGGATGAAGATGAAGACGACGACGGTGAGCTTGTCACCGAAGCGGTTGATGCCGAGATCATGGCGACCCTGAAGGCAATCCGCGAAAAGGACCCTCGAGTATATGACGCAAATGCCACTTTCTACACTCAAGTCGATGAGGGTGCTGCCGATGCTCCCAAAGACAAAAAAGAGAAGCCGATTACCCTACATGACTATCACCGGGAGAACCTTCTGAATGGGATTGATGTCGCCGAAGAGGAGGGGAAAGAGACCATCAAGACATTTGCCCAAGAGCAAGCCGAACTCAAGGATGCCTTGGTCAAGGAAATGCACGCAGCCGATGCAGACGAGGAAATGGAAGATGCGGATGATACTTTCTTGGTCCGCAAAGCCGGCGGAGCCGATGTCATTCCCGAGAAGGAAGTCAAGCTGGATATTGAGAACGCGGACAAGGACCCGGAAACCTTCCTGTCTAATTTCATGTCCGCTCGTGCTTGGATCCCCGAAGGTGGTCGACGAGAGCTACACCCATTCGAATCCGACGACGATGAAGAGCTTGAGCGGGCAGACGCCTTTGAAGAGGCATACAATTTCCGTTTCGAGGACCCCAACAAGCTGAATGAGAAGATTATGACGCACGCCCGTGATACTACCAACAGCCTGTCAGTTCGACGAGAGGAGAAGAGCGCACGTAAGAAGATCCGCGACGCTGAGCGACAACGCAAGGAGGAAGAGAAGAAGCAGCGGGAGACGGAAAAGAACCGCTTGCGTAAACTCAAGGCCGAAGAATTGCAGAAGAAGGTGGCACAGATCAAAGAGGTGGCTGGCTTCCGAGCCGCTGAGTTTACGGATGAGGACTGGGCACACTTTCTTGATGAGGCCTGGGACGATAATGAATGGGAAAAGGAGATGCAGAAGCGCTTCGGCCAGGAATACTATGAAGAGCCTGAAGGCGAGAGCAAGAAGCATCCGAAGAAGCCTACCTGGGATGATGACATCGATATCAAGGATTTGGTTCCCGATTACGATGACGAGGAGGAGCTTGCTCAGCCTGCTGTTGATTCTGAGGAAGAGGATGAGGTCAACGAAGAGGATGGAGAAGCTTCCGCATCTGGACCGAAGAAGAAGAGCAAGGCTGAGCTGAAGCGCGAGCAAAAGCGCGACGCTCGCAAGGAGAAGATGCGAATCGAAGAAGCCATCGATCGCAACTTGGATCTTGATATCACTCTCCTTCCTGGTGCTACAAAGAAGAACTCTACACGGTTCCGCTATCGGGAAACTTCTCCCCAGAGCTTCGGTCTGACGGCACGCGACATCTTGATGGCCGATGACCAGCAGCTCAATCAATTTGCCGGTCTCAAGAAGCTTGCGTCCTTCCGTGACCCCGAGAAGAAGGCCAAGGATGAACGCAAACTAGGAAAGAAGGCTCGTCTGCGCCAGTGGCGCAAGGACACCTTTGGCAGCGAGGAGGGACCTACAATCGAACTTTCCGCTCACCAGCCTTCGCACGATTCAGAGAAGCACGCTGATCACGATGAGTCAAAGGTTGATATCCGTGAGGGCGACGGCAGCGGAAGGAAGAAGCGAAAGCGTTCCAAGAAGCACTAAGCGCAGGCGCCATCAAAAGCATTTCATGTTGATACCTTTTCATATATCTAAAGGAGTTTGGTAGTGAGGCTTCTGCCGTTCCCTCTTTGATTCTATACTCAATTGCATCACATCACCACCAAATTCAGATGTCGTAGATCAATGTGCAGCCTGATTCAATGGCTGAAATGTAGTAGTTGACAATTTCGTTTCCAGTTTTCTAAGTGACGCTTGGCATTCCAGTCCACGTTCGCCCAACCAGGCCTGCACGACTGGCGTGGAGCTCCTTCCATCATGGGCTCGGTAGGTATTGTTATAAGTTGAATCTGCATTTGAAAGGTAAGCTCAGACCTTGAGAAGGTCGAGTCAATTCACAGGCATTGTAACTTTGTCGGTGGCATTTTCCAGTAGTGATGTCGTCCCGGGCTTCCACTACATATATAGGTAGTGCCTGATAGGTAAGGTATCCGATGGGCAATGGAGTGGCGCAAGCAATTCCCATCGTAGGTTCAACGAGTGGAATGTGTCCGTGCCGGTGTGGCCTTGGATGTATATTTGGCTCCAGCTACACACCTGCGAGGTACGCATTAGGTAAGCGGGCGCGCCAACTACTAGAACTGTACCCATTAACCCAGTGGGGGAATTTGTCAGGCACACCTTCCAAGTTTCCTGAAACTCGATGAGGCCATGAATCCAAAGTCAGTCATTACATGTAATCCAAATTGTTGAAATCCCTGGAGATCATTTCTATGGGATAATTGAGTGATCTGTAGCCCTGATAGATGGGCAGATTTAGCCTTCGGACAAGTTGCTCGCCGCGGACAACTACATCTCGGGCAATTTGTACTTGTAGCAAAATCAGAATGAGGAAGGTCTGGAAGTGGAGCCCGTGCTGTATCCATTTGGAACCCTTAGGCGGTAATTGCTGGGTTTGTTTACTACTACCGAAGGACAGAGAGTCCGAGAGGGGACTTTCACATGCGGCTCATCGCCACCGTTTTCTTTGTACCCTTCGTACCGTCGATTGTCGACTTGTCGAGGTGTCGATGATTGTGGGTCTATCAGACTACCGAGAATTGACGCGCGAGAAGAAAGTCGCCAAGGCGGTAGAACTCGCAGTGAAGACAGCCACCTGCAGTAGTGATCGATGTTTGATTCTCTTAGCAGTCGTACCTAACTGAGTCAGGTCTGGATCCCCGGTGCGGTAGGGCTCGATCCACGCCGCTCCCTTTTCCTAAACAAGCAAGCTGTCGTCTGCAGCAGGTAAATGGGAGTCATCTGTAGCTTTCTGCTGGGAGGTGCAAGAGAGTGGTGTCGGGAACTCTATTTTTGCATCTGAGGGCGCAATGCCCTTGAGTGGTGGCGTATCTCCTGTGCCCTCAATCGGAGCGCCTTGATGCAAAGTATTTTGGTATGTTTCTGCAAAGCAGTGACAATGGAGAGAGCGAAGGAGGTCCAGTCCGGTGTTCCCAGCTCCCCCTCTCCCAGTCGCCTTCAGGCCCTCTTCAGCACCGTGCTTGACATTCGTCGCCCTGAAGGTCGCAGCAACGCTCGACTAAATCCGCACGGTGATTATGACTGTCCTCGGGTCCTGAGTACTCTATCTAGGTACTTGGTCTCCCTACTTGAACCGGAGGTTCTCCCGAGCTGCATGCGTGGAAGCCACGCAAGGAAACATTTCATCCACCGGCGCATTATGGGTTACCAATAACGCTCGGCCTGTCGACTCATCTGTTTACTCCTACAACTGTAGTAGCTATGGATGACCAACAGAAGCACTAGCACCTTCAAGGTGGGACGTTCCCATTGACTCTGATAATTCCTACAGAAGTTTATTGCAAAGATCTCCAAAGGGGGATTGTCAGTCTTCTGGAAGAACAAAAGACGACTGCTCTGTATTCGCAGAGGGCGACACAACACTACTAGTCCAAGTGATGTACATCTGTGTACCTGTTCCAAGGGTGGTGGTTCTCGGGAAAAAGGGAGTCGGGTGGCAACTGGCAACAAAACAGAAATCATAACAAGCCCCAGGTTCCCCTTTCGGGAACTCGGGAGTGCAGGCAAAAAGGAGGTTGCCCCGGTGTCCTGTGGACTCTGTGGAGGGCCTGGAGGCTGGGACCGGCATTGGACGGGGTAATTTTACGCCATACCGACCAATACCAAGTCGGACGCTGCAACAGTCGGGGGCTGCATCCTGGTCCAGAGTCCGCTCCTGCAACCGGGCGGATACCGTAGTACATCGTCGGTGGACAGGCTGAGAGACTCGGCATCCAACGCACGATAATGGTACAGTCCTGGAGATACTTCCATAGGTAGTCAGGAAGCCACCAGCTAGACCCGACACGTCCACAGAGACCAGTCTCAAGAGACATCCTTGATAACCGCATGGACGTATGGAGCCGTTGCTACGGACTACACAGATCATATTGGTCTCACAGGTGGATAGCTCTCCATGGGAGATATGTTGGAGATATGTGGGCAATCATGTACTGTACCAGGTTGCGCGGGCCGTGGACAGAAAATCTATCGAGACTCACGGTCAAACAACTCGTCTTGACAAGGCCGCGCAGTATACGTAGAAACGGCAAGTCTTCAGGATGAACAGTAATAATGTGATGATTCCCGCAAAGCGCAGAATGGGGGTGGCTTTACCAGCCACCACTCAGAGCCACTTGACGCCATTCTACAGCAGGCCAGCTCCGTTGTGAAGCCGGTCGATCAGCGCTGAAAAATTTTTTTTTTGTTACGATCGGGAGATGTCGGCAAGGGCCCGACCTCAAACGGCAGAATACAGGCCAATACCGCGTGGAGTCCAATGATACGGGCCGTGGGCCTTCCTGATTGGGTGCTAGTGGCCACCACTCGCTTCCAGTTGCGTACAGGTATTTTTCTTCCCCCTTCCGCCCCTGCAGACCTCTCTTCCTTTTTCTTCTCTCTCATCCCCCGTGTATCCTTTCTTTCTGACACTCATCCCTCTCCTCTCTTTTCGTTGCATCTATCTACTTTGCAACTCTTCAAAATGGCCAAGGGTGAAGTTAACCAGGCGGACAAGTCCTTCATGGGCATGCCCGTGAGTATCTCTCATTTCTCGGTGTCTCATCGCGCGGCTGTTGCGCCGAGGTCAAGGTCGGAGAGTTTTCAAGCACTCGTTCCAGGTGGCATCGATCCCATCGAATGCACCAAGGACATTGGAGTGTTTCCATCTTCGCAACCGATCAAACGCCTTCTAGCCGCCCCCTGAGCATCTCCATGTACGCAATGGATTATTATGCTGACTACCATGCTTTTTAGGGATTCGTCGTCGACTTCCTGAGTATGTCACAACCACACCATCAGACCAATTCGGCGACCGTGTGGTCGCCGTGAAACCCGAATGATACCTCAATGTGATACTAACTTCATTCTAGTGGGTGGTGTCTCTGCCGCTGTCTCCAAGACCGCCGCTGCCCCCATCGAGCGTGTTAAGCTGCTCATCCAGAACCAGGTTAGTCAAACTCAACAATCCTGCCTCGACCTTGCCCCTGTGTAGCGTTGCTTGTCGGGAGGAATACTCATTCCACAATGCCGCTGTCTTCATTTGCGCCCTGAGATGCATGCCATTGCAGCATCCGGACACGGTCATTGGGTGATTGGAAGAAAATTCTTTCCCGGACTGTCGACACGTGATTGGATGGCCTGGTCTTGGCAAAACAACTATCATCAGCCACATACAACAGTCGAAGACTGACTGGTTGTTTCTCTTGTACAGGATGAGATGCTCAAGCAGGGTCGTCTTGACCGCAAGTACGCCGGTATTGTCGACTGCTTCAAGCGTACCTCCGCTTCCGAGGGTGTCATGTCCTTGTGGCGTGGTAACACTGCCAACGTCATCCGTTACTTCCCCACCCAGGCCCTGAACTTCGCTTTCCGTGATACATACAAGTCCATGTTCGCCTACAAGAAGGACCGTGATGGCTACGCCAAGTGGATGATGGGTAACCTTGCCTCCGGTGGTGCTGCTGGTGCCACCTCCCTGCTCTTCGTCTACTCCCTCGACTACGCCCGTACCCGTCTTGCCAACGATGCCAAGTCTGCCAAGGGCAGTGGTGAGCGCCAGTTCAACGGTCTCGTTGACGTCTACCGCAAGACCCTCGCCACTGACGGTATTGCCGGTCTCTACCGTGGTTTCGGTCCCTCCGTCCTTGGAATTGTTGTCTACCGTGGTCTGTACTTCGGCATGTACGACTCCATCAAGCCCGTTCTCCTGGTTGGTCCTCTTGAGGGCTCTTTCCTCGCTTCCTTCCTGCTCGGCTGGACTGTTACCACTGCTGCCGGTGTTGCTTCTTACCCTCTTGACACTGTCCGCCGTCGTATGATGATGACCTCCGGTGAGGCCGTCAAGTACAAGTCCTCCATGGATGCTGCCCGCCAGATTGTCGCCCAGGAGGGTGTTAAGTCCCTCTTCAAGGGTGCCGGTGCCAACATCCTCCGTGGTGTTGCCGGTGCTGGTGTCCTGTCCATCTACGATCAGGTCCAGCTCCTCATGTTCGGCAAGAAGTTCAAATAGATAACTCGCCCTTGATCTCGGCGATGTGTCTCATTTGATTTTACTTTCGATACCATACCCCCCTCCTTCTGCCTGTGCAAGTCTAGGTTCAGGGGACCGTGATGATTCCCCCCCTGGTCTGGACTCTAACAGTCTGGGATTCGGAAAGTGAAGGTTGTGGCATTGCAAAAGATAGATGCGTCAAGAACTGGGGGTTGGGGGATCTTGAAGCATAGAATGGTGTGATTCTTCCCTTTTCTACCCAAATGTATTTTACCGCCTGCAAGCTTTTCTTATTTTCTTTTACATCAAAATTTGTACTCTTGGCGCACCCCATCAACTGTCTCGCGACTCCCATCATCGTAAGCTCATCGTAGCGCCTTCGTTGAAATCCTGTGGCTCATCCTTTGCTTGCCTAATTGTGTGCAATTGTATCCAAGTCTTGCCGCTTCTTTCCAACTCGCCCATGTACGGTTTGAACCAGGACAGGATGTGAGTCAGTAAGTAGTGAGTGAGTGAGAAGCGCAACCCTGAATGAAAAGGCCATCGAATTACTGTCTTCCAAACTTGTGCTGTTTTCGCAAGCGTCGCCTTTCAAACAGTGCCGGCAACCAGCATTGGCCTCCTTCGGACAGGACTCAGGACTGGAAATCCAAGGGTGAAAGAAATTCCGCCCCTGTCACGGCGAGAGCGGTCTGTGGCCGACTATCTTGGTTTCTTCCTCAAGTTCATTTTTACCCTTGTGGTATGAGTATACTCTCTACCCACGACCGAGCCATCCATCTTCTTTATGATGAGGGCGAAGTTGAGATTCTGTTCACTGTGGTAGCCGGAAAGGGTAGCACCCCATTGGTGGACCAGTGGACACTGGACACTGGACACTGGACGGTGGACACAAAGAGGGTGAATGACGTTGTAGTCTGACGGAAGGGATGCTTTCTTCGTTTTTTGGAACCTTTTGAGCCCTGCACCGTCGACATCTTCCGACCTCTGTTCAACCGTCCGACCTGACTGCATCTCCAACAAGACATTGCACTCTTACGGTTGAGCACCGCAGGAGTCAGCACACTGTTTGGCGATCCAAAGGACATACTCTCATACTACTGCTACCCCCCAACTGAGATCAACTTCCTTTTCTACTCGAAACAGTTCTGTTCTGACAACCATGCCTACCCCCGGCAGTGTCAGGACCTACACCTCTGCCCCTGTCAACCCCAATACGTCGGAGCAGGAGACACAAGCAGCCAAGGCACCAGCACTCCCTAGTCCTACCACCGCAACTGAAAACACCGCTACGACCACAAGCACAGGCGCATCCACAGCTGGACAACCAGCCGCCGCCGCCGCCGCAGCAACCACCACGGCCACAGCTCCTGCATACACTCCCCTTTACGCCGCGGCCCAACCAAGCAACCTCGCAGCTCAACCAGGCGCAATTTCAAGCGTGCCAGCTCCTACCACATCCGCCGCGTCGCCGTACAGTCCAAACAACATGCCCACACCAACACCGACGTCAAGTACCGCCCCGCCTCCGACAACATCTATTTCCTCGATGCAATCGCCTCCTCCTCCACAGCCAGGCAGTGTACCCCAACCACCTTCACAAACTCGGACTCAAGCCCAAACAATCAATAAGTCCACTGTGCCTCCGCCACCCAAAGCAGGAGAAACACCAACTCCCGCATCTGCATCTGCATTTGCCACACCTCCGACTCCCACCCCAGCAACAGCAACAGGAACAGGAACAGGACCCCCAGCATCTCAGGCCTCGGCCCAGTTCGTTCCATCCTCATCCTACAGCTATCAACCCCCTTCAGCTACACCCAACTCCACATCCACTCCGTACTCATCTGTCTATCAGTCCACCGCCGCCGGGGGAATCGGAATGTCATCGAACTCGAGCTCGGCCTTACCGACGCACTACAGTGGTGGCGGTGGTGCAGTCGCCGAGGACGACGAACCCTCGCTTCTGAACGCAGCCCGGGGGTGGGTCCAAACGGCGGGGGAGAAGTTGGCGGAAGTTGAAGCGGAAGTGTGGAAACGGATTAACAATGCCCATGACGAGAAATAAAGCCGATGAGAGATTCGAAATGAAAAAGGATGGGGTGCCGCGCAGGGGCGCAGGGAGTCAGGTCCCCGATCCCGATGATCCCTCTATCTATCCTCGCGGTAGAATCATTCATCTCCGTGGAAAACGAAGCATCGATGATGGAGACTCTGGGACGTCCAGAACCAAGGCAGGATAGCTACACATCTCGCAGGAACAAAAAGACATTATCATGATCAACTTGATGAACCTGGAGTGAACTGAGCCAATCGAAAGAGCTGGAGGTTACTGGCTTGAAATGTTTCCATCTCCATACCCGACAGCCCTAAAGTGTGTAGACCGCCCCTCCCCTTAGAAAGACCGCGGGTTATTGCTGCTTCCGAGATCAGTATCGGGGCCTTTACACTACAGGATAAGGTTAGCGGCCGAAGCTGGATGTGGTCGCGACTGAATGTAAATAGAAGGAGTGCGAACTAGACCGACGTAAGGACATGACAGTATCACTAGGGACCTAGCTTATTGCCTGATTCTATTCTCTGGATAAGACTTATCAGAGCGAGTCAAGTAACCCCAAGGTATTTTGTATTCACACCTAGTTGACCTCTTCATCCACGAGAAGATACAGCAGGCCATCAACGAACCCAGCAGGAAAGAAAAGTCCAAACACCGGCACACATAGATATTCTGAACTCTGGGTAGATGATAAGTCATCAATACCTTATACACATGGAATGAGAGAGAAATAAACGGAGCACCAAACATCCACGTTCTCGATCCGCAAGCACGCGAGAATCGTTGACCCAGTGAAATCAGTCAAGATGACCAGGACAACGATTCCGAATGCGCGGTTCACACATTGTCGTCCAAGAGATCCAGGGAGAGGGACACCAGTGCAGTACAGTAAAGACGACCGGTAATTCCGACTCGTGAGACACTCGCGCGGACATGATGACTTGGCGCGAGAAGAACTGCAGCTCGAGCGCTAGATCAGGTGATCAGACTGATACAACCAGCAAACAAGAGAAGGGAACAAAGGCATGGACAAAGCATAGCGATAGGACAGAGGGGGAGAATGTGCGATACCCAAGCAAGAAGAAGAAAAAAAAATAACATGAGTACTCTGACGGGGATGAAAAGTCATATGGTTAAAAGCCCCAGCACGGATCCCAATGCACATGACAAAAGAAGAAAGAGAGTGACAAAAGAAGATCCATACAAAAACAGCCATCGATTGATCGAGAAGCCCCTGAAGTTAAACTGCCTAGTAACTCTCATAATGAAAATGAGACTCAAAAGAATTAAAAGGGGTTCGGTGGGTGTCAGGGTTGACCAGGGCATGGCAATGGTAGAAGTAGCCAAATTGCCGCCACGATTGTCAAGTTTATTTGGCAAGCGGCTCTTCAGAAAACAAAACACAACATGACGGCGTACGAAACCAAGGGGTTGGCCGCCGTGGGGGGGGGGGGGAGAACGCCCGTTCAAATGCAACCCTCAAACCAACGCCTGAAAAGAAAAAATAGAGCACATTAATAGAGCACATAAAACATTGGGGAAAAAAAAAGAACAGTCATGGTGATCATAAAGTCTGCTCGCTCACGTCGCGGGAAACGCAACGTAGAATCGCAGACCAGCGGAAGTTTCTGCTCCCTCTGACAGTAGAGAGGAGGCCCATGAAAGCCACGAGAGCAAACAAAATCGTCAAGTTCGCGGTCCGGTCCAGCCTCGACGACCTTATTACGAGGATGGCTTTGAGAGTGTGCATGGCGAGGCAACAGAAACAAGAAACAGAACTTGAATGGAGATGGTGGACATTGCAAGAGTCGTGGGTTGGGAAAAGGACAACGAAGACGAAGACGAGCCACGGAGGCGAGGAAGGTGAGCGCTGGTTCGGACGATGATGATGATGATGATGATGATAGGGAGCAGAAGACACGAGAGCCCAAGAGACGCTCGGGTCGAAAGTGGTTTGTAGGATGCATGTTCTTTTACATCGAGCCCAGGCTGAGCAGGGCTTCCACCGCGGCGCGTTCCTGAGTATCGAAAGTGCGGGGCGCCGACTGAGCGACGGTGGGTCCACCAAAACCGACACCACCAAAGGTCCCCACGGGCAGAGCCTTGGGGGAGGAGCCACCAGGTTGCAGTTTCGCACGAAACCACCACCACCGTTCATGGAACGAGCGCGCAGGGCTTCCGCGCCAATCTGCGCCCAATCCTCTTCGTCGGTCACGTCCCCTTCGTCCCACTGGTCCTCCGGCACATCCTCGTCCGGCGCCTCCGAGGACGAGCAATACGCTCGGCCGTCCTCGTCGTCGCCATCCAGCGACATCTTGTCGGCCTCGTGCTCGAGCATGTCCAAGTCCTCCCGCGTCGCGTAGTCGTCGGCGAAGGAGAAAGCGGTGGACTCGGCCATGCTCATGCCGTACTGATTGCGTACCGCGGACCAGGTGGACCCGCGCCGGCCCTCGATCTGCAGACCGCGTTGCTGGAAGGAATCGGCCAGACTGGACGGGGGCGACGAGACGGCGCAGGAGCGTTCCCGATCGCGAGGCGATTCGCCGCGACGACGCGCTTCCCAGCGACCCCAACCCACCTTTTCAAACAGCACGTCCCCTTTCACGCCACCCGCTCCCGTGCCGTGTCCGCGACCCTCGAGCGCAGCGACGACCAGACGACGCGCCTTGGCTGGGGGGATGCGTGAGAAACCGGGCACCGAGGTGGTCAGGAAGCCCATGATGTGGCGGATGGCAAGAGGACCCTGCTGCAGCAGAATCTCGGGCAGATGGTGACGCGCCAACATGGCAGGCGTGATTGCGCCGGCATGGTCAAAGTCGTCCTGAGCCGACGTGTCAGGGTGATGGGGGCTGTGGGCATGATCGACCGCGTCCTGCAAATCGATATCCGAGTCCACCTGAGGCACGGTGGACAAGGGCGATCCGGGGGAGAGGGCGGGGCGATTCTTGAAGGCCTGTGGGGGGAGGGTGGGTGAGATGGAGTTGGGTGGCGTGGGCAGCATCGCGGGTTGAGCCAGGCGCGATGCCGACTTGCGAGCGCCGGCGCCAGCAGGAGAATGAGGGATATCGACCGAGGCGGTCATGGTCTTGCCAGCCAGGGCCATGGCGATGCTGGAAATGGGTTGAGAAGAAGCCATATTGATGTTGGAGAGAAGAAAGATGGCTTGAGAGGAAGTCTAAGGAGCCCGGCGCCCCAGGGCATATGAGTCAGATAACTGGGTTCCGTGGAAGGTTGCCGTACTGGCTGGTACGATTAGGGTACACGCGGTCCCCGGCGCGATTGGTGGTGGCGGTGACGGGAGTCCAGAGGATACTTGGTATCGGATGCGGAGGAGACAAAGGAAAAGGGCTCTGTCGAACCGTGGAAACTCACCTCTGGTGATCACAAAGAAGACAGAACAAAGACAGGATGACTGCAAAAGTGCGGCCGAGGAGGTGCGAAGGGGGGTGGTAATCGTTCAGCACGGGAGATTGACTCAAAAGGAGGCCCGAGACAGCAGGACACGCAAGAGGCTGCGGTTGCTTTGTACCTTCCAAGGCAGAGCGGGTAAGATGCAATGCGGCAAGGGGGGATGTTTTTGGGCGGCGTGATCGGGCCGACGAAAGGGTTCCCGGTTGATACTGTCGCTGTTCAACCACTCGAGCGGAGGAGATCTTGGTATGAGGCAGGATGTCCGATTCGACGTCAGAAGGTTCTGTCCACACTCAAAATGCAGGAAGAAGTCGACTGAGGGGAAATGGAAACGAAGAGAGGAGTTGTGTGTGTGTGTGAGAGACGGAGGGGAAGTATAAGTTTAAGAGCCAGTCCATCTCCGCCGCGTCAGGTTGTACCCTAATCATCATCATCGTGGGGGAAGAGGGGTGGACAGGTGGGATGGCAATGCTCCATCGTCCCTCTGATGCGCATCGGACAGTCGTGCGCGCCCAGATAGACTAGAATGGAATCCATCAGGGCCCCGGTGTGATGAAGTATACTTGATTCAACCTCGCGAAGTGGGACAGTCTGTACCTTGTCGGGCTTACAAGCTACGGCGATAAGCCAAGTAGATCGAGCCCGCTGTCGGCTCCTCCACCAGGTATCTCTGAATGCTCCATCCGTTCCATTCTCCAGAGTATCCAAACTCCAGAGGAGCTTTCTCCCTCCCTCTCCCTCTCTCTCTCTCTCTCTCTCTCTCTCTCTCTCTCTCCCCCTCTACGACTCCACTTGGGTCGCCTGGGACCGGCACCGAGTGGGACTCCGCAGACGGTCTCCAGGGCCGGCTCGTGGGTGTATTGATTGGCACTTCGGAGACGACAGCGATGCCCGGAAGGTTCCGGGGGAGGGGAGCAGAGATCGAGTCTCGACTCCCAACTGTACCAGTCAAACTCTTTTACGGAAGGGGAAAAAGAGGCGAGATGGACGTGGAGGGTACGTCTGCAAGTATCATCTGCTGCTCAGTACCACAGAACCATTATTCAGGAAGTGAGGAAGTAGGTAGTCCTACATCAGTTAGTACCGCCTCAGGTACTCGTAGTAGGGTCAGGTAATGATGATGAGGCAGGTACCTTGGTTCATGCCGGGAATGTGATCAGACAATGGGCTCTTATAGGATGAACGGTCAGAACAGGCATGCATGTGTGTGCGACATGAGACGTCCCAGTCCGTCAGGCAAAGAGTTCCTGCAGGCTGAGCAGCAGTGCAGCGATGTGCTTGATACGGTAATCCTAATCCTGGGAGAAAGGTATAGTAGGTCTGGTAGGAGGATGATTCTCTACTACAGTTTCCCTAAAGATGAGGGCAGAAGATCTATTCCAGATTAATTGGATACAGTACTCCAAGGCCTGCCAGTATAATAACCCACAGACAGTGTGATACTAGTGGACGCACTGGATTATCTTCACAAACGGGTACTGAATCTGGTAGCCGGAAAGGGACTGGCGATCGGCTGATTCACAGCCACTTTGAGTCTTTTGACAGCATCCCCACTTATTACCATAACCGCCGTGATGTGGCTACAAACTGAGGGCATAATAATATGGCCAGTGACCAGTGACTGGTCACTGAGAGGGTGTTCATACTCCGTAGTGGGCTGGATCGGATCTGCCTTGTTTTGAGAGCATCGCATTCCATCATAGCCCGACTCGGTCTAAACCGGTCTACCTCAGATCCATCCCGATATGCGCTGGTGGTTCTGGTGAATGGGCACTCTTGTGATTGAAAATATAATGAAATTATCTCTTGGAGCCATTTGACCTTGGAGAGGGAACATACGAGCTTGCTCGAACACCTATGCCTGGCACTAAGAGGGCGGAATGGCACTAAGCGCTGTCGTGTACTTCCAGTAGTCGTAAACTGTTATCCTTTGATCCGAGGCGCACATGTACATACTCAGTACTCCGTACTCACTAAATCAGTACTATACTTACCCTAATAGGCCCTTTTACTAATACCACATTAATGTATAATGCATAGACCTAGAGGATGGCTAGTATGTAGTATGTAGTACTATATACTATGTCGTATACACTAGTGATCTAGTGATGTAGTCTGTATTTCTAGTAGGATCATGGCATGTACCCTATCTTCCCCTCATCTCGGACACGCTCCGTGCGTTGTCACTCACTGATACAGTCTCCGAGCGCAACGTGCACCAGCCTCACTCCAGTGCCTACTCGACTGGCCAGGGGCTGCCGAGAGAACCGCAAGAGGGTCTTCCCTCGTGCATCACTGCCTGCCTTGACTGCATCAGTGCATACTTGCATACCACAGTAACCACTTACCACCCAAAAACACCCACGCCCACTGCCCCCCACCGGCCCTACAAAGTTTGACTCCTTATCGGCCAGTCAGCGTTCCGTAATCGATGCTCGTGCCGCGATACGCGGGCCCGAGTCGATCCCCATGTGGAACGTCAAGGGCGTAACCCTAGCCACGGCGGAAGATGAGCACATCAACAGGACTGAACGGGAGGTCGCAGTCGTCCAACTTGGCCAGTTGCCTGGTAAGATTACTAAGAGCCGAGGAGGTTGGTAGGGACTAGGTACTGTAGGATGTCCAGGTCCAGCCGGTGATCGCTCTCCTCATGTAAAGCATGGAACTGTTTACTGTCTAGGGTCAAGATGATCATCATCTTGAAATGGGGCAGGATCACCACGAGGTGCATCACTCACCTTCGGGTGTCTTTTCCCCTGTGAACACGGTCGGCCCATGATCAGCCCTCGATCCTCGCACGTGGTCTGCCTGAGCCATGTACGACTACGCAGTACGCACTACCAAAGTACACAGTTACGCACCACTACCCATCCCTCACAAGTTCTCATCGTGGCCAGATTTCCGCTACCATGGCGCATCGAGGGTTTGGGGGCTTTTTTCACCAACAACCATACCTTTTCTCTATTCCACAAATCACACTTCCCACCCTGTAACATGGCTCGCTAAAGGTGGAAACAAAAGCAGCACTAGCGTAGTGAGTCCTCTCTTACTTCGGTAATCGCTAAGGTGCGAAACCGAAACCCTGATAAACAAGCCCCGTTTGCTATGCGGTTCGGCCTCCTCCTGTGGATCTCTCTCAGGCCTGCGACAAGAATGAGTGAGCGGGGGACGAGAAATCCAGCTCGGGTGGTGAGAAATTAGGACCTGCGAACCTAGTCTCTAGACCACCGGAGCGGGAGAAAAAGCTCAGGACGGCCAGATTCTCTGACAGCACCAGACGACGGACTAGAGTACGGGGACCTCACAGGCTCACACTAGCTAGTAAGTACTGAGCACTGAGCACTGAGCACTGAGCACTGAGCACTGAGCACTCACAGTATACTGTAAGTGTACAGTGGTAGTAGGACCGTAGAACCTCCATCTGACCTCGACTCGCAACTGAAGTGCCCCCACCTGACCCTCTGCGCTCAACTTGAAAACTTGAACCCAGAATCATTGCACCGAGGCAGCGGACCCGATCTGCGGCCACCTTTGGTCCAGCCTGGAAAGAAAAGAGAAAAGGAAGCCTGGAAAGGGGAACGGGCGAGCAGGAACGGAACTCGGTACTTTGACGTCACACACATCCGAGGTACTCTTGGCAATGTGCCCTAAGCGGGATCCGCATGTGGATGACCGACGAGGCTACCACCATGAGTCATGGAGTATAACGTAGTGGTGCCCCTGCACTGTGCTGTGCAGTTATGCACAGTGCACTTGGAGCGCTATCGGATACTGCAGTTGGCCAGGTACTGCAATCATTCATACTGTGAGTGTGCGTTGCGGCGCTACATCCGAGGGGATGGTGCAGCCGGGTCCTTAGATACTCCCCCGACCTGGCACGAGACTTGGCCAGTTGGCCCGAGTATGATACCGCGAGCAGTCGGGACGCGGGAGACGTGCTCCTTATGTCAGTTCGCGGCTGATGCGCTGGTCAGCTGGGCAGGTGACCAGCGGACCAGCCAGCCGAGAATTCCCTAATGAGGCAGTTCCTCAGAAGAACACATTTTCAGCTTCTTCGACTCTGGGAGTACTGCATCGATCATCATGTCTCGCATATTGGGCTTACGCTAAGTTATCCACCCGACATGGCACCCCGCGCATGGCCTGTGGACTGGCCCCCCCCCCCCCCCCCCCAGAGGCCAGCTTAGGGTCTGAAGATTCCTCCCCAAAACAAGAGGCGATAGGGGGTGAATATTCCTCTGCTCCGGCATCGTGCAACTGGTCTGGTATACCCGCATTTCCGGTGTGCCCTTCTAAGGAGGTGACGGACCCCATTTCTCTGATCTTCGACCACGAGTCCCATTTCTTGACAAGGGCCCACGCCCGTGTCCCCATCTGTCAGACTGCAATCGTGGGGGCGCCGCGGAGTAATCCCTCCAGCAGCTGCCCGTACTCTTCACGGTCCTTTCCCCCGGCCTGCAGTAATGCCTAGACCGTGGCTCCGTCGGAGTACGAGGAACACCGCTAAGGAGCTCCGGATCTAAGGAAGGGAAGCACTACAAACGACGTGAAAAAACAGACAGTCACGGTCCAAGAGGTCGATGGACTTGCAGAGGAGACTACTGTTTCCGACTGTGCAGGACTGTCGCCACTCTCGTTCTGCATTCACGTCGGCCGATTTGGTCAACCAGCATCTATCTAATTGAGTCTCGTCATCATTCATCCGAATGTCTGATGGATCTGCTCGTTGGTTGTGCCTGACGCCAGACCCCCTGATGACCTTGAGTCGATCACACCATATATTATCGGGCACTTGTTCAATTCTACGATGAATAAAACACACCAGAAAGTCAAGCCTCTCTAGCGCTGCCTGATGTAAAAGCTCACACACCTGGACTTTTGCGTGTATCAGGTCCTTACTGCGCTCACAGAGCGTGGGTCACGAGCAACCACTCGCCTCAGACTCCGTCGGTTGAGTTGACCGTTTGCATCAATGGGCTCAACGGGCTCAAAAAGGTAGGCGACCTCACTCATGGCAAGACCGGCCGGGATGCTGTCAAACTATTGCCGGTTGACATCTGCCCCATCTTATGCACGTCCCAAAAGCGGGAAATTCTTCTGCGATGGAAGCTTCAAAGAGCCATTCCCTCTCGGTGGGGATGCTGCGAGAAGGCACAAAGCTCCTCACAATAGGCCGAGACATGAGGCGATGAAAATGATAATGGCCGTAGACTATGCCGGGTTTCTCATTTTCTCGAGGCGAGTTCGATAGCACAGGCGGCTCTTTTGCATCAAGATTTGCCAGGTCAATTGGAACCAGGGTTAAGATATGAGTATTTGGCCGTCAAAAGTCGTTGAACAAGCACATTGACGCCCTGAAGCTTCCCTTTGACCCTGCGTTGATTGCATCTTCCCCGAGGCTGTCATTTGGTGACCTGTCTCCGCTGTCCACATCACGTCTGGAGATTAAAAAGCTCCACTCACCAGGCAACAGGGGGCCGGTCTGATCTTTGTGTCCTGGAAAAATTTGACCGCCAGGTTGTAGTAACTACTCGATTCACTCAGGGAAGGGGAGGGGGGTGGGCAATCTTCTGCTCGCTCTGGTTCAAGCTTCCACTCGCCCGACTTCAAACAAGGCAGTTCCTGGCCTTTAGCCTGAAGCCCGATCAAACTTTCGAGAGACTCTCACTCTGTCCAGTCGCGAAGCTGCTGCCGAGGAGCCGTTGGCATGAAGCTGCAGTCTGAAGGCAAGCTCTCAAAATCGTGTGATGACGTGTGAGATGTTATCCGAGTACCTGACGCATGGATCCAGAGCGAAAACCCGTCTCCGCCTTTTGCAGCAACAGATCCTTTGCAAAGCTTATTGTCCGCTAGTCAAGCCCGAGGGTGAAGACTTGGTCTCTGAAAGGCGCAACAAAGGGCGGGCTCTGATGACGGGCTCTGATGACGGGCTCTGAGAGCATGGGCGAAGCTTTGGGGCCTGAGCGCAATTTCTGCAAGACCTACACTGGGATCAGTGATTGCCCATGGACTACGATGTCAGTCTTCTCCTGGACAACATGGTCCTTCAGCTTCGGATGGCAATGAGAGGCCGATTTGGGTCTCCGTGTATTGCCCAGGTCCAGATCTTCTGGCACGAGAGATATTCATCGCCAAAGCCACAGTATGTAAAGGGTTTCAACAACAGGTCTTTATTCGGAATGCAAGTGCCAGTAGCCCTCTTACCTGTCACCCGCTTGAGGTCTTGACCCCACGATCGCAGACCATACCCACCGCCGCGAGAAGCTCCCAGGAGAATAGGCAAAAGAAGAGACGAACGTATCAAGACCATGCTGAGAAAGCGGATCCTGTACCTTATTGTGCCGGACGAATGAAACGAGGCACGGTTGTATGGTGGATTCGGTCTTTTCCCGGCGCGGGGTTAGTGTATTGGCTAAAAGGAACACGGGGAAAAGTGAAGAATGATGTGACGAAAGTCTGGGGAAGAAAATCTGGTTTTGAAGAACATCCAACCGAATTCCCCGATGATTATAATAATCTTGAGCAAGGACTGGATTCCTTGGCTCTGGGATGCATTCAACATCCAAATGTCGCACGCTTTGGTCTCCGTGCTTTCGCTGGTGACGGCGGTGCTGGCCGGATCAGTCGTGAGCCCTAAAGCTTTGGATTCGGATATTTCCATTCTGATTCATAATGATTTGATGGGTTCGTGCGGCCTACTATCTCAACCGCAGCGCGGAGAAGATTCCGGACTAATATACGGTACAATATGCAGAGAATGCTAGCCCTTTTGCAGGGTCGGGTGTACTCGTCCTGGACCCTATGCCGCTGCACAGGGCCAGGCGAAGCTGCGAAGATCTAGGAGAGTCGTTGTGGGACTCCTCTATGGGCTCTGATCGGATTCAGACTCAATTGGACTATCTTCTGTCGCAAAAGACCTATCGTCAAGGGCAGAGATTCTGGGTCTCTTCCACCGATTGTGCGCCATTGAGCATCAATTCGGCAGGAGAGGTGGCAGAGGCCGAGGCAGATGAGCGTTTACCTGTTTTGTGCACGCAGACTGCACCGTACTCGACGTTGAAGTATAACGACACGGCACCCAAATGGCAGGTCTCTGTGCGCTCGAACGATGAGCAAATTACCGGGTAAAGGGCCTCACTCCAGGAAACGTCGGGTAGGTAGGTATACCAGTGCTGACAAAGGAGCAGATTCCGCGATCGAAAGAGCTTCCGATTCTTGGGACTACGATACGCCGAAAAGGCCAAGCGATGGAGCTATTCCAAAACATACAAAGGCCAGCTGGGTCAAGTGTCTGCTCTTGAGTACGGGTCGATCTGTGCTCAAGGCACCCAAGGCTCAGAAGACTGCTTCTTCCTTAATGTCTGGACCCCGTACCTCCCCAGGTCTAGAGCGTACTCTCGTGACCGGCTGAAGCCGGTGATGTTTTGGATCCATGGAGGTGCTTTCACTGGTGGCTCCGGCAGTGATCCTGTCTTTGACGGTGGCAATCTCGCCTCAAGAGGAGACGTCGTTGTTGTGACGATCAATTACCGCCTGGGTACACTGGGATTCTTGGCTTTGGATGATGGAACCACCAACGGCAACTACGGATTGGCCGATCAGATCACGGCGCTCGATTGGGTCCGACGCAACATCAAAGACTTTGGGGGTGATCCCAATCGCATCACGATCTTTGGACAATCAGCCGGGGCTGGTTCCGTCCGTGCTTTACTCGCCTCCTCTGAAGCTCGAGGGAAATTCGCCGCCGCGATCATGGAGAGCAACCTTGGGGGTCTGGCATATGGAACTACCTACTCCATGTATTACACAATCGAAGAAGAAATGGCCGTGGCTGGAAGCGACATCTTGCGCGAGGCCAATTGCACAAATGCGACCTCAAAGTTAGATTGCCTCCGTGATATCCCCGCCATGAACATCACCAACCTCAACACCACAGCACGATACCTGGTGGTTGATGGGAAGTACCTGACAAGCACCGAACTTAACCTGACCGATGGCGCTTCGACGGCCAATGTTCCCCTAATGCTGGGCACGATGAGAGATGACGGCGCTGCGTTCATCGGGTATCCCGACAAGGGCGAGACACTCAGCAAGTTCCTGCGCGAGTCTGGACTGCCATCCGAGGTTGCGCCGAGCCAGCTTTTCCCACAGCCCTCTGGCTCCAATCAGACATTGGACATATTCAATACTACGGCGCGAATCGCCACCGACGGCATTTTCCGCTGCGTCGACCAAGCCACTGCCTACGCGGGAGTTAGCAACCACATCTTCCCAGAAGTCTACTTTTACGAATTCAACCGAAGCTATCAAATGCACGATTACTCGCCCAACCCTCCTCTCTGTGAGGCGCCCATCACGCCCGGCTATCCACATGGCGATCCAAATCAGGAATATTTCAAATGCCACTCTGGAGAGCTCTTCTACGTCTTTGGCAATTTAATTCGCATGGGATACCCCCTGAGGGATGAATACGATTTGCCATTTGCACAATTTGTGCTGGACACGTGGGCAAGCTTCGCTCGCACATTCAATCCGAATCCGGATCTGAGCTATACAAAGACCAGAGGGTATACCAATACGACTCATCAAGTGGAGATGGCTGGAACCTGGACGCGGTTCAAGGACGGTGATTCTCAGCTTCGTCGTCTGCAGTGGCCCGCATCCATGGTGAAATTGGATGACACTGACCAGTGCCGAGCATTGTCTCTGCCGTTGGATTATTATAAATAGAGTGACCAGGAAAGGGGGGAAAGCATGGAAATATCGTCTCTTTCTCGGGGATATTCAAGAGATTGGATCAATCTCCTACTGCAGTGACTCAGAAGCTAATTTTACTGGGTCTCGTGCTAGTCGGTCATGCCGAAATAGCTGATGCGAGTAATCAGGCAAGGCCTCTAGATTCTGGCTTTAGGCTCGTACCTCACGGACTCAATCAACCAATGACACCTTGGACGGTGATTTGACGTATTCCTTTCTTTTTGGGAAATTTCTGAGAGATGGTGAGATTGTCGTGAGTGAGAGGATCTACCAAAACTAGCCTGGCACAGGCAGAATCACATGCTCGATATCAAACGGAATGTCGTCGCCGCCTGGGAATAATCCGCCGCCTCTAAGTATGAGCGATGGCTCTCACCATCACATCTTTCTCGCTGTCCTGGATGTTCACCGTTCACCCATCCGCCGTGGGTGACCCCAGGGCCCACACTCTCTTTGAAGCCGCGAAAATGGGCGGATCAGCTACCGACGGAGCATCCGAAGTGCTCCAGCCGACGCCGACCACCTGCACCAGCGCGGTGGCTGGACACACCGCGAGTATATATTTACCATCCCGTCCCAGTTGAGAGCAAGATAGCTTCGTCTATCTGAAGCTGTCATCCTAGAACCTTCTTTCTCCGTCTCGACTACTTAAAGGTGCGTAGCCCTCTTCTTCGAGCATCTACGAGTCCAGCTTCTTCCCCGCATTACTTTTCGGCTCGTCTTGCCGAGGGTCCTCCCAGGTCGGCAAATCAAGTGAACCACTGGGTGAATTTGGAATTCAAAATCATTCTGCAGCCTGCCTCGCCCGTGCACGAGTTCAGCACAGATCTGAAGCATTTCAAACGATCCAAAAAAAAAAAAATGGCAACCACCCGCTCAACCAATGGCGGATCGTACTCGCCGCTTCGCGAGACCAGTCGCATCTTCGCCGAGCTCTGCAGACAGTCAGACAAGTTGAATCTACCCGCGGCTGTGCAAACAAATTGTGAAAACGTCTCCTTTTCATCAAGCCATGATGAGATATATTTCCCGATCCCGTTCAAAGAGACAGAAACGCTGGCCGCGTTGAAGGGCATCGAAGGCTCCGTGGCGGCCGCAATTGCAGATCTACGGTTCGGACAGAGTCCAACGCCGCGCCGCGTCCACGTCAGCCTCGAAGGCGCAACGGCGTTTGGATGCCAGGCGTACATGGCAAAAGTGGATGGATTGTCTAAATTGGATCCGATGGTCAAGTCTAAACTCAAGGGTATGTGTGAGAGAGAGAGAGAGAGAGAGAGAGATGAGTGAGTGAAACTGAATCTAGCCAAAGAGCCATGTTTCCCTGCAAGCAGATGACAGATGTGCTAATGGGAATTGGCTTCTATTAGATACTGACCTTTTGGCCGCGCAGTCGAATCAGTATCGCCGTATGTCGGCAAATCTATACAAGACGAAGAACGTCGGCGAGTATTATCATATCCACGGCTCCTTGGAGGCCACGACAACTTTGAACATGATCGGACTAGAAGGTCGCCGGCCAGACCTAACAGATTATGAAGAGATTATCAGGGTCATCGAGGAAAAGGTGCAACAATTTTCAATTGAAGAGCTTGAGGCGATGAATCGGGAGAAGCGACAAGCTGGAGTACCGGCATTAAAATACGAAGACTTCATCAGGACTCCGCATGTATGCAAGACTCGGCTCCATTACACTTGTCAGATATTCATTGTGACTAATATCGTGAGCACACTAGGGCAAAGTGAATGTTCAAGAGCCGGCTTGGAAAGTCACAAGACTGGCAGGAGACCTGCCGCCTACTCCATTTCCCGCCATCCAGTCTGGCAGCAAGAGCATCCTTCGAGGCGTCAAGGTTCTCGAGTTGTGCCGGATCATTGCCGGCCCTACTGTCGCCCGGATCTTAGCCGAGTATGGAGCCGATGTCTTGAAGATCACGAGCCCGAACCTCTCAGACGTGCCATTCTTTCAAGTCGATGGCAATATGGGAAAGCATGCAGCCGATCTTGATTTGAAGACCGAGGCTGGACGACAGCAGTTCGAAAAGCTGGTGGCTGACGCGGATGTCATTGTCGATGGATATCGACCCGGGGCTCTTGAAAAACTGGGGTATGGACCCCAAGCTATGGCTTCAATTGCTGAGAAGCGAGGTAAAGGAATTGTCTACGTCAATGAGAACTGTTTTGGATATGAAGGCGAGTGGGCGAATCGAGCTGGATGGCAACAAATTGCTGATTGCGTAAGATTTTCCTTCCTCTTTTCCCCTTGTCTCCTTGTCTTCAACCACGCCTCCCAGACTCGTATTAACACGCATCTCGTCTCCTCCAGGTCACTGGAATTGCATGGGCCCAAGGGCAATTCATGGGCCTTGACAGCCCCGTGGTCCCTCCATTCCCTATTTCCGATTACGGGACAGGCTGCATGGGAGCCATCGCGGCGTTGTCAGGCCTATATCATCGAGCCATGACCGGAGGATCCTATCATGGAAGGGCCTCTCTCATGCATTACGATCTTCTCCTGTTTGCCATGGGACAGTACTCCCCAGAAGTACAGGACCAGTTGCGGGCTGTCCAGCCAGCCGAATTTTTCCAACTGCGCCACTGCGACAGCGTGGACCGCATCTCGTCAACGGTTTTGAAGGGAATGCAAGCTCGATTCCCTCATTTGTATGAGCCCGCAGGTACCAGCAGCCTGGAATCTGGCCAGAAACCGTTGACTGAGAAATGGTTCTCCAAGGCTTATAATGCGGACGTTGAAGTGGTCCGTCCTATTGTCGCCGTGGATGGAGTGGACAATCAATTTGTGCGCGCGAGTCGTCCGAATGGTACGGACCGGCCCAGCTGGCAGGACTTTAAGCCGGATGGAGAAGGTGACAGGAGAATTTGTTGAGGGTTCCTTGTAGTGATGTCCTGTCTTATTGGGATACAATGGCACATTGTAAGCCCTTGTATAGCCACGGCATACATTCACGGCGATTCCTTTCCAACATGATCATCATATCTTCGCATCAATCAACCTGGAAAGTCAGGTATCATAGTCAGCTAAAAAGAAAGAATAGACCTCCCCAGTGGATATGTATTCGACTGTCCGTGTCACATTCAATAGTCAACAAATGATGGCTGAGCCGCACAGTTCTTCTGTAATGCCCGGAAGCGCTGCCCGTCGCTTCGGATAAGGCACCATCCCGGCGGATCCGACCGCACGGCTCCCGTCGCTCGGTAAAATATGGGGGGAAGCTCCACGGCAATTGAAGAATAGTCATCGATCACTCCTACTTAGTAGTACTTACTACTTAGTACTTACATCACTCGCGTCTGCCTTTCCATAGAGGGCGGTTTTAATTCCAAGACGAAGATAAACCTCATACCAGCAGGGAGACCTAGGCTCGCTGACTACCCTCACTGCGATTGAGCTACCCTTCCACTTGCCCAGCGTCTCGCATCTTCAACGCCATCATGTCTTATCAGATTGCATTCGAGCCTTCTCAGGCACCGGCCCAGGGATCCACCATCGTATCCTTCATGGAGGACTTTTATCGAACAAGTGACACGGAATCTCTACACGCGAAGTACGTCGAAAGTTTCACGAACGACGCAACTTTGATCATGGGCTCGAAAGAGGCCAAAGGATCAGAGGGTATGTACAATACTGCGCGGTCTTTTCACAGCCCTCGACATCCGTCCTCCTCCAGATGCGCCCCGTTCATGTTCCCTCGTTTCCAGAGTCACGAAGAACTCACGTCATCGTGACTCAATGGACGGCGATCTAACACCTCTATCCAGAAATATTGAGACTACGCCACGGCCTCTGGACACACGTAGCGTCTCGCAGGCACACGCCTGAGCGCATCTTTTTCAGCGGCAATAATAGCATCATGCTACATGGCGGAGTCACGTATCGGCTGAAAGCTGATCCGGAGACGGACGTATATATTCCCTGGGCGGGACGAGTGGAGTTTGCGCCGTTCGAGGACGGGGAGCCGGTGAAAATGCAGTTTTACCAGGTTTATTTGGTAGGTCTTTTCCTTCAGAGATCATGACATTATTGGTGGAGGGGAGGGGGTTTGGCTTTGACGGTATCGTCGGTGGAACGAGGTCTTACATATCAATGCCGTGCGTGTTTAGTTTTTCTGTTCCATGCTGACAGAAGCGATAGGATCCGTCTGCGCAAAGTGGAAAGAGGTAAATAGAGCAGTCGAGACTCAAGAGAGGATGCCCGACTTCGAGGCGCGCTTCCAATACTATATACAGGGCGAGATATGTGGACGAACCCCTTGCTCAAGAAACAGCCTGCAGGTATCGCACATCAACGTGGGAATAGCGTACATACTCCCTTTAATTTGACCTTCTGGTGGAATGCCCGTGGAGATGAAGAAAAACTATAGATACCGTGTCGCATATTAAGACTATGGCTTAAAGTGAGCGCCACATATGAGCCTCGGTGGCTGACACTCACGCCTACGTTGTCTACTGGAACTACACTGCAGACAGTAAGAAATTGAATGTTTTTAGCAAGACATGCTCTTCATTTCCAGGAGATCGTGCGATAGACAACAGCAAGACCAAGGACCTCCGTAGGATAGATCGGGTCGAAAGAGGTGGGGGAAATCGTAATGATGCAAAAGGGGGAAAATGATAAGGAAAACTCGTCTCTTTTACCGCGCCAGCCCTGGAGCATAGCTCCGACCTTTTGGAAAGATTACAATCGTTGAACGAGCCGGATGTCCTGTGGAAGTGCGTCGTCGTCCCGCGGTAGCTCTCGGAAATTTCGCAATTCTCATGCGCAAAAAGTCACAATGACTTTTCCCAGGTCATCTCCACTAACCTCGACTGGTCATCAAGTCGAAAGAGAGTGAAAGGAAAAAAAAAGGAGATCCACAAAAGGAAACATTGGAGAACAAACATGATATATATCGCCGGGACCTAGCTCCAGAAAAATTTTGATTTTTTGTTCATTCCGGACTATGCCAAAAAAACGAGCCCCTCGAAAGCCATAACTTATGCTCTTGCGACACGTTTACTCCTCGTCAGACTCCTCATCCTCATCAACGGTGGTCTTGGCGATACGGTCAAGATCACGCTGGCCAGACTGGGTGATACGGCGGCCACCCTTCTCCTCATCAACCTCGAGGACACCGATCTTCTCGAGAGCCTGGAGAGCCTTGCGGTCGACGGAGCCGGAGGCATCCATGTGGTGAGCGGGGCGGGCACCGCGGTTCTTGGTGGAACCGTGGACCTTGCGGAGACGGCCAACACCGACGGTCTTGCGCATGTAGATGTGACGAGCGACGGCGGCGGCACGGACGTAGAACCTTTAAAAAAAAGTGCAATGTCAGCATACCGGTGCTTCAGAGTAAATCTCGATCGGTAATATTCGAATGAGATAGGTCGTACCAGTCAGCATCCTGGGGAGGAAGCTCGTTGGAGGCAGAGGTCTTGACAGTGTCAACCCAGCCGGGGATGGGGAGCTTGCCCTGACGCTTCAGGAAAGCCGAGTAGGCGGCAATGAACTTCTGAGCCTGTAAGACAAAAGCAAAAAGACTCGTTAGCAATCATTGTCTTGCGTATTGCAAGGCGATTTGCGCGTGGGTTGGCGAAGCATGTGCCAAGGTTGCAGATTGATCGGGTTCGTCATTAAAAAAAAAAGCAGTTTGATCTCGAACTGCGACTCGAGGCTCGAAATTGACATTTGTGGAGGATAGACCTGGACCCATCATGGCGCGTGCATCATGTGCGGTCCTTTTTTTGCAGGAGACTTGGGTAATGACCCGGTTGTTTCTGTCCCATATCGAATCCACCATGACAAAACTTGAATCGGTTTGCTTTCCAATCATGTCTTCTGCACTTGCGATCGAGAGCCAATTGTCGAGTCGAGTCGCACGATTCTGAGCGATCCCCTTCGCAGGATTTGTTGCCTCTTCTGCCTCTGCAATTCTTCATGACGAACCAATCCATCGTCCGCAACCTCGCACACTACCTTGTCGCCGACCACGGCAAATTTGACGCCCTCATTTCTTCTTTGTAAAGGACACTTACGTCCACATCGCGAACGGAAACACCACCCATTTTTGCGGTCTCGAGGGGTCCGAAGAGGGCGTAGGGGAAAGAGTCGTTTGGCGGAAGTCGAAGTGGGCAGGGTCGAAGTCCAAGAACTCAAGAGACACACAAACTCGCCCCGTTCGGTCAGTGTCGTGGTCACGTCTGTGTGCCGTGGGTTCGCTTAGCCTGTTTGGGCTAGCCGTACCCTAAGCTCGATCATGTGACAGGACATATCGAGAGCCCTGTCAATCAGGCAGAAAAGACTATGGGTTCTGACCCACATGTAATTCAGGCACCGAGGCATCTTCAAAGTTCCACTTGCCGACAATTTTTAGAGCTGGTCAAGTTGAACTTTGGAAGATCTTGGTCCCATATCCAACGCCAAAAAAGAGGTTATTTACTGTTCGACTGCATACAGTTCGCTAGGCGTGGATGCGCGAACCGCTTGTTGTATTCGAATTGTTCGTTTCTCATTAAGTTGGAAAACTGCAGGCCAACGGTAATATGAAATCAACGCCCCCTTCCAGGCAGAACGTGCCTTCTCAGCAGTAACTGACGTATATGCCATCCATTCCTCGTAAACGCCGGTGCAAAGCTATTGAAAGATGTGAAGATGAAAAAAAAGTACAATGTTCAAGCTTAAAGAGTGGGAGCTCTCTTGAGTCCCACACAATAGCGAACAAAAAGTGTATCAACAAAGTGACCATGCCGAATCCCAGGGGGGCGGCAAGAATTGAACTCGTCGATCGCATCCTGCACACCATAACCCAAGCGCTCGATCAGATAGCAGGTGATCAGGAAGCCCGTGCGGTTGTATCCATAATGACAGTGAACACCCACCAGCGGCCGCGGCAGAGTCGTATCATCGCGTTTTTCCACAAGGTCGTCGATTTCCCGCTGCAGTCTGTCGACAAGGGCGATAAAGTCGCGAGTCTCATCGGGAGTCGGGGGAATCTTGGATACAGTCGGATGCTTGTGATAATGAATACCGCCCTTCTCCATAGTGTTCGGATTGTAGACTGGACTCTCGTGGCTGATGTCAATGACAGCATGGATGCGACCACGGTATTTCTGAGAAAAAAGAACGGGGTTGTGCTCCTCGTCTACCTCACGAAGCATCTTCATGGCAGCAAATGTGTTTGCGATGGGCTTCGAGACGGGCGCCACCTTTTGCCACTTCGCAAGATTTTTCACGTCCCATTTGCCCGAGGTATTCATGTATTGCAGCTGCCATCCCAGACCCAGACGTTCATCAACATGTTGACTCAGGAAATCCTGGATAATACCAGATAAGGTACGATAAGTCGCCCGATCGTACAAAAGGGCATGAGAAGCAGGCGCAGGCAAGATAGCCGACTTGACAATTCGCTTGCGGCCTTGGTTGTTTGCCGGCTGCTCAATAACTTTCTCGCTGTTGGCAGGCTGTAGGCCAAACTTTTCCTCGTCAGCAAGGCTCGTGGCCGTTGCTGCCTTCCGATCATGCACGCGCGAGGCATCGGGAATGGTACTACTATCCGTAGTATCGATTGCAGTGTGGACAGATGCATCACCAAAATACTTCAGCAGCTTCTGAATTTCCTCTGGCTTGGTCACAGAATCCGCCTCACCAGCAACTAGCAGAATCGGCATTCGAACAGCGGCCCATATCCTCTCACCAGGCATGCCCCCAGTGACTTTGTCGTCTTTGTACTCAGGAAGCGTGCCGAAAGCCATGCGACGCCAAACACTGGTTCGGCTCTGCTTGTTGAAACGAACTTGCAGACTCCGTGTCTCTTCGTCGGCGTGGTGTCCAACCATGCGACGAACACTCGTGCTATGAATTCCTCCGCGACGATCCCATAGACGCCACAGGTCAAAGATCGGCTCTGGGATCGAGAGTAGGCGCTGGAACTTTGCAGTCTCCGCTTCCGACGGGGGGGATGCTTTGGGACAAATAGCAACCATGCCTAGAATATGCTGTTTCAAGTCCTTGCCGATGGGTGACGCAGACGACGCCAGCAGTGCAGACAATGAGCAACCAAGACTGTGACCCACAAGAATCACACCCTGGTCATTCTCTCGGTCCCGATGGTTCTCGATCGCGACTGCAAGTAATTCGGCCAGGGCCTCCACCGTGTAGGCGCTCCAGTCGTCTGGCGCGAATTTGGACAGACCGCAGCCTGGAAGGTCGATGCCCAAGCACGAGCCGACATTCGAGAGACTAGTGAGAAGATGGTGGAACTGCGCCAAAGACCCACCGAGTCCATGGACGAAGACCAACAGAGGAAGAGGAGTAGGCTTGTCTGGGAGGCGGCTGAGATTTGGATGCGGGCAGAAGAACGTTCGAATAGCCGGGTATGTCGCGACCGAGGTGATGTAGGGACTGTAGGTCGTGAACTTCTTCAGAATACCGGGATCTGTCTTGAAAGCTAGTGATTTGATCGAGTTAGTGACGGCATCAGGATTGGAAATTGGTGTATCTTGAGTAGTACACACCATCTGAGGATTGTTGCTGGGGATGTGAGGACCATGCAGTTGCCTGGCGATGCGGTGCAGCGCCATGACGAAGAGAGCTGTTACTGTCATAGTCGTCGTCTTCGTAATCGTCGTCCGACGAGGTGAGAATCTTGGTCGGAGACTTGGCTGATCGCTTGCGCAGTCCCAGACCAGGTCGGGTCTTGTCTGTGACTCGTTTCCGCCACACGAAAGATGAAAATACACCACACCCGACCATCGTGATCACGCAAGTAGATAAGACGGCCAGTTGGCTCCAATTCAGGGTGCCATTTCGATAGAGAGAACGAAAAGAGTCGGCAACTGAGAGCAAGGATATATCTTGGGCCGCGATGCGTGCGGAGTGATACAGATCCTGAACGGTCGCAAGCGATGGCCAATCGGAAGAACGTTTCAGATCCAAAGTCTCTTGAAGAACACGAATCGGACTAAGAACGCCATCGAGTCCCATGATGACTGAGGAGTTAAATAGCTCTTCTCCTTGACACTTGCAATCAGCACAGGACGGTGTCTCCCAGGGCTCTGGACCCGGGGAGGACTGGGAGTCTCACCCACCGTAGGCCACGATCGGTATTGCTTGGAGAGCGGCGGCGACGGCAGCGTTTTTTGGTCCAAATCAAAGCTGTTGCAACGCCAATGGGAGGCGCGCAAGCGGCAACGTTGGGAGATGATCAGACCAGAGATGTGTCACTGAGCGGGAGAAAGTGAGGCAAAGAAAAAGTATTAGGCTCGACCACTCAGAGCCTCGGACGTCACTGCGTGGGGGAAACAGATGTGGCCGGTGGGCTCCACTTCCCGGCTGCACATGACGAATTTGGCGGCTTTGGCTGGCTGAGGCTGCGTCCTTAGCCACCTTGGAAGCCTTCTAGCGCTTCTAGAAAATGAGATGTCGAGAGCTCAAATGTGAGGAATGACCAGACGGCTCTTCCAAGGGATGATTCATGTGGAGGGGAGGAGTCTTAGTCTGAGGAACTTCAAGTTGCATTTTCCGTTCTTAGTAAGTCTCAGAGATTCATTATTCCATTGGTTTGAGAACGATGGATCTACTTCCAAGGCTCAACATTGAACGACCCGAACGCATCCTTGCCATCCCCGTACTTTCTCGATCCAGGATAATCCTGTCAGTCCCCTCGAGAACAGAATCGATAGCTGTGAGACATATGTCTAAAAGAGATCCGTCATCGCGCCGTGCGACGCATCGCCCACTAGGCGAGCATATTTGGCAAGCACACCGCGAGTGATCTGCGGCTCAGGCGGCGTCCATTGGCGGCGACGCTCCTCAAGCTCCTCTTCAGATACATCCATGGAGATTTCGTTGGTCTCGGCATTGATAGTAATCATGTCTCCATCGCGAACTAGAGCGATCGGCCCGCCCACGGCGGCCTCGGGCGTGATATGACCGACGATGAAACCATGGCTCGCCCCAGAATATCTACCATCTGTGATCAGCGCAATGTTGGTCAGTTTGGCTCCCATCAGCGCGGCACTGGCTTTGAGCTGTTCCGGCATTCCGGGTCCACCCTTGGGGCCTTCGTAGCGGACGATCAGAACCAGATTCTCTCCACGTGGGATCTGGCCCTCGTCTAGGGCGTCGTTGAGCTGCTTCTCCTTGTTGAAGACTCGGGCTTTGCCACTAAATTTGAGGCCCTCCTTGCCCGTAATCTTGGCCACAGCACCACCGGGAGCGAGATTACCGCGCAGGATCTGAATATGACCTGTAGTCTTGATTGGGTTGTCCAGTGGGCGAATGATGGTCTGATCTTGGGGCAGCGAAGGGAACGAATCAACGTTCTCCGCCAGTGTTTTGCCGGTCACCGTCAGCATTCCACCGTCCAGGAGTCCGCCAGCAATCAAAAGCTTCTGCACCGAGGGGATTCCTCCGACCTCATACAAATCGGCCATGTAGTACTTCCCGCTGGGGGAGAGATTGGCTATAAAGGGGATCTTGTTGCTAACTCGTTGGAAATCGTCCAGAGTCAAATCAACCCCAGCAGTACGTGCCATGGCCAAGAAGTGAAGGACTCCGTTAGTGGACCCACCCAGCGCCATCGTCATCACAAGTGCGTTCTCAAAGGATCGTTTAGTCAAAAGGTCACGGGGCCGAATATTCTTTTCCAGGCAGATCTTGATGGCATCGGCCACGCGCACACATTCCCGCATTTTAGAAGGTGACGATGCTGGTGTAGAGGAGGAACCAGGCAAGGACAGGCCCATGGACTCAATGGCAGTGGCCATTGTGTTTGCAGTAAACATTCCACCACATGCCCCGGCACTAGGACAAGCATGTCGCTCAAGATCATCCATGATCTCATCTTTTGTCTTGCTCGTGTCACCACCGTCGTCGGGCTGTCGCAATGTATCATAGGCATACGCTCCCGCCGCCTCGAAGCAGGTTGAGATATTGATAGGCTTGCGGAGGTATTCCGAGTATCCGATGTTAATCGTCCCGCCGTAGATCATGATGGATGGGCGATTGTGCCGAGCCATACCCATCACAACACCCGGCATGTTCTTGTCGCAGCCAGGAATTGCGATACAAGCATCGTGGTACTGGGCACATGTGACGGTCTCAACGCTGTCGGCAATAATTTCACGAGTCTGAAGCGAGAATCGCATACCTAACAAAAGTCGTGAGCTGACTTCCCTCGATTTTGTATCACGTTCACGGTGCGGTTGAAGGTCCCTGCATCAGTTCAACATACCGTCGCTACCCATCGTGATGGCATCAGACACGCCGACGGTGTTGAACTGCCAGCCGATCATTCCCTTCTCCACGACAGACTTTTTTACCGTCTTTGCTAGATCCATCAGATGCATATTACAGGGGTTCCCTTCCCACCAGACGGAAGCAATGCCCACATGGGGGCTTTTGGCCATTGCTTCCTTGTCAGGAACACCGGCGGCAAAGAGCATAGCCTGTTACAATAAGCACACATCTCTTTATCATCCATAGTGTTAGTCACCAATTGGATCCAAGACGTACTCGAGCTCCCGGGAATTCATGTCCGCGGGTGATGGTTGACGAGTGCCGGTTGAGTGCGGGGGAGCCATCCGGATGTTTAGCATCAGTCGGTAGGCTAGGGAAGTTGATATAGCGGGGCTCAGAGAGCTTCTTGGGCATTGTTGAGTGAGTCGAATCCATGGTCTTTCTTTGATGGAATCACTGGTAGCAAGATGCGTGACGCCAGGTTCAGGTGAAGTAGAGAGGGCGAATTCAACTTATAATTCGAGAAAGAAGCCAGTCCGCTCCGACTCGCAGACAAGTCCGATCTAGCAGTTCGTAGTGGATCCTCCCCGCCATACCTTACCCGCGAGACTAGTCCGTCGGCATAGCCGAAGCGAAAACCATCATTTGATGCAGAAGCTCTACGGTGAGTCTAATGCTAGCTACGGCAAGCTTCTTCTGCCAAGATTGCTGTTGCTTGAATGAGATGAGACACATCGAGTATAATTCAACAATGTGGCCCGCAGTTTCAGGTTTTGTCCTGGCTAGCCTCTTCCCGTGCAAAAAGAAGCTACAAGATAGATTTGTTTGGAGTATAGTGATGAAAGACATGAGCACGAACAGAGCTGCTAAGTCTGGCTGGGTATCGAAAAAATGCACATGAATACGTGACCATCGCATCAAGGGAAACAACAAGGTGCAGCCCGAGTGGCAAGAAACGGCTTGGTGGTCGAAAGGTGTGCACCACAGGAAACCAATCACGTCCGGTCAGCAAAGCCATTCATGCCGTTCCTATGCTCGATCTCGTCATCATGTTTCTCGTCCACGTTCCATTGATTGGAATGCAAAGCTTCGTCGGCTGTAACATTTCCAAGAGCACTGGGCTTGCTCAGGCTCTCCTCTTCCTCAGGGTCGGCTGGCGGTCCGTTTGGCCTGTCGTCGATCGCAAACCCTACAATCTTACCAGTGCCTGGCTGTGATCGCGTTTCTTCGAGAACATCGCCGTTCCATGGCCGACACTTTTTGACGAGCTCGCCACAACGAAGACAGACCCAGCCTTGACCTTCTTCGGCTTCCAACTTCTGTACAATGCACACGAAGCAATACACACAACCGCAGGGAATTGTCTCATACGGATTCGTGATATCTGTTTGTGCAGATCCAGAGATTCCTGCTGCTGCCGAGGCGGCAAGGATCTCACTCTCGCTGGTTGCGGCCGGGTTCTGATCCCGGTAGCAGATTGCACACGTCCGTTCTGGGAGGAAAGCTAGCTCGCCTTGGTCATTGGTATCCTCTTCATCATCACTGGCGGACTTTATAGATTTGACAGTTCTGCGCCATGCCCGAGAGATCCATCGCTTCCAACGGCTGATGCCCACCAATGGGAGAAGGAAGAGAAGGAACTCTGTGAAGGCATGCCAGACCAGTTGTCGGTTCAAGTATTCAAACGAGACTTCCCGACTGGCCTGGGCTGATGGTGGGGTAAGGCGGATTCGGAGAAGGCGATCCACAAGTGTTCGATAGCGACCGTTCACCAAGAAGACAAGGAATGAAATGAGAGCCGCGACAGAATGCGTTGTGGAGACAATGTCTGTTAGTCGCGAGAACATGCGAATTTCCTGCGATGGCTTCGCCGATTATCAGTGACATGATTCAGGCACCGGAACACGCTGCGGTCTCACTTCTTCATAGGCACCTTCCTGTCCCACTAACCAGCTCTCCCATTTATCCCACGCATACCGTCCTCCTACGGTAAGTAGACCATACATCATTTTTTGCCATTTCGTAGGAGCCGAATGAACAGGGCCTTTGCTTCGACTGTCGGTATATCGTAGACCTTGTAAAGCTGCGCCGTAAGAGGCATTGTGGTCCCAAATGGAAAGCTTGAAGAGAATCGCTCGTAAAGCGAACAAAATCTCATGCGACCATTCTTCCCGCATTTGTGGCTAGGTGAGGGCAATTAGAAAGCTTCGGAAAAGAAGCCGGAGCTAATGAAGACGGGACTCAGACTCACCCCGAAGTATTTGAGGGCATCTCCAACTTGATTTTTCATTAAACCAAGAAGCTCCTCGTCCAGGAGTTCCGCATCGACCTGTCCGACCCGAAAAGCCGGCCGTGTACCGTCTCTGCCTCTGATTGAATCCCATATCGACAATCCGACACCTGGCACGCGGCTCAATGGATATGGAAGTCGTTGAAGAGCGGTTGAGTTGATGAGAGATGAGCGTCTCTGTTCGACTCGGCGGGCTTGCGCCTCCGCCTCGCGAAGGCGCCTGCGCTCAAGAATCCGCTCCTGGGCAGCGGCGAAATTTGTTGAGCTCATGATCTGATCATGATTTGATGTCCTTCGGGGAAGAGTACCACACGCGCCAGGAGGAGGAGCAGCAGGAGGGTCTGTCAGGCGAGTGACCCACAGCCCGTCGGCTTCCCCAGACGAGAAGCCGAGGTTACTTTCACGTGACCCGCTCTCTCCGGACAGGCACAGAAGAGGTCGGGACTGGGCGGGTCAATGCTCCCTTGAAGTTGTTGAGCCCGAATGTAAATAAGGTGCCCGGACTGCAAAATATTTCCACATGGATACACCATGACAAATGACCGGGGGGATCAATGGTACAACTGTCAAAACAATCCAAATGCGTGCCAGGATTGGCACCCTAGCAGGTCTTCTTTGCGAGCTTGGTGAAGCTCAGGTACCTGCCCGAGAATACGAGAGTATATAAGACAGATTTCTCTCGAGTTTTTTTTGGGGCATACTTACGGTACAGAGGTAGATGCTTGATTGTTGTGAGACGAAATTCACCTGATCTGACCCAGATCCGGTGGTCTGGTTACGAGGCTGATAAATTATATATCGCAAGTATCACCACGGAGAAGCTGCTCAATTCTCGAATCATGCGATGACGCGCCGAACACAGTCAGACGTCGCGTGAAGAGGTCGTTCAACATGCTCGTCACGTGTCCGAGTGCCCAACTTTCTGCCTCCTTATCTATCTATAGAACCGCTCGTATTCCAAGCATGACTGAAGTGGGTTGTTTCCAAGCTTTTTTTTTGTGAACGATCATCTGTGCCAAGCCACTGAGGCCATCACTTGTCTCCCCGTAGCCAAGCAAGCGGGCAATTTTTGCACCTGGGCGGCGACCAACAGTCGTGATTTATGGGGGACTTCTGGTCGAGAAAGTCTGCTGTCGTTTACAAGACCTTTCTGATTGCTGTATTGTCCGCAAGATGAAAGCCTCCATCCGTTACGTACCAGCCGTCTATGCGTACCTTTGTTGCTGATCGGTTTCAGAAAGCAGTGCTGAAAGTCAACGCTCTCAGATGATAGTCCTTGAATAATCATTGGCGTAATTGCTGGTAATTTCTGGCATCAAATAGAGGCGGCGACCTGTGTCTCCTGGTCCTTGAAAAGAGTAGAACCCGCCCGCGCTGTGTTGAGGTCTCGGAGTCGGAGAAAACGGGGGAAAGAGAGTGGCTGTTGAAAGAGCACCTTTGACGGAAACCCGCAATCGATAATGCTTCGGCTGTTGGTACCTTGGCTTCGACCGTGGACACACTGGATTATCCTTGAGTTTACCCAGTGAAATTGGGCTCTGCATCCATGAGTATCTTTAGACTGTTGCTGCATGGTTCAGTAGTACTGTTGGAATGTAGTAAGTACTTTTTGACGGAACTACTTGGCTACTTGGCGGGGCTAAGCATCCGCCCCCGCCGCCGAGCAAAGAACAATACGACTCCACCAGGGGTCAGCATCCCAGGCCCGCCAGTGAAACAGCCCACCCTGCCACCGTGGGAGGTCCCCATGATCGCTCGTTTGTGCAAGCGGCTTGGCATCCAAGCAGGTAACTGTCGCTAACCATCTCTTGTCTAGCGCATCGCATTTCATGTCGCGGCGAGGTTTGTAACTTGCATCCTCCCAGTTGATGACCTGCACGCTATCGTGTTCACGCGAATGAGAACCCAGACTGCCTTCGACCCCGACTTCCGACTGGGCGCAACGGGTGGTCGGGTACTTGCGCCACTTGAAGTTCCGACCACACAGAGGCACCGACCTGAAAGCTGTGGGACCTTGCCGCTCGTGCTCTGGGAGTGAGATTGAAATATTTCGCTTGCAATAGCACCAGAGACAGACACATGGGCAATGATTCGAACCATCCAGTCTGCATAAGTGGCTCTTCTAGCCAACAAAAACATACACATGCCGAGCCGATTGGAAACAGAGGACGCATTCGCGGAAGGGGGAGGTCGCCACGTGCGCTTGGGGCTTCTACAAGGTCACAAGTTTAAATGATCGCCAATCTCCTCTCCGTGTATCCCATAGAATTCTCCATTCTCCGTTGTGTGCACTTCAAAAGACACAGCACTTGCCGCATTGTGATTGTTGTAAAGCTACCTCGTCTCTCAAACTCCATTCCCCAAGTTTCACAGCAATGAAGGCCGTTGCTGCAACACTGTTGGCGGCCGCCTCCCTGACGGGGGCCCAGATCGCCACCGTCACCGAGCCCTCGATTTCAGACATCAAAAAGGCAGCAGCTACCACGCTTCCCGAGTCTCCTACCTCTGATGTCAAGGGCTTGGCCTTCAACCGGTTCTATCAGGTCTGGTTGGAGAATACGGACTATGCGGACACGGAGAAAGATACCAACATGCAGTGGCTGGCCTCCCAAGGTATTCTCTTGTGAGTATATTAATAGCTCCCACAGGACTCCGGAGTCCAACACTAAACGTATCACCATAGGACCAACTACTATGCTGTGACTCACCCGTCCGAGCCCAACTACTGTGCTGCCGCGGGTGGTGATACCTTTGGCATGGACAACGACAAATACCAACGGGTCCCGGCTAATGTGTCCACTGTCGCGGATCTGCTGGACACAAAGGCCATCTCCTGGTCCGAGTACCAGGAGCACATGCCTTATCCAGGCTTTCAGGGCTTCAACTACTCGAACCAGGAGACTTATGCCAATGACTACGTGCGCAAGCACAACCCCCTGGTTCTCTACGATTCGATCGCCAAAAACGAGACTCGGGCTCGACAGATCAAGAATTTCACCGACTTCGACCACGATCTGTCCAACAAGAAGCTCCCACAGTGGGCCTTCATCACTCCCAACATGACCAACGACGCTCATGACACCAACGTTACTTTTGCCAGCAAGTGGGAGCGTAGCTGGATGTCATCTCTGCTGAAGAATGACTACTTCATGAAGGACTCACTCATCTTGTTGACCTTTGACGAGGATGACACCTATAACAAGACCAACCGCGTCTACAGGTAAGTCGACGACAGAGTTCAAATGCATAATGCCTCGATGAAGGCAATTATTGCCCCGTGGAAGGGTCTCACTTTGAACGACCAATATGCTCATCTTCAAATAGCGTTCTCGTCGGAGGTGCAGTTCCCGACAGCCTCAAGGGAACCAAGGACGATACCTTCTACACCCATTACTCGACCATCGCCTCCGTCAGTGCCAACTGGGGTCTGCCTTCTCTTGGTCGCGTAAGTACAGACCGGGCCATTTGATTTCCATTCAATAAAGATCCAGGGCTAACGACAGAATAGTGGGATTGTGGTGCCAACCTTTTCGAAATCGTCGCCAACAAGACCGGATATGCCAACTACAAGGTTGACATCACCAACTTGCGCCTGAACGAGACCTACCCTGGTCCCCTGTCATCAGGACAGAACTCAAAGTACTCCTCCGTCTGGCCTGTTCCTCTGACTGATGGCAAGTGTTCAGCCGGTCACGGTATCCTGGACCTCGTCAAGAAAACCTATGCCGGACAGACTGCCACTTACAACTACTCCGCCCCCTACCCTTGGGATGCGAAGTCCGACTATAACACCCGCGTCACTGCGACACGCACAAACTCAACCAACAGCTCTACTTCTACGTCTAGCTCCGCTTCCTCGACCACCACTCTTCCGGCCAACGGTGCTGATGCGACTATTGTCTCTGGAACTCCTCTTCTGACTGGAGCTGTTGTTGCCTGTCTCGCATACCTTCTTTAAGTGTTCAAGATGCCACTCTGCTTTGTATAGCTACATCTCTCCCCGAAGGATGAAAATCCTTTAATGGTGTATCATGTTTCGACTCAGCGATTGTCATGGTACCACATGACCCACATTGTGAACCTTCCGCAACCGGTCAATTCGTAAAAATTGTATAAATATTCAGTGTATCATCATCAAATCGTAATGACCATCTATTGTACAATAACTCCCATGTTGTTGAGAGCACCCGACTCCAGAGTCCGATTCTGTTACTCGGCGATTCCGCGCTGCTTCATCTCCTGCAGGTTGAGGGTATCCTGATCGCCCGGTCGCGACTCCGAGTCCTTCTTGATGTTCGTCTCGGGCCCACCTTCACCGAGGTATTGCTCTCCCTTTGCAAGTCTGATAGGAAAGCCACAACAAATACCTGGTTAGTTGCGTTCCCAATGAAAAATCGAGACCTAAAAGTGCAGCACATACCGGCCACGGTCATCTCGGGTACCACCCTCATCCTCGGGGATCTTGCGGTGGTCACTGCCAGAGGCCGTTGAGCCTGGACCGTACTTGACGCCGCCAGACTGAGCGAATCGCTGGTCGACCATCTCATCAACACCGGACTCGAGTGCTTTATGATGAGGAAGGTGTCAGCGCGTTCAAAAAGCATCTCCTCACTTGAATTTCCTTGACGTACTTGAGTCGCTCTTGCGCCCAAGGCCCTGCTTAGCCTGGTAGGAATTCAAATCCTTCTCAGCGTCAAAGGCCGTTTTGCGGAGCTCGTCGACGTGAACCATTTTGGCTGTGATAGTGGTGATTCGGGGAAAATTAGAAAAATGAGGTTAGGATGTAGTGGATATGAAATATGTTCTGCTACAAAAGTTGGAATAAAAATGAAATCGCATGGGAGTATATGTAGCATTTCATATATGCCATTCAATATCTAGGTGATTCAAAGGAGGGTTCATGTCTGTCGCATTACCGTAATTCGACATCATAGGTATGTCACAGAACAGACCCACAACTCCTGCTGGATAAGGGACACCAAGGACGTTCTCCAAGGTAGTAGATCGTCATTATGCTCTATGGAAGCTCTCAATGGTTCATTCATCTATTTGGTGGGGATGCCCGAACTGTTGATAGCAAGGCATGGCATCTTCGAGCCAGATCATCGATCGGATCTCATACTTTACTTCCGCTCCATAGCAATAACGTCGTGGACTCATGACTCGTACTACAAAAGTGTCTGTGCTTTACGATGCCGATCCATGCCGAGCTCACCAGCCTCGCTGCCTGTGGCTGAGCTTGGATCGGTCCTACAAAACTCCGAGTTGGTGGGGAGGAAAGTATTGACCGTAGTTATCGAGGGCGGTGGAGCTTCACAATAGGAAGTGGGCTGTCTTTATTGACGACCAAAATTCGGTGCTCCCCGGTCTGAGCGTATTCGGATGGGTTGTGGCAGAGAGTCCTGTATCGTCTTTCATCGTTCTCGTTCCCTGATTCAGTCCTGAAAAGAGCTCTTGCAACTTGATTCACCGAATTTGGACGTGCTTAGAGTCGCTATGGCCTCGGCGATTGAGCTGCCAGGCGAGGCAGCTCCGCTCACGCATCACCATGTGGTGGACGTCCTGATCTCAGCTGCTAGTTCCACCCAGCAACAAGTTCAGGCAGGAACTAAGCAGCTGGAGCACTGGGAGCATCAACCGTTGTACCATGCCATGCTTCAAGTGAGCTTCATACCTCCTGCCAACGATTATACCGTGATGCAAGCTGACCCATACACTCTTAGGATGTCTTCCTCGATCGCACACTCCCCACTGAAGTACGTTATCTTGCAATCATTCGGTTGAAACACGGCATCGATCGATATTGGCGTAAGACGGCGACACAGTTGGTTCTCCTTCGGTAACACTCGAGATCCTGCGGACGAGATACTGATTGATGCCCATAGCGCTATCTCCAAAGATGAGAAGGCGCAGATCAAGAGCAGGGCTTTGCAAGCTGGTGTGGAGGAGCCTGCTCGTCTGCTTGCTCTGCAGAATGCACTAATGGTGGCGAAAATTCTACGATTTGAATTTCCCCACGACTGGTTCGTTACGACTTGTCTCGGCTCCGTCTTGTCACTACTGACTTTGAAGCAGGCCCGATGCCATTACCTCTGTTCTAGCCTTTCTTCGATCCTCAATTCAGCCTGGCGCCAACCCACTGGGACTTCCGCGAACATTGCTCATTCTTCTACAAATCATCAAAGAGCTGTCGACTGCCCGCATTCAGCGAACTCGTGTCCACCTACAATCAGTCTCTCCGGAGGTCTTCCAGGTACTGGGCGGAATCTATGTTGATAAAGTTGGTCAGTGGGTCGGCATACTCGAGCATGGAGGTGCGGACGAAGCGGGCTTACTGGAGGTCCTCGAACAAAGTCTGGTATCTCTTAAGGTCCTCCGACGTCTCATAATCTCCGGATTTGAGCATCCGGCCCGTGATCAAGATGTGCAGAATTTCTGGGCTTTAACCTACACACAATTTAGTCAGTTTTTGGCGTTCCTAGACGGCTCTGTTCAATTACCGCAGTCGGTCCATACGGCCATAGAGAAACATGTCCTGCAATTGTCCAAATTGCATGTCGATATGGCCAAGACGCATCCGGCATCATTCGCTCGATTCGAGAACAGCATTGAGCTTGTAAAGTCTTACTGGTCACTCGTCGGAAAACTGAGCGAGACATACACAAGCCTGGCGGCGGATGTTGAGGCCGAAGGCAAGTCTCTTCTCGAGAAGGCCGGTTTACGAGCTTTGCTACTCATCAGAGCCTGCGCCAAAATGGCCTTCAACCCAGCCCAGACCTTCAAATATCAGAGCGCCCAGGATAAGGAAGAACGGAAGCAGGCGGTGGAGCGGATCAAGACCCAGCTTTTCACGGAAGACTTTGTGGTCAATGTCATGGAACTGCTTGTCACGCAATTCTTCAGATTTCGAAGTATTGACTTCCAGGAATGGGAGGAAGACCCTGAGTCCTGGGAAAAGAAAGAGGAACAAAGTACCGAAGCTTGGGAATTTTCAATTCGATCCTGCTCCGAGAAGCTCTTCCTCGACCTCGTTATACACTTCAAAGATTTGCTCATTCCTCGATTACTGCACGTTTTTTATTCTTTCGCCAGTAAGTGCTCTGCTAATCATTGTTCTACCCCTGAGACTAAGACTGTGTACAGCTACGGAAAATCGAGATGTGGTACTCAAGGATTCCTTGTACTCGGCTATTGGGCTTGCGTCAGCGAGTCTTGAGCAGCACCTGGACTTCAATAGCTTTCTGGAGAAGACGATGGTCCCTGAAGTTCAGATCACCGACCCCGAGTTCAGGCTCTTGAGACGGCGAATCGCAGTAGTGCTTGGCCAGTGGATGCCGGTCAAGCCAGGCGAAATCAATCGAGACGCTGTCTATCAAATATTCCAGTACCTGCTAAACAAGGACGACCCACTCAACGATCTGGTAATTCGGATAACTGCAGGTCGCCAACTGCGGAATGTCCTCGATCCTTGGGAGTTCACAGCTGAGGGCTTCATGCCCTATGCACAGTCAATACTGGGTAGTCTCATGGCTCTTGTGCAAGAGGTAGAGGCTGCTGAGACAAAGATGGGGTTGTTGGACACAGTCAGAGTGGCTGTGGTCAAGATGGAACACCACGTAAGATGCCAGAAACCTGCGAGTGTTGGGAGCTTTGCTAATTCAGGTTTCAGATTGTTGGATTCTCGGATCAAATTCTGTCATTGCTTCCCTCGTTATGGGAGGAATCTGGAGACGAACATCTCATGAAGCAGGCAATCTTGACCCTTCTATCATCCTTGATACACTCTTTGAAGCAGGAATCCGCCAGGTATCATGGGCTCATTCTACCCTTGATTCAGAGCTCTGTTCATCCCGAGTCGGTATGCAGCCAGTCCAAAAACCCAGACGAAAGTCCAGGATAGAAACCACTGACGACTGTACTAGGAAACAATTGTTTATCTTCTAGACGAAGCACTGGAGCTATGGACTGCCATTATCATGCAAACACCGAGCCCTGCCTCTCCTGAGATTCTTGCTCTGCTGCCTGCGATTCTTCCCATTCTCGAAGAAGGAACTGATGCCACTCCTCAAGGTCTGCAGATCGTGGAGTCGTATGTTCTCCTCGCTCCCCAGGCCGTGCTCAGCGACGAGCTTCGGCTTCCGATCTTGAATTCCCTTCAAACGCTTCTTCAGTACACCACAAAGCAGCGCACAGGAGTCGTTCCTCGCTTAGTTGATATGATGATTCGCGGTGCTGAGGCTGTAGATGGGGGAAGCGAGGCCAGCTACAGCGCCATCTCCCAATCACTTCTCGATAGCTCGTTCCTCCAGTCGCTACTCCAAGGCCTCTATTCCGCCCACGAGGCGAGTCAAACAACTGGACCAAACAAGAAAACCACATACGTCGCCGGGGTTGTCGAGACAGACTATTACTCTGTTCTCGCGCGTCTCGCACTCGCGAACCCGAGCATTTTCGCCTCGGCCGTCGCCGCAGCGACCAACTCCACTCAAGAGCAGACTATCTCATGGCTTCTGACCGAGTGGTTCTCTCATTACGACAACATTGGCAGCGTGAATCAGAAGAAGCTGCACGCGCTTGCTCTGACCCAACTCCTCGCTCTCCGTGTCCCCTCATCCGAGTCGTCTCAAGTCGCCCCTCCTCCGGCCTATCTCTTCAACCACCTGCAGTCCTACCTCACCATCTGGACCGATATAATCACCGAGCTCGCCGAAGGGGGCACTGACCCGAACGCGGATTACCTTGTTTATTGGAACGCCCCGGCCGGTTCGGAGACTGCTCAACCCGAAGAACAGGAGAACGAAGATCCCGAAACTCGCCGCCGGCGTGAATGGGATCACGTGGATGCTATTCATCGATTCCCTATGCGTGACTTTGTGCGACATCGTCTACAAGAGCTAATCGTGGCTTGTGGTGGAGCTCAGCGTTTCCAAGAAGAATGGCTGATGAATGTCGACGCTGAAGTGGTTGCAGCATTTGCCGCGCTGGGTCTGATTTGATTCGCATTCCAAGTAATGGGAAGTGACGTGTTATATGCTATGTTTCCCCTCATGACCGCTCCTGGCCATGAATATCTGCATTGGTGTGTCTGTTCAGCCATTGAGCAGAAATATATGCCTTTGTACCTACTTAACCGGCTCGTAGTGGATACGTTTGCAATGATAGAGAATTAACCCCATCCAAACATTGCGAGGACATTTTCGATGGGAGTCAATTTAGGAAAAGTTGATTCGAACATATTGAATGCAAATATGCGAGCTATAGTGACACCAAATAATTTTGAGTAAGCCTCCAGTTCTGATAAGCACCCGAATGGGACACAACAAGACTTCCAACTCCAAACCGTCAGACGAACTCAGAACCTGCGCTCAGGAGAGAAACAAAAAAAAAAACAAAACAAGAAAAAGAAAAAGAAAAAGCCTCATGCTCAATGCAAACCTCAAAAGCCCAAATCACACAGACGCCAATACTTTCGCAAGACCCAACAAAGGCCCCAAGATATCGAAACAAGATGCTAGAAACACAACAGAAATGCAAGGAAAACTCTCACGCTCAGCATTGACCAGGGAACTGGCGGCTGGTGACGGGGCTGGGGAAAATGCCACCGGCAATCTGCTTCTGCATGTCCCACTCGGGAGCTCCCTCGGTCTTCCAGGTCCAGTACAACCAACCGCTGCCCTTCTCGTAGGCATCCAGTTGACCCTCGATGAATTTGCGGATGTTGGTGCGCTCATCGGGGGTCAGGGTGTCGATGTTGCCGTAGGACTTGCCGTCGCAGCTACCGACCGCAGTGCTACCAGGATAAGATCCGTCGTAGCGAGCGCCAATGCCCCTGCCGTTCAGGTATTTGGCACAGTCGGTCATGGCGCCCGTCCACTCGCCGACGACAGTCCACTTGTCGCTGGTGAGGACATGGTCGTTGACAAACTTGCAGGTGTTTCCGATGTGGGCAGGGGTGTCGAGGGTTAGCAGGCCGCTGTCGAAGACTTCGTAGTGGTGAGTGTCCATCATGACATAGTAGAAATTGCTGGAGGCGCTCATGAATCCGTTCCAGGACTCGGTGGGCAGGAAGCCATCGTGAAGCACTACGACGGTCTCGGAGCTGGCTTGGCGGGACACACCCCATGCGTCAAAGTAGTACTGCTGGAGACCGTCTTCCTTGACACCACCGGGGATGCTGGGCTCGTTCAATGCTTCAATGGCCGTGACGACATCTGTGTCGCCGGCATAGCGGGCTGCGAGAGTCTGCAGAGCGTTCTTGGTGTCTGGGACGTTATTGCCCTGCTGCCAGTTGATTGCGCCACGTCTGCCGCTGTTATCGAACCCATTTTGCGATCCAGGAGCTGGGAATGATCGATGAACAGTCAGTGAACGGAGACCAGGATAGAAGGAAAGGTGGAGGGAAAGGGCCTCGGGCTCCAAAATATTTCTTGTATGCTTACCACCATGCAAATCAACCATCACTTTGAGACCAGCTGCACGAGCCCATCCAATAGCAGCATCAAGATACTGCAGCTGGCCATCCACATAGGGCTCGCTGGCCACGCGGTTCACAGCCCAGTAACCGATCGGAATGCGCACGTGGTTCATGCCGGCAGCAGCAATCTGATTGAAATCATCTTGCGTCACCCAAGTAGCCCAGTGCTGTCCGAGAACTGAGCGGCACTGATCAGCTCCGAGGATTGTGCATAATGTCCACTCGTCAACTGCGTCGAAGCCCGCATTGTCGTAGATCGAGGGTGTAATCCAAGGCTCCGTCACAAGCCAGCCGCCAATGTTGACACCGCGAATTTTGGTGGTGCCGTAATCAAAAGCAATGGCGCTGTACCATGTTCAGTTCTCGATCATTTTGGTCATGTGGTTGAGGGAATCTGCTAAGGCTGAGAACGCAAGGTTGTTTTTCTGGAGTCCACTTACATCGCGGGAGTAGCTAGGGCCGCCACCATGGACAGCCCAAGAAGACTCTTCTTTGAATACAGGGATGACATTTTGACGTGTCGAAATGGAAAGGATAGAAGAATGGAAGGGAAGCAAGGAGGCAAGGAGAAAAGGGGGTTGGAATGATCGATGAGAAAGGATGTTGAGTTCTGAACTGGCATGGAAGAAGATCGCCGTCTATAAGTACACGCGCGTTAATGCTTGGGCTTCAAATGAGCTGCGTGCAGCATTTGCACCACGCGGTTGCTCGAGAACGGAAAGGGCCGTCGTGAAAGCCTCTTCAATGGACCAGTCATGTCAGTGAGAGATGAAGCATTCCTCCGACCTGTCACTTTGTGGCTTACTTGTTGACAAAGTGGTCGCTGTTCCCGGAAGGGGAAGGTGATTTGCCCCGGAAGCAGCACGAAAGGTGGGTCTCCTTGAGTCTACGCGGAGTCTGGGGGAATGAGTTTAGTCTCTCAAGATGGAAAGATTGATACTATTACTCAGTCTCTCGTTCTCCACGTGTAATGCTTAGTACCTTTCTTCGGGTATGTTTGTGTGGCCTAGACCTCACGTCTTGACACCATACTGGACAGCTGTCAAATCTCTTGACCCTCTCCGTCGATGGGATCGGCGGGAGCGGGCGTGGGATTTGTAGAGTATGTTGTGACGCTGCGATCACATGGAATGCAGCCCAAGAATGCACGTGTTCTTCCTCGATCAGCTGCGTTTGTTCTGGCCAGCCGAGTCGGCAGAAGAGATCTAGACCATGACGTCGTGTACCGAGTCCAACACTGAGCCCACGAGGCTGAATTGAGGTTATACTGAACTTGGTGAGAACCGGACATACTGTAACACTCTCGACCTTGTTGGACCGACATGAGTTGTCTGCTGTGATAAAGCTCAACCACTACCGAGCGGGCAGGCATTGGATCGTATGATAAGCGTGGCTGAAAGACGCTTCCGGTACATTCCTCAAATGCCAGTGTATTCCAAGTCAATATGTGGAAAGATCATAAAGGGCATTCTCGTCATCACATGAATCCTCATTCCTCCAAGGTTCACGTACTCATACGATGTAGAGGTATCAAACAAGTCAAGAACAACTTCACATCAGTAACTGCACCTCGAACTGCCACTCAAAAATGAGGATGTTCAAAAATCAGAAAGGCACAAAGTACGAGCATCCGCCCAGACAAACCAAAAGAATTTCCCCTACTCGTACCAGGTGACGACCTTGGTCTGGAGGAATTCGTCCAAGCCAGAGACACCGCCAAACCGACCGAACCCGCTGCTCTTCCATCCACCATGTGGCAGGGTGGACTCGTCATGGACTGTAAGCGCGTTGATGTGGACGGCACTAAAGTAAACCGGCCGCAGGTGTCAGTATTGCATGCATCAAGAATCGGCAAAGCGCAGAGGAAGAATAGACAGATGGTGGTAGAGATGGAGTGGGTTCAGAAGCGAAGGGGTCATGTCGACTTACCCAGACTCAATCTGCTTAGCAACACGAAGACCTCGGAAAAGATTTTGCGTGTACACGGCGGCCGTCAGACCATACTCGGTATCGTTGGCCAACGCAATAGCCTCCTCTTCCGAGTCAACGACAAACAATGACACGGTAGGACCAAATGATTCTGTCTTGTATAGATCCATCTCCTTGGTCACACCGTCAATAATCAGAGGGCGCATGTGAGCATCATTGGACTCGTTGCCATTGGCATCTCCAAACAGAACATTGGCTCCACGCGAGACCGCATCGGAGACAAGCTTCTTATTCTTGGTGACGGCAGCGGCATTGACGAGGCACAATGCTGGAACATCCTTACCGAACAGCTTCTCAGCATGCTCGGCGACCTTTTGACGGAACTGGTCGACAACTCCCCGTTGGACAATGATTCGTTCAGTCGACATGCATATTTGACCAGACTAGAAAGGAAAGATAACAAAAGGGCCATCAGTACTGTTCTATTTTGCCGCGAAAGCATCATTACGCTCAGGTAGTAGGAGGAGCCGTCATTCCAAACTTACATGCATGAAAGATCCCAGCGCGCAGTTCATGGCGGCCTTGTCGAGGTCGGCATCGTCCAAGACAACTGCCGAGGCCTTGCCACCCAGCTCCAGCAGCACAGGCTTGATGTGTTTACCGGCAGTGGAGGCAATGATGGACCCGACATTGGTGCTACCGGTGAAATTCACCTTGCGAACAAATGGATGGGCGATCAAAGCGGTTGTCACAGCGGCGGCATCGGAAGGCTGGTGGTACAGCACGTTCAAGCAACCGGCGGGCAGACCAGCCTCGCGGAAAATGTCTCCGAAGGCCCAGAAGCACTTGGGTGACAGCTCGGAGCCCTTGAGGACGACTGTGTTACCGGCGGCGAGTGGCTGCGCGATCGCGCGCATACCCAGAATGAGGGGAGCATTCCTACAGACAGTGATGACAAAATCGAGTAATTAGCACGACTTTGCGTGAGGGCAAAGGAAACAAGGGTATCGATGAGAAGAGGAGAGGGAGCATGCTCATGACGATCCCGACAAAAAGGTGGTGAACACCCGCTTAGAGTGACTGAAAACTGCACTGAATCAAGTAAACAAGTAGACAAACTTACCACGGCGCAATGCTGAGAATAACTCCATATGGTTCCTTGTAGACGATGGCGCTCTCGCCGTCCACATTCACACTCGGCACTTTCCCCTCGATGGACGAAATGCGTCCGGCAAAGTCCTTGATAAAGTTGACACCCATGTGGAAAGTGTGCTCCACAAAGAGCCGCCCCGCTCCAGTCTCTTCCATCTGGTACGCAATGAGCTCTTCTTTGCGCGCCGTCATGATCTCACCGGCCTTGAGCAAAATGTCACGGCGCTCAAAGGCCTTGGTTTTGCTCCAGGCAGGGAAAGCCGCCTGGGCGCACTCGACGGCGCGCTTCGCCTCGTCCACCGACGCACCAGCACAGTATCCGGAGAGCTCGCCCGTGGCGGGGGCATGGACCTCGAATTTGACGTCCGTCACGATGGACTCATTGTTGATGATGAGCGGCGTGACTGCGTTATGGACCATGTTGATTCAATTGCGTGTCGGAATTGGGAGGAGCGTGTATTTGGAGAAGGAAAGGAGGAGCGCGACGGAGGGGTCGAGTAAAACGAGAGCGAGGGAGTGACACTGACGAGCACTGTTCTTGTAGGATTGCAAGTCTCAATCGATCGGAATGCTCAAGTCAAGGGCGAGATAGAGATAGCACATACCCCTGTAGATGGTAATGAGGTTAAATGGCCACAGGGACGGGAAGGACCGCTGCAGCACATATGCCTTTTTTTCTCTTACCGTTTCACCGAGACCGCGCAGGCTCATTCGTGATGCGCTTAGGTCCCGCCAGATCCCGCATTTGACGATCCGTGTCCAAGTGGCACTGGTAGCTTCAAACCATTGAAACGCACCACTGATCTTGCCTTCTTACGACTGACGTACCCCGCCCAAAGGGGAGCCAAATGGACCTTGGAAACGAGTTCTTCGGGGGAGTGGAGGGGGTGGACGGGGAAAAGCCGAGGCGGGCTTTGGAAAGTTGCCACGTTCGGATCGACTCCATCAACATACGACCAACTACAATGGCGCACTATTCAGGTCGGTCGCAACAGACCCAAGACCAGCGGAGGGTCATTGAGCCGTAAATCCGACACTGTGGAGAGCTTTGATTGCAGTCACTGCGGGCGTTGGGAACAGTCGTCAAGGCTGCAATTGTCAAGAAAACGACCTCGTGGCCAATCGAAGAAAGGAACATAAGGTAAAATGACATCCAGCCAACCACCGACCGGCAGATAGAAGACGGATTGCATCGGCCAGTGGACCCGATTGCTGCCTTTGAAGAATGAGGAATGCGCATCTGCCATCTTTGCGTGCAGTGCGATAGTAGGACTCGAAGAGTGATGGTCCGTCCGGTTCTGAATGTGCTTGCTCGCGTCGATCGACGTTCTACTCAACAGTTGTTCAAGAGACCACAATCAAGAGTACTGCATCCTGTTCTGCGTCAATATAAGCAAGCATACGAATTGTCCGATGCGTCAAGCGTGTCGGTCGAGAACTCATCCCGGAAGGTATCGAAGCCATCAGAATAGACCCGAAATGTCAACCGAGCGCGGGGTCAACTCCCGGGATGCTCAGCCGGACGTGTCCCAGTGGAATGTGGATGGATACGCTCCTAGAGATAAACTTTACGAGAAGCGGGGATAGCTCGCTTGCGAGTTCCAGACTCCCCAGGAGAATGGACCTGAATGTGTTTTTTTTTTCCCCACAGATTGAAGAGACGCCTCATTGAGAGGGCATATGAGAATATAGAAAAAGAAAGAATAATGGGCCATAGGGTCTTGTGACCTTGCTCACAGCAACGTCATGTGATTCTCTTCATTATTGATTGAACCCGTCGAGGCCAGGAGACAGAAAGTTATGGACAAGGCGAGATTACGTGAACGACGATGTATGTCAAAGAGTATAGAACCACTTGAGAATACCGTACGCGGAGTCAAAACATCATGGCATACGGCCATGCGACAATGCAAGCAGAGGTTGCTTTCTCCTCGGCCTTCTCCAAGCCATCAAAAGGCCATGTCTACTTGAACAACATCCCCCCCCCCCCCCCCGGTCAGTTCGCCCAGATTTTTGTCTCACTGGCTGCTCCACGAGCTTGAGCCAATTCGGCGAACGGACACGCAGAGGCCTTGGATGCCGCCTGTGAAGGAGTGGAAGAGATAGTGTGTTCCGTAGAGGTCGAGTGTATGGAAGGAGCCAGCACACTGCTCAAGATGCTGGCCTTGTCGTCATCTCCGAGTTGACTCGCCTCATCGCCCAAGATCTGTTTATCACCGACGTATCCCTCTTTGCCCGACCCGAAGCTGTAGACGGACATCTCCTCCGCATATTCTTCCCCATCGCGGAGTCGCCATTTGGCGAACAGATCATTCTGGATCCAGAGGATCTTGTTGACGGCTCGTACAAGGCCGATCTTTCGTTCGAGAGAAATCCGGGGATGGGACAGGAGTGCTTCGATGAAGATATCTTGGATGTAACCCATACAAGCGTTTATGTGGATGAATTCGATATTCAGGGGGTGAAGGCGTTCCTGTCCGCAATGCATCATCCTGTTGGAAATGTCAGTCTCCAGCGGTCGAGCCGAGCACGAGGGGAACGAGGGAAGACGATGAGGAAAAGCCGTCGTATGTTCCATACCCTACTTTGCTCAAGTATCTCCAAAAGTCAATACTCGTCGGATCTTGACAGAGTTTTGTCAGATACCAGCGCAGAAACATCTTTCGTCGCTGAATCTGGGGTGTTTCTTCGCCCAACCATTCCTTGTCCGGCATCGTCTCATCGGCGGTGTTGCGCGTGTGGAACGCCCGCGAAGTGATATCATATTGGAGGAGCTTTTTATAAACGAGATTGACGATGGCGGGAATGAGCTGCTTGATGTACTTGGCGCCTGATTGAAGGGCTTCGACGTCGGCTACACATTGACGAGGAGTTGGTCAGCTGTGGCGCTGGGGGAACGAGGTGAGATCGAGGTACTCACTGGAGTTAAAGTCCAAGAAATCGTGCAAGTATTTGATTCTTTCTTCTAGATTGACATAGAGGGATTTGCGGTCGATGTGTTTGGGCTCAAAGTCAGGTCCCAAGCCGTAATCGACGGGCATGTTGATCGGAAGAGGCTTGTCCCAGATGATGTTCGAGAATGCTTTCGACTCTTTCAATGGCAGGCCCTCTGGTAGTGATGGCTTTCCTCTCTCTCTCTCTCTCTCTCTCTCTCTCTCTCTCTCTCTCTCTCTCTCTCTCTGTCCCTGAGATGTGATGGTTTCAGATCTGAGGTAGCCTATTCCAAGGTTGTCGAGTTGACAGGAAAGAATTAAGTATCAACGGGTTTCGTATGAGCAGTAGTTATACCACACAACTCAATCACAAGGGAAGAAGAAAGCCCCGACCTCGTAACGAATTCGTATGCACTGTCCTTATAAATGTCCTTCCCAACACGCTCGTCAGGAACCCATGCCACTCAGATCGAAACCGAAACTGTCCTGAATTGGAAATGTCTCCACAAAAGCCATGAATAGGGAGCAAGATTTCGCGTATTTGGGATCCTTCCTTCCGAGATTGAGCCACACGATCCTCAAACTATGAAACTCCTCCGTGCGTTGACACGTCCAAAACGACCAGTCACAATCGTCCGACCACCAATTTTATCAATCCTCACGGCGTCAGGCCATCGTGGAATCGACGCAAAAACTCTCCCGATGACGCGAGCCCGAAAAATCCCCCTTGCGAGTGGATCTGGTCGATCCGAGGGAGACGTGGGCTGATGCTGGTGCGTGCCTACGAGAGTGCCTGCGAGTGTCCAGAATGATGATCACGTCCATGTGTCTTCCAGTCCTCATCCCTGGGCCTGTCGGTCGTCAAGAGATCAATGAATTCGGTGTACGATCGAAGGCAAGCAGGATGGACCTGTACCAATTGGTTGTGGCTCCTTCATCATCAGCCTGTCTGACAGCTGGGTTGGAGAACTCGAGACACAAGTGTCAGGGACAATATGTTATGGGCATTGGGCACTATCGCTCCCGTCCTTCCCGACGCACTTTGGGAGTAAGTTAGTCAGCAATAGTGCTCAGGTTGAGCAAGTTGATACGCGAGAGTCTAGTGCCGACTACGATGAATGCCTATTTGCTTCTGTCAGACGCACCTCGACTGAAAGGACTTCGTGGTCCATGCAAATAGCACATGGAAAGGTTCAATAACGTCCATCAACGGATCAACTGCCACCACCGAACTGTTGTGTGCACAATCCGGTCAAGTTCTTTCGCGGGCCGCGCCCACGCCCAAAAGTCACTTTATGCTCCACTCTTCGGGACATTCTCGGAGCCGACGGGGCGGGAATATGGTGGAATTGCTGGAACGGGATGCAAGTCAATGCAGGAGGAATGCAGGAGGATGCACCATTTTGAAATCACAACTGCTCTGCGCTACCAGAAGAATCTCAATAGATCTCCAGCTCTCGCACGATTAACCTTCTATTGGTATGATCGTGGTAAAGTGGGCGTTGTCCATCAATCGGATAAAATCACGATACAGACTCCCAGCCCATCTTCTCAACTCAAGCCTGAATCTGTACTGTATGTGCATGGATATAAGTCACCCTGTCATCTCCTCCATTCCGTCCTCGTTGACCCGAGGTCTCAAACCCTCGACAGTCGACACGGCAGCATTGCCACGCGAAGCAGCAGCGTCACAAAGCCCCTGAATATCCGCCTTCCACTGCACTTTATCCACTCGCAAAAGCCGCCTATCAAAAGTCATTAGCCCATTGACTTTCCCCTTCGACATCCGTCGTCTACGTTCAGGTCCCTCCACTGCACGTGAAGCGTTTTGTCTGGTCCTGCAGTTCGGCGAGCATGATGTGGCTGCGACAGTTCCAGATTTCGATCGTGTCGTCGAGTTCGTAGGTCTGGTCGAGGGTGTTGATTGCTGCTTGGACGTTCCACAGGCTGCGTGGATGCAGGGTGTATAGAAGATGTGACTGGGACGCAGAGTTCGCTTGCTGATAGGGATCACATAGTCTCCCGAGTCGGTGAGGCTGGAACTGCAAGTTCCGAAGGGTTAAGGTGGCTCTAAGGCTCAACGTCCTAAGACGCAGAGTCACCTTCTTCGTGGTCTGGTCCAGGAATTGTTCTTTCAGGCGTTTCGATAGTAGTGATATTAATTATGGTAACTTTGCGCGTTCCGAAGGTGGTAGGTCCATTTTGAGTCCGAAACTGTGTAGACACCACCGGCTACGGACGCGTGTCTTGAGTCGATTGACTCGAAGGTGCGCCTTGCGGACCGCGTTGACTCAGAAATTCCTCATCTTTGTATCCTTGCCTTTTGGATTCTAGTTTTCACTATTTTTCCTGGGCCTGAATCTTCCCTATGCTGGAAGAGGTATATATGAATCGTGAATATGATCGGTTGAAGCCGAAGTCCTGTTACGGATTTGCATTCTGCAGTCCTTGGGTGGACTCGCAGTCTCGGGTCTTCGGGGGTTGAATAGATGGTTGGACGCTAGGTCCGTTGATTGATCGCTGAGTCCATTGTAACCGTTGATTGGCTGCTGAATAGACGCGGAGTCTATTGTAACCGTTAAAGGAGGGTATTTTAACTATATTGCTGAAGAGGTGAGTAGGTAGCCCAGCCTTATGAGGCTGATGATGCGTGGTGATCGCGGTTGTGCTGGCTGTGTTGAACTTTAAAGTGTGTTAGGAACGCATCGCAGAACGCGCTTTTGGCGTATTTTCGACGGCGGCGCTGTAGGATGATGAGGATATGCGAATACTCGCACCAGCGCGCTACACAGGGCTCATAACCTATTCGTAGATATCATCCACGGAAGGGAGGAGAGGAAGGTGAATCACAACTTGATCGGTAGAAGCCCAGAAGGTATGAGAAGGAAGAGAGGCGATCTAATGTTGTGGGTTTGTGGGTCCCCCGGTGGTGAGTCGGCAGGATCATCCAAACACCTCTAGGCCCTTTCTCCTCTCGCCAAAAGGGCATCAGTGATGATGGGTCGAAGAAGTTGATCCTCAATTGTTGTTAGTTCTGGCGCGAGACTATCTCAGGCTGTCGTCGTGGAGGCGCAGCACTACTCCAGCGGCTACAAGATGCAAAAGTGCTTGGCGAATCGAGATGCCTAGTGCCTACTACCTGGTTCTATTGCCCAGTTGAGTGCCTGGTACAGGCACAGCAGGCTGCAGCTGAGCAGAGTTCTTTCTGTAAGCAAGGCCTCCTGTTTAGATTGTTCGGTAACTACTAATGACAGCAGTAGACGAGTGGCTGTCAACCCCCGTGTGTTTTCCAAGACCCATGTCGACCTACAGTATTGTCACAGAATGCAGTGCAGTGCAGTACAGTGCATCTGCAGACGCCTCGTGGTCTGCCTGAAAGCTTCAAAGCGGGCCTGTACGAGTACGATCGGATAACTCGAGCTGATGCATTTCAGAGTGAATTCATTAGTATAGTGATAGACCAAAAGGTCCTACATGTGATACGCCCGCGGACGACTGCAGACTCGCGGAGTACGGACCATCTCGAAACTTGCACGTTTCTGGAAGATGCAAAGGCTCATTTACTTCGCGAGTTGCAATCTCGACTCCCGGCCTCTATCTCCTGTAGAAGATGACCAGGCACGTTTCGGAAATTAAAGTGACACGGTCGTCGTCACATGGCAGGGACCTGCAGCCTGCAGGGACTTGGCTACGTTGCCGATGAGTCACAATATGCACTGGTGAAAACTCCTGCTTTTGTCGGGCCGTCGGCTATGTCGAATTGTCTGTAGAGTACACGTCTACTACTGTGTAACTGAGGTACTTGAAATTTGTAAGTGATGATGAAAAGTAGCGCAGCCTAGTCGACGATGCAGCTCTTTCCCTCTTCAGATATTCTCGAGGCTTGAGGCTTGCCAGTCATATGTGATGACATTGACTCGAACCCTATTTTAGGCATCACCAAGCCACCCACCATTCCAGGCAGGCTGCGGGATGCAATCAATAGCGTGAGGCTAAAAAAGTAGGTCTCGTGGATCCGGATGCTCCTGATCCTCCTGAGGCTGTAACGGAAGAGAGAAGGGAAATGATACATAGAAAAGAATGATAACATTGATCAATGAATTTTTTCCTATTATTACGATCGTTTTTTTACAGTAAGAGAACTGTATGTTACAGTATGAGATCCGTTCGACTGTCAGATTGAGGCTGTGTCGGCTCAGCTATCGCGAATCCCGCGATTGTCGATAGCCTCGTCTCGCTCGCGATTCTTGCCAATAATCTTACTGTTTCCTCCGAGTGCTGCTGGCCTTCCATTCGAGCCTTGTCCCTTTTCGTCCTTCGTTGGGTCTTGGCCTTTGCGTCAGATGCGTCGCAAAGACCAGTCACCAGTCACCATCCCCGTCACACCGCTACCACAGACCTGCAAAGGCTGCAAGTAATAATACCTACCGAGACAGAACAAACAGGGCCGAGAGTTGTTAACTCGCCAGGCCAAGCAGGAATTCCCGGATTCGGAGACAACTACGCACCAGCAGAGCAGCCCCCAAAAATACCCAGGACGAGGAGAGTCTGATCGCTGACGCAGTCCACTTTTTCCAGGAGTCTCTCGTTCAGGAACAGGAAGCGAGTTGCATCCGATCAGGGCCCGTCAGGCACCGAACTGCTTGTTCGGGACTAGCCTCGACGGCAAACCCCATCGTCTATGGGGTCTTGGCGAAACAGGAGAGTGTCTTGATTTCCAGGAGTTTGTCTCCAGCTGTTCCATTCTACCCGAAAAGGAAGGCGCAGACTGCCAGTGCCAGACACTTCTTTGCTGAGGCGCGGCTTGTCAGTCGATGCCAGAGTGAGCATGGCTGTTCGTGTTGATCGGCACTTGAAAATTGACTGTCACTAGGCTTATCCATATTATTGTAGTCCGTAGTCCGTACTCATACGAGTTGGAACGAGAGAGGCGACGATGAGATTCGGCCACATTGACCATGTGGTACTGTGCAATGTGAGGTGCCCTGCTATTGAGTCCGGGTCATGCTCATGCCTCTTTGAAATTACAAGAAGATGCTTCATTATACACCCAGTTCGAATGGTCTCTCGATATCGGGTTCATTTCGATGAGGATTTTCATAGGATCTCTGAGTTCGCTCCCGAGACATCCACAAGCCGATGGTCGATCGGAAGGACCGGAATGCTAAGATATTGGGCTTGTGCGGCTACTCAGATCCACGTCGCGTGGGAAAACGGTGTGGCGCGATTCAAAGATGAAGAAGTGATCATATCGAAACTTTTATCTCTGAGGCCACGATCTTTATCCCTGCCCGGACGATAAGTACTGGATCATCCTGAGTCCCTTTGGACGGAACACATCAGTGACCCGCTTCGAGTCTCTTCATAAAGGATTGACGACGAGCTCGTGAGGCCGTTCAAACCTCACTTCGTGATTCAAAGACCTGTCATTTGAAGTCAAAGGTGATCTATCGAGCGCTTCGGCATGATTTTCCTGACTCTTTAGTGTGATGAGATCGTTCATTCGTGGCTGGATCTGGAATCCCTACCCCGATCCCTACTGTCCCATTGAGCGCGACACATTCCAGCCTGCTCCGGGCCACAGTCCGTCGCCCCGCCTTGCCGTCTGGTGAATGTGAGATGCTGACGTTCACGCTCAGTCTGTGGGTTGACTCGGTTCTGACCCATCGTTTGTCGGTCTGGGGGACGACCGCTCGCGATGGGATAAACCGATGCGATCATGAGATGTCTTACATGAACGTGACCCTGATGAAACTTTGCTGGGTGACCTCTCGTATCATCGCTATTGTTCCATATACCTGTTCTATGTATGTAGTTCGGCCTCCAGAGGTGCTAACCTCCGACAGACGACGCGGCAAACGACGGGTCTTTTGCCAGCATCGGCTTGTTTTCTCGTCAATGTCCATTTTCCAGATCGAAACAGACTCTCTACTTCGGACAAATCCTTGCGAATTGGACTACACACGCCCACACCAAGAATCTCGGCAAATCCTTCGATCTTGGCTTCGCCGCTCATCTCATCCATACCCCAGTCGCTTTTGCGTTTGATCTCCATTCCAGACTCATCCCTGGCGAAGTCGCATCCTGAGACATAACATGACACTGCGAGAATTGTCTCTCCTTGGCATGTGAGACTGGGCTACACGTATGGCCTTGCGGGGACGGATCCTCAAAGTTGTTCTGTGCATGCAGGAATATCGGACAGTATGCACAACCTCTGCAGTCTAGTAGTACCCGTGTCGTAGTGACAGTGAACTCTGTAATGCTTGGTGGTCGAGTATGATCAATAGGATTGATGATACGGTGCTTGGTCCACTTTGGAGTAACTAATGCGTACCCGTGACAGGAAGTCAGTGCTTCGCGTTCACCTCGCGATAGGCCAGCCTCCTTAAGCGAGCCGCTTCACAGGCACAATACTCGGGCGCCCTGGTCTTCAAATTGATGTGCGCTCGGACGGCACATTGACTTTGACGGTCTGTACGTGACAGGATTGCGATGCGCTATTTTTCCAGCCGCTTGAAATGATTCTTCCCTGGGTGTGATCTAAGAGAGGAATCTGCGTGCCGAATCGATGATTCAGTGCATTGCGCAATGATACACTCCCACTTCAACGTATCTGGCCGTGGGAAGGCCTTGCTTTGCTCGAGCGCTCACGGCCGCGCTTGATCTAGTCAAGCCTTCATACAATGTCCACATGGACTGTACACACGCGCTGGCTGTAACCAAGAAGCTATCAGCTGAATATGTCCCGGAGGCAAGCATGCTTGAGTACGATATTCAATTGTTGTCTCTATGTTGCAAAAGAGACCTGACTGCCATACTCACGGTCCGGATGGAGTCACGGATGAGGATCATGGAGTATCTTCAGGAGCCACAGCCGGAACATCCGCTCTGCACCCGAGACTTGGGTACAGGTTACGGCGCCGTGAATTTGGGGAATGGTCTTTACACTTTTACAGCAGTGGAAGCCTCTTAGCAAGTTAGCATAGAAGGTACGTACTGAATACCAAAGTCCCTGCGATCTTGAATCTACAAATCTCCATATTTGCCTGATGAGGCTCTGAATTGTTCAATGGGTAAGATGGATTCATGTAGGTAGGTCATCTCATGTGACCTTGAGAAATTGTAACCACCTGAGATGAGGAGCCATCGGTTAGTAATTTATACTTTTACACGTTTACACAGGTATTTAACATTCACAGCTTCGAGACTCCAGTGATTCTGATGGGTTTTATTTTTGCGAGGGTTTGACTTTGCGGCTCGAGGTCTCCAAGACGTATAAACTTTACGACATACCTACAAAGTCCAGTAAATAACTACTGTACATACTCAATGCGGCTGATAGCGGCCATCGATTCGCCCAAGTTGCGAACCGCAAACCTTGTTTGGAAGTCTCTGTCACTGATCCTGGCGACTTGTCGAGGTCTGGATCTGGGGCCGGGATGAGACTCGGGGTAACAGACAGTACGCAGGGATGTACATACTGTATAGTGTATCGCTGTATACTTTCATTCATGGCCTCAAAAGTTAAACAAAGATCGGATTCAACTTTCAAGGCATAGACTGATCAAGGTATTCATATGATCTATCTGTTCTGGCGAGATAGAGAAATCACCTATTCAAAATGGACTGCGTGACAGGAACGTCTCAAACGAACGTCTCGGAATTCAAAATGATGGACATTTACATTCCCAAAATGGTCCTGTTCCGTGGAGTTGCTCACCCTCCGGACGGAGAGTGAGTTCAGAGCTGAGGACGGGAGGGCCTGAGGGCCTCATCCACGGGTTGTCAGCAGAAAAGTGGATGAGCGACTCCACAGTCCAGAATCCACACATGCTTGGCTTGCGTTCCTGACCGATGGACCACGGGTCCAGCCCGTCTCAGGTACAGAGAGATCTTTGCGTGATCTGTGATCAGATCACTGATCAGTGTAGCGACACCGATTGTAGACAAGTAAACAAGACCAGACATACCTGGATGGTTACAATATATGGCATCTTTTCATGAATTGACCTACCTGGTAATGAGATTCCCGTGTAAAATTAATCAGTAAAGAGTAGAGACTGGAGAGAGTGTGTGTGTGTGGAGATCCAATTCCAGGGGGCCAAAAATGAAATCCACCATAACAGTTGACGGCGATGTGAATTCTGCTTCCCTTTCATTACTACAGTACAACGATGTAGAACGAGGGTTGTCAATGCTTATTGTTGTTGCGATGACTTGACTACTGTACATTTCCCATCGGCAAAATTCGTCCTTCTCCGAGGTCCCCCAGTAATTCTTCTCTCGCGGAACTGTGGTTTCCGGTTTGAGTGTTTGCTACATTCAGCAACCCAGTTCCAAACGGTATCCATACTAGCTCGGTATCGTCCCAAACACGCTCTCCCAACTTCCCAAGACTCCAAATCTCTCGTACGTCCATCACGCTCCGTTTGGGTTTTTAGCGTGGCACGGCCTCGCCGCTTCTTTGACGGACTTACTTTTGCCTTCTCTGCCTGGACCTCTTCTCCTTCTCCCACACTCTCTCACTCACAGCCGCTCTCTCAGCACCCACTCTTTTATCCGACCGTCGTTCCTTATAAACAAGTCGCTCCTTGCTGCCCTCGTGCATTGACACCCTAACCCAAATTCATTTCCAACTCCAGTCATTCGCTTTTGCTGAAGCCCTCGCTCTTTCAACCCGACAACATGCGTTTCTCTGTCACCACTCTCGTCGCTGCCTTTGCGGCCGTCGCTTCCGCCTATACCACACCTGACTACTCCAAGCCGCCTCAAGGCAACCCTGTTCGCTCCCCCAGCCTCAACCAGGTGGTCCCCGAGGGCAAGCCCTTCACCATCAAGTGGGATGCTACCCTGGGCAACACCGTGTCGATCGTCCTGCTGCGCGGCCCCTCCAACAACGTGCAGCCGCTCGAGACCCTTGCAGAGAGCATCCCCAACACCGGCTCTTACATGTGGACCCCTTCCACCTCATTGACCCCTGATGTCACCCACTACGGTCTTCTCATCGTCGTCGAGGATGCGGGCGCCCACCACGGTGCCTACCAGTGGTCCACCCAGTTCGGTATCTCCGGCGTCGATGGTGCCACCACGGCCGCCGTCACCACTTCCAAGGTCTCCCAGACTGTGACTTCGACCTCGTCCTTGACCCACACCGTCATCGCGACAACCAGCTCTGTCCAGACTACCGTGGAGTCTGCCACCAGCGCCGTTTCGGGCTCTGACACTACCGTCGTGGTTGTGCCTACGACCACCACTGCCACCTTCGCTACCACTCAAGTCTGGGTTCCCACGGGGGCCACCACTCTGGCCAGCAGCACCGCCGTCGCACCCTCCGGCGCTGCTTCCACCAGCGTCACTGTCACTCCTTCTCCCACCCCAGCCTACAACGCCGCTGGCCGCACCGTCATCTCCTTCGGTGCCGTTGTGGCCGGTCTCGTTGCTTTCATGGCTCTGTAAATTGTCAGAGGGCTTGACGAGTCCTAGTCAATTTTAAAGCTGACCGGGATGATGGATGGGGACGGGCGCAGGAGTGGGGGAGCCGAGAGCCGAGGGCCACGTGCCATTGTGATACAAGATCCTAGATGTATCACAACAGTATATGCCGTTAATATCTGTGGTCCCTCACCCCTGTTTCTCTCTTCCGGACCCGGCTTCCCCCTGTGCTGTGGGCTATAGAACCATGAAAGTCGTTGACCGATTACTCGGAATTGACCGAGTACTGCGCCAGTTTCCCTCGGTCAACACCCGAGGGGCTCCTTGTGATCGTCTTGCTTGCTGTCAATTTCCAGGTCTGAGTCTCTATGTCCTTGTGAATAAACCATGTATGGGTGGTGTGGTCAGCCACATGCGAAGACAGAGTGCGAGATTGATGCTTGTGCTCTGTCCGCCGATTTTTGTTGAACTGAACATATTTGTCACTTTACTGGAGAAAAATACTCTTGTCATTGTCGTGATCTTATCTGCGCATCCTTATACCATTTGTTTTCTGTGTTTACGTGCAACCGGATCCGGGCCTGAAGGGCTTGTAATGTGAAAGTCTATGCTATTTGCATCTTGATTGTTTTCTCATATAATTGTAATAAGTAAATAAATGGGTCACAGTCGTAGTGAATCTGCCACATGACATGGTTTGCGTTGAATTTAGAGACTTTAGACTTTGGTTGCAGATCGCGTGTGTGTCTTGGTGATCTCGCAGAGCATACTATCAAATATCGGCCATGACCTACCTATCAGGAGGTTGTTCTGCAATTAAATCTGGGTGAAGGGCTTCAGACTCACTACCGTTCCATCTTGCCAAGTCGTCAGCTCGTTCTGGGTGATACTTGGCGAAATTGGGTCGGGCGCTGTCATGATCAATAGGGCTGATACTAACTTACTCTTCAAGTTCCAATTAGTTAGTAACTTCGTAGTGCCTATCCATAACCCCTGACCAACTGGCGAATGACTTTTACCCGCCCGCCCGTCGGGGATTAATCACATGACGCACTGATAACTCCGCGATAAGGAATTTTCCCCCAGCAAGCGTCGCCGCCTGTCGTGATCGAGCCTCGCAAGATTTTAGAAACCTGACTTTCAAAGAAACTTCGCTTGTTGCGGGATACCCTTGGACGAGTTTCGAACTCGCTCACGTCTTGTGCTGCAGGCAGTACTCCCGTCACACTCCCATTTTCTCCAGTTTCCAAGATTCTCTGAAACTCAACTCGACCGAGCAGCTTGGATCGAATCGAATTGGATCCCTCCCAAGTTACAGGTCACTATTCAGTGTTCAACTGTCCACCCACCATTTCCAACCATCACCATGGCGCAGGGTGAACTGAAGAAAAGCAAGCCCGCCACTGCGACGGCGAAGCGGTATGCCTCTTCACACATCCCTTTCATGATGCTGTTCATGCGGTGTTTATTTCCAATGATCGGATCTGACTTGAGATACGTTTCAATCCGGTTTTTAGATCCTCCGCCGCCGCAGCCAAGATGAAGCGCGGTCCCCGACAGATCGCCCCCAAGAAACAGTCCCTGATCCGTCAGGCCAAGTTGAATAAGGTACGGACTGAGAAGCTCCAGAATTCACTGCACGGACAGACAGCGAGTCATTGTGCCTCTGTGCCTCGCGACCCGGAAGGACTTTTCGCTTAGAGGCCGGTTTTTCGAGTTCTCTAGCAGGACTCTCCTCTCCCCCTCCTCATCTCCTCATCTCCTCGTGCGCATGGTATTTCTTGGAACTAACCCGTTGTATGTCTGTTTGTTCTTTTTTCTTCTAGAAAATGACCTCCGGACTGGTTACCAAGACGGAACGTAGTCTTGCGACCAAGGCTGGACATTTGGAGTTGTTGGCCGGTGGCAAGAAGGACAGGAATGCCGAGAAGGCCAAGGGCAAGAAGTGAGGCCGTTTTCAAAAAAAAAAACACCGGAGACAAAAAGAGAAAAAAAAAATCAAGGAACATGAGATATCCACACGAAAACCACGGGGCAATCAATAGGGGACTTGGAGATTTCAGTTGGTCTCTGACTGTGGAATGAGAAAACGCTTGTTCCTGTGGAAGAAGGCGAGGTTTGCATCGAGTCGAATTGACCTAAGTCGGTCCTCCGGCTGTCTGTGGTTGCTTTACATTTGTCTCTGTCGGGAATTTCTGGGGTGAGTCTGGGTCTGTTCTGTCACAGGATAGATCAATTACCTCCTCTATTGAAGTCCGGCTTTCACTTGAGATCTGAACTATGTATTCCTTCATCCGCCCTTTCAATGTCGGTGGTCCTTGGGAATTTTCAACGTCGGCTATCTTGTGATAATCTTGCTTATATAAATGTGATACCCTGTTCTGATCCATTTCTCTTTTGTATCGGATTGGTCTACGCGCCTTTCTACCTCGTCCCAGATCTTCTTGTGTGTGCCCGGTGTTGATGTTTCCAGTAGAGAGTCAAAACATGACTCTCTACTGGAACCAGTTGTTCAGACAGAATTGAAGCGAGGGGTCTCATGGGAACAGCGTCGCCAAACGGGTAGAAACTCAAAACTGTGAAAAAGTATGTTCGTCATTTCTTCAGTCAATTCATGCACGTAACAGCGCTATGTACAGGACAAATCACCTCGACATGAGCAAGGCGTAGAGTCTTATATCAAGACTTTCGCCTCTTTCGAGGCGAGAATCGCGGTTTCAAACACAGTATGTAGGTTTTTGTTCATAAAAAAACAAGGTCAGGCATGAAATCATGAATCGTCAACAGAGTGAAAGTGGAAACGATCAATCTGCCATCTAGGTCTCTCAAGGAGACTCAAGATGAAGAGACCATCATCAAAGAAAAAGAAAGGGGGGAGGGAAGCCAAATAAAAAAAAGAAAAGAAAAGATGACCAACATCATAGACGACCGAACCAATCAAAACAATAACAAGACGAAGAAAAAAAAATGTATCAGGGTATCTATAAAATCCAACTCCAATGCCGCAACAAACATACTACACACCACTCACCCTCGCAACCAATCTGTCGTGATCAAAATCTGTTGTCTGTTGCACAAGGGCATAGCGCCCTTCATTCAAAGGTCAAGCAAAGGTCAAGCCTCAGAACTTTGAAATTTTCGAAGGAACACCGGCTTGCTCAATGAGCTCCTGGCCACGGTCGAGCCAAGACTGGAATCCAGCATCGGATGCATCAGACGGGAAATCATCCCAGATGGGGTTCTCCGAGTCTGCGTAGGTAGACCAAATTCCCTTGGGTACGTCTGTCATAGACCACGAAGGCAGCTTCGCCAGTACACACGTGTAGTAGACGTACAAGATCCGGCAGAGCAGCTCAACACGATCAATGTAATGCTGTTGTGAGGGATCCGGAGCCTGACCGCCATCACCCAGACGCTTCCACCAGGACACTCGCCAACGTAAGGTCAGAAGGATCTGTCCCAACTCACCGAGGAAGCGAACATGGGTCTCGTGAGAAATTTGCTTCCACTTGATGTTGTAAAAATCTCGCTCAAGTTTTCGGAAGCCCTCTACCTCGAGCATGCGGCAGACAATTCGGGAGAGCTGGGCAGCCAACAGGATATCACGTCGCTCTTCCGGGTTGTTGATGTCCATCGGGCGCTCTTCACCATCGCCATCGACAGGCACAAAGGTGTATTTCGCGCGCGATGGCATATTGTTCCACCGAGACAGTAGAGTCTACAGAGAATCGAGAGGGTCAGTCAAATGATAGGGTCTCTGGTAGCAGAGGGTCACAAGGCGATCAACTTACGTATGCTTGAGTCATTGGATCGCAATCTTTGACACAAGACAGCCAATTTTTCGACTTGTCCTTGGATTCGACGATCCGACGATCAATGAATTCGAGGAAAGTTGACTTGGAATTGCCGTTGTACTCGCTCAAACTTTTCAGGAATTTGTACGTCTCACCCAGGTCAAGAACGTAGAGAGATCCCCATGCTTGAGTGGCTCGGATGTTGAAGCGTCCTTGGCGCTCATTGAGGAAAGAGAGCAGCTGGCTGAGGTCAAACTCGGATGGAATCTCCATTCGCACTCTTCGCGATCCATCCAGGGTGGGATGATTGACCGCGCGTTGAGCTGAGTAATTAGATTAGTTCGTGCGCTCGGGCAAGTGGTCATTCTCGGCGATGACGGAAGACGTACAGATGTAGTTGCATGTGCCAAACTCCACGATGCTGGAGAAGCAGGCACGAGCGCAAGGCTGCTCGTTAAGGGTCGGACGGCAGGCGTCGCATGGTGAACTTCCGTCACACTGAGAGAATGTCAGTTACTAACGTTTTCTCCAGCCAATGGCAGCTTTTGAAATTCGACACTGACCTTGCGCTTATTCAATCTACACTGAACACAGGTGTCCTTGTTCTTGCGTCGGAGGCCGGCATTGGCTCGACCGACCATACTCAGGGGCCCCTTGCGACGCGCGCCTCTTGGAGGTGACACGAAATCTGCCGAGGCAATCGAGCCGCCCTGGCCATCTTCCTGGACAATTTGCAGTGGTTTGGTCAGGCCCATATCGATGGAAGAGCCGTTGCTGCGAACTTTGCGCTTCCGCACAGTAGCGACCGACTGCATGGCCAGGACGGTGGGTCGGGCGCTGGGATGCTGGCCAGCCACCGAGGAGGCTCGCGAACGGGAGGGGAACGTGCCAGTCAATGAATCAGCAGAACTGTCGCTGATCATGAATGCAATGGTCTTTGTCGCGGGCTGATCGTCCTCCGAAGGCGTTGGGTCAAGTGTTGATAACTTCCATTGAGCGTCATCTTCACCTGACTGGTCGGCAATGGCCGGGACATCCTCACTCGTGGCCGAGAATGAGCACTCGTAGAACGCTGGAATCTCTCCCGCCACAGAAGAGCTCTCAGATTTATACTGGAACCCTTCCATTGGAAGACGGGTCTTTTGCGCCGTTGGAAGAGCAGGCGGAGACATTTGTGAAACCGGAAGCTGCGACTCCAGACTGTTCAACCAGCGGGATTCGAGTGTTCGTAACGAGGGCTGTTGGTTCTTTGCGTGATTGGAGATCGTTGCACCGGACGCGGGCGGTTGAGGGGAATGACTCTCCACGGGAGCGTGAGTGGGCATTTCGGACCACTGGTCGGTCATCATGGGAAACGTGGGCGGAATTTGCTGGAACATTAGGGCTTCACTGGTAACATCAGGGAAGCCCTGGCCCTGGGACAAGTCGCCCACGTCGTCCACGATCACGGCATGGGTCGAGTTTGTTGAAGTCTTTCCGTATGGGTAAAGAATGGGATGCTCGAGGCTCACCCCCGCGCCGACTGAATTGAAAAGTTGAAAGTGCGGCCACGTTTCCTCACTCTGGAAATTGTCGTCAGCTGACGAGGGTAGCGTGCGCGGGCTGATGGTGCCGCTGGCAGTCCCTTCGAAGAGACCATCGGTGTAATTGAAATTTTCCGTCACGTTGCGACTGTTCCTAGTCGACCCGAAGCGGGCAGCCACGTTAGCGTTGGAGTTCCCCCGCGTACATTTGTCCCTTCTTTCGTCTTCAGGAACGCATAGATTTGGCTTCCGGAACGGATCAGGAGAGGTTGATAAAGATGGAAAGAGCGCACCTGTTTCCCGTCGGTTGAGTGGGATCGCGAGGACGATCAAGCAGAGCCCCCGTCAGAGGGTCATGGAAGGCGCCGAGATCCGCGACATCGGCACACTGGCTCGATTCCTGACTTGTGTCCCACTCGGGCGGTTGATCGTATCCGAGATGCTCCCAGGAAGCGACGGAGAAAGCACCGTCGGTTTGCCAGTTATCGAGAATTTTGGGGTCGATCCCCGCAGCTGCTGTACCGCTTCCGCAGTCCATTCAGGTCAAGGAGATTCGAGGCTGAGAGTCTGATTCCCGAGTTGGCCGGAGCAAAGATCGCAAAAAGACCGGGATAGTCTTTGGCGAACTTTGCGAGCGTACAAGAGGCACCAATGATGATCGATCGTGACTGCGCGACCGAGTCAAATGTTTGCGGAAAGGTAAGCGCTCGAGAGAAAACCAGTGTCCCTGGGGAAGTAAGAGTTCCAGAAAGAGAGGGAAGCTGGAATGTTCGCGAGAGAGAGAAAAGGTGGTGGTGGTGGAGGTGATCCTCGAGATTGCCAGATGGTCGAGGAGAAGAAGAGGGCTGACTTTCCCCACCACCAAAGTTTTGCGTGCTGCGATCGTCTCTAGCGTGCTTCTTGGGATCCGCACAGACCGTCTCGTTGGGCCTTCCGCGAGCGTCAATGGTTGAACCAGAAAGTCTCCCACCTCGGACTCGATTTTACACTTTTCTTCGTGTTCCTCTAAGCTTTGCATGAAATGCTCTCTCCCGGGGCGCGCATCATCCAGGATACAGGTGACGGAGGTGCTCGAGGTCAGGTGCAACATGAAGGGGGGGGAGGTTTCCGTCGAGGGTATAAATTTGGATCTCGGCGTCGGGTATACGGCTGTACAGTGTTGAGTGTACACTATACAGTACACAACTACACACTACAACTACACACTACAACTACACACTACAACTACACACTACACACTACAACTACACACTACAACTACATACTACATAAGTACACATTACACAACTACGCACACGCCACTTCACAAGTCAGACAGGACAGCGCTATTGTCGTTGATGTCGATGGGCCGAATGACGCTTTCGACAACACACATGCACCCTTCCCGCAAATCCCGTCCCCTGTTGAGCGATCACGGCATGCTGATGCATCAGCAGGGACTCTCATCAGAGAAGCTCAGAGAACAGACCAATCCGAGGATGCAACCCTCTGGACGGCATATCTCCAGCGTATGCCAAGTTCGCGTAGTGCGCACGACGCCGTAATGGCATCCGCTAGGCCGGATTGATGAAGGAAACGTCTGCATGCCAATCATTGCCCCGAAATGCTTCGAGAAGGCCCGTCTTGGAAAACCGGCCAATTTCAACTTGGTTTAGCTTCCCCTGCCAACACGTCGAAGAGCGGGCCATGGCTTCTTTGGGCCCATGAAATCACCGGTTGTTGGCATGCACTTCAGGCCAGGTGCCGGCGGTCCGATGTAGGAATTGCGCCCCACGCGCCATGGAGACCGGGGCCAGGAGTCGAAAGTCAATACATTTGAACTCGCCTTGTGATCTTGATATGTAACTTGTAGTAACTATGTAGTATGTACTATGTACTAGGTACTATTGAACATTTCGTACGAAGTTTATGAACTAGGTATTGAAGTATGGAGTGTTTGACTGAGTATGTAGTATGTACTACTAGGAACATAGGCGAAGATACTAGATACTAGATAAGTAGATTAGTAGGTCTCACTGGAACTGTTAGGGGAGAGTAAGCAAAAATCTTACGTGAGTCCATCAGTAAACACGAAACGGTGGGTGGAATCTCCACAACTGATAAGGACTCACTCAGGCACAGTGCTTAAGTACGAGTACCTCCTGAGCGTACCAGCGCTCAGTTAGGGTGCCTTCCCCCACGCTGGCAGCCTCAGGCTGACTTGAGTGCCTGATTGAGACACGAAGGAGGATTTACGATCGTCCGGACTCGTCACTCCCTGCCAGATTAGTAGAGCGGCTAGAGCCATGAACCACTAGCCTACCTTACTCCTACTCCTGCTATTACCACTGCAAAAGTTCAAACTCGTTGTGATATCTATTTCATTTAAAGTGATCCACTTGTTCTCACAATGCTGTACTGGTAGTGTCGTAGTGTACTCATTCGGCGCGTGTACCAGCCCCGGGACATCCTATCATCCCACGACTTCCTTCAAGTGGCCTGTAGCCCATTTGGCCTCCTGGACCTCCAGCAGCTGCAGCTGCAGCTGTCCTAGTTGGAGGGTTGGACCGTGCACACGCCTCACCCAAGCCCATCTTGGCAGTGACATGCCAGAGGACTGTCCCCAGTGACACCCAATTGGAAAACATCTCGCGTGAAGGGAGTCGGATCTCTTCAGGCCTTGAGGTACTTCTCCGCTGTTTATATCTATTGGACTTCGCGCTCAACGGCCGCATCGCTGCAATCACTTTCATTCCTCTTCCCAACTCCACCGCTAACTGTGTCATCAGCAACTGTGTGGTTAATCTGGTCCCTGGGGCCAGGTTCATGAGTATCAGGAAGACCTACACCATGCGAGATTCAAAGGTGTCCATCAGGTTCATTTGCCTCGACATTGTTCTGAACATGCTGACCGTGGTAGACATATTGATCCTCGATACTCGAAGGGACATGAACATCCTGAGAGCGATGGTTCAGAGTCAGCAGAGGGGGAACATCAGGGAACCAGGCTGTCAAATTGACCAAGGCATGCGGCGAGGTATCGAACCCAGTGGGCCTGGCCACAGAAGGCCTGCTAGAACGCGATTTCAATGAATGGGCCGGTGAGTCACATGCTAGCAGGTAGCCTTACCCGCAGCAACTGACATTGGTCATGTCAAGGTCCGTTCCAGATTTATGCGATCAGGCCCGAGAAGACATAGTTCGCCTGTCACCTACGTCTGTTGGAAATGTCTCTAGGATACATATATTTCAGGAGTTGACAGTATCGGATATCACTTGACATGGTCATAGCAATGAGATTCTTTGTCCGAACCGAAGCCGAAGGAAGAACCCCCCATCGGAATACAATAGAATCCGGGGTCAGAAACTCTGGTCGGTGGTTAAAGCGAATGCATGCGAGATCATCCATCTAGAGGAATGCAAATCCAAGGTGGTAAAGAAGTTTGGCACCGTATATAGGAGGATATCACAACACCTTGAATATGCACACTGCACAGTGGTATGCGAATGAGCTTGCTACATGACTTGAAGCATAGAAGCTCTCCTCTCACACAACTCCCCTTAACACTGTCATGGACTCGACCGTACGTACGGTACATTCTCTCCGGGCATGACTTCGCGGTTTGCCACATCACCTTGGATCCTATCATAGACTTGATACGCCACGAGCGGACTTAATTTCTTGTCTGTACGCTTGAATTGAATACTTGAGTCACCCTGTCAGTAGACTAGGTAACTTGCAAATGACATTTGAAGTGATCTGATAGGCAAAACAAAAAAAGAATCAACTGCCAGGATTAGGATCGTCGAGGGACAAAGCCTGAGAAAGGGAATGTAGGCACAGCACAACATGTGAGCCAGGTATTTGTCTGGGCAAACGAGGTTTGGGAGATGGGCCCAGTTCCCTCTATCAAATATCAACGTCGAGGATCAAACAGAGGGTTGAAGTTCGGTGATGAGAGCCACGACGCGACGACGGATTTCGTCACGGATGGGTCGCACTGCCTCAATGCCCTGCCCGGCAGGATCGTTCAGTTGCCAATCGAGATAGCGCTTGCCAGGAAAGAAGGGGCAGGCATCGCCACACCCCATTGTGATGACAACATCACTGGCCTCAACCGCATCGGCGGTTAAAATTTTGGGGGTTTGGCTGGCAAGGTCAATGCCTTCTTCGAGCATGGCGCTGACAACGACGGGGTTGATAGAATCGACTGGGGCTGACCCAGCAGAGCGCACTTCAATAGTGTCACCTGCGAGATGTCTGAGGTAGCCAGCCGCCATTTGAGAGCGGCCGGCGTTGTGGACGCAGACGAACAAGACGCTCGGCATGGTGGCGAGGAGATATCCTTCGAGTACGCGGTTGAGGGGTTGTTGTAGAGGAACTTCTGAAACGCAAGGGACGATAGCTGAACTGAAGCTGTCCCCTCTTGGAAGGTGTATCTCTTCAAAAGGAATGATGTGACAACTGGAAGGGAAGTGTATCGATGCCTGGGTTCTTCTGCCAATGAACAGATGAGTCGGAGGCTGTTCGTGAGCTTAATAAAGCATTGCTTGGCTTGGAGAGGCTGGAGCAATACGATTTATAAGCTTGCGATCCAGACCATTCTGCTATGGATACAGGGAGTCGTGTACCACTACCTACCTACTAACACTAAGGGGGTAGGAAACGGTGGTTAGATACTGTCCTAGGGCTCTGTTGCTTTGAACGAGGAATATACCGTGAGCGGTAGCACAAAAGTTGCAATGCGAAAAGAGACATGCTGCGGGTGTCTAGATCTGATATCTTCATTTCATATACTCTCCAAGGTCTCTAGAAAGGTCTCTAGAAAGGTCTCTAGAAAGGTCTCTAGAAAGGTCTCTAGAAGTAAACGATTCTCAATCGATAGCTTTCATCCTCACTCTATCATGAGGTCAATGAATGACCGATAGATCAGTCCTGATCATCACTATTCGTCACTGCGGCAAGATGATTGGTTGGAAACGCAAAAAAGTTAATTCATCATGAGCAACTGAGAACCTTAGTAATCGGTAAGATTGCCGGTCTCTGTCACAGCCTGGCTATGATTGGTCACTGGGTTGTACCACCCGTGACAGGCAGTGGCTTACAATCCTACAATGCCGACGGCTGGAGTGATTTAGAAAGCTTCCTTTCTCCACCGATTTAAATATATACAGGACGGGCGATTCACGGTGATACTGTGCATGTCCTAAGACTCATCACCTTCATATGCTCTGACTCCCCCTTTCATCCAAGAAGATTTTACACAGTCACCTGGATCAAAGGTCCTCAAGATGGCCACTACCTTCTCTCAGACAGGTCTTCCCGCGAAGAATGATCCGCAAATGAACCAAACAACGTTAAATGATCAGCCAACCCCCGATAGTCCCACAGCCGGAGATGTCGAGAAGCAAAAGACGACTGCGCCCGAGGAGGAGGAGGAGGAGGCGATGGCCAAGCAATCAGCCTTCAAAAGTCTTGGCTGGTTAGACCGTTTCCTGGCTGTCTGGATTTTCCTTGCCATGGCTATCGGAATTATACTGGGCAACTTCGTGGAAAATACGGGACCCGCCCTTCAGAAGGGGCAGTTCGTTGGGGTTTCTGTTCCGATAGGTACTGACTCGGTCGTGAATTCCTGGCACAACTATGATCTTGGACTAACTTTTAAAAGCGATTGGTCTCCTGGTCATGATGTATCCTATTCTTTGCAAAGTGCGATACGAATCTTTACACCAGGTCTTCCAGGCGCGGGAGATATGGGTCCAGATCGCGTTCAGTATATTTGTCAACTGGATCATTGCTCCATTCTTGATGGTGAGGCGCAGTATCCCTCGGCTGTTTTCACCGACACTGGCTAACACTGGACGATCACTAGCTCGCACTCGCATGGGCTTTCCTACCGGACGAGCCAGAACTTCGGGAGGGCTTGATTCTCGTTGGACTGGCGAGATGTATTGCTATGGTGATTTACTCTGCTCTGTGCCGTGCCAAAATGGAACTAACGTGTGTTCTTGATAGGTTCTCATCTGGACCGGTCTCGCAGGTGGTGATAGTGAATACTGTGCCATCCTTGTTGCAATCAATTCACTTCTGCAGATGGTGCTTTTCGCTCCTATGGCGATATTCTTCATCAATGTGATAAGTCATTCGAGCAATCAAGTCGCGATGTCTTATTCTACAAGTGCGAAAAGTGTGGCAGTTTTCCTGGGCATTCCTCTCGGGGCTGCAATCCTCACCCGTATGACGCTGCGAAAGATCGCTAGCCCGCGCTGGTACGACCAGGTCTTTTTGAAATGGGCTGGCCCGTGGTCACTCATTGGCCTTCTCTTCACCATCCTTGTGTTGTTTGCATCCCAGGGCCGCCAGGTGGTGCATCAGATCGTGTCAGTCGTCCGCGTGGCTGCTCCTCTGATCGTTTATTTCATTATTGTCTTCTTCGTCACTCTTCTTGTGACCTACAAACTCGGGTTTGGTTACAAGTTGGCTGCCACTCAAAGTTTCACCGCTGCTAGCAACAACTTTGAGCTGGCCATTGCTGTCGCTGTTGCAACGTTTGGGGCCAACAGTAATCAAGCTCTGGCCTCCACCGTGGGCCCGTTGATTGAGGTTCCGGTACTACTTGGCCTTGTCTATGTCGTCAAGTTTATAGCAAAGCGAGTTGGCTGGAAGGATTGAGATGGAAGAACCAACATCCACCCCTTATGCCGTTTTTCTATCATCTTTATCTACAGATTGAATTCAGGATACCCACATTGAATGGGCACAGTCAAGCCACTCAAGCAGACCAGGAATCACACTTTGACGGGCGTAACGTGGGACAGCTGGCCTTACGCCCGTTGTTCTACTGAATGCGACACTTGTCTGGCGCACGGTTATCTCCATCTCGTCAGCAACAGAGCTGTATGGCCGGATAGACCCTTACCACGGTCCATCTGAACGATGATCTGTGGTACATTAATTCCGCTGGATGCAGTCACTCACTCTAGATACTATACTGCGGTAGTGAGTTGCATACACAATGAAGTGTCCAACATGTACCGACATCCAGACAGTCAATGTGAGCTCAGTTTGTCCAGCACCTAAGCGGTGGGGACCCAATCAACATATTGTATAGGTGATCATTTATGCTTATCTGATCGCGCTTCCGATCGGAAGTCCAATCGGTTAGAGATGTCAGAGTTTGGTGATAGGCTGCTACCCGACCAAAAGGAACTTAATAGACCCTCTAGATGCATATACAAGCATACAGACCGGGACAAAGTGACCACTGTATCTAGTCGAGTGATCCACAGGTTCCACCCTATCATCCTGAGCCGAGGTGTCAGACTGTCTACACTCTAAAATCGAGTGATATCAATCCCCATCTTCCCTTTTCCCAGCGTTAGGGTCTCAACTTTCAGCCCCGTGTCTGCTCCTTACCGAGTCAACACGTGCTCCTTTAGCTTCCTGATAATTTGATACTGCTCCACGATTGAGTACTGAGTAGAGATAGCTGCATCATACCCGGACTACAATCCCTTCGGATCTCATCCTCTTTCCAGCAATCAATGTGATCACACCGGACGGATCCGTTCACCGCAGACTCTATCCGGCCGCGATTCTTTTCTTTTGGGGTTACCGCATGCCCCAGAACCGCTCCCCGCACCCCCCGAACAGCTTCACCGTGCCGGGTCGGTATCCCCGGTGTAGACGACCGGTAATCTAAAATGGCTCATCGCGCAGTTTCTTATAAGGTACACTTGGAGCCGCCGTAGGCATTTCAGGAAAAGGAAAAAGAAAGGTGACCACCTCCGCAAAGTCGAGATCAGACTCCCGAAAAACCAAACCCAATACTCCAGACGGACCAGTGAACCACGGTGACGCTGGCCCTTCCATTTTGCCGACAGAACCGACTCAGTGTGGACGGTGGAGAGTGTGTCGCGAACAGGACCTGGCGGGGGAGGGGAAACAGACCAAAAAAAAAAAAAAAAAAAAAAAAGCAAGCAGACCAACGGCCGACAGAAATTTGGAGGAAACCCGATCTTGCCGCTGAGAATTCAAGATTCACGCCCCTCATCATCTCAATATGCATATACTGGTACGTGGATTGGATATCGAGAGGTCTCCTCGTCCAAGTTGTCAATGGCGTTGGGCTTCTTATCGCAGCTTTCCATCCCCGTGATGATGTCCGTGCGGTAGTCATCCAGCCAGGATCAACCGCTTGAGAGTTGCCATCTCCCTGAGCAGGAATGCGTCTGAGACGAATGCTCGAGCGGGAAAATTCGGAAGAATCATGAGAGAGCTAGGACCAAACGCACATTGATCTTATCAAGATGCGCAAGGCTTCCAGGCTGGTCGTGCGCGCATCCACAATTCGTCCTCGAACTTCAACCGCCCGGCAATGATCACCTGCCCATGATCACGTCAATGAGAAATGGCAACAAAGAGAACTAACGCTTCTATTCAAACTTCCTAGCTGGTCAACGACGATGGCCCACCGAACAAGCGTCTCTCACCCTACGTGCGTCCCCTCGTAGACGAGCTCCACGCCGCTGGCCACCAAGTCTCCGTCGCAATCCCCGCTGCTTCACGCTCATGGATCGGCAAAGCCCACATCATCGAGGCCTCCCTCACCGCAAGCTTCGTTCACCCAGACTCCTTCCGTGACGACGGGTCTTGGGACGAGCACTTCACACCGAGTGCGGAATCAGCGGACCTACGCGACTGGGTCGTCATCCAGAACGGAACCCCGGCCAGCTGCGCGCAACTCGGACTCTACAGCCTTTTCACAGACCGGCCACCCATCGATATCGTCATCTCCGGCCCGAATCACGGACGCAATGCCTCGACGATCTACAATCTCTCTTCGGGGACGGTGGGTGGAGCCTTGGAAGCCGTGTTCTGTGGACAGCGTGGAATCGCAATTTCCTTTGGTAGCAAGGATCCTCAACCTGGTGATGTGATCGGCGCCGCGGCCCGACACGCAGTGCGTGTTGTTGATCATTTGCTGGGTCACTGGGATGAGCGTGTGGAGCTGTATAATATCAATGTTCCGATGCGAATCGATGTCGAGACACAACCCATCTTATACACACGGACATTGCCGTACTACTGGTCGCGGGGCTGCCTGTACGCCGAGGTTGAGCCGCAGACAAGGAGTGAAATGGCCGACAGCTCCTTGATGAATGGCGTGCACAAAGAGCAGCGGGAAGAGGCTGCTCAAGCGGGTGTCACGGGTGTCAATGGTGTCAATGGTGTCGAGAAGCAGGTTCGGAAAAAACGCCATTTCAAGTGGTCGGCGGATTTGTCAGATATGAAGAAGCGGCTACAGGAAAGTGAAGAGGGAACTGATGCGCATACCGTTCTTAATGGGTCGACGAGGTACGTGATGGCTAATATGCTGCACCATTTCTATTTCTCTACAGTAATTCACTAACACTACCGCTATAGTGTCACTGCTCTCCGCGCCAACTTCTGGCACGTACCGGGTCTTGAGGGACCATTGCACCTGGAATAATGGTGACCCTGGACACCGATTGAGCAGATCCTGGAGAGAGGACCTAGGTGCGAATGTCGAAAAAGTCATCATAAATATGCGTGTCCCTCAAATGATACCCAAATGTGAAATGGCCTTTCCGCCACAAGATGATGACTCAAGGCAGCTCTCATCCTGACGCAGGTAATTGCATTGGTACGTGGCGCACAAATGCATTATCATTTCTCGCCAAGTCTATGGCAAGCAGTATACGAAAAGTAGCCGAACCGAGGGGGCTGAAAAGCGAAGATTTGCCGGGCACGCGTTTGTATGTAGATAATTTGACCGTACGACCCATCCCAAGAGCAACAGCAGAATATACTACGGTAGGCCCTGAAGAGCTCCTGCATCATTTGATCCATCTGCGCCAATGACTGGTGGAATTGCACTATGATTAACGCTATGCTCATGATTAGGGAAGCGCTAAGGTATAAGAATTTGTCGGAGATATTAAGAAACACAATGCGTCAGACGTGGCATCACAAAAAGTTCATGGAAGAATGTTCCTGACGAGCCTTGCGCATGGCAAACGTAATCATGTATGACCTGTCGTAGTAGTTAAGGAAAGATAGACCACTCCTCTACAGGGCACGCGCGGCTTCGCCGGCACCAACATCAATCGTCGAAGCTTGCTCCGCACGCATCTTGCCCTTGCCGAGACCACCCTCGCCGACACCCATCCGGCGAGCAACATATCGTTGAGCAATCACCCCGGCGGCCAGCGACAGAGTCTCCTCCACCCAGTCCGAGACCCACTCACGAGGATCAACTCCACCACTTTCAACAATCTCGGCAATGGCCTCTGGTACGTGCGCTTGAGAAAGATTGGCATCATCGGAGTTGGGATCCTGTGCTGCAGAAGTCGACGCATCTAGCCATTCAATCCACTTGGCTGGGACTGGCTGTGAGATAGTGTGGAAATCGATCCCATGCACCGGATCATGCAGGTAAAGCGCAAAGGTGATCTCTTCGTCGGCTTGCACTGGGTCGACAACCCCAGAGGTAGACTCCTTTTCGCTGGCTGTGCTTGCTTGGAATAGCTCCGGCGACACGACCTGAGTGATCGCCTGGATTGCAAGGAAGATGTCGCTGCTGCGGACCGGGTTTGACTCGCTGAGATCCTCACTGGCTTGCTTCGCAGCCTCCTCGAGTCCACCCCGCGCCGAAAAGTGCTCTTGTGCGTAACTCTCGGCACTGGCACGGGCCAGCTTAGAGCCCTCAATGGCGCCACGCACAGCGTTGATTGTGCGAGGAGTGCCAGGCGAAACACTTCGCCACCAGGGACCGTCGCCCCAGCCGGAATTAGAGATGTAACCACCCATATCCAGGCCACGTTTCGGGGCAGATTCTTGTCCGCGCTGGATCACGAGGAGGTCACCGCCTTCAACCTGGGACATCACTCGTGAGAAGACTGCGTAGACCAGTGGGTCAATGCCTGGATAGCCGGAAAGATCATGGGTGATGTGAATTTGTAGTCGCTCATGCGAAGATATAGGAGGGGCAAGAGTGTGGATCAGGTTGGTGAATGTCGGAATTGCCATGTTTCGAAGCTCGCCACCTATAGCGATGAGTGTTAGCTTCTTCAGACGGAGATTAAAGCACCAGATTGCGCATGTTCAGTACCAAAGTCTCGCAAAGCTCCGACATTGCCCTTGACTTGTTGCGCCCATCGCTGAGCTTCTTCATTCTTCTGGATCTCTTTGACGGCAGCTTCAGCCTGCTTCACAGCGGCACCAGCCACTGCAAAAAGCCCGCCCCACCATCCCCCTCCACCGCCGCTCTGATTCTGCTCTTGTTGCTGTGAGGCTGCAGGGCCAGGTGCAGTCTCCTGTTTTGGCTGTTCCTGTCTCACACTTGAGCGAGGGATATCTGCAGACAGTCGAGACTTCTCTTCTCGGCTCTGTTCGATCGTCGTACTAGGACGAGGAGATCGAGTGGCAGGACGTGCCTTGTCCAAGGACAGACGTGGAGTTCCAGGACCGCTCGTCGGGCGCTGAGAGGCTTGTTTCTCGAGCTCTGCGAGAATGTCTTCCTGCTCCGCCGTCGCATCATCCTTGCCCGCTGGTGGTGCCGCTGGCGCCGGTACTGATGCCGATGCTGGTGGTTGGGTTGAGGACTTGCTGTTTTCCTTTTCGATACCTAGGTCATCAAATTGAGCCAGAAGCTCATCGCTGGTAGGTTTGGCACCCTTGGGAGCCATGTTTGTGAGTCTGCCTGGCTGGAGAAGGTTGCTCAGGAGGTGACGACACCGGTGCCTTGAGCTCCAAAGTTACCCAGGGGGCAAAACACGTGTGGAGCATGACCAAGTATCAAGACCCGCTCCGTTCCAGTTATAGCGTTTCGCGTTTTTTTACTACGGCGTAAAAATTACGATCTACATACATATTGTATGTACGCTACGATACATCGGGAGATATATAATCACACACCGCCTAGCAAGAGGCCCCCAAACTCGCCTGCACGGGTCTCTAGTTACGATGACCCGTACGCAATCGGAAAGAATATACAAAACGCAACCCATGGTTAATCACAACAACTGGTAGAGTCTGAAAAGACCACCGAGTTACGAAGACAGTTCAAAAGACTCGGAAGATCACTAGGCCATTAAAAGAATCAAGTGTCAAGGGCTGTGCGGGGCTATCGTCTACCTCTGCAGTCTAGGCTGACTCGCTGAGTCTACTTGACCCTTTACAAAACGTTTGTTGCCGGGATCTTTTACAGTAGAGCTTTTATCAGCCCCGTACATACATAGCTTAACCTTATCCGCCAGGCATACCCTTGTGATACACAGTACGAGGCCACGAGCATCATGACACGCACACTAAACAAACTCATAGTGAGGGATGATGCCGGACGATTACAACACTCTATTGAATCCCAGTATACTTTGCGCTTTGAATACTCTCCAGTAATAGCTTGATCTTCAATATGAAGGACTGGGAACCTCATTTTCGCCAGCGGATTAGGTCGATATTCTTTCGCAACTCCCAGTACACCCGCCGAGTCCGACCCTCATTCCCTTTTTTTTCTCGTCGCCCGACCCTGACCGCCTTTGACAAATGAGTGAGTAGCTTTGTCAATAATATCATGGGGCTTACAAGGGCATTTTCTTCACGGCCCGGTGCCGCAACTTCCTGTTGCTTCAATAACGAGTCAAATACTTCGCGCGGCGGATCTGGCGCCCTCCTCGGAGACTGCGGAGCCTTAGCCGCGGTAGGCAATTAGACGTACCCAGAGGCTCGGATCGCTCCCGCTCAGCGGGACCATGCAGGGTGGGTGCGATAACAATCAACGTGCATAAATGCTTGCACCCGCCCGCAAAGCCACGTTGGAGTACCCGAGCGAATCTCATTTCGGATGTGCATCACTGCATACTGCAGTCCTTGAGCTACTCTCGAGTCTAATCGCGGTAGGTCTTTTCCCTCGATACAACTGAACCCCATCATGCTAGTGTCGCAAAACTTCCCACTGACTCTCATCGCCTTTAGAACCCGGCCGTCCTCCTCATCCAATACATTGGTTCGCGTCACAACTATCGCAATCATATCAAGCCCGCTAAAATGCGTCTCCCATATGTTCCCAATCCTCCGCCAACACATACCCCCGAGGAAACTCGAATCTTAGAGGCTGTTCAAGCTCGTCGTGCTCCGAATCCCCTCCTCCCTCTCGATCTCACTCTTCTCCATTCTTTCCCGGTCACGGACGGGTGGAACTCTTTCATCGGAGCTATTAGAACACGCACAAGTCTTTCTGCTGTCATTCGCGAGTTGGCAATCTGCCGTGTTGCAGTGGTCAACGGCGCGCTCTTCGAGTGGGAACAGCATGCACCACTCCTTAGCGAGGGAGGTCTCAGTGACGAAGCGCTCGAGCTCATTGGCGATGCAAAGGCCGACTTTGAGGGGCCGAGGGCTGCAGAGCTTCTGGCGCCGGACCAGAGGGCTGTAGCGCAATACACTGATGCGATGACAAAGACGGTCACCGTGTCGGATGAGGTCTTCGCGCAGGTGAAGAGCTGCTTTAATGACAAGGAGGTCGTTGAGATTACTGCTACAATCGCAGCTTATAATTGTGTGAGTAGGTTTTTGGTGGCTTTGGACGTGGGAGAAAAGAACCATTAGATGCTTAGTCTGTTCGTGGTCTCAAAGATTATCTATGCAAAAGTATGGTTTTCATCCATTTGGGAAGACCTCCATCCATTTACTCGGTGTATCATATATCGTAGTGTCGATTCAAAATTCGACCGTTCCTTTGTCATGACGTCAACTTTCAATCCCTTTGAATGCGTCGTTACATACCTGTGGGTAGTGTTTGAATGACGATCGCCTCATCTCACCGCTGTTCACATTATATATCCATTCGTGGTGAACTGGTGGGCTTCCAAGAGAGGAAAGTCAAATTCGGTCGCCTATTCCATTTTTATCCATACGGATGAAGAGATACGACCAAGATATTGGAGGGAACAAAAGTCGCCTGAGCTCGAGATAATATCAGAACACCATCGAGCTGGAACTCTGTCCCCTCTCGTCGCCATTTTCATTCCGCGCTAGACTTGAGATTCCATTGACTAGGTAACTAACTAATGGGTACTGAAGGGCCCTGCACGGATAGTGTCCTGCTGGCGATTCGGGTCTGCTAGGTAGGTAGAACACTCCAGGAGGGAACGATATGGAGGCTCCACATTTCCGTCGAGAACATTGAACGGGCGATCGCCTCCAACACAGTACATTTCACCCCATTGCAGCTGATGTCAACGCCGTGGAGCCAATCCAGTGATAGAGGCGTAAAGAGACGGACTTGGGCATCATATTCATCCGGCCCTACCTGACTTGCTTCTACTGAATGGATACCTATCCGTGTTGACGTGGAACATGAAATCAAGGAGCCCGTGAATTCGGTATTCATAGGCAGCTTCCAACGAACTGTTCTCACAAGAATCTAGAAGCCATTTTCATTTGACTGAAACGCCTAGGTTGACAAAATGTACCGGCGAAGTTCAGAGTCAGCCTTGGCCTTCGAAGACTGACAATTATCTTAGGATGCTCCAAAAGCAACAGACGAGGTGTAGGATGCGCTCGCGGCAATCCACCTTATAGGAACAAGGTCAAGTATAGCATTATAGATCACATTGTGGCATTGAGTTATGCCAATCTCCAGATCCACCCATCGGGCACATTGTACCAATCTCGACGACTCCCCTTGCTGCAACCGTTTCCCTCAGTACTATGTAGGGTTGTCGGATGCTCGGATTGTTCGACCAGGGACTAAATGATCAATCTGAATTGCTGTTGCTAGTGAACCGCATTGGACGTTTGATTTGAAGTAGATTTTATGCATCTATACCATGACAATGGTAATCATGAGCAGTCAAGACCGGTTGTTGTTGGAGGCGGTAGAGCCGTGACCATGTTTGCCTAGGAGTCGCGTGTTCAGACGACACACCAACTTTTTGACCTTCACTGCCTGAAGATCACGCGTACCAAGTCAAGGCTCCCACTCAGACGTGCTTGCTCTGTTTGGACCGCTTGAACCCCATGAGAATGAGCAAAGAAAGGAGAATCCGCGTCAAGTCACCTCTGTAGGTTCTTGAAATCAGCCATGGCAGTAAGTAAATGGCGGCGGGCTGATTGGGTGCGGCAAGACGGTGGAGCCGGCCAGTCATTACGCTCAGTGGCTGCTGCACCGAAAAAAAAGGGAGACTAACACTATTGAAGCGCCGACTGCTCATTCTCTCACTTCGAAACTAACTGCCCGCGTCTTGTTACAACACCACCTCGCTGCCTCCATGGCCTTCTGTAGAACTCGCAGCGTGAGGCAGGTAAAGCAAACAACACGTCCAGGCACATATCAACATCAACAACAACAAACGATATTGCCCAAAACAGACGTGCCTGTGGGAGACGCTCGCACGAGAGCAAACATCTCCAAATCTCTGCTATAAATCACTTCTCTCCCCCAGCTTCCTAACTCTTACTCTTTTTTTCCTCGCCTCGTGCTCGCTTTCTTCTCTCCACTGACTGATTGAGATTGACCTATTGCAATCATCGCCCTTCTTGCACTTTCACATTTCTTGGTGGTCGAACCTGACATCGGGTTCCATCATCTTACACTCTCCTCTCCACCACCTCTGCACACCTCTATCCAAAGGTGTTCCCCCTTCAGGCGTACACATTACGTCTATTTCACCAAAAACCACTTCCTTTCTCATAAACACGCCTCTCCTGTCTCTCTCTCTCTCCGCCACACTTCTTTCCAAGGCTATTGTTGCCTTTCCTCTCGCGGCGGCTGCTTTCCCATCCAGCCATCTCCCGCTCTACACATCCCTGGCACCACACCCTTCACGACTGGCTCTGGTGACCCTCCGAAAACCCTCCCTTCGCAGTCCCTAAGAACTGCTTGTATCGAAAGGATTGACCTTCGTCGTTCCTTTTCCAGTCAAACATTTCGGTACGTGGTCGTCGCGTGTGTTATCTCACTATGCGATTTCGTTTTTTTTCCCTTGCCCGGTTTTGCTTGATGTACACTCTTTCCCTGCCCCGGTACTTTACACCCGATTACACTTCGGGTCAGATCCTGATCCACAAAATTTGCCGCGACCGTGTCTGCATCTGTTCAGTCCCCACCCTCCTCATCGGTCATCATCATACTACTTTGATACTTCATGCCTGGTCACTTTCGCATGTTCGGATTCCCCTGTCCTGTTACCACAATTGTTCGCGCGTGGCCATGTGGGTTGCTTGATCTGCATGCGCCTGTCCTCATGTACATGCTTCCCTCGTCGGGTCAGCTTCCGGATTGCGCTTCTCTTACTTTACTGTTTGTCTTGGCATCGCAAGCGAATCAACCCGCGACTAACATGAGTATACAGAACCTCCACGTTCCCTTTTCTTGAGATCACGGCACCCCAAGTGTCCGTTGGGCTCTCTTCAAAGAGAAATTGAGATCAAGGCTGGGATTGAGTCTTCTCCCGGCCCTCAATTCTCTCATTACTTTCGTCTCACCTCTCACCTCTCACCTCTCACCTCTCACCTCACGATGGCGCCAATTCCCCGTGCTGATCTCATCGACATGGACAATCCGTCCTCTGAGGTCGGTGACAGCCAAGACTCGCCCGTCCGTCGTCAGTTCTCGGAGCCATTCTACGCTCGCTCCATCTCAACTGAAGACTCCCAGTCCCCGGAGCCCCGCCCATTGCTGATCAAATGCGATTGGTGCGGTAAGTTGATTGAACTTCCAGATGATGAAACCCTGGAAGAAGACGTGCTCCATGAGCACGCCATCAAATTCCATCCTCGCCGTTTCTACGGGGGATTTGATGGAGCTGACGACGGCATGCACGACACGGAGGATGTTGAGGACGAGGAAGGTGACCTCGACGTGACAGCCGAGGCTGATGGCTCGATCGACGAGACTGCTCGCGAGGAACAAGAGTCCCGCACCGCTGAACCTGGCGAAGAGGCACTGGCCGATCCAGTGACTGCTGCTCCCTCTGTTGTGGACCACCCCAGTGATGTCGGCACTGGGGCTGGCTTTGCCAACCTGGCGAAGCCTGCGGTTCAATCCACCGTGGCCAAAACACCGTCTGACCCCGCCACGGTCCGACAAGAGGGCTTGGAGAGGCTCATCAATCGGCTCTCCCACCCCCGCAGCGCCTTCCCCGAGCAGTACCGTCAGCGAGTGGCGGAATGGCAAGGCCCCGAGATGCCCTCTCGCCTGCCAAAAATCTGGACTCTGCACGAGGTAGAGAACTTCTCCCCCGGGTACGAGCAGCAGCTTGCCAAGGTAGACGCTACTTGGCAGCATGCGTTCTCTGGAACAAAGTCCAAGAAACGCGACGCCCCCGAGCCTTTGGTCCGCCCAGACCCTTACAAAAAGGCCAAGGTTGATCGCGGACAGTTCCTCGAGACCAGCTCCCTGGACGGTCTTGTCGAGATGCTGAAAAAGCCGGATCAGCTCTCCAATGACGAACTCTACGCTGCCACCGAAGCAGCCGGGTTCGCGTTGAAGGTCTGGCAAGAGGAGTATCTCGCACTGGACCGTCTCTACCTCCGTGCGCACCGTCACCAGCGCGTGCCAATCACCGTGGATACCAAGCGAGAATTCTTGCAAGGTGCCAAGAAGAAGGCTGGTTATCCCATGGCACGTCTGCCGGAGCCCGACCAGGATTTTGAGGACAAGAAGGAAGCCATGTTATACGGCTACCGATACAACTCCGTCCAGACGAACACGGCCACAACGGTCAGTCGGACGCCTCAAAATCCGTTCGTCCAGGGTGGTTTTGTCCCTACCCCTGCACAAGGACGGAAGATGGCTTCCAAAGTCGCGCCTGGTGAGCGTAATCCAGATGGCTGGACACCTATTGTCCGGGACGGCATCGAGCTGGTGCCCAAACTATGGGAAGAGCCTCAGGCCCCCATTCAGGTGAAGGTGACTCGCAAGCGCAAGGCTGCCGAGATCGAGACCTCCCAAAAGCCTGAGATGCAGGAGACGGCTCCCATCCAGAAGTCTCCAGAAGCGAATGAGGCTGAAGAGGAAGCCCAACCGCCAAAGCGTCGGGCTCGCGGGGGCGCTCGTGGTGGTAGACGCGCAGCCACCTTTGAGGCATACCAGCCACCAGAGCTGGTAGTTGAGAGTGCGCCTCGTGGTCGTGGTCGTGGTCGGGGTGGAGGACGTGGTCGTGGTCGCGGTCGTGGCGTTGGTCGTCAAGCCAGCGAGCCTCGTCCGTCATCAACCGAGGCCGTTCAAGAGCCGACCACGACCACGACCACGACCACGACCACGACCACGACCACGACAACGGCCATCACAACCAGCTCGAGTCGGGGTCGAGGAGGTCGTCGTGGGGCAAGCAAGGCAGCGAGCAGCAGTGCCGCGCCCTCTGCTGCGCCCACCTCTGCCGCATCTGCAGACGAGTCCACGCCGTCAGCCGTGGACAATTCGCCAATGCCGGGGGCGCCAGAACAGGCAAAGCCTACCCCGGCACCCAAGAAGGAGGCCCCCGTGGAGGACCCGGAGGAGGCCAAGCGGCAAAAGATTCTGAACTCGAAGAATCCAAAGCGCACAAAGGCCATGTTGGACCACTGGGAACGGTTCAACAAAGAAGGCCGCATCCGCAATCCCAAGCGGTCGAAAGCGCAGATCGAGTCCGACAAGGCCGCTGACGAGACCCGCAAAACCAAAGAGGTCTCTCGACCACCTGGTCGCCGCCGTGGCTCTCCCTCCCTGGCTCCCCTCCCCGCGGGCAATCTTGCCCCCAAGGCTCCCATGGGCATGCCACCCATGATGAGCATGCAGCAGCAGCACTTGGCACCAGGACCTGGCCCGTCCCTGCCACCGCTGAATCTGCCTCCGTACGGGGCTGCCAACCCTTACGCACCACCTCAGGTGCCTGGAGCTGGCCAGCAAATGGCGCCATATGCGCCAGCCCCAATGTACCCCTTCCCCACGGGGCCGTACGGAATGGGGCATGGACAAGGGCCGATGCCGGGTCCACCACAAGGCCCGTCGCAAGGTCCGCCTCCGCCGCCTCATGATCCTCGTCACAGAGGTATCTAGAGGATTGACTCCTGTACAACGAGATGTGAAGTGAACGCTGTTGGAGTCCAGCGTCAATTCAAAATCACCTCACTTCCATCTCATGTACGATATCATCTGGGGCTCACAGAACCACCGATCTAATTGAGGGGGTTACGGTGGCTATGTGAGCCTTATTAGCGCTTTTGACTTTTTTTTTTCCCCTGTTTGTTTTTCTGCTTCCTGTTATTTTTTTCTGGTCTTGGCCCGGCGCAATGGGAAAGACAAAAGGTTCGCGGTGTTTTGGTGTGCCAATGCGCACAAAATTATGTACATTATCATGGACGGACTGGGTGAGAGGCTCCGTCTGCGTCTGGGTCAAGAAGCCAGGCGTGTAAATATAATTCTTTCTACGAAGAGTCTCTTTTCCGGTAACCTCAATTCTCCTTGATTCTGAGAAATAGATGTGCTTCGTATTCGAGTACACTCAAGGCCGAAATGGAGATGAGCTGGAAGACGACATGTGCAACCCTATCGCAATCTCCCAGGACAGGATGGCTTAAGACGGCAAGAGTGGCTGGGTTCAGGTACAACCGTCTCGGATAAATTTAACTTGTACTTGCTACCTACTGTGTTTTAGAATCAAGTATAGCTCGTCTTCCAACTATTTGAGGATAATCGACCGTCAAGACTTTCCACAATTTGATATGCTTGATGTTGTGCTCCTTTGTGTAATTACTGAGAAGCTCATGTGATATGGTACATGTTGCTAGGGATGCCATAGAAAGGGTACCGCTTCCTGTAGTTCCATAATGACTGATTCAGGGCTTCCAACGAGTAATCATTTGATACTTGATATTGATATGAGAAGAGACTGATTGATAAGTAAAGAGTAAAAACAAAAAGGCACGTGGTTCAACAGTGTCAAAATGCTCGTCTTCCTCGGAGCAGGGAACCTGATAGCACTGTCCTGAAGTCCTCAGGCTGCGCGGTACATCTCCCGTTTTCATGGGATCACGTGCTTTTTACGAGACAATCAAGTGACCGCTCGCGCCCAGCTTCAACTTGCGTCACTCAACTCTGAACGCGGGCCGCGCTAATTCTAGGTAGGTTGGATCTCCAACGATTTGCAGCTCGTTCTAATAAGGATGAGAGTAGAAGAACGCTTGTTTTTAATTTCGAGACACCTTCCTCCGCTTCACTGCCTTCCAACGATCGATATGGGCAAGAAAAGACGTGGACCGACGTTGGACGAGCTTTTGGCTCGTCCGTGGTGCTACTACTGCGAGCGCGACTTCGACGACCTCAAAATTTTGACCCTTCATCAAAAAGCGAAGCATTTCAAATGCGAACGTTGTCATCGCAAGCTCAACACTGCTGGTGGTGAGTATTTTCTTGATTAATATGCTGCGGTTGTACGGTCGTTAGTCACTAACTTTACGGAACCCTGCTAGGTCTATCGGTGCACATGAGTCAAGTTCACAAGGAGCAGCTCACAGAGATCGAGAATGCGTTGCCAAATCGTTCAGGCCTCGATGTCGAAATTTTCGGTATGGAGGGAGTCCCTGAGGACGTTCTCCAAGCCCACAACCAACGTGTGGCGACACAGTATCACCAATCCGAAGCTGAACGTCAGGCCGTGACTGGTAACCCTCCATCTGGCAGTGGCGGAAGTGGACCGGCGCACAAGAAGCCGAAATTAGAGGATCTTTCGGATATCAAGGCGCGGTTGGCAGCGCATCGCGCCAAGCGTGCTGAAGGTGCTACAGGCGGTAGCAGTAGAGAAATGACCCCGGTTGGCACTGGGCAGTCCGCGTCCACCCCAACAAACTCAAACGTAAGGCAATGGTTGTTCTACAAGGATCGTCATGTGGGCAATAGCTAACTACTTACATCATTAGGCCCAGCCCGCGGCTTCAATTTCACCAGCGCCGCAGCAGCAAGCACCAGTTGCGCAATCATACCCTCAGCCTTATGGGGCCCCCCCCAATTCCCGCTGCTTCACCATATTCACTTGCCAGTCCGGTGTATCCCGCGTTATCACCAGCCGCTGTCTCACCTTACGCGCCGCCTTCTGCTGGCACCCCAGCGGCTTACGTTGCGGCGCCGCCCGGCGCTGGCCCATATCCTCCTCCTGGCTACCCCTCTCACGTTTATCCTGCCCAGCCCACAACTCTCCCGTCGGGATCGCCTAGTGGCTCTTATCCTCTGCCAACCGTCCCAACACTCGATCCGAATAACCAAGCGCGACCGGGAAGCCTGCCAGCACTTTCGGGTCTTCCGCAGCGGCCATCATTTGCTGCGCCCGCACTTAACATGCAACAAATGCAACAGATGCATATGGGCCACCCGGCACCTTCTTCTACAAGTCCAGAACATGCTAATGGCGATGCCACGCAGGCGCCGTCGCATGTCGCCTCATCTGTTGACGAGCTCATTTCAAGTGCCGCGAAAGAAGCAGCAGCAAGTGAGAAGCCAACGAAAAAGGAAAAGTCCAAGAATATACGGATGGTCTATTCAGATGAGAACATCAGCCCTGAGGAAAAGATGGCCAAATTGCCGCGGTATGCATTCTCACGACAAGCGTTCCAACAGGAAACGGCTCTCGGCGAGGTTCCCGGCTCGATTGTTGTTGGCACAATTCGCGACCAGGACACGGTGGTCGACCCGGCACACTAAGGCGGTTATTTCAATTTCATCCATCGGCCAATAGCGCGCGGCGAACTCGTCAACCGAAGAAGAAAAGAGAGCGATCGAGAACACCAACTCAAGACGAATACGAGCCGAGGCCTTTCTTTACAAGATTGCGAAGAACACAAGGCAGGAGAACAAACAGCTGAGACACTATCAGCGCAATTGAGTAGTGAGATACGAAAATTCCAGCTAAGTTGGCACTTACTCTTGCCTATGCTATGAGCATTTTGGGTTTCATCATGAAAAAAAAGTCTTTGTCATGAGGTATCCGCGGTGTTTATGGTCCTTCTTTCCTGATTCGAGCAGTACCTCTGGCGAAACTCTTGACACGCGAAAGATGCCACCACTGGCGCGAGACCTTCCGCTACGATTGGCTATTGAATGCAAAAATTGGTGGGTCGGATATCATTTCTTGACCTATTCAAAGGCATGAAGATCTGTACTCCTTGGTGAGTCTCATTAATAGACCGTATTGGCCGATTCCCTGTGTGCTACTCCAGGCCAAGATGCGGGTTGCTTGTCTACGAATTGACTTGACGAGCTTCCCACCTCTCCCTGCCCTCTTTGATCTTTCATGCCAGCGACAAAGTCTCTTCGTCTGCCAGCCTCGTCCGGATCGCAACACGTGTGTCGCTGCCTTCGCGGAGAGAAGTGGACCCTCTGACTGTACACTGGTGCAGTCATTCGAAGACACAGTGCTGCTCACGACGATGTAAGTCCTGCCTGTCTGGTGTGAGTCTGAAGCTAGCCAGTGGTTCAATATTCGTCTTCAAATCAAATTATATTTTCATGAGATTTTAAAAAAGTCCTGGATTTTCTCTTTTGCGAGTGATTCCACAATATCTAGCGCTTCGCCAACACGTGGAAAGCCCCGAGACAGTGAGAGTTGAACTCATGTAACCTCGGCATCGTATATGATGGCACATTAATCGAAATACCCTTCGAAATTGAAGATTCTTCCCCCTAGAACATCGCAGATATCCCTCTCCTCTCCTCTCCTCTCCCCTCCCCTCCTCTCTCAATCACCTTCATAGAACTTCTTTAACAAAACCTCAAAGACCCCTCTTCTCCCTCATCGCCAACCCAAACACCACAACCCCAAACGTAGCCAAGACACTCAGACCCGTCGGCACCGGTTTCGCGGACTTGATCGCGCGAGGAATCGAGCTCCCGCCCAGCACCGTCGAAGCCAACAGGCCGATTACTTCGCCGTAGGGCTGGCCCGCGCGCAAACGCAGGAAGCTTAGTAGGTAGAGAGCGCCGACGGAGAGACCGGCGATGATGGAGGGGAGGGAGCCGGTGCGGGCGTAGCCGATTGCGCCGCCGAGGGAGGTGAGGAGGAGGGAGAGGACGAGAGCTGAGGTTGTGGGGAGGGTATTTGTGGACTGTGGTGGTGGGACGGTTAGCTTTTTTTGGGGGGGGGGGGGGGGGGGGGGGGGGGGATTGGGCTTGTGATGTTGGTTGTGAACGTGAATGTGAATGTGATTGCGATTCAGCGTTGCGAGTGTGGGGGATTGGTGGTGGTGATGGGTTCGACTGGGGGATGGGATGGGCGGAATGAGTGTGCTTTGGAGACGAGGGGATGGTGTTTTCATACCATTGTGACTCGTGAGTGTATTGTATTTGTGATTGCTGGGTATTGTTTTGCAGAGACGGGGAATGTTTGAAGAGGGTAGGAGAGATTTGCGAGAGCTTGGAGAGTGAAGAATGTAGATTTGTTTGAGCGTAACGCGTGCTTCGACCGGGTTGGGGAGTCACCTGTTACGGTGGCTTAATTAGGCTCCAAGTATCCCATTCCCTGGTAACCTGACTAGTACCGGCTGCGTGAAGAGGCCGAGGCTAATTTGGTTATGATTCAAGGACAAGGTCTAGAACTCCAGGTTGCTCTGCCGGGCCATTTATCGACAAAGTCACCACTAGTTACTAGTAGTCAGTGACTCAGTGGTCACTCCTTTGCGGAGATTGAGGTTGAACTTTTGATTTTGCTGGAGAAACAACCCAATCTGCTTGTCAAAGCAAAGAGGAGGCGAGGGCGCAGTTGCACATTTTCAAATTGCCAAAACGTATGCGCATTCGTCAGATGATAGTTAGCTGTCGAGAAGTTCCATCGCTCGGGCTATTCTCGGAAGTTCGGAAAATGCCGAGGCCGAAGTATAGGATCGCAAAAAGGGTCATCTTTGACGTGTGATAAAGACCGAATCTAGACAAGTCACGTCGTTTTGGACAGTCCTCAAATACAAATGATTTGCAGGATGTCTTCGAGCTCGCTCTTCTATATTCACAAAACCTGAGTGACCCCCGAGAGGCACATAATCAAAAGGCAAAAAGCAGTTTATATTATCTCTAATCATTCTTGATGCTGCTAACAATGTAAATGCAAGATATCCTAATCGATCGGTCGTCCAGATCTTGTCTTCATAAGATGCGAAACACGCTTAACGTCAGCTTCTTCACTGCAGAAATCGGATGCGGCGTCAGGTCATGTTGCTCGTAAGTCGCTTCTTCGTATTTTTTTCGGCCAGGGTAGGGGCGGCATCGAAAGAGTATGTATCTCACACAGCTCGCTAAGTCCTCTTTGCTGAAGTAGATCCGTATCCACGTGTTGGCATTTCACGCGATACTGCATCCTCCGGACGCAATTCTGCTGGCACTTCCTCCGTCTGGTGCTGTGGCTGCTCCACTTCCTCCACTTCCGTCTCTTCCACCTTCTGCTCACGATACGGCCCATCTTGCTCCACAATCCAGAAAGCAGGAACGATGCTCAAATATCCGATCGTCCCAAGAAGCCACCACGGAAAGATCACGTAGCCCTGCTTGATGCCCCATGAAAATGAAGCGCCTATCAAGGCCGGGCCGGCGGCACGACCCAAGGCACTGAAACTGGTTCCGACCCCGTTCAATGTGCCGAGCACGGACATGCTCGAGGCAGAGTTGGTGAGTAAGATCGTGCAGCAAGGAATACCGAACACGACTGCGCCGAGCTTGATGAGCATGACAAGTAGAACAAGGGGGACTCTGATATTTCCAGGCGCAAGTGCGGTGAATGGTGCGACGAAAAAGACGGTGGGAAGAATGACCGCGGAAACCTTGAAGCATTTGAGGACTCCGTAGCGTTTGGCGACGGGCGGGAACATTGTGAACTGGATGACCATGCCTATGATGCCGATGATGGTGTAGAATATGCCGATCTGAGGTGCATCTGGACGAGAGAAAGTGGAAAATTGGTTAGACGGGTGACTGTGCTCGAGATTTTTACAATCGTGGCGGTAAATAATGGAGTACGCACTCCCGAAGCCGCAATGCAGGGACGAACTTGGGTAAGAGGATAAGTACTTACCGACACCAAATCCACTGGCAAATTTGAATGGCAGTTGGACATCTGGATTGTCTCGCAGATTCTGGACAGGGTAGTGCAGAAATACCGGGAAGATTGAGTCAAAGGACATGCCAAGTCCGGACATCAAAGTATAAGACAACAGAATAAGACTAGTCTGTGGCGTGAAGATTTGGGACCAGCTCGGTCGAGATTTGGGAGTAGTCTTGTGGTGACCTCGTGTTTTGGTATCTGACAGCAGCGCTGTGCGCTCTTCGTCCGAGTCATTCACCTTCGAACGCCCGCATGAACCAAAAGGCCTTGTCAAGGCCTTGCCTAAGGCGAGGCCGGGGTCATAAGAATCCCGTTTCGCTTGGAGAGTCTCCTCCAGGAAGAGAAACCCCGTGGTGATTCCCACCAGGAAGAAGCATGCCGAGGCAATATTCGGCAGCGCAAATGGATACCGTTTGAAGTAATCAATACCCCCGAACAGCTCTGGGTGCTTCTCGGCCGGACGTGCCAAGGCACCGCCGAATGCAGGGCCAAAGATACTTCCGATCGTCCATACCAAGGGCATCAGACTGAACGCTCGAGGCTGAAGCTCTCGCTGGGGCACGATCTCGGCTACCATGGTGCGCAAGATCCCAACGTTGCCGTTCATTAGGCCGAACAAAGACCGCGAAAGGATCACCATTGCCAGGGTCTGTGACATGCCCAGCATAATAGATATAATCATGGTACAGGTCAACCCAAACAGAATCACGGGTTTCCGGCCGACATGGTCGGATAGAGTGCCCCAAGGCACGGCCATGATCGCCTGACAGATCGATGCGACCGCGGAGGAGATGCCAACCCATCTGGCGACTTCGGTCTTTGGTACACCGACATACTCGATGAGCTCGGGCTGCGAAGAGGGAAGAGGTTGAAGTCAGCGGGGAAGCTAAGCTATGGTCAGAGAGAATCCTCCATTGAGCCGGGATCACAATGAGAGGAGGCACTCAGGTTGAAGGATCCGGGATGTCTGGTGGAAAATGCACCAGGAAGAGCCTGCTGAGAGCCGTCTTCGAAGTAGATCGGTGCGATGAAAGTCCGCCTTCTCATGGAGTTAGTTCAGAACTCACCAGGTATGGCAGAACAGAGGTGAATACGACTGCAATGGAGCCCAATATTCGTTAGCTTTGATTTTGATAGTCCATGTCCGCCACCGCGACTAGCACTCTTGTCTCCATTTGTTCAAAGATTTTGAGGCTTCTTTCTTGATTGAGAATAATGGGCCATGGATAGATGGATCGCCGGATCAGCGAACTTACGTGGTTCAGCGAAGCGACAAATGGCTAAAAAAATAAAGTCAGCCATTGATATGATCCTTTCAAGTGCCATGAGACGCCCCATGTCCGTGTCTCTCTATTCCGGAAGTGAGGAATAATCACATACAAAGGATCAGCAGCTGGCGCACTGGCAGCTGAGGTGCCTTGCTTTTTCTTTGCATATTTCTGATGATTCTCCGCTTCATAGTTTGGTGTCTGGTTTTCCCCCTTCACTCACTCTCTCTGTAGTTCTGGTCTCCCTCTCACCAAGCTCAGCTTGAGGACATAAGAGAGTACAGAATGTGGAGAAAGACCCCCGTCAACCGAAAATGGGGACGTTATTTACAAGAGAGAGAGGGCGCGCGCGAGAGTGAGAGAGAGAGAGAGAGTTCGTGTGACGAGAAATAGATGCACGGGAGAAGCGAAAGGTAGAAATGCAAAAGAAAACAGAGTCTGGGCCGAATGACCCCCCAAGTTGGGATGCTCCGAATCTCCGATTTTTTCACGACTGCACATAATCGGCGATTGTGTCGAGGGTCCGAGCCGCTGCCTGACCGGTGCCGAGTCTTCTCTTGAATAATGCGAATGACATGCTTTCCCTCCTGGCTTGTGAGGTTTGTACCACTACAATTCGAGTGCTATTCTCGTACTATCTGAGTTCTACTACTCTAACGCCAGAGTTGACTCCGTGTCGAGAGACTGGACCATATCATGGTCGGATATCCATGGAAATGCGATCGCGTCGTCGATCGTGTCAATGCTTAATACCACTCACTGGTCGCCAGGCTTTCAGTCGGGAGAGTTTATCATTTGGAGATGATTGTCCATTAGAAATCAAACAGATCTCTTTAGAGTAGGTGTACATAGCAGCCTAAGACCATTACAAGTGAGTCAGAGAAGTCGACCGGCAGACGTCGGTGTCAGGATGTACTGACAGTGACTTAAGTTACCCCCATCTTCAATCTGACATGAATAACGCGAGGGAGAATTACCTACGCTTCGTCCTTGACTCTCAAATATCGATCAAGTGCAATTCAACAATCTGTGGAACTTCCAGTCATGAGGATCCTGATCATGTATCTGTGTACAGTCTGTAGGTTCTCGGGCTTGTCTCCATGGTTCCTATACAAGCGTATCCTGTGGTAAACAGACCCGTCCAAGTTGACTCTCAGCTTACCCCAAAAGCCTCCGGTCGGCAAAACTGGGCGCCTCCACTTCGGCGGAGTCTCCCGCCCTCGTGGGGGCGCCGAGTGGCTCTGTGCGTTTGGTACTTGTTTGGTACACATCAACCGCACCATTGCCGAATGGAGAGGAGTATGTATAGCCATGTATTGTGTAGTACTGGCGTAGCTCAAAGGTCAGATCAACAGTGCTGATGCACGAGAAGTACTGACACGTATGACATACTATGGGTGTGTGTATGGTGTATTTACCAATTACGAGAGTGTACACAAGTAGGTCATACGTATTAGGTCCTGTCAAAGCGATCTCATCCCTACCGATCCCCAGGCGATGCATCTTGATTGATAAAGTAGCATCCAATCCGATAAGCCCCAGACAACAGACTTGGATCAGCTGGGCGATTCAGATGGAGATCCGAGGCATTCTACTACTTACTTGATTGACTGCGGATAATCATCACACCTGCTTGGTATTCTCATCAGTGCATAGTGCATACTGCATCTTGTCACAGAGGGCTTCCTGGAAGCCACCGGCAGCGATCGAAATGATGACTTGCACGGGACACGTACCTACCTACCTTATGCTTGACGGCCTGTACTAATGGAGGAATGCACTGCAGGCAAGTCTTCTCTATTCTTATAGAGCCACTATTGCGACTAGTAGACTACTAGTTAGGCGGTACTTAAGTGGCGACGCTTGAAACTGCTCAGCAGTCAGCAGAGTGAGTCAGCACCACTACACTACCTTTACATATACACTTTCCATGTGGCGCTCCTCAATATTCAATACTCAAGTACACTATAAAACCTAAGCCATCAAGACTGCCGCCACTTTTTGTATACACCTGGGGCGCCTTTGTACATCCCCCACATATGAACGTCACTGTTGCTCTCAACCTTCAATACTTCCCACGCTTGGCTATGACAGCAACTTGGTGGCTGCACCAATCCGTTCTTGGATGATTCGACTCCATTTCTACAAGCACAGACCGTAAGATTCCATGGTCAGTCAAGCAATTCTCTTTCAATAGCAGTCGAGAAAACGGGTGCACTCTTACCTTGGCGTTCTCAATGTCGCCGGCATCAAAGCTCTCCACCAAGCCAGGGTAGGTGGCTCCTGAATAACCGGTCCAAACACCGGGAGCAAAGACCACGTGCTTGAACCAACTGCGTCCGTCCAGACCAGGCTCGTACAAGAAGGCTCGCTCGATGTTCTTATACTTATCGTTGGCGCCACGGATCAGGAAATACAGCCGCACCTTCTTCCACCATTGGTACCAGGGTAATTCTTCTTCCAACTCCGCAGCCAGCTTCGCAGCGTACGCATCAAATGCACTTGCAGCTGCCTGGAAATTGGAGATCTCCCGATCGAGATGCTCAAAGTCGAACTGAACATTCTTGGGCAGCTTCTCTGCCGCAGGCTTGATCTTCCCCAGGTACGCGTCGAGTCCATCGGCATAGTCTCCAGCGCTGAAGGAAATGACTGGTGTTTCCACCAGCTGAGCAGCTGCTAGCGCCCAGAGCTTGGTCGTCGTGAGGTGGTAAGACCAGTTAGGGTCACCATATTTCTCCATCCACGCGAAGCTGTCATAGTTCGAGTGATAGTGGTAGACCGGGTCATTCTTGCCACGATCGTATCCAAAGTTAAGACATGGAATGCCAGCAAAATCTTGAAAAGCCGTAAAGTCACTGCCACTACCCATGGTATGAATTTGTCCATCCCACACATCACGGACTGTTTGTCCAGGGACAGTCTGATTGGGATGCGGCACAAGGCTGGCAACATCGTACAAGACCTGGTTCAACAAAGGCGCAGCAGCAGGACCAAAGTTGGTGCCAGAAGCAGCAACATCGACGTTGAGATACGCGACATTAGCCTTGGAGAGCCACGGCAAATTCTCCTCGACCCACTCTGTCGAACCCAGGAGACCGTACTCTTCGCCATCCCAGCTGGCGAAAACAATGGTGCGCAACGGCTTCCATCCGGCTTTCAGAGCCTCACCGAAGCTACGAATGACCTCGTTCATAGCCGCAGAGCCGCTGTTGGGATCTCCGGCTCCACCGGCGATCCAGGCATCGCGGTGATTTCCAAGAATGATGACTTCGTCCGGAATAGTACCTTTCAGGACTCCAATGACGTTCCACAAGGGCGTGGTGACATACTGCTGCTGGTTGTCAAGGTTGATGACGACATCTTCCGGCGAGGGTCCAATGTTATACTTGACACCCTTGTGACCAAGGGCGCCACCTTGCCAGTACTCATTGAAATCAGAAGCCCGGGGCCCGTGACCATTCAGTGCCTTCAAGAAGGGAATGACTTCACTGTAGGAGATCGGAAGCGACGGAATAGAGGGGATGAAATCGTGAGGATCCTGACGCTCGCAGCCGGGCTTCGATGGATACCCTGGCGTGGTTGGATCACCGGGAGCAATGCCTAATGTATGCGATGTGAGCAACGTTTGAAAGGCCTTCATACGTGCAGATTATCAGTTCGAACCAAGGAGCGTATACATACTCAAAAATTGCGTGCTGCCTCTCTGGATAGCACTCGGGTTGCGAGCTGGACCATTAGGGTAGGCCTCGTAGCCATTCTCCTCGGTGATTTCGCCATCCTCTTGTGGATCATCATAGATCAAAACGCCCACCATGCCCAGTTCCTGAGCCCGCTTGACCTTCAAGCCCCGGAAATTCCGACCATACTTGACAATAGCAATCTTACCTTCCAAGGTCACATTGGCATTCACCAAGTCCTCGAAATCCCAGTACGTGCCGAAGTTGGCGAACACAAATTGAGCAGTGACATTGCCGCTGGCAGAGTAGCCGTGAAAGACAGGCACTCGATCGGGCAGACCAGAAGTAGGATCTTCTTCAAGGACATCTTCTTCCAATGTCGCTTCAAAAGTGATCTGCGTGTCGTGCTTAGACTTTTTCAAAAGAGCTAGCCGATGGCTCAATGGATAGTTTAGATAAATATCATAAGATGCGAGGCTGGTATCTTCAATGCCAAACTCCTTCCACTTCTGCATCGTCCACAGCGCCTGGCTCAGGTTCTTCCCAGCCAAGTGTGGCCCATCAGTATAATACTCGCTCCACTCCCGGGTCTTCGCTGCAGAGGGAGTATTCAGGAGAATCTGCTGAAGCTGATCAAATGGCAAGCCATTGCCCTGAGGCCATGAACTATGGGGGAATGGGTTGGCACCCGGCAAATAGGACCAGATGGAGCCGTGGTCGCGGGGAAGGATAGCGGATGGAATGGAGAAGAGTATGACGACAACCACCAGCAAGGCGCCGAGCATGAATGTGCAGGTTCGGCGCACTGCATGATGTGGATATCGAGGACGCCGCGGTGCGACATGAACCTCGAGTAGAGGTGAAGTCTCTGTGAATGGCATCTCTCCTTTCTCCCGCATTTTGGAGATTTGGGTGATGGAGGAATGAAGGAGAATGGGCAGGCAATTGGGGAACCACTACCGATGACGAGTCTCGTGTCTATCAGCTCTTCTCCGCACTTTATCGCGTTATCGGCTTGGGCTTACTAAATGCCACACGCCCTCGGGCGGCATGGCCCGCGCGGTGACCCCATCCACTTTCCTAATACAAGCTTTCTCCATAACGAGAGTAGCCACTTGATGCCCAAACACACTTCCCAATTTGAATGACCTAGATTTTTTTTGGTGGATATATAGCAAGTTGTAACGGCAGACATGGGAAGTATACAGATACATGGTATCACGGTTATTTTCCTATCCAGACACGGTCGCTAAATCATGAGGCCGAAAAGCCAAAGTAAGGAAGAAACCTCGAGATCAGATAGAGGAGGTCGAGCCAAACGGCGAGGTATAATCCAATGGAATGAAAAAAAAAATAAAGATAAAAAACAAAAGGAAAGATCGCTAGACGTGAGAAAAGTGACGATCTTCGTCAATTGTCATCTTCAAAGGATGCCGCAGGGTCATCGGGTATAGGAATGTCATCATCAGTTGCAGGATTCATCTTCTCGCCGAGTGCAATACTCTCACGTAGAATTTGGCGAGCAGTATCGTCGCTCACACCCATATCCTCTTTGACGAGGCAAACAGCAAGCTCAGGAACTAAGACTGACTGGGCATAGCCAACTACGCCTGCTTGCTTCACGATGCGATCGGACGTGGCCAGTCTGCGGAGTTTCACAGCAAATCGATCGGTGAGCGCTTGCAGCCTGTTCGGAGGTTAGTGAGTTCTGCCGTCACGTCAGAGAAAGGGGTGCGAGTGACTCAGATCATCTTACATCTTGCCGGAGCCCTTTGTCCCGTAATAACCGCACGAGATGGTCTCAAGGCCATCCCCCGAAAGGGTCAGACGGAAATTTTGGGCTTTGCCGGTCTTCAAAGCCTCCTCCAAGATATTTCGGTAATATGATGTACAGTCTGGAACAAGCAACTTTTCGAGCGAAGGGAAGTGCTTTTGAAGTCGCTGGTCGAAACTGTCCCAGCTGATAGTCGGAAGTCCATTTGCTTCCCATTCCTTCTCAACCGTGCCCTGCTGGTGGGAGGCGCAAAATCGCTCTTGCTCCCGGACACGCTGTTTCGGTTGAGCCAAGAACAGCTCAAGCAGTTGAGGATCGACCTCTTTCTTGCACATCGGACAGAGTGCTTGACGTGGCTCATCGGGCTCGGAAGCTACAGAGCTTGGCGGAGAAGTGAGGGATGAAAATCCCGACTCGTCCTCATCCAAGTCAATGGAAAGAGGCTCCTTGAAAGAGGAGGCGGCATGAGAGGAGTAAGGATTGGTGTCGATAGGAACGGTCGTGGATTTTTTGGATGCAGGAGACGATCCTGCTAGCCCGGATGACGGAGACTTGACTTTCTTCGAAGCCAACATACCGCCATTCGAGGAGATACCCGACTGTTTGTCGGTGCGCTTCTGGGCGATTTTGGAGGTCGAGGCTTCCGTTCCTGACGAGCCCGACTCAGGGCTTAGAGATGGCCGCTTGACGTACTTGGGGACTCGAATATTGACGGACCCGTAAGTATTGGGCTTCGCGCGTTTGGATCTCTGAGACGACCATGACGAAAAGATGGGAGATTCGTCATCGCTCTCTTTCCTCGGATTTCTACCCTTCCCTGTGCGCTTTTTCTCCTCGTAGGATTCAAGTGCTGGTCTTTTCTTCGAGCTTTGAAAGTCGGAATCCTGATCGCTAGCTTCTTCCTCGGTGGAAATGGGCTCATCGTCAATTGCAGGCTCCTGAGTGACTCTCAACTGATTCTCTTCATGATGCGATGGGCTGGATTCTGGCGACGCTGCATATTGCGCCGTGGTCTTGATTTTGCGAGTCGCCGGCAAGTCAAATTCAGGTTCCGAGGGCATATCTGCGGAGCTGAGTTCGCTCAATTCCTCCCCATCGCTCGAAAGACTCAGCTCTTGTGTCACTGTTTTGGTTGTTTCGGTTTTCACCACAGGCTCGTTCTCTTTCGGCTTATTATAGGTTGACAGTAGGTGCCGACCAAGATTAACACGTCTTGTCAGTCCAGCAGCCGCTCGATAACTCGAGTCGAGCTTCCTGTGGGGAGCCTGCATTCTCCGACGGTTGCAAAATGACCAGCAGCCGGGGGGCTTTTGAGCGAAGGTGATGCCGTGGTAGGGCGAGCTGTCAAGGGAGCGGACAAGGGTCGGACCGAGTCGATGCGGCGCTGGCGCGTGGATATTTCTGAATAGCACCGAGTCGCCCAAGGTACCGGCCTAGTTCAATAGCTCCACGAGGAACCTCAGCTCTCGGACTGCGGCGAGAGAAGCGGGAGTAAGGATGGTGCTTGTGAGGGGAACACGCGTGACACGCGGTGACAAAGGGTGTGTGCGCCCCGCAGCGCGGACTGCGGAGATGAGACTAGCAGCGGAGGACGTGTGATACGCAAGGAAGAGAACCTGCATGACCGACGAAAGCGAAAGCTCCTACGAGTTAGTGTTACATATGGATTCAGCTATGTACGTCACCTGTAGGATTGTTGGGTTTCGATAATTGATCAATTTGTACAAATTAGAAAGCCAGTCTTTGTATTAGCAAAATGTAAAAAGTATCCCATGCGATTAGTGATTTGAATGCTTTATACAGTAAAGTACACGCTTCTACTCCTCGTGATGCATACAGCCATGCACAGCGTAAAACACTCCTAGAAATCAGATGATAAGCCTTCCAAAATGCAGAGACCACGACCCGTCATCGATTCTTTACTCAAAGGTCATGGAAATTTCGCTCTCTTCATGGTAAGAGTCATGATCATGATCAGCCCAAGCATTCGGTTCCATCGCTATGGCCCCTACAGCAGTGGCGCCAATTCCCGCGGCCACGGTGGCAGAAGTACGCAAGCTCGGGCGGGACGGAGGATCTGCTGAACGCTTCGAAGAGTCGTGAAAAGAGGTGTCAAAGGTCATTTGAGTGGAGTCGTGATCATTGGAGTGGTCGTCATAAGATGTAGTGCGAGCGGAGCGGCTGCCTGTTGGAATCGGCTCCGAGACTGTGCGAGGGAGTGGTGGAGGCATAGAGCCCTTGGGTGAGGGGTCCTTTCCCAGCGATGTCACGCTTTGACTGGGAGAAGCATCCAATGAGCGATTCAAATCTAGTTTCATCGGAGGAAGCGTCGACTCAAGCTGCTTGACCTCGATCGCCTCGGAGGCCAGTTCGGCACGGATAGCTTCGATATCGAACAGTACAGATCCAGGAGCACTGACAGGGTCAGCCGAGTGCTGCTGCCCTGCGGCGCTCCGATTGACATCATATGTTTCCCAAGTCTTTTTCTCGGCCATTTTCCCGCGCTTGAACAGACCAAAACGTTTCTTCTCGGGCTTTTGCTCGGCAGTTCGGCGGGCCTCGTCAATCTCACGAATCAATTCCCGTTGTCTCTCAGCATGATTGTCCGGGTCCGGGTCCTCAATTTCCGCAAATTCATCGTCCAGGACTTCCCACCCAACCCTGCGTAGAATTCGAGGCATGGCCGCGCGGTAATCCATGTGCCCATTGACCGTGTCCGTGAGGTCAACGTTCTCCAAGCCCGGAATCCCCTCAATGGGGGCGAGTCCAGAAACGCGCATAATGCCACCGCTCGTGGCACGGAACAGATAACCCAGAATCCAATCGTTCTTGGAGTATCCGTTCACGAAGCGACCAGAGATCACGCTGCGAGCCTTAAGATATTCATCCTTGCTGGCAACAACTGGAGACCCAAAGAGATATACATTTTGAATCAGGCCGTGTGCGCCTTTGGAGGCGAGCTCCTTCAAACAGGAGAAGATGACACGCGCCCCCAAAGAGAACCCGAGTAAGGTGACAGGGCGATTTCCAAGATTGCGATCTTGCAGAGAGTCCGCCAAAACTAAACCAGCCGCATTGGCACGTGCAAGTGACACATTCCAAGGGTTATCGATGAGATAAGCGAGCTTTGTGAGGACAAGAGGTAATTGGATGGAGGCCATTAGGGCCATCAAGATGGTGCTTCCTAGTACTTGTTGAAGGCCTTGAGTAAGTGCCTAAAGACGGACACACGGGTCAGCCCAATGTCAAATCAGCAGGATTAGGCTCGTCAAAGGCAGAGGGAAAACTAAGAAGTGGTCAATTACCTCTGTGGCAAGGATGTTGATGGTGTCACCCATGCTGCGCAACATCTCGGGTTCCCAAAGCACGGAGTACAGATCGCCCATGATAGGATCAACCGTACTGTAGGGCAAGCGAACATCGTCAACTTTGCCAGTCATCCAGCCAGAGACGGTCACGATCAGGTTGAGCTTTTTGTTATTATGAAGGGGTCGGTATTCGAAGGTTTGAACCGCTCCAGTGCGGCGATCTGAAGCTTTCATGCCGATTGCACTTCCACCGATAGTGGCTCCCGACGCAATGAGGGCAGTGCCGCCAACCCCTCCCAGGAAAGCGCTTGTGCCTGAGAGACCTACAGTGGTCAATCCGGCAGCCAGTCCAGCTCCAATAACAGGAGCTAAGAGTCCAGCCGAGAGACCGATGACGAGACCCCCTCCTACCGTCGCCAGACCCATAATCATGTACTTTGATGTGAGATTGGCCTTGCGACGCTTTTCCATATGGTCAGACTCATCCCAAGTTTCCTTTTCGGCCTGCTCCTGCATCTCCAGCGCATCCGTCACACGCTTCTCGAATCGCGAAATTTGCAGCCAGGTAATGTCCATCACCGCGCCCACTCTCTCTAGCAGTGCGCGGGACCGAGCATCGTAGGCCGCATCCGCGATGAGAAGGAGGAAGAGGTCACAGAGAACAGTCCATCGAAGATCAATGTCGATCTTTTCCGTTGAAGGCAAGTGAGACGGAGTGTGAACTTCGGGAACCGCCTGGTCATCCACATGGGCCTCGTATGCGGGAGGAGAGTCTGGACCAGATAAACCACTGGCAGTTGATTCGCGAGGTCGATGTTCATTCCCTGGCGTGGGTGATGACAGCGACGAACGGGATGTAGTGACGTCTTCTTTGGCCATTGGGTTCTTAACGCGTGCGTTGGACATCAGTGGTCGTATAAGATCTCCCGGTTGTACACCATGTTCGGCGAGTTGCTCAATCATGATCTGTTCTGCCGAGTTGATATCCATGTGCATGTACAAGCGACCCATCATCATTTGACCCCACTTCCTCAGCGCATCTTGAGCTTTCGCAACCACCTTACGTGATCCCTTGGTTGTGGGTAACTTGCTGAATTCCATATTCATCTCGTGAATCACCAGACGAACCACGCCGACGTAGGCAATTTTCTGAGTCTCATTCAGAAAGTCCTTTGTAGCCTGGAGTTGACTCATGGTGTCGCGCAACTCTTCCCCCACGAAGCCCGCAGAGTTACCAGCTGCGTCGCGGAAGAGGTAGCTGGTGTCTTCATCCATGCTGTTCGCAGATTGCGCGTCTTCGTCCAGCTGCACCCGTGTGTATCCTTTTCCTGCACCGCCAAGGCCGCTATACACTGCGTTGTCGTCCTCCTCTGCTCCCTGTGCACCCCGAGCGATGAGTCTCCCATAATCATCGTAATAGTCCATCTCTCCTAAGGCTGGCATCTCCTTCCACTCATCCTCGTCCTCTTCCTCCTCCTCCTGTGCGACCACTGGTTTATGAGACAGGGCGGTTGATTGATGCGACCATTCCGATGGCTGTGCGTTTTTCGCATACGGTGGTGGCGGATCAGCGTCTCGTGTAGGAGGCTGCTTGTCGGCAGCGATGGATTGCGGCTGGTCTTTGATAGGGGAAGAATCCTGGATTGACCCTGCGTCAGGCCTTACTTCGACAGATCTGACCTCAGCCTGCTGGCCGGCCTGGTCATTGTTGCCATTGCGATCTATAACACCCGTATCACTTGCTCCAGTCTGCTCTGATGTGGGGTGGTCGAGGGAACCGGGACTTGTTGAGTCCCTGGCGTCTTCGGGAAGAGTTGCTGGGGTTCGAGGAGTTCTTGGGCGTGACCGAATTGGCAAACCAAAGTCGTCAACTTCTTCGACAGCATTTAATGGCTGCGGTGCTAGACCCTGCGCGGTCGTCTCTTCCTCCACTCTTTCCTGCGACTTTATTGATTTATTCTCCGGCCCGGCTGCTCGAGATGATGTCCGCGTGACCGGGGCTGGGGATGTCGCTGAGGAGGTAGTTGGCGACGAAACGGCCTGAGCATCATTGCCACCGATAGCTTGACCTTTCGAGGGCATGTTCACTGCGGCAATTGTTGCTCCGAATCTGGAATGCTGCACCTCTATGTGAGAGTTGTCCGTTGTCTTCGATGTGGAGTCCGCTGTTCATCGCCCGGCGACCAGGGGAGCTTGTCCATGCAGCATGCAACAACTGATGCGCGCTCAACACAGTCGTCAGCTCTCTGGCGTTCCCCAGATTCCGATGAAAGTGAGCTCAAATGGTGGTCATCGGACTGGGGAAATAGATCCGCACGACTGCAGACTGTCGATTGGGGAAAGAAAGAGATGGTCGGCGACCCGTTGAAAGGGAGTTATGCGGCGGGGGCGGGAGTGACTTTCAACTGCCCGCAAAAGAGTGCGGACTGCCTGGTACTACCTGGTGCTACCGCTGTGAGACTTTTAAGTGTTTCTCCTCGGGTCAAAGGATAATAATCGGAGATCAAGGGGCTCGGTAGAGTTTGGTCATCAACCAAGGGGATAGACCTGTGTTTTATTTCCTGTCATGAAATGTCAAAAAGCACTGCAGCACCGGGTTCTGGCTGTCCACGATACAATAATCGGTCCCTGAAAGCGGAAGATGCGGTCACCAGGAATGTTGAGGTCTCATCTCACTCAAATTCAATCGGCTTACCGTCTGGGCCATGCTGGATTGAATCTGACAGCGAAGCTAAACATACGAGCGATGAGACTGGAGATTTCAATTCCATTCAGAGACTTTGCCTCGGTGTCCGGTGGAGATGTGTCTATCTATCAAATTTTCAATTCATTGTGATCCTCTCACACTCACAGTCATGAATCATGTGAAACCCGCTGGTCATGAGACCACAAACCAGGCATTTTCAGACTCTTCAAAAGCTTCAAGCTGTGCGCAATTTGACCGACCGCGGTCAGAGTGGCATTTCTGAGAATCATCAGGCTGGACAACATTCCAGAGGCAGGACCGTCAATGGTCCGCGAAAAGAGAGAAAGTTTCATCGGTTGAACTGGCTATACCAGCATTGGGTGAAGAGCCTCACTTGTGACTGGTGAAGGTTATTGAAGTCCTCCCTCTCTGATAATGTGCGCATAACCATGATTCGCTTGATCATAGATCGAGTACACCTTTCATGATGACTTTTCTCTCGGTCTTGTAGGATCGGGTGGCTTTCAATCACATCAGTTCGAGGCGAAGCTTCACCTCTCTACGACGGCGCAACAAGAGCACTGAAGAGCCTCAGCCCTGGGATAACATCCCCGGAGCTCGTGGATGGGCGCAACTGGTCTGGCAGTTTATCCGTCATGCGGGCAGTGCTTATCTGAAAAGACGAGAGAAAAAAAAAGTTGTTTGATGGTTGCTTATCTGTGAGTCTGAAACTGTTTGTCTGGAAGGTTGAGCTGCGGCTGATATACATCAACCTTAAAGTTCGACTTGCATTCATTCATGATCCTGAGCACTGGACTGGTAAAACCAGCCGACCGCTTGCTCCCTTTCATCCAGCGCCACTGCGATCATCGCACCAGCCCTGAGCGAGTGAATGATAGGAACTCGTTTGATTTGAACCCTTCTGTGTGCGTGTGTCTTCAAGGCCAAGGCCTCATACGGTCATACCCAGGTTGACACAGCCGATCTTCGTACTTCCCGCCATGGCGTCATGCGGGGTGGACTTCAGAGGCGCTCGGCCGAGGATGGAGTCACTTGACATGCATATGTCTCTACCAAATGTAGTGATGTCGCGCTGCAACCTGCCGCGAGGTATGAGGCTCCAAGAACAAGGTGGGCGGGGGTCGGATTCGTCCAGAGTTGCTCCGATAGGCCATCATGGGGCTCTGACTTCACGTTCATTAAATACTGATGTGGCGACTAAGACGCTCCCGCAAAACACTGCTCTCTCCTCACTTCGTCTATCTCTCACCCCTGGTTGCGCTTTCGATTTCAGGAACCGGTCTCTCACTAGTCAGTAAGATTCTTTGTCAACCAGATCAAGGTTCGGAGGATTTACTGAGGTGCGCTTGGAAATGTCTCATGGTGAGTCAAAACACTCTCTCATGCTTGGCTGAGCTCGCCGGCAAGCAGCCGACGACTTGGTAGAACTCAAATAACCTTATTGGGTAGGTCCGGAGGCCTCTCTGATCCGAGTAGCGGGCGCTGGATTTCGACTTTCCTTGCTTCTCAATGCAGCTGCTTGTCAGTTGGCGCAATCGAGGATCGAAATCCACAGTATCGCAAAGGGCATATCTTTGTTCGCTTTAACCATCAAGCAGCATGGACAGCTCCTGGAAGGAATCGATCTCGACCACACCGCGGACGCAATGGCAAAAGCGCAGGAAATTGCCAACCAGGGACAGCGAGTGTTTTTGGAGATTGAGCACATGCTGGACAAACTGCAAGGCACAGACACCAATGAGGACTTGAGACAGATTCCAGTGCAAGAAAGGTTGAAGTGGTGCTTTCGGAAACAACATGTCACTTACCTGCTTGCCCATTTGGAATCTCTCAAATTGAGCCTGATTGTGATGAGCCGCGTCCTGCAACTAGGGGCGACATTACAGTCAACGAGAAATGCGATGAGTCGGATACCTATGCCATCTGCAGCAAACGATGTCATCTCCCAGGAGAAAGCTGAGACGCAGAATATGATCATTGTCCGATACTGGTCCCTGAAACGCCTCGATCGACTGTGGGATCTTGTGGCTCAAGAGGCCATTGACGCTGCAAACGATCCCATTAATCGAAAGATCATGGCAAATTATGCCTCCGATGCGTCCTTGACCATGGGACCATTACTTTCGGCAGCTCAAGGTTCAAATCCGAACAAGCTGACACCAGTGACATTCGGCGACAGTGACAAAAGCCTGGCGAATTTGGAGCGATCGCCCAAAGACATGGTTCAGCTCTCAGAGTGCGCCATGAATCAGTTGTTGGTCGACTGGGTTCCCAACTTACACCCAGGCTTCATGGATCAGGTCAAAGAAGCGTCGTCAAATCATTCCAGACACAGTTCATCGCGCGCCTACATCTCGTCCGATGGCGAAGACGAAGATTCAGACGGTTCAGGCTGGGATGGTCATCACTATCAGGGTTACTACTTGGAGGGCACCACACACGACTGGCGGAAGCCGCATTCACAAGAAGCCCGAGAACGAGCGGCCAAACTACGTCGACAGTACGCTGATTATCAGGCCCACGTTGAAAGTGATCCGGAGGATCATCAATCCTATCGTCGAAAAGGTCTCTCTGAGGAACCTCGGAGCATCGGTTACAGCGACGATGATGAGCAAAGAGCCTCTCGGAAGCAGCCTTCCAAGAGGAAAACCACTATCCAGGATCCGAGTACAGCCTCCAAGTACCCCCCAAGCACCGCATCTGATCGTGGGCCCCCATCATGGAGCGGGGGCTATCCACCGGCTCAGCCACCGGCTCAATCGACGCCTCGCACGCCGGTTCCTCCTCAAAACCTGTCCAGACCGCCCACTCAATCATCTCGCTATTTTCCACCGCCGGACTTTAGCAGAGCTACACCGCGAGCTATACCAACAGTCCAGCCCAATTCATCTGTGGGCAACATGCGCATGCCTTCACCGAGACCTACCCCGCCGAGTCCATACGATACCCCTTGGACAGCGAACCAGCAGAACTTCAATCCCAATCTATTACAACCACGCGCTCACCCTACCACACTGTCCACCTCGTCACCAGAACCCACTGTTCGATTCCGATCTTCGCCGCCTCGCTCCGCGCCACGGTCGCATCGCAAATCATCCAAAGAGGAGGCAAGGGAGCGACACAAGGAAATCACTCGTAGCGCGACTCGAGGGTTGGTTGGCATAGGCGCAATTGCAGGGTTTATGGATGCCCTAGAAGCGTTTTCATTATTATGAGTCTTTCATGAATTTGAGCAGTCGGCCTTGAAAGACCGACTCCCTGAGCTGTCTCGTCATGGATCATCCTTGGCTTGTGCTATGATGGACTTTTGATGTCTCTTTTAATAATTTGACTTTTCACCGCAATTGATTCTCCACTGAATTAGAAGTTGCGATCCAAGACATCCATCCCCATGCATCATCGTTCCCGTCGAAAGAAGTCTTCCCAAGGCCTACTTAAGATATAGTATCACCTTCCAAGGTCGTGCGCGAGATTTCGCCATCCTGGTACAGCTATCCTAGGTAATCGCGGCGTGGATACCCTTGCTCCTCAGAGCTAAGCTTCCGGATATACTACAAGTTCTGCACTGCAACGGTCTAACGATCAACAAGCACCTGGATCCACCGCAAAATGCACCTTGAGTACATAGTGCATAACTACCTCGTACCTACTAAGCCTTCTCCTTCCTCACATAGGTAACAAATCAACTGCGCCTGATAAAATACTCGGCCTGTTTTCCGGTGACTTTGTCCTCGCTAATCTTAATATCTCCGATAAAAATTTCTTCAATGAGCTAGGTAGTATTCTGACTTGTCAGATAGGACCTTGATCCCGTTCCTCGTAGGTCCATGTCAGTACATCTTCGGCAGCGCCAGCCAAAACACCTACACGAATCAAGCCGGAGCTTGCGAGGTGATGCTATACGAGCGGCATGAACCCGCTGCAATCTTCTGCTCGCAGCATATGTGAACCCGACCTACCTCAGGTACATATGAGTCCAGTCCGTAATTACCCCGGGCGAGGTCTACTTTGATCCAGTTCGTTCCGTGCGCTAGCTGTCGCTGTAGATTATTTGGCCTTTCATTTTCATGGGAAATGATCAATTCTCAATTCCTCAGCCAATTTTCGTATTGTCGAGTCCACGGTAGGGCAAGTTAAATCTCAGCCACACTGCGGGTTGAACACGAGCATGCATCCATGACATGTACACTACTACAACAACAACCACTCCCGCCACGACGACGGTCAAACATCGAATAACCGCACGGTTGAGAACTTGACACAACCCTGCACGAGGCAACGGAAACTCAAATCAGGACAAAGTCTCACGCTTAGGTTGTGAGACCGAAAGCCAAAGCGACTAGAGGGCCCGTGGCCTGGCGCCCTTTTGTAGTCGGGCGCATGCATTCCTCTTCTGAATTAAATTTTTGGTAAGACGGAGGAAATCCCGTCTGCAGGCCAGCCCTGAAGTTGCAGATACTCTGTACTACATAGTAAGTTACATACTACATACTACATAGTATGTAAATATGTGCTATGTACTGTGTAGTACACACTGATCTAATGATCTCGCGGTCGGGTCTTATTCAATATCTTTGCTTAAGCAGCGATGCTCTTGGGGTTGTCTGGCATTGCTGTGGGGGATGTCTACCTCTGTTGCTTTTGATTCCCTTGATCACAGGTACTTGTTCATGCATCCTTGAGATCTTACTCTGTAAATTTGTCTACTTCCGCGTACTCCGTCCCTCCGAGCACGTTGTTGGACTCAACTCCGTCCAGAACCTCACAATCCAATCGATTGTCCAATGCCGTAAAGTATTTTAATGCACCGTCAAGACATTTTTATACCTGCACAAAATGGGCAAGACGAATCCCCATTGGCAGAGGGTCTTTGCTTTTTTTTCCCAGATCCACCGCCGGCTGATTGAATATCCCCATCATTCAATATTGATCAGGTCCATTTTAGCCGGACGGAAAGGTTATTTCTTCTTCCGTCCGTGACTAACCACCCAACTGCCCAGGACGGGCCACCGCAGCTCAAAGTGCAGTTGCGAGGACCAAGGGACAAACTACTCAGTCGGACTCGACGATCGTCCCGGTGCCCGCCTACCAAAGCATGAATTTCTCAACGAGGCGGAATTTCCAAGTGGACCGATCTTCCGGCGGATATTTGTCGATGACCAGCAGCACCACTTGGACTAGCAAAGTTGCAGATCTTCATGTCCGAATTACCTAGTACCACTACCTAGTACCTACTGTATGGACGGGCTATACGTCGGAACTCGGAAGTAGATGCTGAATGATGTTGCCTTTGACTGGACGTGATCTGAGCGTTTCTTGTCAGAAGTCGACTCCACACCCTCTGTGATAACTCTCTGCTTGAATCAGGCTCGGGTTCTATTCGACTCCCGTCTGACGGTCTTCAAAGCTTGGAACCTCCCTGGGCGAACGAGTGTTTTTTTCTCAATTTTAATTTTTTTTAGTTTACCACCGTCTAAAATACTTTGGTGTATTTACAAGCGCTTGCGGTGCTCCGATACGCGTTGACTCTTCCTTCAATCAGACTTTATGGGCTTCCTCGGTCAATGTCCGTCTATCATGGTGCAGGCCAATGTTTGATCGTCGGACTGTCACAGTGGATCCGATCCATTTCCTCATGAATCATGTCCTTTTTGGTAAGATTGCTTTTCTGCTTTTTCTTCCACGTTTTCTTCTTCACTTTCTCCGTCACCCTCATTATATCCCTCTAATTCCGAACCTGTGCAAATCGTCTTATTGAGACTCTGGCTGAAGGCTGCACAACAGAGAGATCTTGAATTGAATCGCCCTTTCGCCTTCACTCATTTCATTGATTTCTTCGAAAGTCTGGAGACCTCAAAGTGAGACTGTTTCCATGAACTGCGTGCTGACCACGGATTGAAACCTGCATTCAATTGGAATATCAAAACTCCGGCAACGGAGGCATGCCGAAGATGCTCCCATCTGGGAGCCATCCATCCAATTCCATGCCGGTGTTGTGCATCGGGCCTCCAACAGGATGGTGCATTCGTTGCGGCTCGTACCCGACTTGAGGGGACACTGTTCCGCTATGTGCAGGAGGAGCTGGGTGGTAGCCCGGAGGAAGTGCTGTATAGAACTGGCCCTGACCAGGCCCGCTTTGGCCGTGTCCCTGTCCTCCGTCCATCGGCCACATTCCCGTGCCGCTATGGACTGCCATATATTCCTCGCGTATCTGCTCCGTGCCAGGCGGCCCCATGAGCGGCATACCGTGCATCAGCCCATAAGACTCCGGACCCGATGGCGTGATCGAATGACCGAGGTGCATGGGTGCCTCTTGTGATCCTGGCAGTTGACCTGCCAGACTCGTTGTTCTATTACTCGCTGGCGGACCTTGTGACGCAGTCGCAGATTCGGTCTCGTGGAACGCACCCCCAGCGTATCGCTTCTCCAGCCGTTCGAACCAGTCACGACCTCTGACCGCGATCACTTGATACCATCGACTGGGTATCTTATATTTTCCACCCCTGCTCGCCTCGCCCAATTTATGTGTGATTGCGTCAAGATAATAGCCCACGTTTACCGACTCTGAAGTGACCACCTCGCCGAGAGCGCCTGTCCGTACCGAGAAATGGATTTTGAGCAATGCTGTCATTGCCGTTCCAAACCGAGTATATGTGAGGTTGGGCATCCTGCGCATTGTTTCCACGCTGCAGGTTAGGATGGCGTCAAGCAATTCCTGGGCAGCAACCATCCACTTCACGGTTATGTCTATCCGGATCGCACTCAGTTGCGATCCCGGTGACCGATCGCCATCACTTCTGTCGAGAGGAGGAAGCACAAAATATCGGTTCTTGATCGACTCCGGATCCCGGTAGCCTTCTCCCACACCAAGTTCATACATGGCTACCACGGCAGACCGATACTCGAGGATCATGGGAACTGCTCGTGGAAATTTTGTTGTCAGACAGTCTGGTCGCACAGTGCTTGGGCATCTCTCGTTCCGTTACGGCCGGCGGGGAAGAATGTCAAAATTCTCACCTGTGAGCATGTCATCAGGGGTGCTCTTTCTCCATCCCTCCATTCGTTTGTCGAACCATCGCAGGACGGCTTGAACCCGGGATTCTGTCAGCGGCGAGGATGCACTCGTGTCGTCTAAACCGAATGAAGACATGGCCTCATCGGTGATCCGTTGCAACTCAAACCATACAGCTAGATGTTGGTCTGCCCAATGCGGCGAACGCCCTAGTTGTTGAACACACTCGCTCATCCAGTCGTTGAATTGAAGGAGATTGGGTCGGCGAGTTTTCATTGCCACCCTGAAATCACACGGGGGGTCAGTCAAGATGATACAGTACAAGGAGATAGCTTCCGCCTTTTGAGGAACTCACGTCGAGCTTAGATGGTAACAGCCCAGCACCGCCCGAGCCTGTTCGGCCATGAGCTCGTCGTGTGGATCGTTTCGACTTTGCCGATCCGACCGCTTCTTCGAGACACGCCTTTTCGTGGCCAATCCAATCTCCAAAGCCATCGTGGAAGCAATATGCGTATATTGATAATACTGCAATTTCAGAGGCGACGCAGGCGGGAAGTAGAAGATAATCATGATGAGCAGCGATTGCACCAGTTCCAGTGATTTTTCGCCGTCGATGAAAAACCGCTCCGCATACAATCGAACCATCTCACGATTCAGGACCCCGGCCAACCCCGCGTCTACAGAGATTGCGGCCGCCGATATCACCGAGAGAAATAGCACAGGCTTGTTCTGTCGCAATTGCGCTGCTGTGGTGTCTTGCGGCAAAACCACCAATGGAAAGAAGGATGCCAGCTCGTGAATGAAAAAGGCCACTAGTTGCTCCGCGTCATCCGGTGAAATCACTCCACGGTCGACCACGTCGTTCGATGGCGCCTGCTGGTTCTCCACTGGGTGATTCAGATGCAAGCCTGACAAGGATGGGGTGGTTGAAAGTCCACGAGGGTTGACCAGTGCGTTTGTCGCATTTCCCAAGTCGGGCGAAAAGTCCATGTACTTGCCTGAGCCCGTGGCGCTCGCTGGGGCTTCGGGCATTGAACTCAGATCGTGAACATCCATTTCACCCGACTCGTCCAGCGAGCCCTCGCTGCCGTCGGGCGACTCCGGCTCACTCTCTTCACGAATCCGATCCTTGAGCAGCGAACGCATCATGCGCATCTCTTTCTCCAGTTGAGCCACTCTCGAATCGGTTCTCTTGCGCGGCCGCCGCCGTTGCGGTGCAACGAAGACACATGCCTTTTTGCTCTTTGCACATCGTTGGCATTGATTTGGCGTGGAGGGGTTTGGCAAACATCGCACTTTGAGGCTGCGGCATGATTCACAGGAGCGATTGAGTTGCTGCGGTGGCAGAGGCTGCGTCGAACTCGCTTCGCCTTGGGGTGTGCTGGGGGTCTCTGACATATTTGGGTCTTTCCTTGCCCTGCTGCGGTTTCTCCAATCAACAAAAACTTTCTTTTCTCCTTGACCGCGTCCGAACGACAGGAGGACCCGAGGTCACTGACTGTGGTGGGCGTGGGCGTGGATGTGGGTGTGTGCGAGTATACCTGTAAGTAGCCGCGTCAAATCGATAAGGATCGACCGGTTCACCAGAATTCAAACACAAGAGACTAGTTGCGCCGTTGACAATGATCGTGTGGCTACGGAATCTTGATTCCGTAACGACCAATCGAGGTGGTCAACGCTGACAGGGAGTGGACACAAAAGTCTGCACAGGTGATCGAGAAGCACCTTGCATCAAGGGTTCGAAAAGGTACCGGTTGTTCTGCACCTGGTCCAGTTGGACTCGTCTAATGAAGAAAGGCAACTGTGACTGGGTTGCTGTGCATGGAAAGTGAACATGGGGGCCGTTTTCGACAATCCACGAATGTATCGTATCTCTCATCTCACACACAGAGATTAGAGACTAACAGATACACACACTCTCTCTGTCTATTTCTCTCTCTCTCTCTCTCTCTCTCTCTCTCTCTCTTTTTTGCTCGGTCACCTTGAGGAACTATCGGGCACAACCTCAGCGTCGATCGACGGGCAATCTTCACAAGCGATCATGGACCCATTGCAACTGTGCCACTGGCTCGCAGATCTCGAACTGATTTTGAGTCCACCGGCCCCAGGCTCACACGGATTTGCCCGACGAATGTGGTTACTGGCTCGCGAGAGAGCGGGGCCGCCAAACACCTCGAGGGACAGGCTACTGGAGACTGGAGATGGCGCGTCTAAGAATAACAAATGACATTCGAAACGACCGATCCGTCCAGTGATGGGTGGCCTTTGTTGGCAACTTTGCGAATCAATCAGTTCGATCGTCTCTGGTCTCTGGTCTCTGGTCTCTGGACGGATGGGAGCCACAAGTGGGGATGTGGGAATCCAGAGCTGGTGAGTAGAGAATTGAGAGGTCAGAGTCGTGAGTCGTGAGATGATGAGTTGGTAAGTGGGGGGGTGGAGAGTGAAGGCGAAGAGGGCCAGACTGGCAGACACGGTGGGCTTTTTTGGGGGGGAGTTCGGGTCGCATGTGCTCATGTGCGGGTGTGGGCCTCCGTGGTGGAGAGCAAAAGCGCAGAACCGCACTAACAGACGCAACCCGAATGGACCCCCAAAGGGAGCGTTGCTTCAGGGCCAAAGCTTAAACCGAAAAGGAGAACAGGCGGAGATTTACACCCAAACCGAAATCCCAAATCAGAACAATCCCAACCGGGAGAAAGGAGCCACGCCAAAAAAAAGAGGCAGTTGGAAAGACCAAGGTCGAGAAGAATATTAATGTCAAGAATAATGCTATTGTCTAGGGTGTTGGAATTACCGCTGTCTCGATTCGTTCCTGTGCTCCGATGAGGCAGATTCGGAAAATTTGGAAGCAATAAATAATGTTCGACTCCCGATCATATCGTGGACGAGCGCTGGGTTTGGTACAACAGTAACACCAAGGATATCATCGGCATACGACGAGATTTCCCTCGTGTGGAAGGACATGCGTATCTTATGGAAAATTGCATGATTGCTAGGCAGGTAAGGTTGTTCTCGAAAGCACGAGCTCGAGAACATCACGGCAGGATGCACCGATGCACAGTTGCACACAGGTCGTTATCCCAGCCCCTACCAGTACCGGTAATGCGCCCTACTAGTGGAAGAGTAGTAGCTCTGTTAACTTGGTAAAGGTTCCTCAGGCTCATACTACTTTTGGAATCGCCGCCCTACCTAAGGATTGAGGCTCCACGGTCCTCCGGTCTCTGGAAAAGACATTTTCCATGAGTTTCATGTCCGTCAAGACTGGCGCAAAGGTAAGCCACCTCAGATGTTGACTGGATCCCATCTATCCACTTTGAACAAACGATTCCCGTAGTCTTGGCCCAGGCAGCGGGTGGTCTCGGTTTGAAAGACACGCAGACGTGCAGTTTCATCACATCAGGAGCACCTCGATGTCCGTAAAGACGAGACGCTCACATGGCCAAGTTCTCGTGTGTCTTTCAGTGATATCCAGAGGCGAATCGACTCGACACGAGACAGCTTGACGCACGTCATCCTCTTCGGGATGTGATCGGCCGAAGTGAGGACTCTGATGGAACAAGTCTCGCCGTGGGATTGTAAAGGTCGTTTCATCAACATGTCACTTCTCACTTGGTTGGTTTCCATTGTATCCTCCCCCACTTTCTCGTCTCTTATTTCTTTTGTCGTCTCCCTTCCCTTTGCTTGCAGCTTCCAGGTCCTGCGTCGATGAGTGATATTAATCCGGCGGCTCTGATCCACTTTGATTGTTCGGCCTGTCAAATGCCAACACATGGGACTCGCAAAGGTGGGAGAGGTGGATTCCACTTCCATTGGTCATTGGCCTCCGTGGAGTGCGCAGATGGATATTGTCCTGGATGCGTCGCTCATGGGCGGAGTGAACCGTTGACGGAATCCGAACAAGGGTTGAGCAAACTCAGCAAAGAATTCGCCCCGCTGGAAGCCTCGTCCTCATGATGAAAGCCAGACTCATCTGCCTCTGCTGAAGAGAGGAGCCTTCTGCGTCTCATGCACACAGCAGGGAGCTGTTCTCCGAGAGGTTGAACAGGACTCATCGGCGTCTAGCCCTACACCGGTCATCTGATGCGGTTGACCCTGATGAGCGTGTGTACTCAGATACTGTACTTAGCCTAGACGTGAACTGGAAGGATCCGACGAACCCCAGTGCGAGACTGGAAATTCCAGGTCCAGTTCGGAGCCTGGGAGATCTGGAAGTATCCACTTGACCCTGACTTTATCGAGCATCGCCGTCGACCGCCTCGCGCCGGCGTTCACTTGATGCTCGTGACCAAATCGGCTTGAAAGCTCCCACCGGCTCGGTGGTGCATAACCCGGCATGCAACCATTTCAGTGCACTGATAAATCAACAGCAGAGGCTTTTTAGCTGTGCGGTCGCATGATTCTTGAGCAAGTCGGACCTTTTGGTATCCTAAGTCAGGGTCAGGCCTTGGCCAAATGCAGCAGCGAACTCTCCCGTCGCCTCAAGGACTCTGTTAGAGTCTCCAGTCATCCATGTTCGGTTAGTAAGGTCCAAGACAGAGTTATCATGTCAACTGTACAGCATCACCTCGTGGACTTCACCTGTTTGTTGTTCCTCTGTCAACGCCCCATTTCCACCGCACAATCCCACGCTTTATTGGGTTGTTCGGTGGAGACGAACCCTAAATGGCAAGCGGGCGAATAAGAGGCGCATTGCGAACGGAGATGGATGGTCACCTCCTCTTGGCTTCCCAGACTGTCCGCAGGTGAGGGAAATCATATGTCTGGTCGCGAATGGATTGCTTCATAGGCGTAGCTGGGAGTTGTTTACCTTGTTGCCTGCATTTCCAGATGACAACCTTGTCCACTTGGGTTGGCACCACCAGAAAAAATTGCGGGAGTCCACTGAAATGCCTTGGATGCCTAGTATACTACTAAGCATCAGACAACCTTGCGATTGTCTTCGATCCCACCCCGATCTCACAAGACCAGGGCGGATCCAGTCACCTACTTTTTGGTCTTTCCTGGAGCAAAAGAATGACAATCATATCTCCCTACCAGGACAGAGGTCGAGGTTGATGCTCATGGGGCTTTGCCGGGTGGGCAATAGGCGGCCTTTCGGGAAGGGTGTCTATGGATCCACGGGTTTGATCGATCCGCCAAGAGAACCTTGGGTGGCTCAGAGGATATTCATTGCCTGAAACGCAGGCAAATCATTGTTCATCAGAGCAAAGGGATGGAGAATCAGATCGGCGCACGCCCTACAATTCCCGGTTCCACACAGATCGGTCTCGTCGCTCTTGTCCCTCTTGTCATGCAGGACGTGTTGTGGAGACCTTGGCAATCAATTCCTAACACCCGACCTCTTCGGAAAGTCTAAGCAGGCATCTGGTTGACAGCTTTCACATGCTATCGTCTGTTGCATAGCCGATGTCAACTGGAAGTGTGCATCCTCGGAAACGCTACCTGGTCCCGCGGGAACGGGTCTCTCGTCCACCTGCACTGCATGCCTATGGGTGCAGAGATGGGCTTCATTTCAGAAATTCCGTATCTCGGACATATCGTCGAGTTGCCTGCCTTGAGCGGTGCGTACTGCGTTGTGCATTATGCGTACTGCGTTCTCGTAGTGTTCCAAGTTACGGGCGATCCAACCCTGAACCGTCCTCGACCCCGGAGCGTTTCAGGACCGGAGATACAATGATACGACGATGATGTAGTCTGGCTTGCACACGCCGGACCGGTCTGTCAAACTCCGCCGCGAGCGCCCTGGCGTTGGCCCGTCACTTGCCGCGAGTTACCCGCAAATCCCGGTCTTTCCGCTTGACTTTTGCAGCTGACAGCCTGACACCCGTTCTTTTGGGCTCGGTAAGACCGAGAACAAACTTTGATCATGCCACCTCCGAACGAGTCCCGCACGACTGTGCCTGACCAACTTCCTGAGGTACCCGTGAAATAAGAGCTTGGAAATGATCCTCATACTTGGACCACTGCAACTACCCGGCCTGCTCTAGCCTGGTCACCAAGTGGAGAATGATCCCTTGATACAAACTGCCTCCTAGCACTAGCGTAGAAGCCTCTCCTGTGCAGTTGTACACTCTTTCCTCCGGTGAGCCTCATTAACAGACCAGTGGCTATTTGACTTTTGTGTCAACGAGGCACCCACCGCGCAAAGCATGGCATTTTAATGTAAACTAATATCAATATGTGTGTGTTACTAACTTACTACTGTGTTGATGTATTCCATGTGTAGTTCTTCCTAGGTATACAGTCCAGAATCCAGATGTGTATGGATTTCTTTCTGGGCCCACGAGGATGCCACATTATGCTGGTTTGAGTTAGTATTACTCTGATGCGTACAGAGCTGTGGTCCGTTAATGAAGCTGATCGCCCCGGGGCCTTAATGATCCATCTTATTTCCTTTTTGACACTTTGACCTCCCTTCGAGTTGCTTTGACCTGGGTGATTGCTTCAACATGAAACTCACGAGGTAGATCCGTTTCAGTAGTCGAACGCGCAGCATACAACAGATTCTTCATATTGATTTCGTCAAGATCATCTGATGCTTCTCCATGGCCGTCCTTCATTTCGCGACGCGACTTGATTCTTGCGTTCATTCTTGTTCGTTGCGTCACCGACGGCCACTATCATAGGCGAGAGTATCACGGCGAGGATCAAGCTTAGCTCTGTCTATTTGGATTGACACACTCAATATCTGACTAGTAAACACCTGATGCGACATGGAGCAAGGCACTAATTTGTGTTGTTCAGCCCATCTACCTTGATCGCTCAGATAGGTGAGTTTTGCCCGGAAGCTTAGGCTAGCATGACTTGCAGCACAGATTGCCACTGCCAAATTCTCCAGATGGAATGCAGCTATATCCGCGTAAATCCGTGGGGGGCAATCGTTGGAGTTCCGTTGCTGGAGCTGACATCCTTCCAAGTACTAGCTTCCAAGGTCCTACCCTGTGAACGAGGGCCCGTCTACCGACCTTACACTCGGATTCAAACATCGCAGCGCAATCCATCCCCTGTGTGAAGTATTTAATACGTATGTGAAGGCTAGTATGTCGAGGTTCCAAATGGCGATGGTGTTGAGGTTCATTATGTAGCGGGTATAGAAGTAGGTGGGTAGATTAGGGCACCGGTGAAGGTACTAAACGGCATTGCATGAATGACGCTGCGGATCATACAGACTGCAAAGGGCCCTTATCACCAATCAAAGGGCAAGAAAATCGGCGCCAGCGCGAAGTTGGTTAGCGCAATGGGGGCTGAAGAGGCTCCTGGGGACTGTCACCTGACCTTCACGGTGCTATACCGCCCAACTGACCAATCAAAGTATGGGAATTATGCTGAGAGTGAGATCTTGGCGTGTTTACGGGGGCTGCTCTGCTTGTTGAGAATCAAATCCAACGTAAGCTGCTGTAATCAAACCCTCGATGGTGTAGTTGGATATCACGTTCGGCTGTAATGGACTATCATGTAACCGAAAGGTCACCGGCTCGATTCCGGTTCGAGGGAGCATTACTTTTTTGAAGATTTCGTTGTCAAGCCAGGAGCACAGATTGAGGTCGAGATTCCCGTTGCCGTAGCTCAAATGCTATACTAGGCTAAAGCCAACCTCAAGTCAGCGTGGACACATGTGGCACTGACAGCATGGCCCATGGAGCGAAGTGACACAAAAATATTCTGTACTTTCTGTGTACTTGTTTAGCAAACATTCGCCAATCCTTGCCGATAAGTGAGCGGGCCCAATTTCAGGCAGCTCCACCATAGTCCAAGTCGACTCCAGGGAGAACAGACGACTAGTTGAAAATCAAGCTGCTGCCACGCTGGAAATGTATAATGATGGCATGATCGAGCGCTCTGCATGTAAATTTTGGCTGAATATTAATAGATGTTGAAGACTTACTTAAATTCCTGGTCAAGGTGGTTGAAGAGCTATCTTTGGCTTGACATTGATTTGATATAGATGCCAAAATCATTTGACGATGTTACAACTGATTACTTTATAGACCCGAAAACGATGGTGTCTTTCGCAATCTCAACCCTCGATGGTGTAGTTGGATATCACGTTCGGCTGTAATGGATTATCATGTAACCGAAAGGTCACCGGCTCGATTCCGGTTTGAGGGAGCATTGCACATCTTTTTTTTTCCTCTCGCGACGAACGTCGTCATTACCCGTCTAATCCTCCGATAATGGCTGGCCCCCAATAGTAACCTGGAAATTGAGACAACGCGCGAGCCTATGAACACCACTAGGCCTTGGTCAATCTCCATCGTCCTCGCAGGTTCTATCGGTCCGGTACGGAATGCACCTCGCCACCAAAGCTAGCAGGCTGCAGGCATGTCTTCAGCATTCGCTCAATGTGCTCGACAATGAGAACTCTTGATCAATTATATGTAGTGCAGGAGAACGGATGACTGTACAGTGTACACGATTGATCTATAGGTATTGATGAGTCTAGGTACATAGTCGGGTGAGAGAAAACCTTGTTCCTCGAAATCACTGACGTCTCGAATTACACTCGTCAGCCAGTTGCAAGCAGTCCAAGATCAACTTCCAAAATGCATCCAAGTCAACACCTCTAGGGATGGTGACGCCCGAGCCAGGGACTGAGGTCGCAATTGAGCGACCCAACTGCCCAGTGATCGAAACATCCTTGCCATGCTGTCCATCTGTCACAATGTGAACAGAAAATCGCTCGCCGCCTCGGTCGTCAAAGTTCAACGCCTCCAATGGGTATTTCGACGCAAAGTTTGGATTCAGCGTCGACAGAATGACCGCTACAGCCAATGGATCATGCAATGGAGGTCCGGTTGCAAGACCAAAGACCTGCTCATATGTTGCAGCAAAGAATGTAAGAAGGGCATGCAGGATCTGTCGGATGATTGTAGGTGTGTCAGAAGAGTCCTTTCCACCGTGTAAGATTCGTGTTTGAACCGTCTCAGTCGCAAGAACTTGATGGGTCAAGTCCAAAGCTGCCATTGTGGTCTTGGCTGCCAGAGCAGGGTTACTAAAGATTGACTCTGATGATTCCGGATCACACTTCACACAAGTAACTCGAAATCATTAGTCAAAGTTCCCTCAGTCTTGAGATGGTGTATCCGAAGAAATCGAACGCACGTATATATTGAACTCAGCCCATGGCGTGACGTTTCCAATACGAGACTGCTCCCCAGGTAATCTGCTCATGGGCGCATCCGTGAAGCCACCACCAATGGCACCTCCCATGATACTCAGACCCTGAATGTGGTCTACAAGTTCAGGGAAAGTGGCAAACAAAAGCGCGACATTGGTCAAAGTTCCAGTTGCAACTACCCAAGGGGTTCCCTTGGGTTGCGCCAGGAGCGCATTTCTCATTGCCAAGATGGGATTCTCGTCGGTTATCGGGGCAACCGAGGGTTTTGGTAGCAGATCCGTGCCGTCCAAGCCAGACTCGCCTACACTCAGTCAGAGAGAGAGAGAGAGACGAGCCTTGAGAAGTAGCTCATTTGTATGCGAGGAGAATTTTGTCTTACCATGAATATCGGGAGCGTGCAAAGCAGGTCTTGAAAAAGGCTTGGGACTTCCAGGGTAGACTGGAATATCTGGACGCCCTATAGCTTCCAGAATACTCCGCGCATTATAAGTTGTATTCTCGAGAGATGCGTTACCGTGAATAGTGGTAATTCCCAGCAACCTAAGAGACGGGTGGTGCGCCGCTAGCAAAATTGCAAAGGCATCCTAAACTTCCAACTCAACAAACTCGCCCTTGTGGCATAATTTACTACCAGACGTGAGAATGATTTTAACATACATCGTGGCCTGTGCAAGGAGAAAAATTAGAACTCGCAGAATCCCACTGGTTCAAGGATTTAAGACTTGCCTGGGTCGCAGTCCAGCCAGAGCGGTATCTTGAACAATTCACTTTGGTTGAACATCGTCCTGCGTCACTTCCGAATGAAATTGACAACTAGGAGTGGTTTCTCAATAATGGTAGCACGGGGCATACGAACCATGTCTCCATCATCCCCGCATCGTGATAAGAGCTTTATCAGCTAGCCCTAAGCCCTACATGCTCGACTCGGAAACAATGGGTCGCCATCTCCGCAGCTAACGCATCGCGACAATCGCGATTCACCCATCGTCAAGCAGAGCAACGTTCACGCGTTGCGAAAACGCTGGGCAAAACGATCTGCGAGGGCTGAGCCCCTTTCCGAGATGCCATGAAAGACCCTTTGCGACCCGGCCTGCAGCCAGTCTCACAACTTAAGACTGGACCAACAACTTCGAGCACTCAGTCGAGTACACTGCTCTCCCCAGCATCTCCCTTGGTCCGATCGTCACCGCAACTACGTGTGCAACGACTGTCCAGCCGAGAAGATACGCAGGACTCCGTCAAAGAGAAGTCTACCGGCGACTTGATCCGCCGAGTGCTCTACCCTCAGACTAGTAGCGGACATGGCGCATCTTCTCCGCAGCCAGCAGAAGAGGTCCTCCCTCCCCTCACGAGTTCTAATGAGGTTGACCATCAACTTTATGCAATCCTTGCGGTGATAATTAGAGATTTTGTCTACACATGGTATTCAAAGATCACCTCCGACCAAGCGCTTGTCAATGAAGTCCTTCAAGTCATTGCACACTGCACTCGAGCTCTGGAACAGCGGATTCGCCAGGTCGATGTGACGCAGCTGTTCTTGGATGAGATCCCTGCTTTGGTGGAATTTCACATACGCTGTAAGAACCGATAGATCTGTCACCGAGTATGATGTTGCTGACTAGGCAATGATTGTGTGCAGCGTATCGCCTCTCGAAGGAGGGCTCAAGTCTATCAGGTCTTCCAACGTCACGTCGAGCGCTGTATCACGAGTTGAACCCTCATCCTGGTCTGCTCCCAATCCCGGACCCTACAGATCCTGACACGGTCACTGCCCAAGCGGAAAACGAGGCCGTGTATCGGAGGTTACTGGCAAATGGAACTCTGGCAGTTCTTCTACCTACTGAAGACCTGGGAAATAGTAGTCTTCGGTATCTTGTGGGCGACATCGTGTCGGATTTGATACTGGGGAAACAAATTGGTGCCAGAGTTTGCCAGGGATGGTTCCTGTGGGAAATCATAGGGAAAGCTGCAGACGCAGGACAACGTCGGGAGGCATCCAAAGGTTCCAACTCTCCCACAGATGTTGGCGCCAGTCAGCTTGACAAATTTGGTCTATTACACGATGAAGATGCCCCAGCCAAGACCGACGACAACCGTCAGTCGCGCACAGCTGTATGGCTATGGTCTATCCTTCAAAACATCTACCTTGTCTACCTTGGCTTGCGTTTCGTGGTGACTGGTTTGTTCCAGGTTGCATCGGGCTCCAAGAAGGCAGCGTCTCGCGATGGCAGCGTCTCTATTCCTGCTGCAACGTCGTATGTCTCTCACGCGGAGGGTCTGCATACCTGGTCGTCAGAAGGTGCTACGACTAAGATCCCGGTTCTCGATTATCGCTTGTACTCCATGCTCTCGCAGGTTCTTTGTATCCCATCACGGCTGCCTTGGCTTTCTGGAATACTTGCCCTTGCCCGACATATGACTCTGGCGGGTCCAGGAAGGATTGGGAAATCAGACGGGATACTAGACAGGTGAGTCCTTGATTCATTATTGCGCATTTCAACCCACCGCATCGCGTATACGGACCTTCCCCCGTTCTATCCACATCCCATGGCCACTCTGGTTTGACCTCGTCTCCCCACTCCCATCACGGGCTGTTTCCATCATTGCAACCCTCAGAGCTTTGGCCTCTTTCTTGCTGCTCAAATCTCTCTCAGTAGAGAGACCGGTGGGATCTATGACTCGCCAAAAATGAGACCCCAAGTGGATGGCTCTTGCGCATGTCAATGTGGGATGATTGATCGCCTGCACTTTGACCCGCATACTGCAACGATCACTTGATCCCGCTTATCACGCCTTCAGATGGTCTGAGCGTTGATGGTTTCAAATTTCCCGGTCATTACCGACGATACCGTGTTACCATACGGAGTTCCTGACAGTGACCGTACGGTAATCTATCATCGTCTCGAATTGCTAGCCTGTCCGGCTGCTGGATTGGCTCAGCTTGTTGAGGTCCGAGCGACCGACGGAACTCGTCAGGGATGTCCGCTGCACCCAGGGAATAAAGCAGGGAAAAACCGCAAAGGCTTGCTTTCTCCTTGGAGTGTGTTCCCTCCTAGGGCGCAATTCACGTTGCTATTTTGTTCTGGCTGTCCTGGTTTGGACAGCGTCCGGGCCCGGCCCTTTCCGTGCCGCTATCTCTTTCGTGTGCGCGGATCTTTCAACTCTACATGGCTAGGCTCAATCGCTAGTTCTTTTAACAGCCGGCCTGATCTTTGTTCAGCAAGGTTCCGGATCCTTGAGAGCCGAGAACAGATAGGCCAAGGAACAGTTAGGCCCGAATTGGCAAAGTCGCAAGGGCTGCTCGAACTCAGTTCTGGGGCTGCCAAAGCAATTGGAAAGCCCTTGGAACTCTACTGCGGCGGACGACAAAGGCACGAGCGAATCCCCAGGAGGACCGGGAATCTCCCGCCAATCCACTTGGCGTGAGAGGTTCACCATCGGATTGACGGTTCGACCTGAGCGGGCACGCGGACGTGCATAGACACGAAGAGCGACATATGCAGCCCGCCTTTTCAGCCACCTGGACTACTGCAGCCGATTTATTCCCGGCCCAACCAATCAGCAAAATACCTGGTGACAAGGCTATGAATTGGCAATTCGACTGGAAATGGCGCATGGGGTCCGCTTGTTGTACGTCAGGTACGCCGCTGAGATGTTAGCGATGGGAACAGGGATCGTGGCTGAAAAGGTGTGAGGGCCAGGCAGGCACGTTAGGACGAGACTGACGAGGAGTCGAGCCCGTGGCATCGGCCTCTCCCATTCTTTTGACTTTCCGCCCTTTCCTTATGCTACTGATCGCCGGGCTATTTGCCTTGGAATTCTACGGTCTTTGGTAGGCTGGGGAAACGAGGCCTGAGCTGCCCTCCGGCGCTGTCGCCCCCAGCTCAGAAAACCCTTGCCATGGCCTATCGTGATTTGCATAGATCTGGCCAGCGCCATTCTGAGACCTGTGCCAGAACTTCGCCCCGACATGGGTTCTCCGAGATGAAGATCATCATCACGGAGAACCCAGCTCAGGACACTTATTACTCACGATGAATGTTTGCCACGCTGATTTTCTATATCATTTCATGTTGTGAAAGCGGGGATTCGAGAGGCAACAAACCATCGAGAGACCATCATACCATTCTTGCGCCGTGCCCACTTCACCATACCCATGCTTTTTCCTGCTTCATGTGTTTCCCGCGCTCTATCCTTGCTATCTCAGATCGGGATCTAGAGCCATTAAGACTGACCTTTGCAGATTTCTACGGCAAACAATTGAGACGTACCTCTTGCCCCCCACTCTGTTGCCCAACATCCTGATCGCGACGCGATCTGCTCTCACACCGGCCAAGACTCGGGGATCAATCACTCCAACCGTGTCCGGTAGTACTAGTGCAGCCTCGCCATCAGCTCCCCAGAGTCAGACAGCCAGCCGGGTACCACCCCCGGCGTCTGGAAGCCAGGCGACACAGATCACAGGTGCTACAGCTGGGCTGACCGCCTCCGCGACAGAGCAAAGCAAGGGTGGCGGTCCAATCCGTGCCGCTGGAAGTCTGAGTGACAGCGTCGTCAGCAGTAACAGCAATGACGAACCTGGATCCAGTCGCGCTCGTCCAGATTCAGGCGACCCTTCTCCTTCGGGGAGAACAGTAGAAGCACGACAAGCCGCACAGCATCCCGTAAAAACATCCCCTAATGATCCTTCCGGCTCAAACCCCACCATAGAAACCCCCGACGCCGAGCATTTGAATCAGAATGGCCCGTCAGCCGCGGAGATTGCTGCTATCAAGCGAAGGTGCGCAACCTCGCTACTGGCCGTGATCCCGCGCAGCGTTGCACGAACTCTCTTCGGCGTTCATGTTTCCCCAGGATCTCAAAGTGCTCGTACCTGCGGCGACGGCGACACCGACACTAACACGGACAATCAAAGCAAGAAGAAAACCTCAGAGATTCTCTCTCCGACGCAGACGGACAAAGATGACTCTGAAGAAGTGCAACTGTTGAAAGCTATCGAGGAAGATTGGTTGGATATCTTGTCCGACGAATATTGTAACAAACACCTGGTCTATTCGATTGTCGAGACAGTGCTTGCTAGACTTCTGCCCGAACTTACTGAGCGAAGTGTGGGAGAGATTATGGAGGATCGGGGTATTGCTTATGTTCCTGGAAGTTCTGATGCTTGATCTTTGAGGCTTTGTGAAAGTTGGGTGATTATGGGGGGGTGATGAAATTTGGGTGAAACCTTGCAGATAATCAAATCGATATAGAAGAGTAATTGATGCTCACACCATTCGAAACGAACTCGAAACCCAGCCGAACAACCAGACTACAAACTCGAACCATGACTCGGAAACTTATCAGAAAAATGACCATGATAATTAATTGATAATGTTTTCGCGTGAGCGATCCCTAGTATAAGTTGTGTATAGTAGAAAAGAAACGACCAAATCCCGAATGAAGATAGATAGACTAGCTGAACATGGTATAAGTTGGAAGAGAAACGGGCAAAAATGAATGCGATCAGAATGACAGGGAAGGATCAAAAAAAAATGTAAAAGAGGCATGCAAAGGGGAATATGTGGGGGGGAAAGCCAGAACGAAAGGGGTGTGAGGATCTGAGATTTCAGAAGGGCCACGGAAGTATATCAACGAGAGAATATCACTGGCAGCGTGACTGATGGAACAATCGAAACAAATGCCCCGAAAAAAAGCCACTCTCCGATCTTTCTGAACGTGCGGGGCTGGAAAGTTGTTGCCATGTAGGTAACTGGGTAATCTGATTCGGGCCTGATACCACGAGTGTGTGTTTGGCAGATGGCTAAGGAAAAGAGAACCCGGAATACAAGAGGACATGAAATTGGTGCACTCAAAAGCTCATAAGAGATCAAAATTCTGGAAACAGGGTCAGGCGTGTAAAAATCATGCTAGATATGAAATTGGCATAACAAGGGGGGGAATCGATCAGGTATAATGATAATAACCAGGAAGAGCTCGTAACAACATTGATAAGAAAGGTCACAGAAAAGACGCGTAAAATGGTATCAAGACACAGAAAGATATGCAAAAAAAAAAAAAAAAAAAAAAAAAAGAAACACGTGAAAGAACAAAGAGATCCGACTGTCAAATACCCCCGTGCGGAGGTCATCCAATGTTCTGAATGCTTCGTTTCTTGGTCACCTGAGGCGCATCGCCATTCTCATCAATTCGTGCCAGTCCACCCAGAACGGCATTGTGCTGATGATTGGCCAGCTCCAGGCGTTCCATCAGCTTGCCAATGGTAATATACTCCTGCGCTGCAAGGCCCGCGGGCTGACGCTGGAAATAGTTCATCACTAGTTCCAGGGCCTGTCGAGCCTCGCCTTGGGTGGGAGAATCGGGGACGGTGGCGGTGGCATTGGTGGTAGTAGGTGACACATTGGTGGACTTGGAGAACGACTGTGACCGCTGTTTGAAGACCGTCTTAATCTCCGAGTCACTGTGATTGCGTCTCATCATCTTGGATGGGTCGATTCCTCGGATTGCGGCTTGCGATTCGTGATCATCAAACTCCAATGGTGACTCCAGAATCGTCACCTCCTTCATGAGATCGGACTTGGACTGAGACTCATCGGCTGCCAGCAAGCTTGGGTCGATGGGCACTGTCGGTAAAGTTTGGCTACGTGATCGATTGACTAGGGAGTTTGAAAGCAGACGGTATTGGTTCGTGGGGGTGAAAGGGCTTTCCGAGACAAGCGTAGAGGTAGGACTGGTCATGACCGAACAGGAAGTGGTGTCCAACATTGTCGTGGTCTTGGAGTACAAGCGCTGTACACCGCCCGTGAGTTCTGGGAGCTCATCGTTGGCCCCCAACTTTAAGCCGTCGTGACTGTGAGTGGGCGATAGAGGCGAACCGAAGCCGTGCGAAGAGATTGGCGAACGTGCGCCAGGGCTTTGAATGGTGGAGTCGGTTGCAGAGCCAGTATTGATGCGGATGGGGCTGTTGGAGCTGCTTCGGACGCCCTTGCGATCCGTTGAGCCTCTTCGAGATTTAGCCCCAATGAGGCTGTTCTTCTGTTTGAATCGTTCGAGCCAGCTGGCCGTCAGAACTTTCTCCTTGCTCTCGGGACATCCACAGGTGCTGGCGAAGAAGCGTGCTTTCTCCCGAATCATCTCGTCACTCAATGGGAAGCCCTGGCGTTGGTAGTTTCGAGCCCAGTTCGACAGCGCCTTTTCGATGTCGGGGACCCGGCCCTTGGCTCGCTTGATAGGGGATCGATTGCCATCATCTGGGTTCAGATACTTCTCTTTCTGTCGTAAAACTTTGGAGACGGTGCTGGGATTGAACGTCAGTGAACAGACCGAAAACGGAAGGACAAAAAGAAAAGACGGAAAGTTGGCAACTGGTCTCACTGGGGTGGAAGGGAACTTGTTTTTACCTTCTTTCAACTCCAAAGAGTGCTGCATGTGACTAGCGTCAGAAAATGGATCCTTCTAATAAGATGTGATGGGAATAGACAGAAGATGGAAGCTCACCTCCAATGTCAGTCTGTTTCGCCTGCTTGTTCTCCTCATGATAGAGACACATCTGGCGCCGATCTTCGTCGGTCAGGGTTCTGCGTGGAGTCGCACCACCCGTCGACGTCTTCCGGATGGGAGGCACTGGGGCCGAAGGTGACACGGACGTGGGCACCGACACGGCTGGGAGTCCCACCTCAGCAAACGCCGCTTGATGGGTGAGCATACTGGGCCACGCATGCGAGGGCATGGGCAGAGGCATCGAGGCGTACGGCGGAGGAATCGACATTCCATACGTGGGGTCCACAGCCATGAGACTGGAGGTACCAAAGTCAAAGCCCGTATACTCGGGCAATGGAGGAGAACTATGCGGAGAGGAAAACGAGTTCAGTTCAACCCAGGGTGAATGCGCAAAGTCATTTTCCGGTGACGGATCCGTCTCCATGGCGGTTGTGGAGTCGTCCATTGTCGCCAGTTTGGAAGAAGTCTTGTAATTTGGATCGGTGGGATGAGAAAGGCGATCTCTGCCTGGGTGATCAGGTGATTGTCCGATGCACGTGTCGAGTCGAGGTATCGCTTGTGAGCGCTTGTCGTTTTCCAGCAGAGACTCGAAGCTGTTTCAGATGGTTCCGAGGACCGACAGCAATGTGATTGTGATCTCGACGAAACAAGTATGAGAGACAATATCTGTCTCATTCAACGACCCGAATAGGCGAAGAGGGACTCCACAAGCTGCAGAGCAGTGACCAAGCCTCGTCTGGAAGGATCTGAGGCACGATCGATCCGACGGTGCAGATGCAGTCTGAAACTAGGTAACACTCTCGTCTTGTACAGCCCTATGGGATGTCACCGGGATGAGCTTGCGTCTGATAATCTGAGCGATCTCGGGTCGAGGGGGGGGGGGGTGTATCTGGAGCAGTGGGTACTTGGTGTACTTATGTACCTTTCTATGATCGAAGGGGTGGGGGTGGTCTGGATATAAAAGAGGCGCGCGGTCACATCAGATGCATAAGCTCCAGGGGTAACGTTAGTTAGGAAAAAGTCCACGAGGAAAAGATCGGGGCGGGCGAGGGTGAGAATAAGAGTCTTAATGGAAGACCGATCGTCCGAATCAAACCCACGAGATGCGGGCCAGGCTGTAGCCGGAGTGAATCAGGAAGGCAGAGAAGCGAACGAGTCCATCCCAACGAGCACGTCGAGTCGTGAGGGGGGGGGGGGGGGGGGGGGGCGACGATCCATCTTTCGCGTGGACAGGAACGAGCATCTTTGGATTGCGACTGGCCTGCAACGGGCAGCTCTGGCAACTGGACTGGGCCAAATGGCATCTCTCTTGGCCCTGATAACCTTCAGGTCCTCCCAATTTCAGCAGGGGAGACGTTCGATCTTCCGGGGTTGATTGGCTCTGTTGGAAAATGATCCTGGCGTGCAAATCCCCCAAATCAGAATGAAAACCCGCCCTGCGAAAAGAAATCAGAAAACGGAAAAAGAAATAAAAGGAGAGACGGTAGGAATCAAAATGGTATTGGTGAATTAACAGTAAAGAAAAGAAAAAGCTAAAAGCCAGAAAAGAAAAAGAAGAAATCAGTATAATGCAAGATCCGAATCCGTCTGCTGGCCGGGTAGTAAGTAGTATTATTGTCGTATAATCTTGATTACCCTCAAGGCCAAGATGGCATCTGAGCGAAGGTTGCATCTTCCCGTGGACAATCAATAGTTCAGTACTATCCGGTCTGATGCATGACCTCAGGTGACTGAGGATGGAAAAGAAATTGATCAACCGGCTGGGTCTATTTGACCAACTCATTTGGCTTGCAATCACGAGAATATATATACTAAGCAATTGTATGATTATGAACTGTACAAGATGTGATGCATGACTAGTATGAGTCTATGAGAGGGTCAACATGTTATCGTCAATACAGTATTACTGTTCAGTAATCAGTATTCACCAAGTGACATCACCAGCGGCAACTCGTCAGTATTGTAAGATGTACTGTAAGCTGTATCGCTCAATGGTACAATACTGGTTTCTCAATACATGAATATCACCGGGGAGAAGAGATGAACGGCGGGGTCTGACAGGAGTTTGCCGAGTTGCTCCAATCAACACACTACTTTACTCAGGAAAGTAGCAAGATAGATCTCCGACGACGAACTGCCTGATCAGAAAGAAAAACAAGTCTAATTGGATGATTGGTCTCCGAAAGAGGTAAAGGCCACAGCTAGCAGAGGATGTGTGTGTGTGTGTGAGAGAGAGAGAGAGAGAGAGAGAGAGAGAGAGAGAGAGAGAGAGAGAGAGAGCTATCGAAAGAGCGAGTATCGTGGTAACTTCTAAGTGTTTATCCGGACGGATGAAGACCGCAGAGCGACTGTAACCCAATACAGTCTACACATCCAGAAGATCAGATAGCAGCATAGCACCGGGAATGTTACGGTCCTACTGTGGGTCTCACCATTTCAATCAGTGAATATGTGTAAGAGCCTAAGAGGATAGTGGCAGAGCCGACAGAAGCTTTTCGAGCTACACACGCAAGAACCAAACTCTCAAAGTCATCGAGTACAATTTGTCATGCACCCGGAGGAGTTTGCCCACTTGTCAGAACGATCAGACGGGAGGCTGGATGTCAGCCGAAAGCGAGGGTTCAGAGTCCTGACTGCGCACTTGCGCAGTCGTTTTTCTCCACAATGATATTGCATATTAGTACATTAGTATCCCAGTGAGTCTATATACTGCAGTGACCGGTGACTACACTGACCCCAACTACTGCAGTTGGAACCCGGTATGCTGCGGCAAATGATCGCTGCTTTAGGCACCAATCTGCCTTGTTCGCCAACCCAACTGTCATTTGGGTGGATTGGTACCTCTCTTATACGACCCGTTTCGCAGTACACACTGACTATTTCGCCAGATGCCTGGGTACGTATCAACCGTGGTGTCTCCAAATCTTCCGACCCCATGAGGAAAGTGGATCTTGGTCGGCGGATCGAGAAATCGAAGGCATGCGAAATACGGTTCTACTGGAGGGATGATATGTCTTGGATGAGGAAAAACGTGTGCGGAAATCCAACCACATCACTGGACAGTGACCGTGCCGGCCTCGAGTGAAGAATCCTTGATCCTAGAGCATCAGCAAGATAAAAGCATAAAAAGCAACCATGCCAGAGCCCCCGCCTCAGCAAGGAATATATCCAATCTGCGAAGAGGCCTCTGTCGGCGTTATCCGGGGGCTGCGCAGAGGAGGTTTCGATTTCGCCGCCCAAACGTCGTCAAAGCAATGTCACTTAATTCTATCCATTGAAGACGGATGTTCATGATCAGGTTGGTAACCGGGAAGTGCCCGTTGATGGTGTATAAGGGGCGAAAAAAAGGCAAAAAAAAAAAGAAAGGCAGACCTCGATGGGCTCTCAAACCTCTTCCACCCATGGACGAGCTGCTTTCACCATCCCCCCAGCCGTCGGTAAGGTAAGCCTCTCCGCGCCTGATTTGACCATGCACTACTGGGGGAGGCAAAGCAGATCATCCGCGGTGCCTAGGAAATGAACCGACTCGAAAGAAAGGTCCGGGGGCCGGGTGGTCTCGATAGATTTGGGTCGAACAGACCGCGATAACGGATAGGTGCTTGAGTAGACCGCTGAAGCTCACGCCCACATGACAGTCATGCAGGCCAAGACGATCCAAGTGGAGCTGTCCATGACTCAGGATTCGATCTCGAGAACAAACTGCTCTTGCTCTCAGTCGGATCTGACTCTCTGTGGCATGGTCCACTCGTTGAGACGGACGGATCCCCATCTCGGCAGGACGGGAGTGACGATGATGGTTGATTTCTCCGTGGCTGCGGCGGTGCTTCTCCTCCGTCTGAGCGTGATACTTTATGCGATGCCCAATGCCATCGAGTTCCCTTGTCGACCTTGTGGACGGAGTGGGTCCGAACGGTCGCCTTTCCCGAGCTCATAACCAACATCTCTTGCTGCTTCTGCGACTTCTTCCTTCTTCATCGTCTCCTTCTCATCAGCTACCGGTGTCATCTCATGTGACCTGTCCAAAACTCGAACGTCGCCAGGAAGCAACGTAACCCGGACGGGTGGAAATCATGGATGTGGAAAGTTTACCAATGAAGTACTCCCTCTTGCCCTCGGCAACCCTACTGGATCCAGAAAAGGTCTCATTTGTCCTCCAGCTCAGCAGGCCTGGATCGACAGAAGGTTGGAGAAGAGACCGGTGGGTTGCATTTCGGACGGGTCAAAGGTCTCGCACCACTTCTCATAGATGTCGACTATGGACGTAGATTGGACCGAGTGAGGGGTTGCCATAGCTCCAAAAACAAAAGCCCCCGACGACACTACTGTGATAGCGCGCCTTTAGGCCGAGCACCAGGGAGTGTGGCTTCACGGGAGCGCGAGCGAGGGCGAATTGCCGGATTGGGTTATCGTATCTCTCCTGAAGGAGTTGCTGTCGATCTCTCTCTCTCTCTCTCACTCTCTCTCTGGAGTCTGGACAGTCCACCCACACCGAAGTCCAGCCAGCCAAGCAGACCGTCCTTTGGGTGAATTCGGCAGCTTGCACGAGATCCATTGGTCGCCTCGACCCCCAGGTGCATCGAGGCAGCGCGAGAGATAATCTCCAAAATGCCGCCTCCGTCTTCCTTCTCTCTCTCCTTCTCTCCTTCTCGTCCCACTTGGAGGGCATGGCCACCCTGGGGAGAGCAAATGAGGCGCCAGAGAAATATAGGCTGAGGAGCATGGATCCTGTGGCAGCGAGCGAATCTCCGCGGCGATTCGATATGAGAGAGCATCCCATCTCTCACTAGCCTCCGTACAAGGGCCGAACCAGGTCCAAGCGGCCGACCCTATCATCGGCCAGAAGAGCGCTCTCGGCAGAACAGGCGAAGGAGGGGGAAGGGCTTGGGCCTCCAATGATGTCTGTAGGAGTTTGTTTTCCGCGGCTTGACCCTGACTCTGACTGGCCAGTCAGTGAGCAGTACAGCCTCTGTATACTGTATTAGTGTATACTGTCTAAACTCAACACTGTATGTATACTTTGTATAGTGTATATCCAGTGCCGTATTGTGTCCCTTACTACACTGATACACTCGTGACTCAACAAGTCACCAGTCAACAGTCAACACTGTATGATGATCTTCTCACGTGCATGGCCATTCCGGCAGGTGATCAGAGCAATCAGCAATGACAGCCACTTGCGATACTGAATACAGTACTCACTGTATATAGTGTATAACACGTAAAATACGGAGGGAATTCAATGCACAATTGCATCCAAACATTCAGCCGTTCAGTTCAGCCTTCCTCAAGGGCCACTCCACTTTCCCTCTGTCGCGACCCACTGCGGTCCACGACGGGCCGGGAACCTTCAGCGATCAAGGACGTTTGATCGACCGGCCGAGATGAAGGTCATTTAGTAGTCAGAATCCTCGTTTTGCATCTCTTCGTGAGGGGTGGGTGCGGGACACACAGTTTGTGATGGTTCGAGTCGTGGTAGAGCTCCCATCGTGAGACGACCGTCGTGGCTGGGTATGAGGGGAGGTAAGGTGAGGGGGACCCTTCGAAATCCACGAGTGTGAGGAGAAACCAGATAGGAAATCCAAAGCGATGTATGACGGCGGAGGGCCGAGAAGGATGGAGCCTACATATGCCCCCGTATTGTACATTGTATGGTACAGCACTACGGCTGAGTCGCTGACTGCGGAGTTGACTCAGAAATCGGGAGTCCTGCTGTAACGATACATAGTTACATGACCTGATAACCATGATACAGTAGTTAACATTGACAATAGATGACAGTACCGCAGCCCCCGAGCACAGACCATCTCACCCAGTCCGGCAATGGGACATGCAGAGCAGGTATTGTACTTTACCATACGTCAGACCGTGGGGAAACCCCCAACCGAGGCAACATCTGTCTGACTCTCCGCCCTGTCTGATATCTCAACTGCTACTCTCTGGTGACAACCTACAAACCCAACAATGGGGACACACATGACTGATGCATCGAGTCATCATGTTGTGGTGGGTTCTCATACCAAACAATCTCATTGCCTTCAGGTTGGTATTGATACCACGAGCTCTTTTGGGGAGGGGTTACCGACTCACCGAGGACAGAGAAGTCTATAGAGAATAAACTATAGGCTACAGAGTCATGATGTGCGTTCTGGGCGACTGAACTCGAATGTTACACACAGACCGGGTATGTGGCGCTCGATGCCCTCGCTCATTGGCCTACAAAGCGAATCATGCGAGACTGAATTATTCCCCCGTCTCGAATACGGTTGGGCCAAATCTGAATCGCTCGTTGAATAATGTTCACCTGTACAGTAGCAGTAGTAGAATTTGTACTGGTATTACTCAATGTAGTAGTACTGAGTTCCTCCAGTAGTCCTGTCAACCTCAACACAGATGCTAACATCCATACTGGTTGGCCCTTGTCTGCTCGACTGACCACACTCCATAGCGCAGCCCTGACTGGCGAGAAAAAAAAAAAGGAAAGTAGCCCTAGGTGCAGTATGTAGCTCAATCATAAGCGTTCGCTGGATTTCATTCCAGAAGAGGGTTGGATTGGATTGACGCATGTTTAATCTCGGCCTGGGAGTCATCTGATTCCCCTTGTGATGGAGTTCTTTTCCCTCTCACATGACTTTGTAAATGCTAATGAGCCCATACAGAGCTCACGTTGGGGTTTCAAAAAATCACTTGTCATGTTCAACCACGACGCCTACAGTTTGCAACAGTGCATACAGTAGCAATCAGAATGGAGCGATTCGGTCATTCCCGGCACGGTCGTCTCGATCGACCATCTCGTCCAAAAGGCAGTATTGCAATCTCATCTTACAGAATCCTTATAATGTTACCGCCCATTCGAGGGTATGCACTATTCACTGGCTTGGGGTAGAGGCCTAAAACACGGTAAACATCAAGTCTCATTGAGGGAAGTTAATTGATTGTGCATATCTTCATCGACAATTTCAAATCAACAGGCCTCCATACCAGTACAGACTGATGATGGACTTCCCCCATATAAGGAAACCCCTGTTCGACCACCATTTGAAAATCAATCATGATCCCTCATAGCTACCAAGTCGACATTTGCTTTGTAACTGCGACATAATCCATCGCTAGCCAGGTTCGATATACCGCTTCGTAATCGGCATGATCACACACTCTTTTTTTTGTATTTATTTTTCTGATTCGTTCAATTTTCCTCATAGCCAAGGACTGCATGCATCATACCGTTGAGATTCTGACTGGGAGATGCTGATCAACGTTGCAGTATGGCGGTTGAATGGACGGTCTGGGCGGGGACCTAACCCGCAGATCGAGGTACCTGAAAGAGAAATCTCTTGTTCGCTTCAGTCGCCTTGATTTGAATCGACAGTCTGAGAGCTCACGTGGTATCTCGGAGATTGATCTCATTTCTCAGTGCACGAATCAGATGTTGGTTTGTGAACGCCACAGATACGAACCTCCTCATCGCGAAGGTTTGAATCAGGGCAACGACGGAGGAAAAAAAAAGATGAGGCGGAACTCAACAGCGGAATCGGACCGACGGACTTAGCAGGACTGTGGACGGGTCTAGCTCAACCATAATCAAGAGATTCGAAGACACCAACATATTGGAATGAGCGGGGGGAAAAAACTCCTCGGCTGATTTCTGGCCCTGATCATCTCTACAACTCTGTTTAGTTCAGGCCGGGGGAGGGGGACCTCGCCCGCATTGCAACCAGACTTTGCACAGTCCATCGGAGAAGGTGTAGAAAGCAGTTTAGACTGGTCGCAATTGAAATCTCGGTATGAATCTCGTCGGGCCCAAGTCAGTAGCCCAGCCTGCATTCGACACTCGAACAACCCCGAGAGTTCATTCTCTTTGGCCGACCTGCTTTTCTCTTGGCCGCCCCTCTTTCTGTTCCCCTGGTGGTCAGACTCAAGTGCAGGTACGATGTTTTCGATGAGACTTCGATACAGGAACACTTCTTTCTCTCTCTCTCTCTCTCTCTCTCTCCATCGTAAAACGGCCATGCACCAGCGTATGCATGTGCATATTTGAAGGGTTCACTTTGGTCCGGCAGGGATTCGACCCTAGCGTTAATAGCGTACAGGGTTGATGAGGAGGGGAAGTAGCCTCTTAATGGACAGTAATTTCCTTCGGCTTCGGCTGAGGGTCTTTGCCACAAGGACTTTTCTTGCGAGACGCCGAATATATGCTTGAAAGAGTTCGCATTCAGCACGTAGGTGACCAAGATGAAGTACTACGTTGAATATCAGAGATACCCAGGTATACTTATGAACGATGGTAGTTGACTAGTTGACCAGACACAAGCAATGTGCTTCATTGCTATTCCTGACTCCTGCTGCCATTACCATGCTTCAGCCATGCAGCGCCGCAACTCAGAGAGAAAGGGAAAACCTGCCAAACCAGGGAGAAAGCTCTCCCAGGCATAAAAAGCTCGACGTCTGTCCGTGACGAGAAAAGTCGCATTCTTCCTCGTGAGTCTCTTCCGAATTCAGGTACCCTCGGATTCCACGGACGGAACGGGAGTATTCACGCATCCGAATGTCGGGCAGAAAGTGAACCAAGAAAAGCTCGGTCAAAATGGAGCCATGAAATTGAAGTCCCGGAGCATTCGTGCTCAAGTGGCGTGCCATGTGTCTCTCTGATCTCCTTGACCGGTGAGCTCGGGCATGGGCTCTGAGGAAGCTGAAAAAGGTATTGTAGCCTCGCCTCATGCAATGCAATGCATCGCGCTGCCGGCTGGGATCTTCTTCCACGAGCTTGTGGATGCCTGAGAGGAGGAACGTTGGGCTCATCCCAGAGCTTGCGAAGGGTTCTAAACCCGCGCTCGGTGTCAGATCGATCACCTGATAGGAGAGGAGACCCTGGATCAATAGAGACGAGATACAGTACTGAACGTCATTATAGAACGAAGGGAGGATTCCTTTCTTTTTCTGGTGGAGTCTGTCCTGTCAAGTGCTCGCCTCATCGATGCGGGTGAGCGTAGAATTGATCGAATCCGGTGTGAGAGGGAAATGGAATCGATCTGCACTTCTGATTGCTTCGTTCACTTGAATTTTGGATCCGTCTGGCTATCTCTTCAATCTCAGATAGTCCTGATGTCATTCCGTCTCTTTTGCAATAAGCTTGTAATCAGAGTATGTGCTGTGAGTGGGAAGTCAATAAGGTCACTTATTGCACATCAGTCTTGTACCACGGCACCAATGCCTCACCCACGGCGTACAAATTGCCCCGACAAGGTACGGTACATTACATATAGTCATATACAGTTATACACTATACACTATACACTATACACTATGCACTAGTTATGAGCGCCTGCACCTATGTACACAGTACAGTAGTCTATGTACGTCCAATATCTCTTGGTATTCATATCCAGTGTGTGAGTGTGCACTGTATTGATTAATTGGTTACAAATGCCATCAGTCAAGAGCAATACCGTATTGATCTTTGAAATCACGAGAAATTCCTCGTCGATACATTTGGATACTCTGTCAAGCGGTCTGATAGATGAATGTAGACTCGCTGGACTATGCAGACGCAGCGTAGCGCACCAACCTTTGACCGTCGCCTGAACCGTGGTACGCCTCCGCACACGTCTATTTTTCGATCCATGGAACCCAGCTGGGTCATCGATGAAGCTGCATGGACCGGTCTGGCAGGTAATCAAGGATAGTGACCTGCAACAGTCCAGTCATCTCGGTCTGGCAGACCAGCAGTGCTGTCCGTGCTGATCAAAGGGTATAGGGAGCCAGCATCGAACGGACCAGGCCGCGATCCCCGGTGAGGAGTGGCCTTCCGAACCGTTCAAGGATCGGGCGACTCGTGCGCAATACTCCACTGACGGCCGCCCTCAGCACTAGACTCGTTCGGGGAGGAGATTGCCCAGTACGGACTACTAGACTGAGTACTGACTGCCACTCAAGCCTCAGACTCTCTTTCCGAGAGTGGAGAGTTGATTCGCAGTTCGCTCGTGCTGTACGATGGGTGACTTGATGGACACGGTAATAATATATATACATGGGCGATATGCACGGCGACCAAGACCGTTTTGGACGCTTTTGGCATTCATCCAGACTCCTCACCGGAGCCGTGGACCGAATGGAAACCCAACCCTGGAGCTGACGAACGGGTTCGAATCGTCAGTAAAGTCAGTAGCGACTCTAGCGAGTAGACTCAGTAGCGCTTGTGGCCAGATTCGAGTTCTCGGGACATAATATCAGTCAAAGTGGAGTAAGCACGTCTGAGCAAAGTTGAATCGATCGATGCGGACCGCTCGCTCACCATCGCGCATGACCGATATGATGCTACATGGGAGATTCGGTGACACTCATTCGATGGGGACCTCGTGGATCGACCTGTTGTGGCACCTCAACTTCGAACCCCCAGGGTGACCGGGCTCCTATAGATGGACGTGGATGCATGCCCAGTGCTGCACATGGAGTGTAGTGATTGTAATCAGATAAGCGTCGCAAACACAGCTGGATACGCATTTCGATCTCCTTTCCTCTTTCACCGCTTGTTAACGACGTCGGACCTTGTTGATTTGGTAAGCCCTCATGGAAGCCTCAGGATAGAATACCACACGCCGTCCGCGCGTGAACTTCGCACAGCTTGAACTGCCTAATGCACTTTGGATGCGGAGTGGGTGGCCTGTTCCCTCCAACGTTTCGGGTCCTGTGGGAAAGAAGAAACCTAGTCGGAAAATCGGAGCACGCCAGTCCCCCGCCACTTTTCGACCGCAGCTTATGCTAATAATTTTAGGGACCAGAAGATCGACAGGACGGCCGGGTCTCGCCGAATGCTTACAGAAACGGGTGTCCAAGTACTGCCCTTTTGGATGCTGAGAGTGCTGATCTGCCAAGCTGGACTGATGGGCCGTCCGCAGCGAGGGACGGCTTTTGATTTTCACAGCCGTTCATTTCCCCACGTAGTACCGCAAAGAGTGCAGCCCCGTCGAGGAGATTCTGGGTAGCTGGTCATTCTGCTCTCTGCGACTTCTCGCCCGAAGCTCACACCCCCCGCTCATTCGTACTTTTGACACGGTTGATCCGAATCTTGGTACCGAGCGTGGGACACTGCGGGTACACGGACTGCAGTGCACGGCCGTCGACATGGCATTTATACTACCTGACCACCTCGTTCATCGATTGAATCCGGCTGGATCGTCTGCTAATAATGACAAACAATTGAGCCTTGGGATTTGGCCCCGTCCTCTCCTATCGGATCCCCGGATCGTGCGACGGAAACTTCAGCCTCGGAATGCAGACCTCGTGAATGTCCCAGTGAGCGAGAAACCTCTCAAATAATGAACCGCTGTCGTAAGCGTCAAAGCCAAGTTAAGACCAGAGCTGAGTTCTGCGGCGTCCGGTCTAGACGCATCCAGAAGGGAGGACAGGAGGCATATTTTGAGCACCAGAGGCAGTGAATTCTGAACCATCAATTTGACGCTCTGGGGTTCAAGGCTCATCCACCGAACTGTCCAGTTCTCTAGCCTCCCCTCGTAAATGACAGGGCAAGCACAAACTGTAATACTGTCCGGCCTTCTCGCAAGTAGAGAAGATCATGGGAGTGGGTGGAGACCATTGCCCCCTCTCGTTCCCTGTTCGAAGCTCTCAACTGTCATCATCCTCGGGAGCTTTGGTCTCAAGCTGACGGCAGCTGGGGAAAGGCGTGAGCCCTGGACCGTGCCTCCGCGGCAGATCGGCGAAAGGGGAAACTGGCGCGGTTCCGGACATCGGTGGTCTCGATTGCTTGGTTCAAAAAAAAGGGAGTAAAAGGCTAAATTCATGTTTGCGGATGCACGAGAGTGGGCTATCTTCGGGGTATTGTCAATCCATCGTGTCCTGGCTCGGTGGACTTCCCGGAGTCGATACCAAGAGAATCACAACGGCTAAGGTAGCAATGGCGCCAATGGCGAAAATGCGGTGACCAACCACTAGTAGAAAGGACAGGACCAGAGGTCACATTTGCCTGATGGGGGACGGGAAAGAATAGCTCGGCAACCAGGATGTTGTCCATCTTTCCTTTTGGCGTGGCATGCACTTGAGCGTAGCTTCAATCATGGATCACGAACATGGAAGGAAGACGCCGGGATCAACGCACAGTCGCACATGGAGATAAGCCGGGTCCCTTGGGACGATTTAGAATAGGTTCAGGCATCAAAAGGCTGTGGGAAAGCCCAGAAGACTCACCCTATAGGCGGACCTGTGAAATGATTAAACTGGGTATACCATTGGTCGACTCCGCGAAAATTCATGCATGCGGCGCTCGAGCTGGATGCAACGAAGCGGAGCTTCCTTATTCTGATAAAGCGAATCTTGGTCAAAACGTGTGTCCGTGTCTGATCAAAGGCGAATGTTGCAGGGCCGAGGTCGTCCGCACGATGGATCGCTTACCCTTTTGAAAGTGAACTTGAATGCACGACTCGAAGACAGTTCTTACTGGACGCTAGACTTTGCCAATCTGATTTTTGCCCTCGAATGTCCAACATGCATTCAAACCTTGACGGCAAAGACCCAGGACACGCATATGCTTCGTTGCTGGGACAGATTGAAATTCCATCAATTACAGGTTGCGCTCGGTGGTAGGTTGAAGCCCCAGCGCACCATTGGATGGGCGAGATCTGTACATTCTCATTCTCCCTGTCTACTCAGAGCTCAGCACATTTCTTCTTGCCGTTTTATGCCCAAGTGATTATAGGATCTTTGCGCTCTCAAGGCATTGTGAGGTTCAGTGACACAGTTACCGTATAGGTGACAATGGTAGCTAAGAAGCGACTGAGTTGAAGAAGAACGTGGCGGAAGGACATTCAAGACCCCGTCGGATGCATCTGAAGATCACAAAAGTCACGGGTTTGCGTCAGCGCTGCTCGCCGCCTACTGTAACGGGCACGTTCAGTCAACATGCAGTCCCGGGCTCGTTAGAGGCCCGGCAGGTCCACATCTATGAATGCTTACGCGAGTGCAACAGAAACAAAACTATGGGGGGTTCGGGGGATCCAGAGGGAGACCAATTATGTCATATCATGATCATCTTTCAGGTGGCTGCATGTTTGGCATCCTGAATATAGGAAAATTCAATAGATGTAAAGGACACAAAAGTGAGGTTGCCATGTGTTGAGAAACCTGGTCAATCCAACCTCAGAGACAAGTCAATGGTATCCTCGGAACGGTCCCTGTAGATGGTATTGTGAATCCATCGGTCCATTGCCAAATCAAAGAGCTGTCTCGTGGACTCATAACATCATTTCCTCAAAAAGCAGGAACAGGAATATCGTTGACATGAAAATGTAGAGAGCAGTATGCAAGCGCGATGCCCGGCGGCTGATTCCGCATGGAGCAAGGTGATTCAACAAAATTTTCAACCATTATGGGAGATCCGGAGGGAAAGGTGGCAACCCCTTGTTTCGATTCGATTCGAGACAAACCATGGGCAGCAAGAGCTCCCTTCATTCCATTCCGGTGAGATGTCACGGATGCTCCCACGGAGTATGGCGAGTACAGAGCACATGCCGGTCAGCAGCGTGACTACAGGGATTTTGAGCGTGGAATTCCACCACAGGCGAAAGTGCGATGTGATGGGAATCGTTGCGTCGACTCGTACGATGGGAGTCAATGCGCAACGGCGTTATCACGGCAGCTTCTTAGCGCTTGACAATAGAGACTGCAAAGAGAACAGATAATTAGGATTTGCGTCACAAAGCAGGATGTTGCCCGATTTGGCACTAGAGAGAGAGACTAACCGATATCCTCGTCGGCAAGCTCGTGCGACAGGCCAACTCGTTGAGGCTGATGCTTCACAGAGCGGCCATATACAATAGCGTGCTTGAACTGGTCCTTGATGGTTCGGTGAATGGCATTACACTGCTTGATAGTTAGTTTTGTCCGATGCAGCTAAACTTTGTGACACATCGAGCTCAACGTACGAAGTCTTCAACGGTGCATCCTGAAGCGCGAAGCACAACAGGGGCTGTATAGTCGGGAGCACGACCCTTGGGTTTGGTGTAGATTCTTCGCAAGTTGAGCTTCTCCCACATCATCTCCAAAAGCTCATCGATGTTCCAGCCGTGCTCTGAACTGATGGGAACGGCGTTGGGGATACGGTAGAGCAGGTCGAGTTCCTCAATCGAGATGGCGTCGATTTTGTTGAGAGCGTAAACGACCGGGATGTAAGCTCGACTCTTAGCTTCAAGAACATCAATCAAGTCGTCAATGGTAGCGTCGCAACGAATGGAAATGTCAGCCGAAGAGATCTTGTATTCGTTCATGACGGCTTTGATTTCCTGAACTCGAATGTCAGTGTAAGGTTCTCAGTCTGGGACACATGCGATCTCGACCGAAATGGCAGACTTACTTCATGAGAGATGTTGCTCAGAGGGACTGTGCTAGTGATAGCGATACCACCCTTGTCCTTCTTCCTGAAAACGATATTTGGTGGTGACTTGTTGATACGGATGCCGAATCCCTCCAATTCGTTCTCGATGACTCTCTTGTCCACCAAGGGCTTGTTCACATCGAGAACGATGAAAATCAGATGACATGTCTTTGCAACAGCAATGACCTGACGACCACGACCCTTGCCGTCCTTGGCACCTTGAATGATACCAGGCAAATCAAGGATCTGAATCTTCGCTCCGTTATACATCACCTGTCCGGGGACAGTGGTAAGGGTTGTGAATTCGTACGCGGCAGCTATCGCATTTCATGTCAATGGAGATTCGCAATGGAACTCTCGAGGTACTCTCTTACCTTCGGAGTGCTGTCCAGTCAACTTGCTCATCAGAGTACTTTTACCGACAGAGGGGAAACCGATGAAACCACTATATCACACGTCAACATCTTTCCGTTCGCATTGCGCCTTCACGTCCTCCGCTTCTTATTGCAATTGAACTTACACACTGGCAACACCGGTACGCGCGACATCGAAACCGACTGAAGCATAACATATGTGTTAATGCATTGCCTCCTTGGATTCTCCGGTATTGAAGAAGCACTCACCACCACCGCCACCACCGCCTCCGGATGGAGTCAACAGCTCTCGCTTGAGCTTTGCAAGCTTTGCCTTCAGTTGACCTGCCCGGTATGTTAGTTGGCCGCATTTTTTTTGATCTCACGGCCGCCCCTCCAAAGACCCAGTCATACCCAAATGGAACGATGTATTTTTGTTTTTTTGAGTCCGAGCCATCTCGGACTCGATCTCTTTGATCTGTACAAAGCGAGAAGATTGTCAGCGCCTGAATCGAAACTGTATTCGCTATCTCATCGGAGGCTTCCACGGACCTTGTCAATAGTTGTCGACATTTTGGCGGTTCAAGAACAAATCAACAAAGTGTTTGTTGCCAATAGTGCCCGTTGTCGTAATTGATTAAGGCCTGCCTCGTCGCTTTCCTCGAGTTTCAAGCCAATCTCGCTTTGCATTAATGCGACAATTTGGCGGCGAGACAATCTTTGAATTGTGGCACTGATTCTTAGTCAGGTGGGGTGTTCGCCTCAGGCATGAAATACCTTGCATATGTCATAGGATGCCGTGATATTAAGGCTGACAGGATTGAGGCCTTGGGCCGCAGTGCCTCCGCCATGTATATGGGAGAGACGATTTTGTCAACGTTTCGAAGCTATGAGTAATTCATTCATAACCATGAGAATCTCCAATGGAATCAACAGCATGCTCCCAATGAACTCTAACGAGATACCCCGAACATAATTTGGCCGCGCTACCTTGAAGTAGATGTAGGCAAGTCGTGGTGACCAAACGTTGCTGATCACCGTTCTCACGATAGCAAGTGCTCCCTCTTCTGACTGACATCGAGCTCTACGTCGCCATATGTTCCAGTTCCAATCTTTGTGGGCAAACATTCTTGTTCGTGGTCAACACTCGAACAGTGATCACTCTGCTTTTCACAATGCACTTGTGTTTAGTGCGCACAGGGCACAAGATATGGCGTGTTTGACGTAGAGACTGTTCGACTTTGAGACAGACCCAGGGTGATTGATCACCTACCTAGTCAAGCTGGAAAGAGTATTCTTCTTCGCACCTTTCTCCCCCTGTCTCCATCGCTCGAGCGAGCGGATTCGCGAGAGAAGACTCTCAGCCGTTTTCATGAGACCATGAAGTTTTCCTAACCGGGTTACAAGTCACCTCAGTACAACTTTGGCCAGATACGTCCTCCATTGCGGTGACCACATTCAGAAAGTACCATAATGGCAAAGCGAAATCGTAAGCCCACGAGGATGAGTGAAGGTTTGACTGGTTTGAGGGTGGTCTATTCTTGTTGTATATTCCACGCCTGAGTATATGAAGCCGGAGTGCTGGTACACAGAACAGCCAGAAGATAAATTAACTAGATCCAGCGAGATAACCTTACCACACTTATTATCAAGAGGAGCCGCAACGGCTTTGGAGGTCCATCCGTGCAACGAAATTTCTATACCTCAAAGAGAGGTGATAGTAGTAGTAGTAGTAGTAGTAGTAGTAGTAGTAGTAGTAGTAGTAGTAGTAGTAGTAGTAGTAGTAGTAGTAGTAGTAGTAGTAGTAGTAGTAGTAGTAGTAGTAGTAGTAGTAGTAGTACTAGTAGTAGTAGTGGACTAGTAGTAGTAGTTATTGAGTAGTAGTAATATGGTATTCAATATTAGTAATAGTGGTAGTAAATAAGTAATAGTAGTAGTAAATAAGTAATAGTAGCAATAAGTTCAAAAGTTGAACCTGACGCCTGTCTTCGCGCCCATCGACGGAAGCCGAAAGACCCAGCAACAGATTACTCTCCCCAAACCAAGTTCGACCTCGACTCCTACCCCGTTCTCACCTCAAACGCTCGAATCTCACCCGCGTGGATTCCCACATACCAAAATCACTTGGATTCCCGTTATGATTGAACACTGGCTCAAGTTCTCAACGACTTCAACATCAAAGGCCAAGACGTTCCCGTTCCGGACTCACCCAATTTCCATCGCGTAAGACAAATCACCGAGTCCCCGCCGCACGCCCTCCAATGCAACCTCCCGTGGAGCGCAGAGACCCTTCCCCCAACGTTTGCGGTCTCTTTTTTCATCCCCAGATTTGCACGCCCCGCATTTCCTTCTTATTTCCTTGATTTTCACCCTGGCTACTTTGGTTATGGGGAAGATTCAGTCTAGATTGGAAAAAGTCTGGGCCCGTTGTAGCGTGGTGGGATCATCTGGGGGTGACATGATGATGGCCGGGGGCGGGTGTCCACCGAGATAGTAGGACTCGGTGGACTCCTGGGGTGCAGTGGCCCGGATGTTGGCGGGAAGCTGGAGCTCTGTAAGAAGTCGGGGTTGTTTGAAGGTTGATTGCTGGGTTGAAATGTGGTTGTCTCTGTGGAAAGATCTCGTACTTGTGTTGGAACTGTGTGAACGATGCGGGATCTAGACAGGAACAATGGTGTAGAAGAAATGATGATAGCTTTGGTATCCATGATATAGAAAAAACGTGCTATGTTAAATGTAGTGGTATGCAAAAAGATCCCGCCCCCAAGACCGTAACGCCATATTGCTAAAATAAAAAAAAAATGACAAGATCCTCAATGATCATAAAAAGACATAAGCAAGCAAGCAGTGGGACCATGCTCAGGTAGAAGAACAGCTGAAGGGAGAGCTGCCCGTGTCGTTGTGGATGGCCGTGCCCGAGGCATACAGGCCCAGTCCACAGAGAGCGGCTCCGAAGATGATAATGCTAAAGTTCAGCACCGTCAAGGCAATCTTGCGAGGCGAGACGAACCACTGGCCGGCGTTCAAGTGCAGCCAGTACACGCCAGAGAGACCGTAGCTGAACCACGAGGCGAACAGGGCACTGATGAGACCGTTCAGGTCTTGGAAGACGGGGATGGCCTCGGCAATGATCCAGGCAACGACCCAGCAGGTCACACCGAGACCGAGCCAGAGACCAACGGACTTCCAGTTGTTCTGGTGCATCAGGTCCGACTTGGCAGTGAGGCGGAAGTAGATGTACTTGAGACCGATGTGACCGTTGACGACGCCCGCGCCGACGATGGTGGGGATGGCAATGCCGAAGGCGACCTTCTTCATGAGCGGACCGGCCGAGATCAAGGCGGGGGAATTGACGCCCTTGCCGACGAAGAAGTAGATGACCACCGCAGCGGTGAGATACAGGCAGATCTCAAAGCCCTGCAGCATGAACAGAGATTTCTTGAAATCCTGGGGCTTCTCCATCTCAGCGATCAGGCCGAAGAAAGCAACGTGGGCACAGTAGGCGAAGACGATGTTGGAGACCGCCTGAAAGCCGGTGTAAAGGTTGGTCTGGACGGTGGCTTCGACGATACGGCCGGGGTGCTCTTGTACTCCAACGGAGATCATGGTGATCAAAACCGCACTGAAGATGGAGAGGAAGGAGAAGAAGGAGATCCAAGTCATGCCGCGCATGGTACGGGGAACCGAGAGGGCAAGCGAGAGCAGCATGCCCACCAGACTGAACACGATAGAGCAAGTACCGTGGTCGGTGATGGTGTTCATCATCACACGGAACGTCAGGATGTGACTTCCCATGACGAAGATACAGAACAGGAACTGGCCAGTACCGAAGAGCTCGCGGCCAAAGGGACCGAACAAGATCTCTCCCGCATCAGCCAGATTTTGAATGTGCGGGTACCGTTCACGCATGAGACCAATGTTATATCCGGTGTAAGTGGCCAAAAGACCAAGACCAACAATAAGAATGACACCACTGATGACGAATTGAGAATGTTAGTTCAAGATTCGTAGAATAAATCGAAAGATTCGACTCGGGAGAAGCACTCACGGAACCATTCCCAGCGTGGCGATGGCGGTAGGCAGGGACAGCACACCAAGCGAGACCGACTCGCAGATCATGAGCAGACCACATTGCCACCATGTGAGAGTCTTGTACTTGATCTCGGCAAATTCCTCGTTACCAAAGGCATCGTGAACGTCTCCATGTTTAAGAACACCTTCTTCTTCCAGACTAGGCGGCACAGAGCCGTGTTTGCCCTCGTCGATCTTGTCATTGCCATACGCGGGAGGCTGAGGCGTGACAGCGGCCATGATGGTTGTTGGCTTGATCTTCCAAGCTGACCACCAGATGTATCGAAAAAGGCAAGGATCAACGACGAGATATGATCAATCGACGGAAGATGAAGGGGAGATGAGCCGGTTCAAGTTAGGGAGGGTAGGTGGGTGATAAGTGTGTTCCGGATTGGGAATTCTTTTCAAGACCAGGGTTGGGTTAAGGTGGTGGAGGAGGTGATAGGTAACAACCCACGGTCAAGCTGAGGAAAAGCGATTGAAGATTCTTGAGGAGAAGAGAAAGGACTATCTAAATCCGGGGATCGAAGACAATTAAAATACCATTGCAGCACACAGTGCCCATGGCAAAGACTCCTACGAATTTCACCGAGTCACCGAGTCCACTATGCACAATCCGCACGAGGCAAGGCCAGGCCGATGTTGCCCCGAACGTCGATGGAGGCGAAACCTCAGGATGGAACATTCTTTTCGGTCTTTGGCCGTTCCAGTCATGTCGAATGGGTGGAAAGGCTCCGGAGAGTCCGATCCCCACCGCACGCGTTCCATGGAAGACCCGCCCACGAGGCGATGAGGTCACCTGATTGGCGGCCTGTATGACAGCCGGGCCGACCTTCGGAGAAAGACCCAATGAGACGCTCGGAATAGGGTCAACAACGGGTCCCTGCAGATCGTGTAGGTAATGGAAAAGGTCATCTTCATGACTAAATGGCCGGACAGGCTGACCATCGGATATTGGATCAGGACTTCCTTCAGTCCAAGATGAATAATAGGGTGTGATGCATACTACGAAACAATGGAGACTGTGGCGTTCCTCGAGGGCCCTCCTTCCCCCAGGGCCATGCTGATTAGAGTCAAGAATAATCCGCCTTCTTCTTCCCCCAGGAATCACATACAGTATCTGAGTATACAGACATGGCCTCGCCCTCTTCTTCCCGCCGTGTCCCGATGGGCCCTTTCGAGTGGTCTCAGATCGGACAAGATGTGTGCAATGGTCCACAGTGCATAGACCCGGGAGGGGGGAAAGGCACACTCGTACTGCCTCGGTTCTGTCATACTCATATGTGCAGGGCACAGCCAAACACCGATGATCAATCTGGGGATGATGATTATTCAGTGACTCAAGGTGCGTGTAGCCCCATCCGCGAGCAACCCACATGATTCATCGGTGGATTGAGCGACCCCATTGGGAGCCACTGGGGACTTCGGAGATCTCGACCGGCTCCCCGGTCGAGTGCATGCCGCATATACAAAGTCACCGACATTGGCCGTTCTCAGTCCCCAAATCCGGGGTGAGGTAGGTGATGACCTGAAGCGATTGTGGGTTGCTTGTTTGAAGACCAAATTCTCTCAGAGATTGGTCAATCTTTGCGTTACTATCCAATTTCTCCATCGCCCTTGAAGGGTGAGTAGGATCGAATATGGATAAGCAGGACGCGGGGAAAGGGTCCCTGTCTGTGGCCTGTGCAACTCAAGTTTGTCATACAATATAGATTGAAGGTGGGCTGGGCCTAATATTCCTCCGTAGTCTAGGTAGTCTAACGTAGACGCCTACTGTACTCGCAGCTGCAGCACAATGTATTGATGTAATGCAGCCAGATAGACGTCGAGGTTCCTGTACGGGAGCTGGAGGCAATTGCGAAGCTGGTCAAGCGCCATGCAGTGAGGATGATGGTACCGGACATGAAGGCGGAGGCTTGGTAATCTGTGGGTGTGAGCTCCCGTCTAGAATGTCTGTCATTCTGGTCTGTCTCACGTGTTGAGCCTCCGCAGCGCTGCCCGCGCGGCTGCTCTACGCAGATGGCCGCGAGTCGAGCCGGGGTGATGGCTGGGAGCATGTGTCTGTCCGGCAACGGACCTTGAACCAGCGAGTCCTGTCGGGTCGGGAGATGACATCCGATGCTCAATCTTCACCACCACCTATGAACCGGGTATCTCGGCAGCGACAATAATCCATTCACTTCAAGCTTAGGGAGAAAAGAATTCCTTCACTCTCTCTGTTTCATATGTTCCAGATGATAGATCGATACATCGCATTCAGCAAATGCACGATTTGTCCAGTCTCCCGCAACAAAAGGCCTGCATCCGCCGACGGACTAGACACGTACCAAGAGACATGCAAATTGTCAATTTTCAGGCACAAGGCACATGTTCATCTGCAGTTTCTGCACAGTGCACGATCCCAGGCACCGGAACAGAATCAAGGTTTTTTCCAACCTTCCGCTCAACTCTAAAACAACTGTACAACTTTACAGGCTACAATTTACAAGGTGGCCCAAGAAGTCATACTTTGCAGCCCAGGCCAGACTCAACACTCTACCAGAACTGTGGCCTTGACCAACATCTGGTTCGCTTCCGAGATTCCACAAGTCGGCTGTTCCCCCCGACGATGATTTTTCCAAGAAGACGAAGAAAATTCTTTGGAAACACTTTCATTTCTAGCCATTTGCGCACTAAAAAAAAAAGTGGTTTCAGTCAAAAACAGATTTTGCTCACCGGGTCGCCACCCAAAATTAGGTTCTTCCCTGGGGCGCAATTAAGCACCGCTCTATAATGATTGACCCGAGGACGCTGATTAGTCGCGGAGTCTTTTTGCGTGATGTGTAATCACGGCGTCCATCGAGGTCGCGGCTCGCCGGCGGCGGCTACTAACTTACTTCACACTTGTACCTTACCTTAATTTTTTCCGACTTCTTCGGAGAGAATCTCTCCGGCGGACTGGTGTTGACTGACAAGTGTTGAGCCTGTGTGATGCGAAGTGTCCACTCACCACTGCACCACAACACCGCTACTGACTACTAGTACTGACGCATACCGAAGAGTTGCCTCAATGCCTACCTTACTGCGCGGGTCACCATGGGCCCTGTTATGACTCGGTCTGACGTATCGAATGCGGAAAGAAACTCCGCATTTGAGCGGTACTTCATTTGCATGATACACACACACTTACACACATATGTGAAATATTGTCAGTGAGGTTAGCGTGTCATAGTAGACTGTAGAGTGTAGCAAGGAAAATCTGGTACTACTACTGCATGACTTTCCATCCATCACTCTCATAAGCTGAAAGCCACTATCAACAACAGAGCAGAAACTTCCTGGATTCTTCCACCCCGAAAAACTCAAAAAGTGTGAACATGTAGTTTCGGTCCCACCCGTCGGAACAGGCATCTTGCGATCAATTTGGAAAAGATCCGACGTAAAGACTACGAGTACGTGCGAAGGAAGCGCAGGTTCCGCATCCGAGCCGCTCGAGCATCTGCCGAACCGCTTGTTTCAAAGTGACCTTAAGCTTCCTTCGGGTCTTTGACCACAAATGCCGATATGCCGGGGGAACTGCCTGTTCGATGACTTCTACATCTAGGAACAACGTGTGAACGTACCCGTAGTACGTAGGTAAGCAGATCTACTGTATCATCTGCTAACGTTAGACCGAATTGATGGTCTTTGTCACTTGGAATTAGTTTTCCGGCTTCCTTCCATCTTGAGTGGATTGGAACTATCCACCGAGACGTAGCCCCAACATTCCAATGACAAAGTCCGTCTGCTTCTCGTCGATGACCCCCAAGCCATGTATAGTCGCCCATGTATGTGAAACTGAAGCATCCGACTCCTTGGGGTACTTAGAGGCTAGGTGTAGTCCATAAAAACTCTTACTGCTATCATGCTAGGTCCTTCCTTTTCCTCCCCGAGGCCGGAAATTCTTATTCCACCACTACTTGAAGCCTACATGGGAGCTCTTGAATTGCTCCTTGGCCGATGGGTCAATGGAAAGCTGCTTTCTACCTGATCTTTCCTCCTCATCCACCTCCGTCTCCTCGAGGGTTTCCTGCTACGTTTTCCTTGGCGCTCCCACAGGTTCGTTCCGTACTTGATTCTTCTATCAGAAACTCTCAGGTTCCCAGCATAGGCCTTGAAAGAATTATTCATTGCGCTTATCAGATTTCTTCCATAGACTCCAAAACCCCTTTCGAACAACGGTCAAAACAAAAGGAGTGGAATACACAGGGCTAGACGAGCTGATGTGTGGGTGCAATATACAAAGTTACACTTGGGGAACAAAAGAATGCTCGATAAAATCTCCATGAGGATCATGGAGTCAAAACGTAACGAACCAGAAAGAACATGTGCCAGACCCGAAGACGCCGTTCACTTTGCAAGCTCTCGGTATCACGTCAAAGTATAAGAAGACTGACAACAACCAAAAAAAACATTAACAAGGATATCGTCCTCCATATAAAATATCATCGGATTAGAACGTCCCACCGCTTTCATACTAATCCATGCTTCAAAACCTGTTGCCCTGGTATGTCGAGCCCCGGACTTTGCCGAGCCTTCAAAGAACTATATTGCATCTATACTTATTGGTCCTTGAAAGACACGGAGCGTTGCTCACTCGTGGCTGATGCAAGTCTTTCCTGAAATCGCTCAGGATGCTCCAACACTTCGGACTGTCGGCGGCGTAATTCTTCCAGGCTGGCTAGAGGATTCTGTAAACCGCCATAATAAGTATGTTGCTCGGATGACATTGGAAAACACATCAACCGTAAAACCCACCCAGTCCTGCTGGTCGGGGACTCCCGCGGCAGCCGGAAGAGCGTCCGAATCGGGCGCCTCCTTTTCATCGTCTCCGATATAGCCTCGACGCTCAATGGGCGCTGGTGTCACGGGGAGCACCGGCCGTTCGACCTCGCTGGGCATGTTGGTGAGAATAACACTGGGTCGTTGGTCATAATCGGGCTCTGTGATCGTGGTTGCAAAGGATCTTGTCTGATTTCTGCTCGTCTGAGAGCTCGTGCTGGCCTGACTCGAGCCAGATAATACCTGTGTGCGTGCACGTCGGGGCTGCTGGATGGAGGCTATGTAACGTTGGATATCAGGATCCTCATCCCAAGCATTCGAGCGACTGTAAGCGTCCCAAGTTTCGGCCGAGGGCTCGTATGGAGCCCGTAGGGGCAAGCCCACGGGTGGCGAAGGAGACTTGGTCGGCTGCGGCTCGTTGGGAGGTGAGCTTAGAGGAAGCGACGGCTCGGCTGCAAAGACACGAGTCGGTTTCGGCGCATGACTCTCCCAAGGGAATATTTTCGTCAAACGCTGAGGCTCTGGCTTGGTCGGGGGAACCTGGTAATACATATTCTTCGGCGCCTCAGGGTACGAAGGCGGCGGTCTAAAGAGCGTCGTATCTTCGGACATGCTGTACGTCTGATGCTGGAGATTGGCTGCTTCTGGCTTGGAATCACGAGGGGGTGGCTCCCTTGGAAGTGTAAGCAGCTCATTTTATTGAAAAGGGGGTTCAGTGAAGATGGGTTCAAAAAGAAGTGAGGCCCATACCTTGAGGCATCCCACTCTGCCTTTGGTGCTTCGAACGCTGGGACTTCTGGCTCTGGGGGAGGAGAAGGTTGGCGTGGCTCCTGTAGCTGTCTCATAGGCGACACTGGCTGCGGATGGTGCATGGGGGCAGGGGCTCCGTGGAGCTGCGAAGGCGTCTCGTGTGGCCTAGGTCCTTGCTGCGAAAGCTGGCGTGGGGGATCTGGAGCTGTCTTTGGCGAATCTGTAGATGTTTGTGCATGGCCGGTGGATGGTAAATAAGCTGAGACATGCTCCTCTCCACGCACATACTGGGGCACGGCACTGAGTACTGGAGTTATCGGAGGACGACTCTCTTGGGTCACAGAGAAAGAACTCGGCGAAGCAGAAGAGCTGTCGACATGTTGCTGGCTGGTAGTTTCTGGCTCTTGGCGCACTGCTGGGCCGTGAGACACCGGCTGAGCTTCTCGCGAGTCGAGCGATTGAGCGGTATTCTGAGGACCTTCTCCGTGATGATCCCCAGACGTCGGAATGCTCCACGGGCCCGTCCTATCGCCGCCACCTGTTTCTTTGGAGGTATCTTCAAAATGCACCTTCTTCAGCGACTGACTTGACCGTGATCTGCGGGGACCTAAGGGAACGTGGCTGCCTGCAGAGGGAAGGATCTAGATCAGAAGTACAATCAGCTTCTGAGACCACAGGCAGGATCTGGCTTGAATACCTACAGATGACGGACGGTAGTGCCTATCATAGACGGACCACCAATGTCTCAATAGTTGATTATACGGCGACTCCAAGGGCACCATCTGACGCGGCAGAGTCCATGGCTTCTGCGCGCCGATGAAGTGAATCAGACTGATGGCACGTTGAAAATGCTTGTAGGCAGGAATGTACTGGTAGTTTGCGCTCGGTGTACAATTATACGTGAAGCTCAATCGATGCCAATCCCGGAAATGCATGTTGAGCAAGCCCTGATCGGCGCCATCGAAACTGATTCCTCGATCGGCCAGCGCCTTCAGTGCGTAGTAATCTTTCAGATTCGGACGGAAGACCATCATTCCGCTATTGAAGCAGTCCGGCCAGCCGACATCGGGAGCAGCGGCAAAGTCTACATTGAGGGACAGAAGCTCGTCCGGAGCGCGAATGGCCACCACATCGCAGTCAATGTAGACGATCCTTTCGAATTGGGTGAGACGCCACAACTCAATCTTTGTGAATGTAGAGATCAGGTCTGGCCTGTCCATCAGCCAGAGATTTGCGGGCGTGCCATTGACGAGCGGAGAGACCGGGATCAATTCATCGTAAAGTGTCTGTTGGTGGACCGAAGCGACGTTAATTCCGAGCGGGTTTTGGGTTGGGTCTGCAGTGACTCAAGAGCGACCGCCAATTTGACTTGCGCACCTTCAATTCATTGATCGTAGCGGCACGTAACCGCTCAGGGGTATAAAGGGCGATCAATTTTGCTTTGGTACCATTGTCACGCAGGGAATGCGCGAGGACCATCGCACCTAGCAGACCGAGCGGGGATTAGACGAATGCGCCGAGTCGAGAGCTCGCCTCTCAGCGAGTGAGGAGGACACCGCCGTGGCTTACCTGGCAGATACGAATCGCTCAGTAGGAGCTATTGAAGAATCGCAAACAGAATCCATTAGTATCAAGGGACCTTGCGCCCAAGATTCTGCCTCAATTGCCCAACCAACGTCGGGATCAAGCGGACGAGACGACTCACCGTGCAATAGACTGCACTCCGCTCGGATGCCATGACGACCGGGCCCACCTCAGTTCACTCTCGTCCGTCGTCACCGTTGTCGTCGATGGAAGATCCTCCGCCGGGGAAAGGTCGAGGGATTGGGGGAGCGGCAAGTCTCTGCTCGGATTCTCCACGGGACGGTCAGCAGCCGTCGAGAGGGAGGAACAATGGACGAGACAGAAGGAAGTTTGTTTGCGGACTGAAGCTTGCCTATATTTATCCTGCTTGAGAGGGGGAAGGTGTGGGATGACGCGCTATTCCACTGGCGCGACAGGTCCGTTCGGACTGGGCCTGGTCCCCCGAGCGGGCCCTACCGGACTGTGGTACCTGGCACGGACACCACAAGACTATCGAGCGAATTGCAGGTTCACCAGGGCTGCAGCACATCGGCTGTGTGCGGACAGGGAGTTTTGAATGGAGCGTCACTGGCTGGGCAAGATTGCGAGGAATTCGCAGAGGTCAATGGCTTGCACCGAGGGAAGGGGGAGGTGCTTTCTGAGGTGATGGGTGAAGGACGACAGAGAGAGCTGGAGGAAAGAGGATCGGGGGCAATAGCGGGGGAAGATTGGGTCAAGGTGGAAGGGAAGATGCAAGTGAGATGAGGCGGGAGCAGAAGTGGGCCACGAGTTCGCAGGTATCGAGGCACGGAGTTGGCCAAGTCAATGGATTGAGTCCTCCTCGTTGCGTGACATTTAACGATGATGGGGGTACACCGGTACAGTACTACGAATATCTCGTACTGTAAGTGGATAGTACCATAATACTACATCAGTACATAGTACATACTACATAATAAATAATTCAATATTGCATGAGCGCGGGTTACACAACTACCAGTACCTGGTCAGGTCAAACGGGCTACCAATTGTCAATTCACTTGGTGCAAGACACTGACAGATCACCCGGGCCCACTGAGTACTAAAACAAAGTGCTACTGTAGTCCTTGAGGATTCACAGGCTTTCAACGGGCCGAAAGCAGACAGGTGCTACTCAACACTTGAAGCCTCCAAACCCTGACCGGATGCCCAAAGGAGGGTTGAGAAGGGCTCGACCATGTTTCAAGGTCACCGTGAGTTGCTCAATGGGGAAGCCCTAAAGCTCAGGGGGACCGAGCTAGGAAGGTACGGTAAAAACGCTAACGGCGTTACGGCAGAGTGACTTTGATCGGACCGAACAGCCGATAAGGGAGGCCGAACGAGGCGGAACGGTTCTGTGGTCACTGCTAGTGCTCACTGGCTCAGTGGTATAGGTATACTGTACTTTGTGAGAGGTACAGTCCTCATTGTAAACTGTGAGTTACTCCAGTAACTAGTAAGATGTAGTTACTAAATTATCAAATTCGTAGTAGCAGTCTGGTAGTAGTAGTAATAGTAGCAGGTAGATTACCTCGTATAGACAACAGTATATGGCACTAGTAGTTAAATCATAAAATGGCACCCTTGAATCAAGTCATACCTGAGGTACTACTGCTCATGAATCAACCGTTGAAGATGGCCGTTGCTTCATGAGTTGATCTGCAGAGGGGGTCCCTCTACTATATTTAAATTGATCGTTCCCTTCATTTGAATCCACTTGGAGCGGAGGCACATCCCGCACTGGCCCACCAACCCGCCGCCTCTATTCCACCAGAAATTCTTATGTCGCGATCAAACCCTACTACACACTTACACAGTACACACTACATACTACATACTACACACTACACACTACACACTACACACTACATACTATAATTTAAATGGAATTATTGGGTTACAAAGATGGCAGTAGCCAACCGAGTCAACAGCGGAAAAAAAAAAGCGAGGTAGAGAGCCATGGTGGACTACGTCTTCAATAGGATGGGCGAAACAAGCGAGATTTCAAAACTACATCCTCGCCAATCGTATTATTGCCCGGCCACCTCCAGCTACCACCTAACAGTCAATCCTATGATAAAAGCTCTTATAGATAGAAACGCACCTGCGAACCCGGAAAATAAAAGTACATTCTCTATCTCATAGACTGAAACATCATACGAGGTCTGTTGCGAGCGCAAGAAGACACCGCTCGGAGCTTGATACGACTGCACCCGCGATCAAAAGCAAATATCGACTGGGTAAATGAACTCGGACATGGGAGCTCATCAAAGGGGTTCAGTAGAGTGAGAAGAACAGCTCAATGACATCAATAGAAAAGTACTCCATACTCACAGACGCTACACACTGTGACCGCTGCTGGAAGATGAGCAATCTATTCATCGTCGAGCGACCAGGGTGACGCTAGGATAGCATTCCCGGACCTTAGCCACGATATCGCCCTCTTCACCACTGATAGCCCACTCCACCGCCTTGGTCAGAGCAGCACGGCTTTCGGGCTCGATGGGAGTAAAATGACCCGACTCAGGAAGCATCACAATTTGACTGTTGGAAGTCAGATAATCTGCCAACCCGTCCAGACACACCGCTTCACTCAGCGCAACATCATGCTGGCCCCAGAAGACGGTCGCCGGGGCTTGAAGGGCACCGGGAAGTCCGTCATCCAGGAGACCAGTGCCGCCGCTGGGATGGCGAAGCTGATGGCTCGCCGAGATGCTGTGAAGGTTGGCCACCGTCTCGGCAGACTTGTGCCATCGAGCCACGGCAGCGCCCTGACGGTAGTAGTTGGCCTGGTTCATGATATTGGCAAAATCATGCGAGAAATCAATGGTCGAGGGATAAGACTCCCCGTCCGAGGTCTGCGTCTTAGCCTCGGCGGCTGAGGGGCCCATACTGCTGGCCATCGAGGTGCCCTCATCACTAGGGGTGTATTCGCCGCGTCCGTGGGAGCCCTTGTGGATAGAACTCATAAGCGAGTAGTTACCCCCTGTGAGGCAGAAGACCACCAGCGATGGAGGCAGTTGCATGGCAAAGATGTAGCCGGATAACAGGGTTTGGTGGGCGACGGGCCCTAGCGTTCGCAATGCCTGAGTCAACGGGGTCTTGGCCGATAGAGGCGCGGCAATGGCGGTCTTCAACATCTTGGACGCGGAGGACAACATGCGACTGATATTGGATCGGGCAAGGCTTGGCTGTGGATGAGGGGCAAACGGAATCAGTATCACCCAACGCTATGAAAAGGGACCTAGAGCGCAGTGTAGCGTGGAGTCTACATTTTGCTGCCGGTGGGAAATGGATGCAGAACGTACCAATGGCCCGTTGGTGAAGATGAACCGATGAGCCAGCGACGGCGCCTCGGCCGCAAGGCGCATCGCAAGAACACAGCCCCAGTCATGGGCGACAATCGTCACCCGCTTCTTGTTCGCTTGTGAGCTATCATCCACCCCATATTGTGTGCGAAGTGCGATGATGAGCTCCGTCAATTTCTCCAGCAAGTTGGTCGCCGAGTACTTGTCCAAGCCCTGGGTGCCGCCATAGCCAGGCATATCAATCGCAACAAGGTTGGCAGAAGTCTGCAGTGTAGAAGAGGAGGCGATGTGACGCCAGACAGCCCAGCTATCGGGGAAGCCGTGGATGAAGATCACCAGCGGCCGGTCTGAGGCCAATGCCGCTTGGGCGCCGGGAGCTTCATTGCTCACAAAATGGAACTTGAATCCGTCTGCCAGAGTCAGGAAGTGATGAGACAGGCCAGCATAGTCCTTGGACAGATTCCAGAGGCGATCACGAGCTACCCACGTCTCTCTCCATCAGCTATTGTCGTCGTGACAGAAGGGACGGGATCTCCCCGCCGGAATGGATCGCATACCCAGCTGCAACTCTAAATTCTGCCGCTCTGTGCGTTTCTTGAAAAAGGTTCCTTTTTGGATCGCAATGAGTCCATACAAAGCAACGGTAAAAAGTCCGTACAAAAACACCAGCAGGCTTGTGAGGCCTTTGGAGATGGAGTTGCCCATGGCGAAGGCGTAGTATCTGGGTCAAGTCCAAGCTCGCTGGTATGACGAAGAGTGAGGGAAGGATGGTAGACTTTGCGGGCCGAGATACGTCAGGCTGTGGGGTGGGGAAAAAAAGGGTGATGGGGTCAGAGAGCTTCGCGCGCACGTGAAGAAGGAGAACGAGAAAAAGGGTCGGAGCAGGCAGGATGAGGGGAGGGAGGGATCTACACCCGTGTCTGCAGTATCCGCATGGTGGCCCAAAGAGCAGATGGTTCTTATGTGTCTAAAGCACTCGCTTGAAGGAGCCTTCCGCTTCAACTACTGTACAAACAAACGCGCACACGCCCAGGGGCACGGAAAGTCACTTGTACCTCGATTGCAGATCACCGTCGAGGTAAGCCTCGGCGCACGAGCGGGAGGGCCTGTGCATCTCGCAAGAGCATCATCAGTACTGGTCAGTGGTGACCGTGGTGACTAGTTACTGTGAGACTGTTATGCTTTCGGAACTTTGTGCAAGGCTCCAGACGTGTCTATATACCGACAGAAGTGCTTGCTTTCTAGAACTTGTTGTCCAGCTTTCAGCTGACTGCAGCTGCTAAGCTGCATATCAAGTAGTTGACCTTCGGAGGATTGACTAGTCCCTTGCCCAATTTCGGCCCCGCTCGCCGGTGCGTCAATCCCGTTTGAAACAGATCTGACTCGGAGCAAAAGGCACAGAATCGGAATCATGACTGGAATAGGGACAAGAGGAGAATCTTCCAGCCTACAGCTTGCTTGGCAGTCTCCTCTTGTGAAGAGTCACGTTTGAATAGTAGGGAGTGGAACATTATTATTGCGCCTCGGAAACACAACATTCACAGTTCAAGTATGGAAGGTTGCGCAGGCACAGAGGGTCATGGATTCGTCCCGTCTGGGACATTGAAATGAACACCACTTAAAACAGCTCACCAGTTGACCCAGATACCCGACTCCATCCTCTCATGATCTATCTCGATGCCTGCTTCTCAGCTGGATTTACCCCCGAGTCATAGAGAGTTCGTCTACGGATGTGGGCCACATTGCTCGAGAATCAGCCGTTGGACCAGCTTCTCTACAAATATTGTTCAGCCACGGAGACATCGCGATGCGCGGATGCGGAGTCGAATCGACAACCCAATCTCAGACCCTGAAAATCACAAAAAATTGAACGTTGACTATAGTCAAGACGACACAAAGTGAAAAAGAAAAGGAAAAAAAAAACCGTAATGGCGACATTCATTGGGTATTCACACGATTATCGTTCCGAATAAAAGCGGTCAACTGGCCCAGCACAAAAAAAGCATATCATGAAGAGGGGTGTAACAGGGCGAAAAAAAAGTAAACAAAATCATGACCTCATCGAGACACCGCAGAGCTCGGCAATTAAGATAGTTGCCCAGAAAACGCGCGGGCTACTTTAGGGTATATACAAAAGCGACACGGAAGAGGAAACAGATGGAAACCCGAAAAAGAGTTTACAGAATGGAGCGTTTATAGGGTGAACCCTATTTGATCACGCTGATCGTCGACAAGTCGGCCATACCTGAAAGGGAGGAGTCATGTCAGCAAAGAACAAAAAGAAGAGGGCATTCCAGGGGTAACTCACTCAAGTAGGAGACGGAAAAACCAGACCTCTAGATCCTCCTTTCGTAGAACTTGCTGAGCCCATTCCTGACCCTTGGTAGCAATGGCAGGGGCAGCCTTCTTGCCCTCCTCCTCCGCGGTGAAGTACCGCATGGTTTCGACGTATTCATTGCCCTTCAGGCTCAGCGGGACGTAGTGCAACCATGGCTTGAGCCACTCTTCATGCCACTCGCGGAAGATGGCAATCTTGAACACAAAGCTGTTGCTGAGGAGGAAAGCGTAGAATCGGCCACTGAAGGCATTCCCATCGATATCGACCAGGTACTTGTGCGCCCACGCGTCTTGCTGTCCAGCAGCTTTAACCACGTCAAAGTATTCCTGCTGGGCGTGACAGTCATCGGGATCACACTGGCCGATCATGGTGAATTTGACATCAAACAGATCACGGTAGGTATTTCGGCTGACCCCTTGCGAAACCCAGGACCCATCTTCCGTCTGCGCCAGAATCTTCGAGTCTGCGAGGGAGTTGACATTATCCACAAATTGTTGGCGGTGTTGACGACGCCAACCGCCAGCGCGCGAAAAGCCACCGGTCGTCGTGCCACGCCAATACATACGGTTAGATTTGGCATCCCAGCTGTAATCCTTCGCCTTCTTGTAAGGAACTTTGTCGGCCCAGTACCACGGGCTGGGATAAAGAATATCTTGGAAGCTCGAGATCTTGCTTTGCGAGAAAACCGGGAACAAGTCGTGAACCACGTCGAATGCATTCGGGCGATCGAAGAAACCGTATGAGGATCGGAGGGAGGGGGTGTGGCAAATATCGGAGAAGGCGGTCGTATTATAGATGAAGCCCAATTCGCCTCGCGCGTAAGGCTCGACGTTATCCGGGGCGTCCTCATCGAGCGACCTTGACGGGCTGTCGACTGGACACGAGATCCGGGAATTGGTCCATGTCGGCTGATGGGCGAATCGATTGAAGCGCGTGGTGCGCACTTCGTCAATTCGGTCACCCTTGTTCAAATCTGCTGCGCGAGGGGACCATGCGTTGGTGACGGTGTTTTGATTGAAGGCAGCTGGAATGACATGGTCCGTCGCCGTTTGAACTAGCCGCTCGAGGTCCTCACTGGGGATCACCACCCGGGGCTCATCGTGGGTGTTGAACACAAGATCCATATCTGGCAGATACTTGACAAATTCCTTCATCATACCGACAGTCGCCTTGCGCTGCCACTCGCGGCCATCCCCACCACCTTCGATCAATGTCACTTGACCATCGCGAATCAACAGCCCGATTACCGCATTGTCAAAGCCTAGTGTTTCGCGAGCGCGGGCTCGAATAACTGCCGGCTTCACAGCCCAGAAGGGCCGGAGATTATGGTAGATGGAGTCAAACTCGTCAATCAATCTCACGCCTTTGGCCTGAGCGAATTGAAACCACTTGTCGAAATGTGGCGGCGGGTGCATCTTGTAGCGACGTTCGTACTCCTGGACCGCCTCCGCCAGGGTCTTCGATTGGCGGGCCCGCACATCGTCAAAGGATTGTTGCGCGTTCTGTATCAGGGTTGAAATTGGATGCGCCTGTTCAGGCGGATATGAAGCGTCATCTGAATGGAGTTTTGGGTGTCGTATAGGCTCGGGCGGAGCATGTCCCTGCTCATGGGCGACATGATCACTGACATGGTTTTGGGGGACACGGTCGGGACGGAGGAGGACGAGCGTTAGACACGCGACACAGACGATGACGAGCAGGAAAAAGAGTCGTTGGGTGCGCATCCTGCCATCTGAAGACGGCATGGGAACCAGGGGGGAAAGGTTCAAGAGGCCGGCCCAGAATGGACAGAATAAGAGAAAGGCTCAGAAAGGAGTCGGTGGGCGTCTTTTTAGTGAAATGCGGTCGGAATTGAGGAGGACGGAAGTGCGCCATCGAAGAGGCGGAAACGTGGTCTAGCAAGATTTCGGAATTGGCGATGGATCCCTGGGCCTGGGCCTTTGAGGGTCCAAACACATACAGCACTGTGTTAGCTTGCAATTGGAGAACCTCACAAGCCCCATCAGCGTACATTGGACACTGTTGGACATTTCAGAAATGTCCAGCGCCGTTCAAAGACTGATTTTTCATGACTCCTGAGGCCTTGCGCAAAGTCCCTTTACGCTTCTGGCAATAAAGCAGCCTGTCGCTACCGAGAACATTCCAAGATCCGTATTCGATCGGAAGCGGAAAGATCGAGAAGCATTGACGCCTCCGGAGCTTGCTGTTTCTGGACTGCCAAGCACCACCGGCCAAGAGATGATGGACAAGTGATGCAGAACGATGGGCGATTTTGTGGTCTTACGATCCTCGAGTTTCTCGAATCGTGACGAAGCGCGCTTTCTTAAGAGAGCTTCAGGGATGAATCATTAATATCACAAGATCGCGACCAAGCGTTATAGGTAACTACTGGCACGTTCTACATCCACAGGTGCTCCTCGGGGATTCGACAAGCAGTGTGGCCAATGCTCATTTAGAAGTTCTGTTGCCAAATGAGGGATTGCAAATCGCGGAGGTGATGGCTCACAGCCCTCGCCAAGAGTAATCAATGATTTTGAAACTAGAATGCCAGTTCTCCTGGCACCAGGGTTTTAGGGCTTATTCAGGAATTGGACCTCCCATGGTGGGATCTACATTTCGGTTTCGCTCGTATCCCGGAACGCTTGAATCATCTGACGATCCAAGTCAACAAGGTACTCCGCGAGTTATGATTATCATGAAATCATGACAATTGTATCTCATCAAAGTCAACCGAGTCTGTCGTCTCTCGAGACCAGTAAAAGCTGAATATGAAGATTGAAGGGGAAAGGCAGGCCTTCAAGAGCGCCGTGCCCATCGAACGGTACCCCACGAAACAACGCCATTGACCGCAAACGCGCCCAAGGCTTGCAGCATGTAAAAGTGTGCGTGAGCAACGTGATAATATGCAGCGAGGCACAAGAGCCCTACCAAGGCAATGTGTCCCCAGTAAAACGACTGTCGACGCTCTCGGATGGATCTGACAGCAAGACGACCTCGGGTCGCTGTCTGGGAGGACGCGGCACGGGGTCTTTGGAAGAACATGACTGAGACCAGTATCGATACAGCCATGAGTCCACATTGAACATCAAAGTCTCGCACGCGCTTATTCAAAAGTCTTCCAAATTCCGGGTGGGATGATTGTGCGAAGAACAAGAGGTAAAGGACAGCATGGCCGATCAATAATGGAGAGATGACCAGGCGGCCAAAGAGCCGGTGATAGGGTGTCAACACGGTCTGAGGTATGGACGTCATCACGGAAAACATTGACGGGCTCGCTGGTCTAGATGAAAAGATATATGCTGCTGGCGACATCAAAATCTGCAGGGAAACCTGCGAGAGCGCCACATGACCCAGAGCCTTGGTCAAATGTAGGTAGTCTGTAGGCTTTAGTCAGTGAATATGTTTGAACACGCGGATCGAAGAGCAGGCAGCAAAGTCTGCCAACATGGCAGGAGACCGTATGGGATTGCTCCTACCATTGCCGGTGTTCCAGAACGATAGGCCGATGAGCCACAAGAGCCACAATCCGCAGAGAGCATACTGTCGGCGCGTCTCCAACCATCCAGCAAAGAGTGGGCGATCCCACCACGTCAGCTGGCCTCGTCGCCGCTGATCTTTGATCTCGCCTTGAGCGAAATGAGCCCTCACCTGATATACCCGAAGCACAATGGCCATCAGAATGATCGAGTACTGTGCATAAGATCCCCTGAGATCGAGCAACTCCCGTCGCCGCACTTTTTCCTCCTCGGACGGGGTGACAAACTGATAAGGCCAAGACATGGATATTCAAAGGGAAACTGTGAGTACACGGGAGTGATTTTTGTTCTCAATCAAACACGGTCAGCGCAGCTCAGCAAATGAAGAACCGAAGGTGAAGTGTATATAGGGGCTGCTTCGAGGCTTATCGCACGGTGGATCAAGGGAACTGTTTCTTGGTCAATGGCTGCACTACTACTGACTGGTCCGGGTGAGGTGATGCAGTGCACATTTGCAGACGCAGCACAGTAGTTCCCGTGTCTTCGGATTTATGCAGAAATGTTCCTTGCTCAGCTGCAGAAAGAGATGCAATAGACTGATTCTCACAAAGACACTGTTTCTTGAGGTTCAAGTCAGTGCTGTCCGCCGGCTGCCTGGCCAGCTTTGGGGACGCTGACAAATACTCTTCTCTGACGCCCGGGTACCGTTGCACTCAGCCTGTCACTGGTAGGTGAGATCTTCTGTGTAGTGCAAAGTGGAAACTACACAAAGTCAACTGACCTGACGCTCAGGGCTCTACTCATCGTCCATCTACCTTGTATAGAAACAATAGAGAACAGTATAGCAGGGTGCTAAGATACCGCCTCATCCTGCGGGTCCGAATGCAAGTGGCGTGGATCGGGGTTGATTACTATTTTATGAGCACAGATAGGATCTTGTGGATGAAGGATCAGAAATAGGGACCTCTACATTAAGAACGCCGTCGAGATAGGTCTCCCGAAAGCTGACTAGGTCTAAACCAACAGAGTGCCTCTCAATCCATGTTTAAAGTGGGTTGCGGACGCTCTATCGTTGTCTGTCACGCCGCCTGGGAGAATTCAGCCTGTCAAAAAGGATTTCATATGTTGCCGTTGACGTGTGTTCGCTCAGTGACCCATTCTAAGGAGATGTCTGCATGGTCTCCTCGGTGGGACCTGTGGCAGTAGTCGCAAAGTAGCGAACATCCACATCATCGTCGGCCTGCAGCTTTTCCAAAGAAGGTAGGACCTTCTGCTGAATCAATTCCTGGGCTCTAGGCGCAGGTGTGACGGTCTGTTCCGACTTCTCAACCTCGACCAATGTTTTGTTCTCGGGCAGGCGACGCAAGGCGTCAACAAGGACAGCATATGACTTGGCAACGTTGAAGCGGATATTGGGGATCTCATCAGCAACGAGTCGATCCAAGATGGGGAGGATAGAGCTCTCGATAATGTCGAGGGTGACAACAGGTACGAGCGTCTAAATATCCATATTAGTATCAATTGTGTGAAGTCACATGAATGCTGTGCAACTCACCGAGATCGCGAAACACGTGGTCATGCGATACAAGTAGTTGGGATGCTGGCCCATGGCCATTACCTTGGGGATAATGGATCCCTTTGCCCATTCAACGCCAAAAACTTCGGTCAGTTTCTTCAGGTTTTGAGTGGCAGCCTCACGAATGGAGAAGACAGTATCTCCTAACCATCCCATGCATAAGTCGCTCAGTTGCTCGTCGAAAAATTCGACACCCAATTGACTGGCAAGCAAGGGAATGTATTCGATGATTGCGAGGCGCACACGCCACTGCTTATCTTCAGCAAGCTGGACAATTGCCGGAAGAAGAGATTGAGACAAAAGATCAATTCCGATGACTAAAGATCGGACGTTAGAAGGAGTATGGAACAAGTGGTCGCGCGAATGGAAGCCTACCATTGTTCACTTGCTCGAGCTTGGAGATAATGTGCAAGCGGACATCGGGGAAGTCATCCTTCAGCATTTGGAGGAACATTGGCAGCAAATGGGCGATTGTCCTGTACAAACGCCCGATTGGTCAGTAAGGAAATCTCACGATGCGTAATCACGAAAAAAAAAAAAAAAAACGTGACGATACTCACTCTTCTTTTCCAAGAATCGGCGCCAATCCGCTGATCTGGGTGCCCAGGGCTGCACGGACGTGTTGAGACTGATCAGACACCAAATCCTCTACACTGGTCATTATCTCATTGAGCAGCGTATCGCGATCGATCAGACTGCAGAATCCTGGATGTAAATTAGCAATAGCCCGGGTTCTCTGACACAGATAACATTCTCCACGAACCGGGAATTTGGCCAGCAATTGCAGTGCGAACCTCGGCCTCGGTGTCCTTCAAGAGTTTCACAAAAGCAGGCACCATGTCGCGTGTAACAACCTCCTCGTGCACAGCCTTGGCAATCTGTTATTGGAAAATCTGGATTAGCGCACACTGGCATAGCTGACTGAGGGCCGCCAGAGGAGTACGGACCTTTTCATATCTATCGGCGACCATGTAGCGAACCCGCCAACTCTTGTCCTCGAATAAATTGCGCAATGATGTCAGTAGCACGCCGTGACTAGGCTGCTGAGCCTTGGGAATTTCTTCTGCGATCGCGATCAAAATCTCAACCGTCAAAAGACGCACGCTGTCCTGATCGTCACTGGCCAGAGACTGGAAGAGGGGTATCATTTCTTCAATTATGACCGCAGTTTGCATCTCCTTGACAAACTTGGCCAGGTTATTGGCGGCTTGGCGGCGCACCATCGGGGTCTCATCGTGTACGAGCGCTGCGAAACGGTTTCGGATACTTTGCTGCAGTGCCGGCGTGGCTTTTCGGTAAGGTGAACAATAGAGCCCGGTAGCCGAAACCTTAGAGGTGAACCAGTCGGCCCTTGAGAGATGAAAAACGAGAGGGATGAAGTGCTCTTCGACCTGACTTTCTGACAATTGATCGCACACTTTGTTGAGAGATTCCACGGCCTTCACACGTAGCTATCAGTAGAGATCTTCCGAATGCAACATTTTCTTCGACCGACCTTCTCTCGCACTAGAGGCTCCTCAATCGCCGCCAAGTTCTCCAGCGGTGACAGAAGCACGTGCGCATATTCTGGCCCGCCAACATATTCCGTGAAATTACCCAATTCCTCACTAAGCGCGGTCAACACCTCGTCCTCATCCTCGACAGAATCTGTGGGTCATTCGCGTTAAAAGCCGTCGTCTCGTTCCAAGAGTTTGGTGGGGTATTCGGAGCATGACGAACCGTCCAGGAATGGGATAAGCTCATCACGGGTTCTCTCAGGGCCTAGGGCCAGAGCGATCGTAGATAAACGACGGATTGCATTCAATCTGAGGAGGACATCGTCGTGCTAGAAAGTAGAAGAATGAGCTTGAGCCAGTCAGTATGCTCCCCCTCCGTTGGAGGAGGGGGAGCAGGACGGAGCGGAGCACTCAAACGAACCTTCAACTCATCGATCAGTACCGCGATAGGGTAAAGCTCATCATTCTCGTTTTGACCCTCCATCACGTATGTGCAGTCTGTGTATTAGGCTAGAGTTGAGGAAGGATGTATTGAGATGGAAGTTGGTCGATCCGTCTCAGTGTCGACCAAAGGCAGATATCCGGATGTCGGTCGTCACAGGGTCAACCAGGATGAATAATTTTCAGAAAAAGGTTGAGTGGTGAATAATTTCATGAGCTCCGAGACAACAACCTAGTGGTCAGAATTCGCGGGTTAGTGAAGAGTGAATGGGTGCGACAGAGTGGGAGGTTTGGAATGGGAAGGGGAAGATCCATTGAGGTTTCGTGGGGTTTTGGGCCGCCGGACAACCACACTCGTGCAGTGGGCAAAAGCATACCTCGGACTATGAGAAACCTCAATGCTCTCCCAAACAGATTTGCGCAAGCGAAATCTAGAGTAGATGTGGGTGTCGAATGTTGCAGGTGGAATTGAAGCTCAGCAAATGGACTGTGTCTCGAATGATGACAATGCCCGATCACCCTGAGCTTTCACCATCAACACAATTGCGGCTGCTCGTAATTTACATACCGTATCATCCTGCCGGGCCATGCTGAGCGGACCGCCAAGCTGGGTGAATCTGAATAGGGAACGGTGCGCTTAAACTTGGCCGGGCAGGGACCACCATTACAATACCATACGCATCGTCACAAAAGAGGGGGAGAGGCGATCGTGGCGGTGTGTGGCTCAAATGGCAGAATTTCCAGAAGACCGATCGGAGTCATAATTGTTGTTGCGCTAGTTGTGCTTTCACCTCTGCTCGTGTGGCTTTTACCTGCTGATTTCGGTACGTATGGCGTCTTTGCGTTTGGGTTCAATTGCTTTGAGGTCTTGCTACCGGGGTCTTGCTGAAAATCTCCTTGCTAATTACTTGCGCAGGAATTTTATCGCACTGCGATTACCCCCGCCATGCCCACTATTTCGGTCGACAAGGCCGCTCTCTTCAAGGAGTTGGGCCGCGAGTATGTACATGCGCGCGATGAGTATTATTATCAGTGACTCTAACAATCTGTTTGCGCAATGACAGGTATACCACAGAGGAGTTTGACGAGTTGTGTTTCGAATTCGGTAGGTGCCATTTGTTGCGAATACATCGTGGGGCAAGAGGGGCTGACACTGCTGGACAGGCATTGAGCTCGATGAGGATGTAAGATCTTACATATATCCCACTTCTCGACCTGAAGGACTCACTGTTCAATTTACTCCTCGCAGACCACGAACCAAGACCGACCGATTGTCGATGGCGTCCAGGAGCCACCCCAGCTCAAGATTGAAATCCCAGCCAATCGGTATGCTTAGGCGGCGGATGATCAAAAGTGAAGACACACAATTATTGACTTGCACATGACAGATATGACCTGCTTTGCTTTGAGGGAATTGCCTTGATGCTCAATATATTTCTCAAACGTAAGGCGCTGCCCGAGTACAAATTGGTCGAGCCTTCCAACGGACAACTGGAGGAGATCATCGTCAAGGAAAACGTGAGTGACACAGTCTTCGATTCTGCGGCGAATCCGTCTTAACTCGCTTGGAATAGACCACTCAGATCAGACCATATGTTTCTGGTGCCATTCTTCGAGGCGTCAAGTTCGACAAGGCCCGTTACGCATCCTTCATTGCTTTGCAAGATAAGCTCCACCAAAACCTCGCCCGCCAAAGAACTCTGGTCTCCATTGGTACACACGATCTGGACACCATCAAGGGCCCTTTCACCTACGATGCCCTCCCTCCCAAGGACATCAAATTCGTTCCTCTCAACCAGACCCAAGAGATGGACGGCGAGGAGTTGATGACTTTCTACGAGGTATTTGAAATCGCCCAAAAGGCTTCGTGCACCATGAACAATTTGCATCATACTAATCACTAGCTACAGAAGCATCAACAACTCAGCAAGTATTTGCATATCATCCGCGACTCACCTGTGTACCCAGTAATCTTCGACTCCCAGCGGACTGTTTGCTCCCTTCCTCCTATCATCAACGGTGACCACTCGAAGATCTCTTTGGACACGACAAATGTCTTCATTGAGATTACTGCTCTGGACCGGACGAAGCTCGAAATCGTGAACCGTATGATGGTCACCATGTTCTCTCAGTACACTACGGAACCATTCACGTAAGTAGAGGCAGTCTATGCCATTTTGATTACTTTGGAAAATTTCAAATGCTGATGAAGGACAGTATCGAGCCCGTCAAGATTGTGTCCGAACACAACGGTGAAACCCGAGTCACTCCCGACCTCGCTCCGCGAACCACCACGGCAGAAGTCTCATACATCAACCAATGCTGTGGCCTGGAACTCTCTGCTTCTGAGATCAGCAACCTCTTGACGAAGATGGCATTCCGTGCCAAGCCATCGACCTCGAACCCTGATACGATCGACGTTGAAATCCCCCCGACTCGTGCTGATGTACTTCACCAATGCGACATTATGGAGGATGTGGCTATCGCATATGGTTTCAACAATCTCCCGCGATCTTTCCCCAGCAAGTCGGGAACTGTTGCTCAGCCTCTCCCTATCAACAAGCTTTCCGACATTGTTCGCGTCGAGGCAGCTATGGCTGGCTGGTCTGAAGTTCTGCCGCTCATTCTCTGCTCGCACGATGAGAATTTCGCCTGGCTCAACCGCAAAGACGATGGCAACACTGCTGTCAAACTTGCCAATCCCAAGACCACTGAGTTCCAGGTCGTCCGCACCACCTTGCTCCCCGGTCTGTTGAAGACCATTCGTGAGAATAAGGCTCATAGTGTGCCCATGAAAATCTTCGAGGTCAGCGATGTTGCTTTCAAGGACATGTCCTTGGAACGTAAGAGTCGCAACGAGCGCCACTTCGCCGCCGCCTACTACGGTAAGAGCAGTGGTTTCGAGGTCGTCCACGGCCTCCTCGACCGCGTGATGTCTATGTTGAAGAGTGCATTCATTATCGCTGAAGAGGGTCTTGACAATGCTGCGATTGGCGATTCACAGTACTACATTAAGGAGCTGGACGGTATGTTTCTCTGCCTTTCGCATTATTCCTTTTCCTCACTTCGACCGCTCGGCTGACACGAACTTCCACAGATCCTACCTATTTCCCCGGCCACAGCGCCTCTGTCCATTTGCGTGTCGGTGGAAAGGATCATATGATTGGTTCTTTTGGTATTCTCCATCCAACTGTTCTGGGCAAGTACGAACTCAAGTACCCCGTCAGCACCCTTGAGATCAACATCGAGCCCTTCCTGTGAGTACTTCACCCCGACGTATATGTGCCTTCAGATAGACGTGGGACGCAAAAGTGGGTGGTTACGCTTCGGGTAGGTAACTAATATCCTGAGACCTGGGGGCGCAAGATAAATTAAAAACACAAATACTCAGTCACGTCAGGTGTGAGTCCTTGCAAAATAATGTAGATCGGTAACGAAAGCTGTTCGCGATTTCAATTGCGCAGCATGGCACTATCAAGCTCGAATAAGGTTTTCAACCGCCGCACGCCAGAAATGTCAGCGCCGAACCGCGAGAGCATAAAATTTCAAAACATGCGCCTCGATACTAACTATGGGTGGTAGTCATGCAGCGTAGTATCTTCCGCCCATTGAGCACGTAACACCGCCGTCACGGCACATTCTTCCACGAGACACAACAATGAGATCGTGCAGATTACGGCAGTTGTGTCCAACAACCGGGCCCATAGTCCTCCATACTCATAGTAGCTCCGTGACGGGAATTACAGATAAATGTAGCCAAGACTTCGAGATAATCGAACTGTATGCTGGGCCCGAGGGCGGCCAGAATGTCTAAATGGAGGCTATCGACATCTCCGTAGTCCAAAGTCCGTAACCAGAAGTGTCAGATGGACTGTATACAATATACATTACGACCGGACCGCAGGTAAGGTAACGGCTGTAGTTTGGATATGGGGTAATGTTGCGTGGAACCATTCAGTGCTGACAGCATTGGCGCGAGGAGAATATTACTCTTTAACGAATTCAAAGTTGAAGTCAATAAGATACCTTTTCATGGGACAGTTCCACGTGCATAAAAATGTAGACTTGACGCAACTTCGGCTTGCGAAACCGTGTCGAATGTGCCGAAATTGTCAAAATCATGAGTGCTAGAGCTAAATTAGGTGCCAAGACAGCTTGTCAAAAGGGTGATTGGAAGTTTTTGAAATCTTCGTGTGAATTTTGATTGCGTCAGGAGAGTATAGAGAGGTTAGAACAGGGGGCGGACATAAAGGAAGTGTTTAGCCTGAGAAAGAAATTTACTCCTGAGCGTAGGCCTCGGCACCACCCTCGGCGCTGGCGGCCTGCTCCTCGGCAAGACGCTGCTGCTCGGCGGCCTGCTGGGCAGCGAGAGCCTTGGCACCGTAGTCCTGGGACATGGGCTGCAGAACGGGCTGCTCCTCCTTGGGCTCGATGATGGTGACGGAGTCGGGGAGGGTCTTCTGGGGGCCGGACTTGCCCTCGGGGTCGGAACCGCGCATGATCTTGACCTTGATACCGAGGACACCCTGGCGGAGGAGAACGTGACGGGTGGCGGAGTCGATGAACTCCTTGGCGGGCTGACCGGAGTGGATCATGAAGCCGTCCTAATCAAGCAAAGAGTGAGTATGAATGTCCGTGAATTGTGTTTCTCCATTGCCAAGCAAAGACGACAACAATTGAGCAACGAGATGAACTCGAGTGGTCCATTCGTTCTCGAACTTCCCACGCATACAATCACAAGAGAGAGACAAAGACATCGACAAAGACGTACAGTGAACTTCATGGACTTGGCACGGGCGGCACGGAGCTTGCCGGAGACGACAACCTCACAACCCTTAGCACCGGACTCCATGATGAAGCGGAGCACACCATAGCAGGCACGGCGAACGGCAAGACCGTTCAGGAGCTTGTAGCGGAGGGACTCGCACTGAGCGACAGCGGAGAGACCGCGGTTCTGGACCTTGGCAGCGTAGAGGGAGACGGAGTTCTCGGGGAACTTGAAGCGCTTCTGGATGAGCGAGGTGAGCTCACGGATGCGGCGACCCTGCTCGCCAAGAACCTCCTGGGTGTGGGTGGCACGGATGACTATAAATTGGACGATCCGTTAGCATAGGATCGTCACCGTGGGTCTGGTTGACCCTAAATCCCCAAACTTCGAGAAGCGATTCTGCGACCATCGAATGTCTCATAACACCAATATCTCGACGGTCGCGCTCATGCGTCTCGTGTGGAAACCAATATCGAGGAAGGCGACGTACTGATGTCGGTGACGGTGGGAGTGACACGGACTTCAACACCGGAGTAGCCCTCCTCAGCGAGTTCGCGCTGGAAGAACTCGTTGAGCTCGGCGTAGAAGACACCGTCGGCGACGAACTTGCGACGCTTGGAAATAGCTCCCTGAACAGCGGCCATTTTGACGTTCCTGGTGATTGGAATTGGAGGGTTGTCGACGGGGGAGGGCGAGGTCGATGTCGAGAAGGTGAGTCGTTGTGAGATTCTTTGCTTAGTGGGGATTTTTCGGGCGAGGGCTTCGATTTCCTCTTTTGGTCAGGGCTCAACCCTCGCTTGCCCTTCTGGACAGAGCGGAAGCTATTCCACATACGAACTGGTGTAAAGGTTCTTTGGCTGAGTCATCCGCATGTTTTCCACCGCCCAGACACTGCCAGACCCACCCCGCGCCCATACTGTAATTTACTGATGACGAAATTACAAGGCCACCGATACGGATGCGGCGCCAGAGCGGCAACAAACACAGCTGCTGTAGCTATGTAGCAGCTATCAATCAATTCCCAAGCGGCAGCAACCGCAGGGCATCTTCCAGGGAAAAGTTCCACGAATCTCCATTTACACTGCTCCAACGCAAACCCCCAAATACTGCAATGCGTGAGATGTACTACCTCCCTCGAGGTATTCCTATTTAGATTTGCAATGTTGCATAATTGTAAAGGCCTTATCTCGCCGACGCCAATACTCCACCCATATTCTCCCAAATGACATCCGTAAGTGCTAATGTACCAGTTCATCAAAGCTCATCGTGGTCTGGCTCTAGCCGCAGTTATTGCATCTCTAATTCAACTGGTTTGGCGCGCCCCTCTTGGGCAGTCCCGCTCTGATGTTCTGAAATGCTGAGATGGGCAATTTCCTCTGTGACAGCCGATGAATGAGGCCCAGTACTGTTCCGGGCGCCCACTGGTGTGCTCGGCCGCCCAGGAGCCTGCTGAGATGTCTCAATCCCGGTCAGTATAGGGGTACGACCTGGTGCAGGCTCAGTCCCAAAAGATCCGGTTGAAGGGAAGGGCCCGTTCATCTCGGAGTCGGAGCGACCAAAGGCTTCGCTCCACCACCGAGTGTCCTTCACTCGTGGAAAGATCAATCTTTCGTTGCCACGCTTATGGTCATCGATCTCAGGATCATAATCCGGATTGGTGAACTGCACCCGGCGTGCTAGGAAATAGTCCCACACACTTCTCGTTCGCTCGCTTGCATGTAGGTCCACGCGTTCCTTTTCATTGTTGAACAAGAAAGTCCCGAATTGACAGGAGTAGAGATGGTACAACAGGCGTCGGAGAAAACGTTCGTTAAACTCGAAGCGCGTGGGGTGTTGATAAAGCAGCTGGTAGGTCGCATCGAGGAACTGATGGAAGACGGGACTTGTTTCTTTCACTTTCGTAACCTCCTTTTCGGAACCTAGAGTGCGTGGAGTAGAGCCAGCTTTCTTCGCCAGGCCGTCAGTGTCGTAGCTCTGCAATTCTCCCTCAGAGTCTGGAAGGGAGTCGCGACTAGTGTTGTCCCGATTGAAGAAACCTTTGGCGCTCAGGAACGCATTTTCAAGAGCTTTGGCAGGACCCGCACCTGCTCCCTCAGTGTCACCACCAATGCGCTCATTCTCTATCTGAAACCATTTTTCACTATTCAGATGACCAGAGCGGTGCCGAAACATGTGCCCAAAAGACATCCAGTCCTTTTCGATCAAAACCATGAAGCCTTCCATGGTCCGGAAGTAGGGATCCAGGCATATTTGGCTCAGCGCACTGAGCTGGCTTGTCCGATCCCATCCATCCGAGCAATGTATCAGTACATGGGAATGCTGCAAGCCCACCTGACGGGCGATCAAACGTGCTCCTTCGAGGATACCTGCGATGTGTTTCAACCATCCACTTCGCGCAAGCTGGTCACGGTTTGGGCCCAGGGGAGTGAGGTCAGTGTCCTTTAGAGCCTCAATGACCTTGTTCAAGGAGTCGCGCATCACATGAATATTGTCAATGCCAAGATAGGCCTTGGTTGCAAATTTGTAATTATCCATATTCTCCGAGCCTAGACCAACGGCTTGCATGGCGAAAGCATTCACTGTGGGCCGGGCATCAACGATAAGATTCTGCTGCTGAGCACCATAGATCATCCGGTCCGCCATGTGACCCTCGCGAGGTGCAGCTAGCATCTCATCATCAATGACTTCTGCCGCGGAGTCATTCAAATCAGCACTCGAATCCCCACTATGGCTCAAATCGGAGCCTTCCTTTTCCAAGCCAGCCTTTGCGAAGCTTGCTAGCGGTCGCTCAGTGCGAGACGTAGAAAAGATAGCTGCCAGTAGCTTCTCATCTTGAATGCTACGATGCTGGCGTACTCCTACGAGAGGCTGTGAGCTTCGTGTGATACTGCAATTGTTCACTGGATGCAGATATGTGAGTGCTGGAATTCTCTGTCTTGATCGGTATCGTCCCGCATAATTGAGTGTGTTGTCTGAAATCGACGACGGGACAGGAATCAGGGCAGGATAAGTCGGAGAAAACTACCACTATCGTTAGTTCACTCCTGATGTAATCCGGGTATGATATTGCATGAACATACACCGTAATCCAGATTGATCTCCGAAACTCGCCATCCGGAGTTGTCCTTGTGTAAGCCCTGGCGCTCCCACTCCTTGCGCGGTTGGTAAAGATCCCAGCCGTTCAACTCCCTCTCTGGTGGAGGAGGCTGATAGCTAAAGGCGTATAGCTTATCTAATCGACCGCTTTTACAGGTCCACTGTTTGATGCTTTCAAAAACTTCCTTTGCCTTTTTCTCACTCTTGAAGTAGAAGCACACAAAAGTGAAGTCTCGGCATCGAAGTCGAATAGAGGAGAGCTGGCGGGAAGCTGCGGGGGCAGGACGCAAAGTACAAAATGCAATGATCGGATACGTGATCCATAGCTCTTTGGGTCTGATAGCCACTCCCTTGGCGGCGTCTTCGCTAGAGATGAGAGGAGTGTGGGAGAAGATCAGGTGGTGAGGGGTGAGGTGAAGGGCGCCGTCGACTTGGTCTCCACGACGAGCCAAAGTCACATTCTCGACCTAAGGGAGGAAGTCAGTTGTGCACGAAATTCACTTTCAAGAACTGTAGACAAGCTGAGCCAACCTTGGCAATCCGTGTTCTTTCCATCGCAAGCCAGTTTCACTAAGTGCGCTTCGTCTTCATGCTGATGGAGGGGCACAAAACGCGATCAGCCAGTCAGAAAGCACCGAATCCTGCTGCGGAGAAGCCTCAGTCCTACTTTGAAGTCGAATCAAGCAGTCAAGATAAGACGCGCGAAGACAGCTGGGCGCGTAAGCTCGTCGGTTGGCTTAAGAGACGATGATGGGCGAAAGACGGAATCGGTCACCTCTTCGGGTCAGCTTTCGACACCCGATCAGCTGTGGGGTTGGCTGTGCGGTTCAGGTGGATCGATGTCATAGCCTCCCCCACCGGGATTATCGTCAACATACAAAGGTTTCGGCCTACGATTTCGGCCTACAGTGCTATTCCTGACTACAAAAGCAAGGAAGGTTCAAGAATAAAGAAACCAACTACTAACAGCGAAATTAGACTCACAAGTGCTCGAGTCAGCACGAGCGGTAGATCGCTCTCAACATTCAGCAGCAAGTCTGCGACTCTGTGATCAGTCCGCCTACCGACCAAACGACCCGATGTGTTGCATAAAGCAGTAAATTGATACAGCTCCGCTCGGAAAGTCCCCTGCTTCAAGACAGGATCTATGATTTTTCTCGATGGCATGCTCAATCATTCTTACAATGATATTTCTTATTCCTGCCGTTCGGCGCGAATTTCCCAGCTTCTCAGATCTTCCCTAACGTCGAACTCAGACAGCTCATGCTCAGCTTGCCGTGACTTCCAGCCACGTCCTTTTGCATTTTCATGGAGCTGCTGCTCAAGACTACCGCCTTTCTGGGGATGGCTGTGCCCAGAATTGGACGTGGATGCGAGTCGAGCGGTGCTATTGCTGCCACTTGAGGCACTTTTGGGCTGCTTCTCGTAGCTTGGCGAAAGCCGATTCCCAGATCGGGATTGCTGACGTGCAGCCTCCACGGTCAGACTCTCACTCAAGCTGTCTGAAAAGCCATCGTTTGGATGATCGTGAGAAGTGTTATTCCAGCAGGAGTTTCCAGCAAACAACTCCTCAACAAGCTTATCTGCCGGTAAATCCCAGGCGCGAGAATTCCACGAAGCTGCAAGAGTGCGTCGGTACATATCCTGCATGTCGGCCGCTTCTCTACTTCTGGTGGCGATGGCAGGAACATGAACCAGCTCCTCGGAGTCCCCAGGCTCTGACATGTGTACCACTCTCGCGATGCCTCCAAACACCGTGGCAGACTTCAAGGGTGGACTAGCAATGCTGGTTAGTAGGCTCTCTGCGTGCTTGAAAGTTCCGTAAGGTGGACAAACGTTGTGAAATTGCGATCTCCCTCGACCTGGCGCATGGCAATTCCAATCTTGACTGTGCTATTAATCTTGCAATCCGACATCAAGTATCGTCTTATCACCCCTTCGTCTTCGTCGACCTTGTCGACATATTCAGCAAGGTTGAGCTTGATTTTGCCGAGAATATGCTTCTCGTTGACAGGAGATCCATGGAACTCCTGTATGATCTCAAAGTTGATGTCACATTCCTGGAGCATGAGATTCCTGTCAATAGTGAGCCGGACATTGAGAGTTTTCTCATAATTCCACGAGGCGCGGTGGTCGAGAAGAGATGCCTTTTCAGTGTGTCCCTGGTGCTCTGTGGCGCTGGACGATGGCAGACGCCATCGAATCCAAACTGCGCTATTTCGTAGTGGAACATTATTTATGTCAATGATCTAACAGCTGTTAGGGTATAGAAAGATTGCACGAAACTGGTATTGTACGTACTCGAAGCACAAGCTCAAATCTGGGCTGGAGGAATGGATTAGTGGTCGTATTTCCTCGCCGGCAGCACTTTTGATGTCATGACATACCCTTCTGTTCTTGGGCACTATGACCAAGAAAGTAGTTGAGTATATGCCCACGACGGGCAATGTTCATAGAAATTATGGTCAGGCCCTGGAAGACTTACCAAACGCCTGCATTTTGATCTCCCGAAATGTATAATTCGGAGAAAGCGCACTAGTCAACGAACAACCTTGTGATGAATTGCGGGATCTGCGTCCACATCGGCGGGCGTGATTTTCACGAAGGAAATCCACGTAGCGTTGGGTCTCAGTGAAATGTGTCTATTTCTCAACAATTGCAAGGGCAAGTAATGTCTTTGCCAGGAACTCCATACTACTTTACATGCATGGGGCTCCTGTCCCCGCAGGTGATGTCTTGGCGGTGAAAGAGGATGGGGCAGAAAGTTCGAGTTCAGGATGTAGGGACCCTCGTCATGCCGTCAGAGTCATCTTTATGGTTGCATTTTCCTTTTGCCGATTCTTCCACATCTACGTAAATCGGATTTGAAGTCGGCACCGCTCCTCCAAAATGACGGAAACAGAGACATCTCTTCTCTCTCCTCCTTCCGAGAAAACCTCAACTGTGCCTCTCAGTTCCGCGATCCGTAACACGCCGATTCACCCAGATCTCCCTGAGATTCAAGTACCGGGAGGCTCGCTTGCAACACACAACTACCATCCCGCTACTTGTCAACCCATTGACTTCGAAAGACTTCATGCAGATTTGAAACAGCTAGCCCATGAATTTCCAACACAAGAGGCGGCGCTGAAGGCCCAGCAACAGGCCGCCGAGGAAGTGAGAACTCTCATCCAAGAAGCGGAGAAAAAGAGGGAGCAGGTACAAAAATCGATCGACAAGAAAGTAAAAGAAAGGGATACGGAAATGAAGATTCTCTCGAAATACCAAGAGGTCAAGGCATCAGACATTCCCGCCTGAGAATCAACAACTGCGACAGTGGAAGACCGCGGTATGGCGATTGAAGTGCATATCCCGTGGTTGCCAGTCGGTACGAGTTTTAAGCAAAGCGCCACCTATCGGTCTTGCGTTTGGCCTCCCAACGTGATTGGTAGGGCTCAAACTGAAGCCCGAACAAGAAGACAACCTCCGAATCGCCTCGCGATGAGTCTCCTGTGTTCAGCATGGGAGCATCTAGTTAAGAACACACCAGCCTGACCACTGATTTGGAGCCAGGTCGCGAGAACTTGTTCGTGCGCGCCTGTCTGTCTAATGAGACAATGTGATGGCATGCATACATTACTTGCTATCTTATCACTCTGACCAAATGTTGAACCGCCACTATTCAGCCCGGGAAGTCAAGGCATGCTTCTCCGGAAGGCGATCCACCGTTGCGCGCTTGTACTTGATGGATACTCCGCCTGACAACATGAATAGAGTGGCAGATAATTGAAGTCTACCTCTGCGCGGAAAGGTCTTGTTCATGATTCACGTCGAAGTCGACCAAGATTCAAAGAACCATGATCATTGCCGCGCTCGCCAGACTTCATTCCACAAGAATCGTCACTTTAAAGATCTCGTCATCTCTGAGACCAACAGCCTGCTATATCAATTTGCATCAATTGTACCCTGTACGACTCGGGCTACAGCATGTATATATCTATTGGGAGCCTACATCAATGAGTTGGCCACTTTTCCTCGCGCTGATATGATCGATGTTTCAGCTGCTCTTCCTATGTATCATTTCACTTGATGGAACCGTCAGATGCACCTCCTCCGGCATTGAGGTATTCGTGTCACGGTTCAACGCCTGACAACCAGTCTATGGGGCTTTGAAAAACTCATTGCTCAGCGGCAAGAGGGTTGTCAACTTTGTGCCATACTACCGACACGTCGGTCGATAGGTCTCGGATCTTGGGACTGCGTTAGCTGGGTGACATGCAGGCTCCTGGGTGGAAACACAATACCCAATTCTTCACAGTTTTTCCTTGGCTTCGTGGAAGCAAGGCAGCCCGGGGCCGATACACGTCGAGCCTTCTCAATCGATTCCGCTCTCTCCACACTTTAAACAAAGATAAGACAAATTGTTTGTGTGGAGCATCTAGACGTATAATTGCGAAATGGATATTTTGGAGCAGTTCTCTGCTCAGAAAGTCAGTAATGTCTAGTTGAGGAATAGACAAGAATGGCCCCGGTGGGCCTTTGAGAATGAGCGGTATCCGATGCAAGACATCAAGAGCTTCGCAATGAATCTGCCGATTCACAAGTAAAATCCCAGGCGTGAAACGGTTCACCAAGAAACAGAGATCATCGCACCCGGGTCCCCGAGACCGATCCGTGTGCGCTGTGATCTGGGCTTCCACTTGGCTATACGCGCTCAAGTACTGGTTTGGGTGCAGCACGTAGGTATAGATACTTTGCCGGACCTCTACGGGCAGATCGAGGAGGGTGACCATATTTGGTCTAGAAAGGCGTCTTTTGGTGTCCACTAGGCGTGATTTATCGTCTCTTGGGCCATTGCTGAATCGATTTCAATGTGATGGTGAGTCGTTGTGAGGAGTCCGAAATGGTCGACGAGATCTCGGCACTTCCACAACCTCCGCAAACTTTGAAGCGTGCCAATCAATATCAGCCATTTGCATAGCAGCAGGACCCGAATCCGTGGTTGCAACAGCTTATGGAGGGATGCAGACTTTCCACTCAGAATTCGGTTGCCCCGCACTTCTCGAAACGGGCAATTTGCCTCAACATAGGAAAGAGTCACTCACGGCCTCCGACGTGGACGTATGGCAAAGGTTCCACTTCACAATACTTCGCGAAACAGATAAGCTGTCGATACAAATCGGCCTCGCGCGATCTTAAACAAGACGCCCTTGAGAAGTCTCAGATTAAACATCAAGTTTCAAGACGATGACTCTCGATTCGCAGGGCTGTCCCACTAAGAGAGGAAAGTAGCTCCGTCTGATTAAGCCTCGGCCATGAGATGCCTCGTTTGATTCCGAATACGTGAGTCACTGAAAAGTGAAGACTGGGACAATCTTTTCTATCTCGCCCACAAAGCACGGGCTTGTAGCGCAGTCCAGCTTTCGCAACAAACCACGAACCTTCAAATCATTCATCATGGCCTCCTCTCAGCAACCAGACATTCACTTCATTGGTGTCCACACTCGCTATTCCAGTATGTGCCACATTGACATCTCTTTCTTGGGAAGCGGAAGACTTGACTGATCGTGCACGTGTACAGGTTGGACGAGCCGAGTCGAAGCGGTCTTGGAGTACTTCGAAATCCCCCACACCTCAAAGATCCTCAAGCTCTCCGAAGTAAGATCCTTTACTTCTATCCTTTGCGGAGCTACAAAGCATATAGCTCTGATCACAGTAACCCCGGTGCGTAGGCGTTGTTCTGACAGATTCTCTACAGGTCAAAAGCGTGTCGCCCACCGGTTATGTCCCGTTCATAGAATGCCGCTCCCTTCAGAATACCAGGATTTGCGACTCCCTCGCAATCTGCGAGTTCCTGGCCGAGTCGCATCCTGAGCTGGCCCTGTGGCCTCGGGATCGCCAGTTGAGAGCATTGGCCCGCAGCGCGGCTGCGCAGATGCATTCGGGCTTCAGTGCTATTCGCAACTCTTTCCCGACCAACTTCCTAGCTCACTACAGCGGCAATATCCCCATCTCTGACGCAGCCCATAAGGAGATCTTCCAGGTGCTCAGCCTCTGGGATACTGCCCGGAAAGCCTCCAAAGAGCGCCTCGAAGCGCTCGGCCAGCCCGATGAGGGCTTCTTATTTGGCAGTTTTAGTATTGCGGATGCCTTTTTCTGGCCAGTTCTGACGGTACGTGGCATCCTTTTGTTGATTCATACGTTGCTCACTTGACCCGGCCACTTTGAATTTTGTGTGTTAACGACTTTGCACAGCGTTTCCGCTCCTATGAGCTACCCCTCGATAGTGCAAGCGAAGAGGCTCTCAAATGGATGGCAAAGATGTGGAATGACCCTGTCTTCAAGGGACTTGCTCATCGCTACCATGAGCAAGCCAAAGATCCGGAATCCCGCATCGCGCACTATGATGACATCTTCCGGGAGCGTGACGATATCAAATATAGTGTCTTTTCGGAGGATTGGACTTTCTCCCTCTCTGGAAGACAGACACTATTGAGGGCGCTTAAGAGGGCCGTTCATTGATGGCTTTCTTAGGTTCCGCCCAGTACTGGCTCGTTTCCTCTGGTCAATATTGATGTTCCCGATGCGAGAGATAAGCGCGTGTTATCTGTTAAAACCAGCATGGGTGAATTTACGAGGTCTGCTAGCTCCTGTTCTGTCCGGAGGTCATGTGGTGCGGACAAGATCTTCCAAGCAGATCTCGAGGCAGCCTGTCAGGAGATCCTTGAAACGTGGGGGAAATATTTCGATTGTTTATGAAACCTGCGTCACCCGCGCCAGACTGGCCCGTGGACTGACATAACGAAGCATTCAAGACTCGTGATTGACTCGATGAAACGAGAACGTCATTGAGACTCCTGACTCGACCATATTGTACCCTGTCTACCCGATAACGCTTCTGTCTCACAATGGGGTTTCTGTAAGGACCACAGTTCACGAGTGAAATGATAAAATATTTTCAAATCACCATCCAATGAAGAGTCAGTGGCGTGTTCTATACCCCAGATAGAAGGACTGAGATCTTCGAAATAGACCGCGTTGCCCTGTCGATCACATGTCAAAGACAGTCGGTGTGAATAGCAGAGGTGGGTGTTTCATCAAACCGCCTCGAAGCACGGGATCAGGTCATGTGCCTCGATGTCCTGACGGAAACCGTTAAGGTCACGGGGACCGTCCATCGCCTGCGGCAAGCGGGTCTGCCAGTTGACAACGCTCACAGGCATCGAGATTCCTTTAGCCGCTCCATGCCAAAATGTATCTTTATCCCTTGTTGCGATGCGGTGAAAAGAGCATCGAAATTTCCAAGTGGGCCCTTTTCCGCTATCGCTAATCTCAATTTTGATGTCAAGCTATGCGGTCCTTAGCTGCCTCATCAGCCACGCCATGCGCTGTACAAAGAGCGGGACCGGGCTCGTTGGGCCCACCCGTTCGGCAAGGCCGAGAGCACACTAGCCACGTTTCCATGTGGCGAGTGACGTGGCGTAACAACATGTATTGCATTGCACTCACTGCGCCTCAACCCACTTTTTTCCCCACGACGGTGCAAAAATTGGCAGTTTCCAAATTTGGCACACAGTACTACTACTGCACGTGCACTGCTCAATCCCTGAGTGAATACTTGTTCTGTTATGTATGGGATACAATGGATGGACAAGAATCATGACTTTTCGGCACGTGTGGAAGCGGCTCAGACAGATTTGAATGGGTCGTCATTTGATCAACTTTAGAAGGACCTCCTATACTCACTGTTGACTGTACTATGTAAAGGTATACCATGTTTTCGCTATCATTGTCCTGCTGCCCTCTCCAATCGCCGCATCCTCTCATACAATCCAACGATACTATTCAACGACTTTAGCTGGTCTACGTTAGGGCAAGGCGACCACATGACCATTTTGATATGCAGGCTACCCATCGAATCCTTACAAAAGGGGGCGGATGCGATTGAGGATTAAACGCTGAGGCACGTCTGAGGAATGATATTTGAGACTAGTGCCATAACGCCATCCAGTGAGAGGAGTTGCCGAGCCAGGTTTTTCTGGTCTTGTAGCACTAAAATGTACCTTCATTTGCACTGGTGGAGTCTGTGAATCTGTGTCATGAATCTCATGGTCATAGAAGCGTACTATACAGTACACCAGCACCGAACTTCATCTTATGTACATTCCTCTGTACATGTACATGTACATGTACAGTATTTCCAAGAGATCCTCATGTCTGGCCTATTTTGTAAACCTGCATTTCACCAAAGTAAGACATGTCCATTACCCAGATTTTTATTATTATTTTTCACGAGCAAAGTGTAAACTGTGGACGGACAGCTCTTGCGAAAGTTTGAGAAACCGAGACTATCGGCGAGGCTCAGCCCAATCCCCGATCAGAACAGGGATCTCAGCTGGACGCGACTCTGCCGGACCCGTTAAACCGCAACGAATCCGAGCGCTGAAGTGATCCAAGACCGAGGCGCCCCACGCCGGCTCGCCCCTCCGTCAGCTGAGGTTGTCCATTGGGATCCATTTGGAGGTGAATTTTGGAAATGTGCCGTTACCCGTATAGCCATAGTAGTGAGTGAGGACTCGCGACCGAGGATGGATACTATCGACACGTTCCAAAAGGTCCCAAGCCCCGTAAAGCTTCATGAATTCATAGAAAGGTGTGTTAGGACAATTTTGGACAATGGATGGTCAGATATCATTGTATATGTGCAGTACATACTACATACTAACTACATACGATATCCTTGAGTGGATGACCTATCTCTTCCAGTGTTTGGTAGTACCTACTTCCTACACTCTACACTCTACGGTAGTACTACAGTACTACTACTGAGTGCAATATAGCACTCACATGTCAGGTATTCAACCGTCATTGAGTCCCATTATTGTATTGAGCAATAAATAAATAGACTCAGGGAGTCCTCTACCTATCGATAGGCGGCTCAAAGATCAGCGCCAAGCAACAAAAAAGTCTGGCCTACTACTACAGTACAAACTACAAAGTCGATGTGTACACTACTATTCCCGATCAAATGAGCGCCAATATCGTTCCATATCGTCATTTCTAGGGTTCCGGGCAGCAAATTCTCAACCTGCATGGCGCTCAAAGGGGACATCATGGCTTCATGATCCGTTCGTTCCAGGGCACAGACCGAAGCTCCAGGGCCAGGCTGACGTTTTCAGAGTCGAGATGTACACTACTTCCACAACGACAAAGACTACCTAAGTTCACGTCCATATCATCAGGTATTGTACCCGACCGTGCCTTGCGTCAAACACTTCTGCCGCTCGACATGTCCGTTCGATGATGCATGCTGCGCAAGTTAGACTCCGTTTACCAGCTACCGAAGCATTGCATGTCATTCCAACAAAGCTGAGATGGTCGACCTCGCAGATTTCCGAGTTGACTGTAGCTGAGATGTGGATTGAGATTGGCAACGTGGTGCGCCCTGCGTGATTGTTCGCCTCTTTTCGAGCGGAAAGCCACGTCCGCCGGCTGGAGGGACAAGAGACGGCATGCTTTTCGAAGTCAGAATCGCGATGGCCGAGGACAGCCGTTCTGAGAATGACCGGGGATCCTCGTCTTTGTGTGGAACGCCACTTTCACCTTGCGGATCGTCCGACAGGGGGGCTGAGCACCACGATTTGGGGCATCTTGCAGGTAACTTCGGCCAAACCGGCCCTGCAACGCACAGACATAGGGTCAAGTCCGGGAAACAACCGTGCGATCGAGAATTCCTATTTGACTCGGCGGGGCTTGGACTCAGAAAGGAAAGAATGGAAAGCTCGTATCTCGATCGCCAGGTATTACATTCTCATGATCGGGATCAGAAGTTTCTTCAGCAGCAAGTTCGATTCTGTCCTTTGGTCGACGAGTGATCCCCGAGAAATGATGATGAAACACCATGACATGATAGCCACGTACGAAGCCTGCAGCTTTTGGCCGCTGCCGTTTCAACTCCCGCCTGACTCTAGGAGTTTGACTTTGATGATCTCTCCAGGTACTGTTACTGTATCAGTGTATTCGTGGGTACAGTCAACAGTTTGTCGCTAGAGGTACTAGTGGGCAATGAGCATGGAGAATTGATTGTGTAATGTACAGTGCAAGTTGTACACCCGATTCATCAAGCACCCTCTGGGTATAAAATGTAAGGAGCCACTTGTTTTGTTCTTGATAGTAATCACCCTATTGGTACGTTGTGATATGCATTAGATCAAGTCACTACAATAGCTCTGCAGCACAGCACTGCAGTTAGTAGTAGAGTACTCAGTAGTAGTCCTATACAAAAAGTGATCAATGCACATGGAAAGTTTCTTCCGCAGTAATGGTTTGCCACCAGCGTTTTTACTACCTTTGTAGTACTATCATACTATATACAATTGTATATAGTTAGTAACTGAGCAGTACTACTACTAAACAGTAAGTACTAAGTGGTAAGCACATAGTATGATACCTCGTTACATACTTTAGTCTTTACTGCCATACTTTCTCATATTTTCGATAGTGGATCGGGGCATTCGACCATAAGTGGCCAATCCGAACACTTGCGCATCGCCCCAGAAATGGTGACTCGCCCGGCGTGCACTCGTGAGATTCTGTTCCTGTACCCACTCTGCTACTCGAAGGAGATAGAGGACATGGATCAATGTCCCGTGCACAAATAATGCTCGTTACATTGAAGTATCCTTTACAGATATTGGCGAAGTCCGGCGATCGAGGAGATAGTCAGGTGATGCGATTAGACCCGAGGACCATTTTGATACACAACTTATAGGATATTCGTCGCAGAGGAATGGCTTGACGAGTCAACAGGTCGGCAGATTCATATGACGCTGAACTGTCGGAAGAGTCAGGGCTGGTCAGCCTGCAAAAGAAGAGTCAGGTACCTTACGACTGAACCCTTTCCGCAGAGAGGCCGACGACCAGTCTCGACCGCGAACAGACAGGACGGGTCGCTGTGTCAAGCCATGTACTGGACTCGTACAATGCTGCCGGTGTACTTCTGTACTTTCGAGTTTCTGCCATAATCCCATTCACTTCGGTGACTGTACTATTATTATTGTCGTGGTGGTGAGACTACTCTCCATCGGCTGGTCTACTAAGAATAATCATGTTCCGGAAGGTCCCAGCTCATATGTCCCACCCGCAAGCTGCATCGTGCATCGTGCAGACTCTTCAGAACCAGTTTACTCGAACGAGTAGGAGAATTCTATTCCCCACTAAACTTCCTCTTCGGGTCATCGCTCCTCCCGCCTCGGTCTCAATAATTCTTATTATTCCCTCTCCCTCATCGTCGCTCGCCTTATTCTTTCCTTTTTATTCTCTCCCTTATTATCGTCAACATTCGCCCGTTCTTTCTCTTCTCCTTTTTCTCTCTTCTTCCCCTATATCTAATGCTCTCTTCTTATTCTGGCACATTCGCCCCGCACACTTAATAGATTCGATACAATCTCGAGCCGAGCCGATACCCAAGCATCCACTTCCACTCCCCTGCGAAGCCTACGATCCACCCGCTTCCGCTGGAAAAAAGACACTCGGCCCCTCCTGCGAACCAAACTATCTGGGAAACCGACTGCAACCCCTCCCTCTTCGCTCCTCGCACAGTGTGTGGGCGAATGTCGCCTTTACGATCTTATCCTTAACACTATCCATTCTTTTTTTCAGTCCATCGACATTTTGTGAACCGTTCTGTCTTCTGCTCTTATCTTTGTGTGTGTTTTTGTTTCCCTTCTATATTCGATCCTTTCAGTCTCCCACCTCTGCGGTGGCGTTACACAATATTCGCTCGCAGTCACAATGCCGACGGTCTTACTGCCCTCGTCCGCCGCGGCCTTTGCGCCACGAGCGTCGCCGAATGTGGTTCTCACCCGCAAGGTCGCGCCGTGGTTGACGGCGACATTAAAGCGAGTGAACCGGGTCAAGCGCCCACTGAACAACGTCACCCAGCACACCCGGTGCCTAACGGAGACTCTGTCGTCGACAAATGCGATCTGGACGCTGTGCTCGATGATGTTCACGAAAGCGCCCGAATCGGAGCTACGGAAGGATGAGAATCCTCTGGTCGAGGGTTTGTTCAATTACCAAATGATTCATATCGAGGCTTACGTGGTGCATGTTGATATGGTCTCGCGGAACGAGGTGGCTTTCAAACTGACTCCAGAAACGATCGAGTCGCTGGTCGACTTCCACAAGGATATTTACTCCAAGGATGCTGCCGCAAACACGTGGGACTGGTCTGGTAAGCAGGTGCAGTTGAAGAAGTTGCAAGAGGAATTTGTTCAGGCCGCCAACAAGTTCGTGTACCGAACCGATGCCGAAGCTCTAGAGGGACTGGAGGACGATGGCGCCGGGGAGCTCCTGTTTGGTCGAAGCGAGGATGCTAAAGCCGCAATCTCGGCGCTCTTCGTGCCTCTCTTGCCCCCGCCACCTCGTGTGGTCGACGTTGTACGCCCGGTGCCTCTGCTGCCTAGCTCAACCGGCCCAGAAACCTGGTGGAGTACTCCGATGCCTCCTGCAGCTCCGTTGGAGTGGAAACTCGTGCCGTCTAGCCCCTCGCCAGCGTGCACCGAGGAGTCCAACCCAAACCTGTGGGCCAGCATTGCCTTTACCGAAGCTCAGCTGCCATCGCCGACACCCTCGTACAGCATGCCTCTCACCACCGCGCCGTACTCCACGTATGATATGAGTATGGCACCGACCTCGGCCGGCGTTGCGTCACTTCCACTACCGAGTATGCTCGTGCAGCCTTGCAGTACAGCTGCCAGTATGGCAGGCTTCGGCGGGTTTGGCGGCTGGGGGGAATTCGCTCCCTTGCCATATGGGATGATCATGTAGCCCATTGCAAGGAGTGGGTCTGATCGATTCAGCGCCTTCTCCTCTCAAGGTGCGGCACCACTGTCCAACTCGGGCTGGTCTGCTGCTTCACGTGGATCGTGGAGCCAGCAGCAGCCTTTGCGACCCTCTCTTCCTCTTCCTCCGCCTCCACGCTCCCCTGTTCTGAGCAGCCCTGCCAACATCGACTATACCCATCAATCCACTTGAAATGGATTCTTGCCCGATATTGAAATAATTGGCATCCTCGACGGCGTTTTCTGTTCCTTCGGCTCTGTGTGCATTCTGTGATACTCCACTTCGCCAGCTGCATCATCCTCGCTCGTTGAGTTTGATGCTACGCATTTGACATTGTTCCCAATCGCGTCTTTGTTTTCGTCGCTTCTCAGCTAGCGTCAGCGGTCTTTTCTATTTTCATCTTGTTGTCGTCTTTTCTTCCCTTTTTTTTCATCTCTCGCTTTGTTGCATGGAATAGCGGCGGGTCGGCTTTTCTGTTCTTTTCGATTTGTCTCATTGTCAGCATATTATGTCATGAAGACCAGGTGTGCCTCGCGGCATGGGATATGAATTTGGATGTGGAACGACTTTCACTTCTTCGGTCACGATTCGACGAGAGCACGGAAAGACCACGCATGTGACCGACTGGTTTTGGTCATATGGGTCAGTCTTTCTCAAATGCTTCTCGCCGAGGACTTCTCTTTGATGCTGGGTATCAGACTGGCGAGTGAGCCCTTCGTTGGGACCGCTCGGAGTAATGTCTGCGTGGCGGCAGAGCTTTCACGATCGACATCTGCGATGCTCGATCGGGCTCTGCCATTTTTCTTCCAAAGCTCTTCAACAGAGGAAGGGGATGGGAGTCCAGCATGGGCGAAAACTCCCTTTTGCCGCCCTGTCGGCCCCGCAATGGTCGCCTGTGGCGATGGTCGGGCGCAAGAAGTCTTGGAGGTGGATTGAATATTTCGAAGCGTCCGTGACGCTTTGAGGGCCTCCATCCTCTCTTCTGATGCGACAAGCGACGCGGTAATAGGGGCATTCTTTCGCCTGTGCTAAAAGCTCCTCGAACCTGCCTCGTGATGGGCTCATTAGGGTCATCTCCTATAACATCCAGGCTGGGAATTTTTGGATTACGTCGACGAAATCCTGGATGAGCTTGGTGTGGTCGGGAGCTCGTTGATCGAGCTTCATTCTTTGTCTTTCCCGACCCCAAGAATCGGATGCTGGTGCTTTCATTTCTCTCAGTGTCTGGGACGAAGGGGGCTAGATCCCTTGAGTCGAGAGCACTATCCTTATTGTCAAGTCTTCCAGTCTAGCTACTTTTAGTAACATGCTGCATGTACTGTACCCAACTTCCCAGGCTCTCAAATGAAAGATGCGTATATCGCTTCCAGTGAGCAACCACGCTTCCAGTAGAGCTCTCGTCTGGTTCATGTAGTAGAGAACGTGGCACTTGGGCTCTCCGCGTTATCATCCCATTTTTGGGCGATGTGCTTGTGCCCTCTGTGGTCTAGGTTTGATCCATACGAACCATGTGGCAATGTGCTCATCCGAACCATCCTATGAACAAAATTCCCTGGCACCGTCAGACATTGTCGACCTGATTTCGACGAAGTCTTCATCCCACAGACTATCAAGTCCCATAGAAGTCTCAACATCTAGTCCGCTCCCGTAGAGCAGCCAGCTACTGAGGGACTATTGTCATCAGGACTAAAAGGCATCAGGTTGAGAATCACCAGGAGCACATCAGCTTCACCAAAGTATGAACTTCAGCTCCACTTGGCCCATTCGGACAGCCCTCACGCTGGCGTATGACGTCAGAGAATCCGGGGCAGACTCAGGAGAGGCGCTAGGCGGCAAGCGCGCATTGAACGGATCCTCCCCCACGAGTTCAAGTCAAGAATACGTTCCCGACCTGCCTTCTTATGGGGATACGATTTGATTTTACTAAAAGTGACCGAGCTTTGACGTCGTATCACGCGCTTCCTTTTGGAGCTTTCTGGCCTGTTGCTCCGCGATTATCCCTGCCCGGTCGAATTGCTGTTGAGCTGGAACAGAGCGGGTGGACTTGGGCTATCGAACCGACTTGAGAGTCTCAAGCTTTGCTCCTGTTGCCTGCCTGCTTCCCTTTGTGTATCTACACTGGGGACTCTACATCGTATCTCGGCACTTGTCCTTGTTCGATCCAGCGCTTCCGCTCTATTGAATAATACGAGTCAACCACGAAGCGCACACAGTTTGATTCAAGTCGGTACGTGTGGATGCGCTTTGCTGAGAACCATGGACTTATGGCCCCTTCTGCCGCGCAGCCAGGTCTGTGTTCAGGTCCTGCTTAAGTCGATAAGTCCATCGTAATGCTTGCTAACCAGTCCCATAACGACTTCTAGATCCTAGAAAAGTGATTTGGTGATCCCCAGTCACGAGTTAACTCTGTGCAACAGTTTCGAAGAACAGGGCCTTCGCCGCCAGCAACCCGATGGCCGCCTTGCATGAAGCCCTTCAATGCCTCCTGCCTACATCATGGGATCAAGTCCCTCAGTCGCCCGATGCGCTCCGTGACTATCTCCGTGATATATTTAAGCATAGCCGTCTGATAGCGGAATCACTGCCTAATCCTCCGCCATACGATCACGACGTGTACAGTGAGCTTGAAGTACTGGCGACAGGCACTAAGCCTCGTGTACAATTCACCCCCTCGTCTGTCAGGGTCAATGAGACGGACTCAGAAGTGACCTCATTACAGAAGGAATGGGGGAAACCTATGAAGGTTGGTGGTGGATCGAAAGAAAATCCACTTGATTTGCACCTCTGGAAGTTGTCGTCCAAGGACGGGAAAGGTACTTGGTTCGGTAGAAGGAGTGTACACGAGGGGCTTCCATTCTCACGGTGGAAGGAGAAGTTTTCAACAGAGTACGCCCACAGTCTGCGCGTCAATCAACGGAAAATTAGGAAAGGGCAGACGCCAGATGCGTGTATTCGTGGTATAGGAGCCGAGAAGAAAGTGGAGTGTGTTGAGGTCAAGGATGAAGATGGCTCAACGCTCGGTCAGGTCAATGTGTATCACGTCTCAGCCCAGTTTCCGAGGCCGACCGCACCACGCGACTTTGTCGTGTTGATGATTACCTCTGACGTTGGACTTCAAGTGGGAGGAACAAAGCAACCAGGACGGAGTATGATGATGATTTCGAGGCCGTGTGAACACCCAGATGTTCCGCCTAGGAATGGGTACACCCGCGGTGAATACGAATCGGTGGAGCTCATTCGAGAAATTCCCCGAGCGAGCAATGCCGGCGCTGGCTCTGCTTTGGAAGCTGACAGTGAGAATGAACATGTCTCACGTGCACAAGCGTCTGATGCACAGGACGATGATGAATCAAATCCTGTTGAGTGGATCATGGTCACGAGGAGTGATCCCGGAGGCAACATTCCCAAGTGGATGATTGACAAGGGAACACCCAAGAGCGTTGGAGGTGATGCTGCCAAGTTTATCAAATGGGCTCTTGAAAAAGACACGCCACAAAAAGAAACAGCAAGCTCGCCATCTTTGCAAGATGAAACGTCGCGGCACCCCAATGGCGTTTCCAGCGGTACCGCCGACCTGAGCGACATCTCTGACTCGGATGATTCAGATTCAGACTCAGACTTGAGTTCAGTCTATACCGACACTCAGTCCCATCATGGTCTTATTGCCAGTGTGACTGGCCTACTTCATACCGGCCTCGAGAGATTCGCACCTCAAGCATTACTGGACTACGTGCCTTATCAGAGAACTCCTTCGGGGAACCTTATCCAGGTTGTCAAGGTCCCAGGAGATGGAACGGAAACACCATCTGCCGCACCAGCACACTCAGCTAGCGTCTCCAAAAAGAGGCTATCCAATTCCAATAACGGTGACAATATGTCTTTACCGTCGAAGCATTCAGAGGCGGACACACCAACACTCGATGAAATACCCCCAGGAAACCTTCCGCCGGCTGAGTTGATGGAGCTGACAAAGGCTGGTAAACTCACCAGCCATGAGAAAGACCTTGCCAAACTTGCTGTGCGCAAGCGTGAGGTTGATGCCAAGCTCGAGACGGTCCGCTCCGAACTAGACAAATTACAGCTCTCCCAGCCAAACGTTCCGTCGGCGTCCTCACACACAGCCAACAGTGACACTGGGAGTGAGCAAATCGGGCATGGCCAAGTACAGAACACAGGTCCTTCTTCAGCTCCACCCGACTCCTCAGCCACGGAACTCAGTCACAGCACTGCGAGTAGCGACAGTAAGAGCACGATCGAAGACGCCGCGACATCTGACCGCCCAATGAAGTCAGAGAAACCAGCCGAACTCCACAAGGTTACATCCCAGCTGTTCAAGGAGGAAGCGAAACTGTTGAAGCAGCTGCGCAAGATTGAAGCCAGCCAGTTGAAGATCGCATCGAAGATCGAAAGCAAACAGCGCAAGCAGGCCGAACGCTCGAAGAAGTCCAAGTCTAAAAGCGAGATTGAGTCTCTTCGTCAGGAAGTCAAGGATCTGAAAAAGGAGATTAGTCAATTACGTTCTGAGCGTGAGAAGTGGATTGATCTAGTCTCTACCTTGCAGATGGAGAACAAGAAGCTGGCGGGAGGAGTGGACGAACGGAAGTGACACGCTGCCATGGAAGACTCCTGACTGTCTACCATGAATATTATCAATTATGCCTTGTTCTTCGCAAGGGCGTTGTACATAGTTATTTCTCTCGATCTGCGCTTTAGCGCTCTTTACATCGTTCATCTCCATTCAAACTGTTTCCTCGGTGTATATGCATGGCGATAGAATGAGATTGGTAGCCTTCAACTGAATGATTCTTGAAAGTCTGCGGATTTGCAATTGAGTCGCTTTGTCTTCTTTCTACAAACATATTGCTTACACCTATGTTCGCCGCCCAAGTGCGCCCTCGCTGAAAGCTTGATATAGGGCTTGTGAGGGGATTAATTCCGATCCTTGAAAAGTGCCCGACTCTTAGTACCAGAGCTTCGTATGCAGCAGATCGTCATGCTTTTCAGTACACTTCGCGTGATTTCGAGTGTAGTTGCAGCTTCACAGGGCAGGGAAGACGCAAGCGCGTTTGGGACTCCAAAGGTCGAGCCGAGGCTAGTCGGTTCCTTGCAATGGCGTGGCGCATCGTAGCCTGGTGTGCAAGATCGCTCGTAGGGCCAGGGTAGATCGAGCTTTCCAGGTTCATAGGCTGACAATGTGAAATTTTGAAAATGCATCCGTCCAAGAAGAGTGTCGCTTGCGATTCATGGCTTGACCTTGCCCCTTGAGAGGATGAAGTAACCTTATCGATCGTGAGAAAAGCATCCAGGGGCCCCGGGGGTGGTTCGAACGATGACTACGACCACTGCCACGAATTGTGAAAGGATTTCATGAATCAATGACTCCATTCAATCTTATTCTTGAGTCTGCATTTTCGAAAAAAAAAATATGATCAGCATACCCCCGGAAAAGCCTCACATCTCAAACATCGATCTGCAAGAAAGATAATCCTACCTCTGGCGGATTCCCAGCTCCTCTGACCATTTTCTCCATCATCTTAATGCGAACTTTCTCCTTGGGCTCGCCCATGCCCACGGCCATATAGGAGAGCAGCGGATTATGGCCAACGTATGAGGCGCAGCTGTCGCGCTTGATATTGGAGAGCCACTCGTACTTGGTCGTGTCTGCGTGGCCGGTTCCGACGTATCGGGCTTGGAGAGCCTCGAGGTTCTGGAGGGTACGAAGCTTGTCGGCCATTGTGAATCGTTAACGAGGTAAAGAAAGTCAAGCGTGGGGAAGTGGTTTGATTGTCGACAAGGAACAGCCGCGGTCTTCACGCAAAACGATGGGTTCAGGCGGAGGAATGGAATGTATCACGTGATAGGGATTTTGGACTGTACATTAGTGATTAGATCAGATGGGCCGGATCGTTTTTGTAAACGATGAGCTTATTTGCTTCGATTTTTTCGATAAGCCTCTGGAAACTCTTTACTCTGCATATTTCCATAAGATTTAATGAGTTCGGCATCTGCAGATACGAGACCGCTGGCGTCGAGGATAGCGTCGCTTGTTCATGCGCATTTCGACCGCTTGCCGGCTCGCAGCAAACCGAAGATTTTTGCAGATGGCTCTAGGGAATGGATACCGATGACCGGAATAGTTGCTGTTAAGGGTATGCGTCTTCTTTGTTTTTTTCACTTTGCTTTGTGTTTGGACTTCGAAGGTTGAGAGAAATGTGATCGTTTGAGAGGATAACCTTACAAGCTCTGTTATAGGACAGGGTTCACCATGCGAGACATTACATTGCATAGCAGTCACGTATGTCTATTTCTTGATTTTCCGTACTCAAATGGACGAATATTGCAGTAGACTTTGCTCGATGGACCGCAGAGATTTCATACTGACGTCCGCTTATAGAACAGGGGCAAAATGCTTGCCAGCTTCTCAGATTCCTCAATGCAAAGGTCTCGTTCTCCACGACTGCCATGCTGAGATCTTGGCCATTCGTGCTTTAAATTACTGGCTTCTGCAGGAATGCCACGCTTTGTTGGTCGAAGGTGGCAAATCTCCCACTGCTGCTACCGACAACCTGAGATCCTCTTTTATTCAACGGAGAGCTTACGTCGGCACGGCAAACTCGAGTATTTCTCTCCCAGAGTCCAGCCTCAAAGGGCCACTCTTTGAGATCCAACCGGACGTCAAGTTCTACATGTACTGTACATGTGCCCCATGCGGCGACGCAAGTATGGAACTCTGCATGGCTGCCCAAGAAGATGCAACACCGTGGGACGTGTGCCATCAAACAAACTCAGATGACCAAGACTCGACCTCCGAGACCATGCTCGACGGTCGAGCTCATTTCTCTCGTCTCGGCATCGTGCGTCGAAAACCAGCACGCATGGACGCCGAGCCTACCAAAAGCAAGTCTTGCTCAGATAAGCTTGCTTTGCGGCAGGTAACATCCTTGTTCTCAATTGAGACAAGTTATCTCGTGGCTCCTACGGAGAGCGCATACCTCGCTGGCTTGGTACTTCCCGAGGAGGAGATTTCTCAAACTGCGTGCACCAGGTCTTTTGGGGAACAGGGGCGTATGGGATCACTGATTGGGCGCTCGTGGCCTCTAGAGAAAGTGGAAGGCCAGTACTTGTCGCGAATAGGGTACCGATTCCGACCTTTCCAAGTCCTTTCGGTATCCAACGATGAAATTCAGGCGCTGTGGCCGTTTGCAAAGCCCAAGATATCACAGACAAAAGAGGGCCAAAGTGGACGAAGTGTGCAGCCAGAGACTATCCCACCGCCGCCCAAAGTCAAACCAGGCAATGTGAGCTCCATCTGGACTGCGGCACCCTCAATATCACACTCATGTGTCCTGGCGACAGACACGGGGAGCAAGACATTGCCTGTTCTGAGTCATTCGAAGACAGGGCTATACGAGACGGTCATCAATGGAGTGAAGCAGGGCAATCGGCAGAGTGATCCCACGGCGAGGGGGGCCTCCTCCCTCTCGCGTGCAAAACTGTGGGGTCTCCTCCAAAACATTCTCCAGTCGACTGATTGTCTTGTAAAGGGTGCAGAGGAAAGTCACAAAGCTCATTCTGAGCAGAAGCCGGAGGCATCACCGATGGTTCAGTACTCGGGTTCCTATGAGGAATTTAAATGTGCCGGATACGACCCGTCGTCACCGCTTGGGATCCGTCAGTCTGCGATACAGGATGCCAGAAGGACACTCGGGGGATGGGTGCCGAATCGCGGAGACGAGACCTGGACTCTGGAAGTACTGGTGGACTCGAAGAGACGAAAAGAAAGGTGAGTGGGGTGAACGACTGGATTGGATTATAGACAGTTAAGTATACGTCGAAGAAATCTCCGCGCCACTAAAGTGACGCCTGCACAAGAGAATAAACCCGAAATTAAATATTGTTGTACACATGTGAGAACTTGTAGGGACCAGCGATCGGAGATTTCCGTTTGTTTGGGGTTTTTTTTTTTTTTTTTTCGCGCGATTAGCCCTTGATGCCACGCGTCACTAAATTTCAATCATCTTAGGTCCAGGGACACATGGACAAGTTTAGTAGATACCCGGAATGATGCGACTGCGGACCATGGAAGTGTAGCGATTCCAATCGGCACCGTACTTCTTCTTGCACTTCTCCTCGTCACGCATTTCACGGTGGATGAGTAAGACGCCAAAGTAGAGCATGTAGAAGTAGGTAAAGATCATGCCCCAGCCACGGACTTCAGGGGTCTGCACAGCCTGAGTCTGCACAGCACCGGTGGACGGGTTGATGCTCTCAATCAGGGCGTAGCCAGCAACGCCGGTGGGGAGGCAATAGGACCATGACATGATCCAATCACCCAAGTAGTTGATGTGACGGGCCAGTCCCCACCATCCAGACACCATCAGCTTGGAGCCACTCTTGGTCTCGATGAATTTAATGTGCTTCACGCGGGGGTCATTTGGATCTGTTCGGAAGCGATTCTTCTGGTTGTTGGCGCCGCGGAAGATGGCATACCCCACTGCAGTGGCACTCAGAACAATAGCAATTCCGCTCCAGCCCAGCTCGAGTGGGAAGACTGCCAAGTACCGGCTCTGGATGCTGTAAATGTGAGGGACCCAGACAACGTCACCAAAAGACAACATGAACCCGAATCCATCCATGATCACGTCCATAGTCGTCAGAATTGCGGGTTCCATGTACAGCGCATCCAGAATGTAGAAAGCTTGGAAGATGGTCACCAGGACAATCGAATCGGTGACGTATCCGTAGGTTCGGTATTGATGAGCCACGTTGGAGAGATTGAGAATGGTCCATCCCAGCAAGCCGGGACGCATTTCCATGAAGACCTTGATGTCCAGGGTACGCGAAGCTTCGCTGAGGAAGGGAATTGGTAGGCGGACCCGAGGATTGAGCTCTCGTCCGATGAAGAAGTCATAGAGAGGGTTCCCGGTGTGGCCGCCAGGAGCAAGCTCACGCAGCTCGTGGTTGGGCTTCCCGGGCTCGGGAACCGTGAAACTCTTCAGGTAGACGAAAATGGCGACAGAAGACGCAATCAACAAGTTGGCGGTGATAACCTGGATGTAGTTGTTCCACAAGAAGGTCCAGACCACGAAGTCGGCCCCGTACATGTAGGTTCCAGTGGCCAAGCCAAGGAGAATGACAATAGCAGAGGAGAATGCTGCGAATGGGCACATAGTTAGTTCGAGTGGACTTCTTGCAGATGCTCTGTCAAGGGACTTTCCCTTCACTTCACCATATATGAGGGAGCAATCGCCATACCGTTGAATTTGTACTTGAGTCTTCCGCCGCACGCGAGTGCCACGCCATCGGTTTCCTGACCCGGGAGGATGACCTGCAAGAACAGGCTGAGGGCGTAGTAGCTCAGGACCCATAGTGTGACCTCGGTATCATAAAGACCAGTGATTCCCTCTTTGGGCCAGCCAACTTCACGCTTCAGCTGGTCAAGAGTGAGAGTTGAGGGTCGAAGCAGGGACGGTGCGGGACAGCCGGTGACGTCGTTACACACAAACGTGAAGGTGTATACCAGGAGAGGCAGTCCGAAGACGATACCAAAGGCTCCGAGACTACCATGTCAATCAGTAACGCGAATAGCTTCCCTCTGCACCTGCGATTTGAGCACGTACGGTCCACCGAATTCATAGCCACGCTTCTCCGGGACTGGCTGAATCGGAACTTGAAGCTGCTCCGCCTTTCGAGGTGCCATGGTGATTGAAAGAGCTCTCAAACAATCTCGTTTGCAATGGCAGTCGTGGACAACCGGTCAAGTCAGACCAAAAGTGATAATCGACTCGGCCCTTGGCGGAACTTATATAGTACACTGACTGCACTAGTCTCGGTGGGTTTAGGGGGATGGGGGTTGGAAGCCACAGGGATCGCTTCAGCAGAAAATAAGTTCCCGACGAGGTGGCGCGTACGATGCCGGATCCCGCATTCCCGTGTGTGCCCCGTGCGCCCCCGCCGATGTTCCGGTTTTTACGTTTACTGGACCCTGGCTCTGAACTTCGGTAACTACTGAGTACTGACTATCTCACTACCTTACAGTTAGCACAGTACCCTGATATGGGGACCGTACGCCTCTTGGTCATGTCAGTAAGCTACATGCACTTGAAAGCATACTACTATACCATTGTCCCATTCCACCACTTCAACAGAGTCAAAGGAAATCCATGCTGACAGGTTGCCGCCGAGCTCGGTCACGATTGGTACGCGATGGTTGAGCTCAACCTCAAGGTGGAGGCTTTCGCGACCTTGGCCTGGTCATTTGTAGCAAGCTGATGCTCCAAAGAGACTTGGACGAAGCACCTTGGCTGGTCACTCAGGACTGGGTCACCCATGGCGGTTTAACTCAACAGCCTGAGATGAAACTAGCGAAATTCCCAATGGGGTCGCTGGCAGTCAAGCGACCCTCTCTTTGCGGACAAGCTTCAACTTCCACAACTTCGATACTACCTAGGCTACGGATAGGACCCGCATGGCCGAGCAAGCAACAACACGGACCAGACTACCAGAAGAAAGTGTCAAATAGCTCATCGCCGTCGGTGAAGGTTCAGCAGTCTCTTGACGGTCTGCAGAAACATCAAACCATGCTCCATCCTACAACCCGAAGAGACGGCATACAGTCTGTATCGGTGCGGGCCAAGATGTCCACAGATGACTCGCCAAGAACTCGAAATTGAGAAGATGTCACCTCTCTCACAACTTGGGCCTCTTGCAAATCAATCTATTCCGAAGTGGCTGGGGACCGCTACCGTCCTGGATCGCTGACAGCCAACCCCCATGCGACGGGCCATCCTTCAGACGGCGTGGTCAACTCTATGCCTGGGGCGTAGAGACGGTCCTCACCACGGACAGTGTCTCGTTTCCTCGTTTTACAGGAAAAATACAGATTGCCATTGCCCTTAGACCGGTCTCGCATGCGCTTGAGGTTCGTAGTCGAAATCTCCGCTTTAGGCCGGAGTGGCAGTAGTTACTAGTTACCAAGCTGTCTCCATGTGCTGCCGATCAGATACGCCCACGAGGTATTCAAGCCGTCCTCTGAGCTTGAAGCCGCGCTTTGTTTTAGTCAAAAGCCAATCGTTGTCTGTACCCCTTCTTTCGTTACTATTCGGTTCCGCGTCCCCTTGCTTTGGGATAACTCCCTGATCCGTTGGGGAGTGAGAGAGGCAAGAAAAAAACAAAACAGAAAAGGAAGAGGTCGTACCCGGGATCGAACCGGGATTGCCAGAATCAGAATCTGGAGTGATGACCATTACACTATACAACCTGATTGGTTGAGAAAAATTGATTTTTTTAACTCTATAAACAAAGACTTCAAGGTTGTCCGGCCTGAAGAGAATCCTGGCCAGGATTCGCGTGTTGGCTGTCAGAGACGGATAATGCCATGTTCAACCTACATAGGAGTGTTCGAACAATGGCTCTTCACAGCAAGAGGGACAGAAAAGACACACTTCCCCTACAGATACGGAGAAAGGGGACATTCATGAAAAAGAAGCATGAGCAGCCGGGATTTGGACACAATAGGGTGTTTACATTTCTACAACCTACGGGCACCTGAGACCCTCCTCGGGCTGCAGTCTACGATTTTCAATTTCTACGTAGGCCGATAAGTTCCGAATCGGCTGGCTGCCAGATTGAACGAGGCGCTGTCTGGATTGCGCAGTCTATCCATTTAATATCAGGCCTCAACCCTGCGTGTAGTATGTACTACCTATGTTCACCAGGTCGGAGAGAGGTGGATGGGGGTAGTTTCAAGAGGTCATCGTCCGCCTCGATGTGTATCACCCATGACCGTAATAGGCATGACTCGTTTGTTGTTGCAGTCCATGCCTTCATGGTGGTACCTAAGGGATGGTCCAGTGACTCTGTCATGCTCTCTATATATGTGACCGACGCAGGCCTTTTATCGTACAAGTCTATTTGTTCGAAAATGTGCCCCGTTCTGTTGTAATTGTGGGTGAAGACCTCCCTGTCAATGTGGACACGCCCGACCCTGTTGGGTGTGTTCGGCGCCTTCAGACGGGGGGATACACGATTCGCCATGCCGCATGGATACGCCACTTTTTACTCTAAATACTTAATGTACAGCTGCAGTGGGGCTTAATGTGTGCACCTGGTCCGACTCGATATGATGACGCCATAGGGGCATGTATGCGAATATGAAATGGCTCATGTCGATGTCATTGTACTTTGTAGAGGTTAGAGGATGGATCCATGTACACAAACCCAACCTCACATATACTTTCCATTAGAGGACAGCAACCTCACTTCTCAACCCCAGGCAGGCACCCCATCAACGGGCTCCAGTCTGGAGGTCCGCCCGGGCAGTTGGTGGTAGTAAGACTGATGTTAGAGAAGTCCCGTACCCTTATGCAGAAGGGTCTCGAGTCTGTACACAGTCAGATGGTGGAAAGCTAGGTAAGACTGAAGGAAGGGGGGTACACGCAAAAATGTAGCGCGCCTCGTCTGAAGCTGAGGCAATTGTGAATCCGAGGGTCTCATGATGATAGAAAAAAGGAAGAGGTCGTACCCGGGATCGAACCGGGATTGCCAGAATCAGAATCTGGAGTGATGACCATTACACTATACAACCTTGCTTGCTGAACGACAGTCAAATTTTGCAAACATGTTCTTAACTTCACATCAATTGATGAAAACAACCTCGAGCATCGCGATTCCTTTCTCCCCCGTCATTCTGTTTTCTGGAGAGATCCAGATCGTATTGTCGTACGAAGCTAAATTGTTGCTTCGTTGTTTGATCAATTCATTTTGCTCGCGACTGCCATAACCATCAGGTTGTGTAGTGTAATGGTCATCACTCCAGATTCTGATTCTGGCAATCCCGGTTCGATCCCGGGCACGACCTTTTGGCACTGGTTTTGGCGGCCCTTACTCCGCGGAGTGCGTGCAATGAACATGCTCCATACCTATGGAGCACCATGTCCGGCTGTTTAGAAGTTTGGATGATCCTGGACTGCTAGAGTTTCAGGCCACGCAGCATTGTTTTTCCCCTACTTACCGTCCTGCTGCAACGATTTTTTGGTTTTAAACTGCCCGGACTGATGGATCCATCATCTATGTACCGCACATAAATTCATCGATCGACAAAAAATGCCAGTTCAACACAATATGCTTGCAAGCATACTGGATGACCTTCCTTTCCCACATGTAAGTGACGAGACCGACGCACTGGCGATTGAAGTTCTAACCATGACGGGGAAAGCAAGCGATCAGTTTCCTGGAATGTACATAGTGCTATAACTCTCGGTCTGACTGGAAGAAATGAGCCCAAGACACGGGTACCCCCGAAGAGCATGCCAACTACAGCAGTAACAGCACCTTCATCGCCAGAGTTCGAAGGTCCTGATAGTATCCAGAGCCAGGCCAGCCGACGCAGGATTAACACGCGCTGACCAAGACTAGGCGGGACTTTTTCCATCTTCAAATACATGCATGAGTGGAGAGATTCTGCGAGTCACCTTCCAAGTTGGCTTATCTGCGTTGGTCATTTAGCATCTGTTGATCGGGCCGAAAGGAAACGCGATATACCCGCCCGCTATAACAGAGCCTTTTGGCCAAGCTTTTAATGAACCTTCCGTTCCGAATAGCGCCTCATGGCCACCGTTGGGCGGAAAGCTTTCGATAAAATTATCTCCGAAACAATTGGTCATCTCATGTGATCCATGACACAACTTGGAATGCACAAAGATTAGACATCACCCAAGCATCTCGTTATCCCTTTAGTGATGGATCCGATGTATGGGTAGTTAGGCACCGTATACTACTTTATGCCTTTAGTACTTGTAATTAAGCTCGAAGTCGTTTTGATCCCCAAGCTTTGGTATGAAGCCTCCTCCTTGTCCCTGTGCAGGACATTATCAAATCCAAACCAGGCCATCTTTTCATTGATCTTTTCAAGGCGGACCCTGTTCTTGGTTTCCAGATTCTCTGCAGTGTAATCGTATTGATTTGATCTATATTCAGTATACACGTATAGACTTCGCTCGGGTTACTTCAAGCGAGCAATAGACAACAAGAGAACCTCAAGGCCGTGTGGTCTTATTACATTCTATCACCAGACTTAGAGCAGTGTGACTCCGTGAGAGATCCGTGACCTCGATAAAGTTCACACGTGCCGGTGAAGTGTGAAGCAACGGTAACTCGGGCTCAGGCGATTTCGAGTCAAGATACAGCAGTACGATAAATGATAGTACATGACTACATATTGCAAATACATTAGTGACAGTACTGCTTAGTTACCACAGTACTTACTACTGGGCGTAGTACCTGCTTCTAGACACTACAGTATGAGTAGCATAAGTACCTAGCAGTGATAGCACAGGCCAGTGGCCACAGATTGACAGTGATATAATGGGAGAGACATGATCTTGTCTTGTATTAATGACGCACTTTTTTAATTTTATGAATCGGGCAGAATTTCTGTATGGTACATACGGTATGTATGTAATAATGTTGCCAAAGACATGCCTAGCCTTTAGAGTCCGGAGTCCAGACTCCAGACTGGCAGACTCCACCTAGGCCAGATGGCAGTGCGTTTCCAGAGTCCTTAGACTCCTTACATATTATTATCCACTACCGAGTCCCCCAACCAGTGCGTAACTGCGTATTGTAATTCAGACGGTGCCGATTCTCCGGCCCTTCCCCCGCCACGAGAAAACTTTAATTCGGATGTATGAACCCTCCTTTCCACACCACCAGCAGCATGAAATGGCAGATGGTGGATTTTTGGTGCTCCCTTACATTCGGAAACCTCTAGCGAGAGCGGGAGGACCCGTCATGTTGTACATGGTACATAGTACATACATTTGTAAATGGTGTCCAAGTCTACCTCCTAGGCTCATACTAACCTACGGTAGTAAGTAGTACCTGGCAGGTGTCAGGTGGACATACCATTACTATTCACTCATCACTGCTCAGTGTATTAGGTGCTAGTGTGACTATAACACTTTATACACTACCTGTAGCTCGTGACTTCGTATAAATTTACGGCACTTCTGGGCGGCTGCAACGGTATAGTAATACAAATCGTCAAGTAACACTGATGGTAAAGTACTGAATGGTCAATACTACTGTACTATACGTACTATACTATAACAAGTGGGACTGTCTAAGCGCGCTCAGACACTGAGCGCGAGCAAAATGGGCAAGCCCCTCTGCAAAAGGATTAGACCCCGCGATAAAAAAGGGGTGGGGGTGTCCGAGGTGACTGATCCAACGAGCGAGGGTTGGGATAAATAAAACCTCCACGCACAACAAACAGCTAATAGTGCGGACACAATTTTGTTACAGGATTCCGCCGAATGAAGAGGATATCATAAAATCCTAGAGAGGAAGGGTATAGCTCAATAAATTCGTAAAATCTGGTATGATTGTTACCTATAAGTTGGACCGCTGTTGAAGAGAACAGAATCAAAGCCACAAAATCGTCATGGGTATGCCGAGAGGAACCCCCTTCTATATTGATGGAGGCACCGTGCCGTCTCCCCCACTAAAATGCGAGTCACCTGGCTTGTTGGATAGATCACGAAACACGGCGGGCACAGATTGTTTGAGGAAAACTCCGTTCCTGGAGATGCAAGACAAATGGGTTCATTAGGTTCAAGTGCACAATAGCAAATGGATGTGAGATGATCGATTGTGAGGAGAAAAGGAGAATCGAGGTTGAACGTCATTTCACAATAGTAGGGCGCAAAGTGGAGAAGAGGTCGTGGAGGATGGGGGCACGCCGCGATACAGAGTTGAAAAGGAGGGAGGTAGCGTGTCGGTTGAGCGGTGTTGGGCCTTCGCAAGGCCGGTCTAGATTGCTCTGATGATCGAAGCGTAGAGCGCAGCTCCAGTAGGTCATTAATGTGGTTCGCTGAAAAGGGTGGAGAGTCATTGGTATGGCCGGTTTTTCAGAGGAAGACAAGACGCGAGTCGAAAATTTAACTCCGTCTACGCGGATGGGGTATTTGCGGCCGGGGATGGGGCCGTCGGCGCAGTGTTGTGATCTGCACTGATACGCTCGATTTCAAATCCTTCACAGCGCTCGATCAAACTCTGATAGTAATCTTCCAGGATCTCGGGCTGTGGTACAATCCGCCACTGAACCTTGAAGAGGAATTCAAGTTCTAGCATCGCCAACTCGGTCATGGTAATACCTCCGACGCGCGCATATGTTTTGTTTGTCCAAAAGCTATCACTCAGACCCTTGCTAGCCACTGTCGCGCTGACGATCAGGAACCGATGAATGGTCAGACTGGAAACTGTGAAGGCGGGATATAATGCGCAAAGTCGATCGATGTAATACACCATGCTCAACAGAATTGGCGGCGAAAGGGTCGCATGTGTCGTGAGGCGTTGAAGATAATCTTGGACGGAAATTCGTGGAGGAGACCGTGAGTGAAATCGAGTCAAGCGCCCCTGATGCAGAGGGATCTTGTCATTGAAGCGGATTAATTCCATCAACATGCTGGATATCAGCACGACCAGATCACGGGGCTCAACTTCCTCGTACCGTGCCGGCAGGATCTTGACATCAACGCGGGAAGACCGTCGCCGCTTCGGCTGTGAGACCTCTGCATCCTGTGACGAATCCGTGGGGGCTGCAACATTGGGGGAGTGATGGTCGCATTGGCTGTTGCGCTTATTGGACCCCGAGTTCTCTGGGGCGGGCATGGAGGGTGCAGCGGCCGTTTCAGCGGTCGAGAATTGAGCGGCGTCGGGCGGCAACGGAGGATTGACAGAGGCGAATGTTGCTGAAGAATCAGAGGAGAGGCTCGCAGCGGTGGCGGTTGCAGAATCCGAGTCCAGAGCCAAGGCGGGATTGGGGGCGGTAGTCTCAACGGCGGCGGAGGCGGAGGAGGAGGAAGAGGAGGGGGACGCCGTTGATGCGGCCAGTGCGCGGCGCTTCAAAGATGCAGGGGATTCAGGGGATGTCGAATCAACGGAGTGACGATTCAGCGCTGAACGAAGCTCTTCAATGGCCAGACGCGATGAACGAGGGCTGCTGAATTGAGAAGCGGAAGATGGCTCATACTGCGCCGCTCCGGTCGGATGAGGAAGTTGATGTGGACGCGGGTTCGGCAGGGGAGAACGCAGGGCGGCGGATGAAGGTGAAGGTGAAGAGGCCAACATGACTGGGGCAAGAAAGCGAGGGAGGAAATCGACGCTTTCAAAGCGGGTTCCCGGCGATCAGACTGATAGTTTTAGTGGATCCTTGATGGCTATTCGAATAGGCACTTGAGGGGACTAGTGTAAGCCCGATCGCCCTAAAATGCTTAGACTCGAGCAGTGACGACCCAGCGGAAAGAGTTTGGAATGCTGCAAGGATGGAAAAGAGAGAAAAGGGTAACTCAACGATCCGAAGATCGACCGCTTAAAGTGCACGACGGCACCACGTGGGTGCACAAGTCAACGGGGCGCTGACGCTGCGGACCTGGATTGGCACGGGCGCACGGCCACATCCTCATCAACAGGAATCAAGGGGCGTGGAGTGATGGTGAGACCAGTGGTGGGTGAATGTAGCGTTTAAAGGTCTCAGGCGCTCGCTGAAGCAGAGGATCACATCGAAATCACTTCTCCGTTCACGACGGAAGAGCGAGAGGAAAAGCGGCGGTGCGGAAAGGGGGCGAAGCAGACCATAATATAAGAACGATCACAATACGCAGCCCGCTGCGCGTGCCATGAAAATCCTGCTTTGCATGAGGTAATTTATTACAAGCACAAAAATTTACTGTAGTCCACGTGCAGATAGGGCTATGTAAGATTGAGTGGAGATTGGTATCAGTTCTGTAGGTCGGTATCCAGTATTTACCGACTTTGTAGGGGGGCTAAGGACCTTGGGATTTTTTGAAGCTGCTCCTTGGCTCGGGTTGAGTATCCTACCATCCTGTGTCCTGCTCAGAATATGACGAGGATAAAAACCCAAGGCACCTTGACAGGCGAGCTTTCTTCTAACAGCCGGAGGTCTTATACCGTTGATGGTTGTACTCCTTCGTCTGCTACTGTAGCTAGCCACCAGAGATCTGCGCTGATGCTGGTTCCTTACATCAGTCTGCAAGTCACAGTCCTCATTGATACTACGATGTTTTATTAGGACTGTAGACTGGGAGCCAAGGGTGTATAAGATTGACTGACTTTCAGATGAGGGCTGATTGGTTTTTCTGGCCCTAACCACCCTAATCGAAAAAATACAGCTGAACTGTTATGAAGTTATGAACAGTTGAACTTGAACACTCAAGTTCGTCAACACACTCATGTTACAATACACTGAAAACAGTCAATGTAAGTCGTTGATACATGATTATGTATGACATAATACAATATATACACAGAATGTATATGTAACTTACAGTACAATCCACAATACTACAATGTACGGTATTAACTACAGCACTTCGGCCGTCTTGTATAGATCTAAGACGGAAGCCGACCTGCCATAGACGCCGAAAACCTTTAAAGCTAAACATATATACGTAATGTCGTGAGCCTCATCTTTATGGAGTATCTATGCTTTCCTCAGTTAATTCAGCGCTGATTTTTGAGCAAGCTTTTTCATATGAGTCTGCTAGATGCTTCTTGATCATATCGTGAGCCTGTTTGTGGCATAGTAACAGTATGTATACGATATACTGGACATGATTATATGCTATCTGTGGACTCGTGGAGTGTGGAAAGGTGAATTCTTCGATGTACATCTTGTCTTCCGCCAGGAGCGGGCTTGGCTGTAGTCTTGGCGTCTAGTAGAAATCATCGTCAGGCTCGGGTTACAGGTCAATCTTTTGGATAGGCCTCCTTCAGTCTATCTATGCCTGAAGCACTAGACCTGGCCATATACACCTCTCTTGGCAGAGATCCAACAAGTACTCATTTTTTAACAGCATGTGAATCTATGTATGGCAGAAGCACGATGACGGTGAAAGGTGTATGTCACCACATCAGCACACACGTATTGTGAGACGACTGATATCGACTCCGCCTTAGAGAAAATACTAAAACAACCATAGTGGTCCAACGGCGTATGCAACCGATGTAGACTGAGTGGGTATTACAATCACCATGCCTGTTTATTATCAAGGTAGAGAGGTAAACCTAATTTACTGTCTCTGCAGTCTACCCTCTAAGAGCTATTGTATCTACCTGTAGTCTGTATGCAACGAACCGAAGGCCGAGTTGATGTTTATTCTAGGCGCTGTCCCAGCGCCTGAAAAAAATCTGCTTGTATCGTTTTAGCTAAAAGATGCACAAAGGATGCTAGGCGTATCAATCACTACTACAACAGAGAGATGACTCTCGTAAGATGGAGGATCTGTGATTATCGTGGTTTTACGTCACGTATCGGCAATCTTAATTGACAACAACAGCGTCAATATTAGTGTCATTTGCAGCTTAGGCACTGGAGAAGTGGCAAATATGCTGTATCGAAGGGAGATCAAAAGTGCGTTGAAAGAAAATGGCATGCGATGGGCACAATCATCAACACTTCAACTTTTGAATCCTGACTAGATGTAAATATGTACACCTTCTTCCCTACCGCCTACAGGATACCGCCGGTTGAAATCTTTCCCTACTTTCTTACATAATTTCGCAGTCATCCGCCTCCGCCAATCCATCCACCCGTTCCGTCCCACTCAGCCTCTGCGGAGTCGGAGCCCGTCGAGGCAACTCGCTGAACAGAGACAAGCCTGACCTTCAAAGTATCTTGCGTTCTGCAAACTGTCCGAGTGTTAAGACGTACAGCACGCACAGCACACCGTAAGACTGAGGCCGTCTGAGAGTTGGTCAATTGAATTCCTGCTACCGCCATACCGAATTCTCTCTCATCTTTTTGACCTGTGCTCCAACGACCCACTTTGGATAAGCAGCACCAGCTTTCCCCGACTCGCCGAACCCGGACTGGACCAGTCAGTCCCTCGAGATCTATCCAGCCCTGGCAGTCCGACGGCTTGCGACAGCCCACGCGACCACTGCTGCAAGTGCAAATCCGGAGTTGCAAACTCCTTAATTCTTCGAGAGCTGCCAGCTTCCACATCGCAAATTTCCTGGGTCACATTCAGTGGGTGAGGTGTAAGACGTCTCTTCCTCACACTGTATCTCTGCTCGATCGGCAACACTCCGTGAGCACCATGACGCGCCTTACCGTTGGAACGATTTTATCAAGACTTCAGGGCTCAGAATCCGTTCAACTACAAGTGGCTCTGCTTCGAGCATTGAAGAATGAGTTAATAGGCCACGATGAGCGCAAAGAAGCTTCTGTTACCCTGGGCATCATCCCGATCCTAGGGCAATTGCTGCGCACACGACGCCCCGGACTGTCCCATGGAGTCGAGTCCGACGGAGCAGCTGGTCAATCAGGTCTGGCATACGGAGACTCTGAGGATGCCAAGGTTTGCCTCCAGGCGGTCTTGATCGTCGGCAGCTTGGCTCAAGGTAAGAAGATTCTCATGATCAGCCTGAATGCCACGAACTCCATTTGGCCGCGGAATTGACTCAATATGATAGGTGGTCCGACCTTTATCGCGCCGATATTTGCTAGTGATATTCTCCCGACCCTGCTCTCTGTCCTCTCATCCCCCGACTGTCCTCCCTCCTTCACGCTCTCGATCCTACGGTTCCTGAACACGATTGCGGACAGATTGCCCCTACAAAGTCAAGATCAGTGGCCTCGAGATACCCGACTGGCAGACATCATCTTCTCGGGGGAACATTTAGGGGCACTCAGACGAATCATTGCGCAGGACTTTGGGTCTATGCGGAGTCGGCTCAGCGCCGAGCAAGCTGCTGCATTGATTGGAAAGCTTTGCACCCAAGAAGCGCACAAGAGGGCATTGGCGGTATCTGGAGTGTTGGATGCACTTGCTGTCAAGATTGCCTCATTCGTGGTGGCTCAAGGCTATGTTCCCCCTGGAGCTGAACACTATCTGAAAGATGCCGGTTCTTTGGGTGTATTTCCCGAACCAGCTCCATCATCCGCACGTTTGGCGCCTTACCTCCGCGCCGTGACCGTCATCATTGAGCACTCCAAGTGGAGAGCAGAGCATTTCCTCTCGTCTCCAGGGATCGTCACCGTCTTCCCCAGACAGATACTCGAATTCGATCCAGACGATATCAGAAAGGGCCCATGGGGTTCGACGTATTTCTCCGGTTCCGCTGTCCCGCGTAAGCCTGGTGTCAATCCTGTCGACAGTCTGTTGCCATCGATTCCCCATGTGCATGAGCGATCATCGCCAGGGTCAGCCAGTTTTCCTCCCCTAGGCATGGGCGAGTCACGCCAGAGACACGGCCGGTCGGTCCTCCCGCCGATTTCACTCGGCCAGGTGTCCGATTCAGACGAGCAAGAGAACTCGATTGTACCGTGGCTACTGTGCTTGCTTCGCTCCGAGAGAGACATGACACGTTTGATGGCTGCTCGCTTAGTCACGGTTCTCTTCCGCCTGGGCCTTGCGAAGAAACATCGGGTGCCGCAGTTCAGTTGCTTGTTGGTTCCTATTCTACTTCGCATGTTGGACAAGGACTATGAAATCTCGGAAAGTGATGACCTATGTGATGACGGATTGATTACGCCAACCCAACGCATGAAGGAAGAAGCACCTACGGTGTTGGCTAACCTGGTCATGGATGATCAGGACCTCCAGAAACACGCTGTTGACGGCAACGCGCTGAAGAGGTTGTCACAGCTCCTCAAGGAAACCTACAATCCCGTTCCGGACAAGTTACAGCCGATGTGGAATCCTGACAGCGATACTCCGGCGCGAGACCCCGACACAGTATCGCCAGTCTGCTGCCTCGGACCTCCGGGGTATTCACCAACGTTGTGTCATATCATGCGTTACCGCGAGAGTATTTTGAAGGCTTTGGCAGCTCTCGTCCCTTTCAAGGATGAGTACCGAAAGGCTGTCTGTAAGAACGGCGTTGTTCCTTACATTATTGATGCACTGAAGCCCCGACCTATTGATGCGCCTGCTGGTGGTGCCTCTACGCCTCGAAACTCAGCCGCCGATGGGAACCCTACAGCCACGATCTTGGCCGCTTGTGGTGCTGCTCGAATGTTGACCCGTTCGGCCAGTGTGCTAAGGACGAGTCTTATCGATGCTGGTGTGGCTGAGCCCTTGTTTGTCTTGATAAAGCATCCGGATATTGAAGTCCAGATTGCTGCCACAGCAGCAATTTGTAACTTAGCCCTTGACTTCAGCCCCATGAAACAGGTTAGTTGAATTGCCTTACTTGGGATCGCTCTTGAGATGCCACCATGCTAACACATCGAATCACAGGCTATTATCACCGCTGGCATCGTTCCAATTCTGTGTGAACACGCGCGCTCAACCAATATCAAGCTTCGCATAGAGTCCCTCTGGGCTTTGAAGCATGTGGTTTACAACTCGCCAAACGACATTCGCATAAAGGTTATTGAGGCTCTCACTCCTGGATGGATTCGAGACATCATAAGTTCAGATCAGGTCACCGCGCTGGCCCGACGCGGTATTGAAGACGAAGCGGATCAAAGCTCTGCCATCGCCATGGGTCGTGCCAATTCATTCGGCGAGCAAGTCGATATCCTCAACCCCGTAGATGATTCATCTGAGCAAGGCGATGATTCCAACATGTCAGACACCACTCCATCTTCCAGAATGAGCCTGGATCGCTTCCTGCCCGATGCGAGACGCCAGAGGAAGCTTGCTCTCCAAGGATCACTCGAGCAATCCACTCAGTCTCGACAAGATGATATCGCTGTTCAGGAGCAGTTATTCAATCTGCTTCGCAACATCATCTGTGGAGATGGAGCTACCGAGATGATCGATTACTTGCTTCGGGAAATTGGAGAAGACGAGCTTTTTACCGCCATTGCCAATAACCTGCGCCCTCGAACAATACAACTCCCTCATCGCCGGGACGTGCCTACTCGCCCCATTCTGGTACCATCAGAAATTCTCATCTCGGCAAGTGCACTGCTTATCCACCTGGGGGCCGGGCTCCCGCGCCACCGCCAGCTAGTGATGGATCATCCTGATGTACTGATGGCCTTGACCAACTACTTCAATCACTCCAACCGGGAGGTCCGACTCAACTGTGTGTGGAGCATCATCAATCTGATCTACATGGAGGACTCGAGTGACCGCGACGGATGTCGTTCCCGGGCAAGTCGTCTGAAAACCATGGGGATATCGGACCTCCTGGCCCGTCTTGAGAACGACCCGGATATAGATGTCAAGGAGCGTACAAAGACTGCGGTCCACCTTATGAATCTTTAACGGAGCTCTGTCAACTTGTCGATACACATGTGAAAGGATACCATATGGGAAAGATTGGCATGCTATTGTTTGTGAGCTTTTAGCGGGCGTGGTGTCTCTTTTTTGCGTTCAAGCAGCTGTTGCACTGCAAATTTCATTTTCGCAATCTCGTAATCTAGCTGAGTGTAACTCCGTGGTCCAATCAGCAGTAGTATTTCTATAAGAGCTATGCGACTATCGAACTTCTGCCCGATGCAAGCCTCGTATCATGAATGACATCCATATAGTCCCATGACAATACCTTGTTTGAGACCCTTTGCAAGTTTATATCGGTTGTATGAACTGCCCATGATTTCTTATTTGGTGTATGCCTTCGCAACGAGACGTTAGGCGGGAAGCAGAGAGGGGTCTCGAACTATTGTCATCAATTCGTAATTTGATCGGTCCATTTTCAAAAAATCTGGTACTCTCCAAATCTTGCCAGCGAATGTCTCCAAGAGTACAGCGTCAAGGATAATCTCACCCTCTCTGGGGAAATCAGTGAGCGAAGAAATGGATGAGCTTGTCGAAGCCGATTACGACCGGCTGACCCCCGATGTAGACGTGGTTGCTGTGGTCTTTGCAGTGTGACGACTTTTTGACACCTGATGCTATCCTTCACAAGTCTCCACGCATTCAGTGCAATGGGCGAGCTCCGGTCGGTCTTGGTGGTAACTACAAGCTGCACATCACCCTTTGATTGGGAAAGACAAAACTGAGCATCCGAAGCTGAGAAGCTGATTTGGAAGGCGACTCTGAATATCCCGCTTCCATCACGACCGATGGCCATTTCCTCGTTCGATTGCGAGGCAGACTCTCGGGCAGAAATCGACAATCTGGTTGTTTCGCGGAGCTGTTATCTGCCTGGCAACTAGCGGATCCATAGGCAGTGAGACACGATTCGAGGCCCAGTGGCTGTAGACATTAGAATTGACTTCATGTTGACGGCTTGACTATAACGTGACGTAGCAAATACTATGAGGACCTTCAAAACATGGCGTCGACGTCTACGAGTGTAAGTGGACCAGCAACTCTCACCATTGCAGATTACAATCGAGGAAGGCCTTCAATAATGTTTGGTGGCGACGATTCAAGACTTTGATTAGTCGTAGAGGAAAAATTATGGTTGATGACCCCAGGCCTTTTCGCTTGACCAAAATGGAACTCTTATCTTACCAATCTGACATGGAGATTCAGACGTCATAGGGGCTTCCACCAAATCAAATAGGGACCTAAGCTCTGCGCTGGCTATAGCTTCTGGCATGTCTCTGCATCCTTCCCAACGATCCTTGTTTACTGTCCTTTGATACAATCTGAAAGAATCTTCCACAACATACCTACACAACTGCGGCTTCTTTTCTTTTCCCCGAAACTAGCAGCCACAATGAACTCCCCCCCACAGGCCATCCTCCAAGCGCTCGGAATCGACCCAGATTCGGCAAAGTGCACCTTGGACACATCTGGCTTCGGTTCTGGATTTTCACGGACAAGCGTTCTTCACATAGAACCAAAAGCGCAAGAGAACACCGGCCCGGGACGTAAATACTTCATCAAGACCTCTCACGATGGCGCCGCGTCGAAAGAAATGTTTCACGGCGAGTACGAATCCTTGAACGCCATCGCCAACGCAGTGCCGGACTTCTGTCCTCGAGCGTTAGCGTGGGGGCCGCTCGATCAAAAGAAGGCTTATTTCCTCGCCACGGAGTTCTTGGAACTCAAAGGCCGATGGGCTCGAACATCAGCCGACGCCGATGTGAGGAAACATGGGAGTTTGGCCTACCGACTGGGTCAACTCCATAAGACGCCCGCACCGGTGGACCCAGAGACTGGCCGACGTCGCTATGGATTTCCTGTACCAACTTATTGCGGCGACACGAAACAGAGAAATCATTTCACGGATAGCTGGGCAGAGTTTTACGCAAATGAGCGATTGCTGGCTGTGCTGGCGCTATCGGAGAAACAGAACGGCCCAGATGAGGAGCTGAGTGAGCTTGTTGGGAGGACTGCCCATGCGGTCGTGCCCCGATTATTGGGGGACGGACACTTGGGCTATGATTCGCAGGGCAATGGAGATGGTATTCAGCCTGTGGTCGTGCATGGAGACCTGTGGAGTGGAAACACAGATTATGGGAGAATCGTTGGGAGTGAAAGGGGAGACTCAGAGATGGGAGACGTTGTTTACGACTCCTCGGCATGTTATGCGCATTCCGAGTTTGATATCGGGATCATGCATATGTTTGGTGGATTTGGACCCGATTTCTTCGATCAGTATCATCGCATCGTGCCGAAAACGGAGCCGGTGGAGGAGTATGACGACCGTATACGATTGTACGAGTTGTGAGTTTTGCTGTCCTGTCCCTTCTGGAGAATGATGGAGGCCTCTCAGTTTTCATTTCTTATTCTGATCCGTGGAATATCAGATACCACCATCTGAACCATCAGGCCATTTTTGGCGGCGGTTATCGATCGGGCGCGATGTCCATCATGAAAAAACTAATTCGAAAGTACAGCGATACCTCTTGAAGTCCCGACTACTAAGCTTTGTGATGCGGGAAACGTTCTGCTTGACGTGCATCCAAATGGAATTGTAATGATGCATTGACTGTACAATCCACCAATTGTTAAACGTAACTGCCAGGAGGAATATTTTGAATTTTGAACAGCAAAATCCTATGGTGGCATATGCCGCGAATTCATCTACCATGCATGAAACATGTCTGAAAGTTGATCGGCAAACGTTGGCCTGAGTGCTGGCGGGGTTTTGCCGAACCGTGTCGAGTTCGATATCAGATTGAGACAGCTGGATGAGTAGGCAACTTCGGTCAAGTCCCGGTCGTTGATTGATCATCGCTTTGTCGTCGCCTTGTGTACAGTAGAGAATGCAAATGTGCAGCAATGAGTCGTGTAATAGATAAGTTCATTTACAGGTTTGGGAACGGTTCCGGAAAGTTCGGCCACAGCTCTGGAGAGACTCGAGAGCGACACAAACAAATTTGAGACAGAATGAAGTCAGCCTTGCACAAAAATTGACGTATAGTAATATGGAGATATTGCAGTGGGTGATGTAAAGCCTCGATGACAAATGTGAGGCCCGAAAACTTGATTTCAAGAGGCGTAATCAAACGCCGCCGGCAACATGATGACTATAACTCATCTGTCGGCCCCTCACTTGACTCCTACCGGGCACTAGAGTGCGCTTCTGCTTGAACATCCAAAAGTAAAGCACCCAATATGCCTGCACACCCTGATTCAGACCTTCATCCCGAGGCCACCGGCCGTGCGAAGACACTCGTGGATAGTCACCGTGGCCAACAAACACTGAAGCTTTACGCAGGATGGTTCTGTCCGTGAGTTTGAACCCATCACATCCAGAGCGATACAGTATGTTGCCAAGATCAAGCTGACCTCCTGTGACTTTCCAGGTTCGGTACGTTCGTATATCACGACGACTAGGGTCATCAAAGCCCAGGAATAGTCCCCATGCTAATCAAAAGCACATCTCCACCACAGTCCAGCGAGTCTGGCTCGCCCTTGAAGAAAAGCAAATTCCATACCAGTATATCGAGGTCAATCCATACAACAAGCCCAGATCTCTTCTCACTCTGAACCCTCGCGGGCTAGTTCCAACTCTTCAATGCCCGACCGAGTCGGGACCACGTCCACTCTACGAATCGACCGTGATTCTGGAGTACCTGGAAGAAGCCTATGCAGACCACACGCCGCAATTTCTCCCGAAAGATGCCTATGAGCGAGCTCGTGCTCGCATCTGGATGGACTATGTCACCTCACGCATCATCCCCGCATTTCATCGATTCCTGCAGTATCAATCGACCGAAGAGGATGACGACAGCGGTGCGGGGAAACATGCGGGGTTGCAGCAGATGCGACAGGAGTTCCTTAATCACCTCAAGACTTGGACCACTCAGATGCATTCGGAGGGTCCTTTCTTTCTAGGATCTGAAATCAGTCTACCTGATTTGGTGCTTGCACCGTGGGCAGTCCGGCTCTGGGTGTTTGATGAATTCAAGAGTGGCGGAACGGGACTCCCAGAGGAAGAGCAAGGTGGAGAGGATGAGAAAGTCTGGGCTCGATGGAGGAAATGGCTCTCTGCCATTGAGAGTAGAGAGAGCATTCAGAACACTACCAGCGAGACGAAGCATTACATGCCGATATACAAGCGATATGCCGATAATACCGCACAAAGTGAGTTAGCCAAGGCTACTCGGGCTGGTCGGGGTGTGCCTTGATTGATACCCACAGGTTGGACATGGGATCGAAGGATAGTGCACATCTAAGTGCATGTTGATTAGGTAGTCATTCGACGATTGTCAGACAAGTGAGGATGTACAGGACGCTCAGGAAATAAGTGGAGATCAGGTGTCTCAGTCGAGCTCCCTCAAGTTAAAGATCTGAGCACAGGTAGGCTGTAGCTATAGGAATGAATCGACTAGACCAAGAGATTGCCTGGTCAGGGCTTCAATTTGGCATTTCGAGTTGGATGTGTGATGCTGAAGCGGATGGCAGAACAAGATGCATGGCTGCCTGCTTCACACGTAGACTACAATCATGTTTCACGGCAGATAACTTAGTTACCACCAATCTTCAGGTTCCAACGCGACTCAGGTAGGTTCATGTCGAAAAGGGTAAAGTTCGGCAGAACATGGGGAAGTGGAGCCCTAATGTCACACGCTCATTGGCTCTCTTCCAATCTGCGCCAATCTCGGAGCCTCCCTTCTCATCTCCCGCGATTCCGCTTTGCCGCACGGAAAAACCTTCTTACGCTCTAATCACCACGTGACATTGAACGATACGCCATCACCCGATAAACATGCCGCGCCGTCCACGTTTTCCGTTGCTGGCACGGCATCCTAACAAGCGCAGAGGGATCAGCTGCCGACGGACAGTCCAAATGTCGCGGCACCGGATGACGCCCAGAGAGGGCGATCGTCGATCCCAACAAGATGTCGACCCTGCGCCGCGAACGCCTGACCCACCACGGATTCATCCGTCGTTCATTCATGTCGCCAAACCCTACATCTTCGAGGAAATCATCCAAGGCTGTATCGCTGCCACGGGAGGGAATCACACCCGCGAAGAGTTACTGCGTCTCCAGGGTATCTCTTGGATCGACAGTGTTCGAACTGCTCTCAACCTGTACGTTGGTGAATTTGCCAGATCATCAAAGTGACGTCAAGCTCATCAGAATCACAGTCCTGTCCGAACGTACGACACAGCCGCCGTCTACTATCACAAGTTTCGCCTGGTACACTCAGATACTGAGTACAATTATATCGTATGTATTCTTTTGCCTCGTGCGACACATCAACATCTGATCAGGATAATTAGGATGCCGCTGCCGCCGCACTCTTCACCGCATGCAAGATCGAAGATACGCTGAAGAAGTCTCGCGATATTGTGTGCGCAGCGTACAATCTCAAGCTTCCTCCTTCAGAACATCTCACTCCAGATAATTCTGTACGTCACGCCTGTGATTCGAAAAACGCCGTCGGTGATCTTTGCTCATGTTCCATGCAGGTATTCGAAGCTCAAGCACGCAGTGTTATCGGCCTCGAACGACTGATGCTCGAAGCGTCAGGCTTTGATTTTCGGACTCGCTATCCCCAGAAGGTTCTGTGCAAGCTGATCAAACACTACGGCTTCGATCTGGACGGGGATCTAGCCTGGTTGGCATGGCGAATCTCAGTGGACATGTACAAGACATATGCGCCACTCAAACAAATCACGGTGGTAATGGCCTTTGGCTGTCTGGAGCTTGCATGCCGCTTGTCGGGTGAACGCTCGGATGCGACCGTGTTTGAAGCAGACTACCCCAAGTGGAAGATTACTCGAGGCATGGTTATGGGTGAGTAAGCTCGAAGATGAGAAGCAAATTTAACTGATGACAAACTGACCATCATGACTAGAAATCATCCTGGATCTTCTGGAACTCTACACGCACAACCGCTCTTCGACCAAGGTCGGACCCGACTTTCCCGCGGATCACTTCCTTCAGGTCCGCATCCCACTCAACCAGGAGGTCAAAGAAAAGCGCCTGCCTCGATTCACCACACCGGGGAACCCAGATGGACTGCCCGAGCAGAACGACACTCAGCCTCAGGCTCAACCCGACGGTCGGACCAAAGCACAGAATGGACCTCAGCATCCACTGACACCCATGACTGCGACCGGGGAGCGTCGCGGGGCTAACGAACGTGATCGAGACGCCGCCGTGCGTTTCATGCTCGATCCGGCCTGTGCAGAGAGTGAGAAGAGACAGGTGGCCGAGTACTTCAAGGTTGAGACGGAGCAGTATGAGGCGGATGACTGAGAGCGCATCACTACGAGCATGGGCGTTTTTCTTGCTTTATTTAATTTCTCCTTGCTTTGCAAGGGAAGACGCATTGCGGAAGCCACCAAAGTTTCTGGGCGCAGGGGGGTGTTTTTGATGAGTTTAAATGATACCCCAATCTCGATACCACACAGATAGTCAATGCCACAACTTCATGAGACAGGAACTACCTGCCAGGTTTGCTCGTTAGTCCTCGGCTGGCAGGGCTCGGCACAGTGCAAGACATGTCAAGTAGTCTCTGTCTCTATTACGCATGCTCAATATTAGAATCCTTGGCGGTAAATGAGCCCGCTACCCTGGAAAATGGATAGCATGGAGCATAATTCCAAGAGCTGTATGACCGACCGGCTCGGTACCTTCACCATGAGTGAGTGGGTAGTGAACATCTGTTTGATGAAGATCCAGTTGCAACCTGATACTGAATGATGTGCCCAAATCAATTCCTCCAATGAAGAGACTGGTGAGGCTACAGATTCTTCCCTTGAGGTTCATATCCACGTGTCGTCACAATGAATAGTCGCTAGGAAGGAAAACTGCTGTGGAAGCCACTAGGTAGTACAATCCGGGGATTGTTCCTTATACTCATTTGACCGCGCGACATGACTATATCCAGGTAACTTTCGTCTTTGAGTCCCTAGGTCCCCTGGTCATTGACCATTTCCCACCTTCATATAACAAGGAGAGCCAAGCTCACGCCCAAAGTCTTTTTCCCTTCAGGTGCGGTTGTAAATGACACATTTTTAAACTCAGTGTCATCTACTGTATTGGCGCAGGCGAGCTTCATATCCTCCGAACCAATGCTATAAACCAGCATCTACGGACAGAAAAGCAAGGCGCGCCGGCTCCTATTTCAGATGTTATAGAGAATCAAGACTTTTCCGTCAAGACAGCTGTCAAAAGCCAAAACACTTACAGACAGTCCAACGAAGGCCCTCTCTCCCTTAAAAAAACCCACCATTTTCCGCATATACGAGCTTGACACTTGAAGAGGAGATTGAAACTCACTGAGAACATCTTTCCATTTGGGTGGAGCTCATGGCAAGGTGCGCTGGAAAAGCCATCGAGAAAGTCTCAACCTGCAGAAGATCGAAGACCCAGCCGTGATCACGTTTACAAAAGAGTACAGCTGCGCTGGGACGGGACATCATCAAAGTCGTGAAGAGCCGACAGCGGAGAAGCGCGAAAAAGAATTATCACCGACCTCATAATGAGTAGCCGGATCACCAGAGAAATGTTTTTGCGACCACTATCCGGACCGGATTAGATTGAAGGACTAATAGGTGATTTAAGAATTATATACAGCTTTTGCAGTCTCCCGGTAAGGATGGCAGTGCAGCCCATATGAGAGTAAAGTTGCAGGTCAACAGCGCTCACTGTTCCACTTAGGCAATGCGTATTTGTAGTCGTGTTCTGCATCGAAGAGAGCAGATCCCTTACCCCGTTCAGTCTTTGCAGATTCAGGATCAACAATCTCAGAGAAAGACAAAAGAGATTTGAAACCGAGGTTTCAAAGGGGAGGTGGCACTCCTACAATCATGGAGACTTCAGGCAGGCCCAGCTTGAAGAGATTGTACACGTTGCTGCTGCGGTCCCCCCATGCCTGTTGATCCTCTGCTGAATAGGTCCCTCGTTTTGAACACGGAGAAGCCGCCTGGGGGCATACTGAAGTTGGAAATGATGGTCAAAATTATCATCCGTTCAGGAAGCCAGCGCAAACGAAGCTTCCATAAGGGGAGAATTGGCTTCACAAAGTTGAAAAGAAAAGGGAGTAAGACGAGGTCCAGCACATTACCCTCGTGAACCAAGTGAGTAGAAGAAGATGAACGCAAGACGGGGTCATCAATTTTGAAAGTATGAGCGTTACTGCAGAGTGAAAGCTCAACGACGTTTGAGCTCAGTGGAGAGGCAGTCAAGGATCTGGGGAGAGTCAGCAAAATTGACGGATACAGGGGAGGAGTCAATGACTAGATACATACCGTCTCAGAGACAGCGCCTTGGTTATACAAATACTTGGACAGACCACGCACAACATCGAGTTGCTCGTCGACAGTCAATCCATTGATCGCAGTCTCGATGATGTCGCCCACGCTGGCCTTGTAGACAGCAACGAAACTGTGATAGTACATGTAGGCGAAGAAGCCCATGATGAACTGGCAGTCCATACGGTCTGTAATACCACCGTGGCCTGGAATTGACTCGCCAAAGTCCTTGATCTTGAAGGTACGCTTCAGACCGGAGGCGAAAAAGCCGCCGAAAGGAGCGATCAAAGAGGCGAAAGTAGCAAAGGCCAGGATGTGGAACTGCATCGGCGCAATGTGAATCGTCTTGTCCATGCCGAACACTGCCAGCGAATAAGGTTGGGGAACAAAGACCGGGTTGGGCACACATTCCAGGCCAGTCAAGATGTTGGCACCCAGGTCGTTGACTGGACAAATGAAGTACTTGGACTGCATCAGCAGGTTGGTCATGAAGTAGCCGAAGATGATCGTGCAAATCCAGGCGCCCAGGAAACCTTCCACAGTCTTCTTGGGAGACAATTGGATGAGTTGAGTACGTCCGAAGGTAATACCGCAGACATAAGCGAAGATGTCATTGGTGATTACCAAAGAAGCAGGAAGGAAGAACCAGATCATGCCCTCGAAGATGTTGTTCATGACAAAGTGGGCCTGAACCACGATGAGATAGAGAGCCATATGAGTCCACGCAAATTGAGTGAACTGGAAACGATAGTGACCCTTCTTCAAAGAGCCCACGAAAAAGACAAAGCCTGTATGACCCGAGTTAGCCATGAAACGAAAAAAAGACCCCTCTCTCGCGCCATATCATCGGAGCACTTACCCATGACGTAAAGGGTGAAGCTGATGAATCGATGGTGAGTCGCAAGCGGAAGAAGAACCTTGTCCACCAAGAGGATGTGCTTGAAATAATAAATCACGCTCTCGCCGTACAAGAAGTACATGGTAGTAGCGAGGAAATACCAGTTCAGGGACTTCGTGAACCGCAGGTTCTTCTCCTTACTGGGGACATTGGCAATGGCGATGACTTCCTTGAAGGACACAATCTGAATCGCGGTGGCCAAGCCGATGATGTAAATATGTCCAGAGAACAGCGCGACGAAAAAGCCCGCAATCATGACAAAAGTCCATATCGTACGTGTGATGAAGGTTTGCTTCTTCTTCTCATAGTCTGACTGTGGAGGTTTCTGAAAAAGAATTGGAAATATGGAATCAGTCCCCTGATGAGTCCAAGGCTTGCATGCGTGGGCGCGATCTCACCTCTTCGGTAATGGTGGCCGGATGCGATTCGGCACCAGTCTTGCTAGGACTTGAATGTTCCGAGGCGCCCTCGCTGACGTCGGAGGACACGCTCAGTCTCCGCTCACCATTTGCACGGCGCTGGAACCGAACACTACGGCGAGACTTGGACATGACAGTCGAGGGAGGAGAAGAGGAAAAGGGAAAGCGAGGGGTGAAGAGGGGGAGGGGGGGGGGAAAAGAGAAAGAATGAACGGATTATTATTTAGAGACCAGATCAGGATGAGGGAGAAGAGTGGAGTTGGTAACTTCAAGAACCCATGTGAATCCGAAAGCGGTCAGCTCTCCAACAACATAGCCTCAGCTCTCCCAGCGCCAGCTGGACAAGGTATTGGCCGCTTCATGTCAGGAGAAACTCCGACAACAGTCACGCGCTGATCAAAGGCTATTCAAGCGATTTTGACCCTATAGATGGCTCACCTCCATCCTGTTGCGCCCCAGCATCGACTAGCCTGCCAGCCCTGTCAAGCCCCAGAATGATCGCGCCCCTGTGAAGCTTGGAGTCTCCATTCTTGTCCCCACTTTTTTCTTAACTCCAAGATACTGTCACCGTCGTCTCCACGGTCACTCGCCGATACGCCGACAGCGAAAAGAGTATTCATGGCGGGGGCATGGAAGACATTGACGATGACTACTTCTCCGACGATCTCGATGCTCTGCCGCCGGGTACGTTGTACGAGCTCGAGCAGCATGCCTACCAGGCGACCCAAGGCCAGGCGGCTCAACAACTGCAGGGAAGAGCGTTAGATACCTCTGAGCCCGTGCACTCGAGGCAAAATGCTGCCAGCTTGAAGCCACCGCCGCGTCTCCATACTGGTTTGACTAACGATTATGATACGCTTGAAGTGGGAGAGCTGGAAGCTGAGGTTCACGATAATGTGGACGGACAACAAGCATTCGTTCAGGCTCCTTCGCTGGCGGTCTCGAATGATGTGTGGACCGCTCACGGCGGAGACGGTGCGATGGACATTGACCAAGATTACGGCCAGGCGCAATCGTACGAGATCAAGGCGCGTATGCAGCAGGTGTGATTCAGTCTCTTCTGAAAGCGCCACCATGGAAAGGTGAAGCTAACTCTGGTGTCGTCTTAGCTCGAACAAGAAAAAGAGCAGATGCGACGAGAACTTGCTGAAGCAAGAGCACAGGCCGAAACGAAAGCTGGAGAGATCGCGATCATTCGCTCCAAACAAAGTCGAATGGCGGAGGAATATGATCGACAACTTGCTGCGCTGAGAAAGGCCATGGCTGACCAAGAAAATACTCATAAAGAAGCCGTCGACGCGGCCATGTCCGAGGGCAAAATGCTCGCGACTGAGAATTTGTTTCTTCAGCATGACCTCGCCGAAGAAGTTCATCAGCTCCGAAGTTACAAGACGAAACACCGGGCCCCAGAGAAAGTGGCACCTGTCACACCCAAAAAGTCGCGAATCCTTCCATTTCGTGACGGATTCGACGATGAAGAGATCGCCGTTGTTTCGCCGAGTAAGTCGGCGGCACGGTCAAAACGAGGCACACCTACTGTTCCTGGGAAACGGAAACGACAAGCAAGTGTCGACAGTCCAGCTCCATTACAACTGAGTCCTGCTGGAGAGGTCAACATGATGGATGCCCCTACCGATACCTCAGGGACGGTCTTCGATGACCAGTCCAGACCACGAGACACAAAAAACTCTACCCAGAACCATCTCATCAAGCGAATCTTCAGCCATCGGATGCTTCCCGATCAGGAAACCGATATTGAGGCCTTTGCCAAGATCTACTTCCCATCTGAGCCCCATAAGCCTGTTTCTGGTTTAATTATGGACGAGTTAGCTCGGGTAGACATGGGAGATTTCTTGCTCGAATATATGTACACAATTGGGCAGCTATGGCGCCGGGCACTCACTGAGCGATTCTATGGGCCAGTGCCACGATTCATGTCCATCACTCGATTCGTCCTCATGATGGACGTCGCCCCTCTCCCTGGCCTCGTAAGTGCTCTGGTCGGCGTGCTTCAAGACTCGGTTGAAGTGAATGCCGTCCCGCGATTCAAATACTCGCCAGCAGCTCGAGAAAAAGCTCGGATCCCTCGAGCCACACCTCAATCCGATCTGCATCTTGAAGTCGACTCGACCGAAGCACTTCGCTTGCTATACTACATGTCATCCAGGTTGCTGCATGTGAAAGGGGCCCTGGATGATCTGTGGGCAAACATCCGTTATACTTTCATCCTCGTGATGTTACACGGTTCACAGCCACTCAAAGATATCATGGTGATCTTGCCGTTCCTATCTACAAGCATACGTGCAGCCTCGTTCGGCCCGATTTTGCCATCCGAACAAGACCAAGCAGATGTCCAGAAATGGATCATCGACCGACTCTCATTCATGCTCAGTGAGCCGGTCACGCCAGACGAAGGTTGCGATCCCTACACGGTACACGAAGTCTGTGCAATGCGGCTCGAAGTGCTCCTCTTGTTGGAGAGTTTGGCATTCAACCCTCCAGCTCCGTCAAAGGACCACGCCAGTGTCATTCTCGCGACGCATCCCACGGCCTTGCCACGTCTATTCAGGTCGATGCATGATGAGCTAGACGCGCTCTACTCCTCGCCCCCCGAACAAGAATTTCGCGTGGCAATGGTCAATGGGCTGATGCGCCTGATTTTCGGTGTCATGCGTCGCCATGGACCACTTATCAACATGCAGGAGAAACTGGCATCCGTGTCGGGGAGTAAGCAAAAGCACCTGGTAGTTCTCACGCGCCTGGCGTTCTGCGACGGGTCTGTCCTCGAAGCCGGCATTGACGATGAAACGGTGGACATGGCACACGAGCTCTTGGAAGAATGGACAAATCCTCAAGAGGCTGAGTCATTGGCTGAGGCATTTCCGAGTTCACGACGGGATTAAGCGTTTTTCCGGATTTTTGACTGGTGCTTGTTTCAAGGTTGGCTTGTGGCAAAGCTGGTAAATTTGAGACCAGGCAACAGGATACCCATATGCATGTTCGATAGTTTTCACGTTCACTTACACATAAGCTTTATTGTACCTAGTTCATGGCGTTACTAATGACATCCTGATTTCCACAGGTCTTTTGAGATAGATGCAAACACCGGATTCTGAGAGATTAGCAAATACGGGGGACTTGAGCACAATCAGTCTGGAAAGAACGTTGGACATCACAAACAATTCTCTGACCTTGTTTTGTCGTAAGAAGTGATCCACATGAATATTGAGGGTCCTGATTACTGGGATTTGCCATATTCAGATAAGAAAGCGACATGACGTCCAGAATTAATCCAGCAGACCGTCTGCAACGTGCTAATATTGAAAGGGCAGAGCATGTCGAGGCGCTACCAGAGTTACAGGGAGGGGGACGTCGGGGGTTGTAACAGGTTACAGTAGTTTTCGAAATCAGTTATACCTCCGCACTCTTACGACTTCACTCTCGGAAAATAAATCCCAAATACGCTAACTTTCTTCGGCTTACCGCTCTGAAAGTTTGGCAAAACAATGATGATAATGGCCTTACATGATGGATGAGTCATTGTAATATTACTATAACGTAATTCCCGGCCGTGTCGGTCACCCGGCCGTCCCGGTCACCCTCTCTAAAATCGCGTCTTTCTACCAATATACCTAATTCAACCACCTACCATACCACCAATTCGCACTGAATCTAGCCATAAATTGGCTAGTCAAGAGGGCAGGATCTTATTAGCCCTTTCCGACCTAAAAAATGGCCGCGTCAAATCTCTCCGCGTAGCGGCTATCCTATACGAAATCCCGAAGTCAACACTGATCGACCGCGCTAAAGGGGTGGTTTGCCGCGTCGATTCTCGCCCTATAGGCTATAAATTAACCTAATTAGAAGAGGATTCGCTTACTAAATAGATTCTCTCTATAGATATACGTAGAGCAGCGCCTAGGCTAATAACTATAGGAGAAATAGCTAATATCCTTCTTACTACGCGCGGTAGCTACCCTCCGCCTACCGTTAGAAAGAATTAGCTATTAACCTTTATTAATCGCTACCCTAAGCTTCGTATACGCTTCTCGCGAAGATACGATTACTAAAGAGCCCTAAACGAAGATCCGAAATTAATTCGGTAGTAGTTCGCGACCGTATAAAGTATAATTAACGAGAACGGTATATAACCGGAGGATATCTATAACTTTAATAAGATAGGCTTTGTAATAGGCCTTATATCTTCGCAGAAAGTAGTTATAAGAGCTAAATACTACGGTTAGAGGTCTCTTCTATAACTAGGAAATCGCGAATAGGTTACTACTATCGAAGTAATCTGCGTAGATAGCTATTCACTACCGCCGTATATAGTCTTTAAAGGTAAAGTAGCTATTATAGGATAGTTTAACGAAAACCTACCGAAAGACTAGCGAATCGAGATCTCTGCTAACGGTTAGACTACCGATAAGATTAGCCTACGCTAGCTACAAAAGCTATTTATCCCGTTAACAAATTCGTGCGTACGTAGCCGGTTTCGGCTACTAATTCTTAATAGCTATAGTAGCTATCTTACGCCTTAATTCGATCGAATCTACGCGGATAATAATATTATACCTCTTTATATACCTACGTATTTATCGTATCTACTATAACTACTAGATATTAGGTATTTTGTAGTAGTTAAGCGTACGTACGGTCGCTTCGTTAGCGATCTTACGCGTAGAGGATATAACTATATCGATAAGTATAATTTCTTAGTAGATTACTAGTACGCGCGGCTAGAAGCCTTCTAATTAACTAATCCTACTATTAAAAATAGCTTCGTAGCTAGTAGTCTAGTACTATTAGATACCGAGAGAGTGCTTAATAAGCTTAATATCTCTCTACGAACTCTAATACTACTAAATAGCCGGCTAAGTAGTAGATCTAGCTAATTTATACTAAAAACGCCTAGAACCGCTACTTAGCTATTTAAGTAAGCTTCGATATTAAAAGACCTACTAAAGTAACGGTTAAATAGCCTACTAAGTCTATTAAAAACTATACTAGACCAGCTTATTAAGGGTTACTACCTAGCGCTTTATAGTAGTGCACTACTAGCAGAGGATAACGCGAATTTACGTATAGCGAATGAGAAGATGGTCAAAAAGCGCAATCGGTTAACTAAGAAGATACCCTGCGAAGAGGGTTTAACTATTAAAGAGGCTATACAGCTAGCTACGCAGCTAAACCAGCCAGAGGAAGATGATAGGGTTAATTCGTATAAACAGGTCGATCTGCCTGATCAGCCGATTCAACCGGTTAGGAGGGCTCCTCCTACCTACAGTGGATGTGGAGTAATTGGGCATAGGATCAATCAATGTAAGAATCGTTAGTAATAGCAAATTCTATGGGTGTTAATGGAAATAATCGATTTTGAAATTCTAAACTATGGTAGGGTGACCGGGACGGCCGGGTGACCGACACGGCCGGGAATTACGTTAATATTTCATGGAACCACGTAGAAACTTAGGGGAGCTCTGGCAATCTGGCATGATCTCCAGCTTACTCACACCCTTCCCGCCTGTCCCACTCGTTCTTGCCCCTCATTCTTCCCGGATCCGACGCAGCCACCCGCCAGTCAGCTGCGCTTATGCTGTAGAGAGCTAACTCTCTCTCTATTCTATTCCTTGTATCACCACCTATTGCGAGTTTCATTCGCTGCCAGGCCGTCGACGAAAAGTGGTTTCAAGGATAAGCTAATATAGTGGGTCTAAGGATTGCGAATACTTATTAGAGATAACACAGAGCCCGTTTCATATCGACGACACTCTTCACTCTACCGAGCCTCAACCATAGGAATCCGTTCCAACACCCGGGTACTTCGGCAGCCCGTACGCCACGCGATCTATCTCAAGTCCCTCTCCGTCTAGCGTATTTGAGACTGGAATCGAGCGAACAAGTAGACCTAGCCCCAATTCTCTCAGATTCATTCAGCTATCGGAATGGGAAGAAGGAAGAGCCTACCAGGAGGACCCGCTAACCTGTATCTACTACCGAATAGAGTGGCGAGTGACAATCAACAATCGGGAGGTGTCGCAGGACACGGAAGAAGACCTTACGTTGGCCCCAAGCTCCTTCTGGCAATTATCCCTGGAGAAAAAGCTCGAGAAAGTTCTTCGACGGAAGACTAGCCGCCACCGTCGGGTGACAGCTGATGATACTGTCATCGCCGTGTTGACAAGTGATCGTACCAAGCGCAAACTGACGAAACGGTTTGACGATACCGACATCATTTAGACCGCTATCGAGAAATAGCTTATGATGTGGTCTGATGTTTTGTTCCGGGGTAAGGAGCTCACACTGAAAATCAGTTTCAACTACGTAGACGATCGTCACTCTTCCCCAACCTCTGGTCGGAAAGGAGAGAAAAGAGGAAAGTCATCTGTTACAAAACGGATACTCAACGAACGAGATACACAACTTGATGCAGAGGAAAATGCTTCTGGCGAGAAGCCAATCTGGCGTAGCGTCTGTAGTTTAATACGATACGACTCGTCGACATATCAGCATGGCCCTTATTGTTGGGTGGACCTAATGGGGAAAAAACACTATCCTCTCAAATCCCATCATATAAAACGTCTTATCGCCCACGTTAAGAAGGGAGGGGTTCTGGAATACCATAAGAATATGCCCGAAGCCGTACGCGACGAATTATACAGGGAGGAGCAAGAGAGACTCGGCAAAGGCAAGCGCAAAGGAGGCCACGTCGATAGGTCTGGAGCACTATATCCTCCCATTAATATTAATGTCCTACCCTCACAGTCTACCATCCATGGGATAGATGTTTCTACTTCTAAAGCGGCGGTTGACTTGACGGCTCTGAGCCCCCTTGAGATTCCGGGTTCCACAGACATAGCCGTGGAGGAGTATACTGAATGGCTAGTGTCGACTGTCGAAAGGGATACCCTCAAAGCCGCATTCCGATAAACGTGCAAGGTGATACTCGAGAACGGCCTTGATCTCGAGCAAGTATACAAGGACCAAGACCCAAAATTTGTCATCGAGAGAGGAATAAAAATAGGCATCGCACGTCGATTTGTAGAGAATATCGCAAAGTGGGTCAAGGAGGTGAAGAAAGCGGTGCCTGTTTATGAGATTCTTTAGACAGGACAGGTAGTCATTGAAGCATCACGGCGTTTGGGCTTACAACATCGATTATTGCACAGAGTAGCTCCAGATTACCAGATTGTTTATATAGCAGAAATTACAGTATATCAGTCTTCGTATTCATGTACTCGATGTAGTGCTAAATCTTCCCAAAGGCCTGCCTCTCCATGCCCGCAATCCCTGGACAACACAAGCTAGAGGTGCCATATAATGACAACAAGTTGAGACATTTGCAGCAAAATCATTCACCATGGTCAACCGTCCGAGCGCAAAGGGTGTATCTAACGATTTGTGATAACCGATCCTCAAATTATTAGATTCCGAATTCTCTTAACAGTGTCCGACGTTCATTGATAGCATAAATTAGGCAAAAGGTATTCAGTGAAAGCGGAAAGCAGAATAAGTGGCCACGCCTCTACGCACTATAAGGCTATGCCCAAAAGAAAAAGTTCGTATGACAAAAAGACAGGGATCAGCGCCAGCCAACAAAGATCATCATTACATTCTGAACATGATATGGGCAATAGCGTTCGAAACATCATCGTAGCACTATAGCTTATTTATCCGACGGTTTCATATCTCTTTCGGCATACAGAACATGACCAGTATAGCGCCCCTCTTCATAATAATAGATATAAACCGGCTGTACTTTCTTGTTCTTGTATTGTTTATCGGTTACCAATAATACTGTAGCGTGCGCCTTGAGGTCGGTATGACTCGTGTGCGACGGGTTTATGCAAAGGTAAGTTTTTGGAAGTAATGACCTGATAGTATTTACATTTTGCTTACTTGAGGGTGGCGATGGTGAAATGCGCTAGGTCGGGCTTCTCCGTTGCGGTTTCAATGAGGGTCAGGGTACGATTACGCAGAACAGAGTTGCGGATTCTCTGGGTGAATTTAACAGCATGTCGAGGAATGGGGTACATGGTGGCCTCTGAGCTTCATAATGGTTCTGTGTGGATTAAATCAGTATGTCAATCTTCGTAGTGGTATCTCCCAAGAGTAGCAGGGCATTACTATATATATATATATTCCTCCGTCGGATGTATAGGCCTGGTTAGCGCCGCCATATGTGCGCTTTTCCTAGGCTCTGGCATGGTACTCCAATGGCCAGGATAGCTTCTTGAAGAGTACATAGGCGCCCGTCTCATACTGACACGTCCTTTGATGACCTGTTTGAGAGGTGCGATGCTGACCAATCAATTGCCGCTGAAAGTCTGAGACTGCTTTTCAGATCATGTGATTGGCTATTCTTGCCACGTCATCTGCATCCACGGCGCGTGGGACATATTCACGTATTTTGGGCTCGTGACGATATCAACATTATCTGTACCGACAATATCGGTCCAGTATGAGGAACATCGCCTCCTTCCTACCGAGACGTATTGTTCCCTTGAGAAGTTCTTGCATTTTCCAGAAGTTCATGTCTACCAATGCCGACAAGAGCCCGATGGACCAGCCCACCTATATTTCCCCCATTGAAGCGGAGCCACTTCATCGCTACCGACAAGGCGGTTACCACCCAGTCACCTTAGGAGAATGTCTTAAAGCTGGAAGGTATAAGGTGTTGCATAAATTAGGATGGGGTGGTTACTCGACAGTTTGGGCGGCGAGAGATCAAAGGTAATACACACAAGTGTAACGGACGGTAGTCCCAGCTAATCAAAATATACGCTTGAAGGACAGAGACTTACGTCGCTGTGAAGATTGCTGTTGCAGAACAGGAACATGATAGGGAGACGCGAGAACTCCAAACTATGAGGGAACTGGTATCTTATCACCCTAGTCCGACGCATGTGGTGCAGTTGCTCGATGATTTCGACCTAACGGGCCCAAATGGATTTCACAAGTGCCTCGTTTATGAAATTTTGGGGCCAAACATTCCGGACGTGATCGATGCTCATTTTTCCGGTGGGAGACTCCCTGGAGGGCTTGCCAAAATCATTGCCAAGCAAAGTCTTGCCGGGCTTAATGATTTACACCAACGAAATATTGGACATGGAGGTACAGTAACTCACTCACTTGGGGAAAATCCGAACAATTCTCACCTAAAGTAGATTTGCACACTCGCAATTTGGCCTTCACCATGCGCTGCGTGGATAAGTTAACCGAAGACGTTTTCTTTGAGATTTTAGGAAAACCTGAAATAGGCCGTGTCCATAGGCGCGATGGGAAAAACCTTGAGCTCGGCGTGCCGGAGTATATCGTGAAGCCCACCTCATATCGAACACGTTCTTGGAACTCGACGCAGTCGATCAAAATAATCGACTTCGGAGAATCATTTCTATGTAATGCCGCTCCTCAGACGCTGCACACACCTTTACCAGTTCGAGCACCCGAAGTTCTATTCCAGGATCAAATTGATCATCACGTTGACTTGTGGAGTATGGGCTGCATGGTACGTCAAGTGACTGAAGTCCCAACGCTATACACGACTGAATTGAGAACTATGACAGCTCTTTGAACTTTTCACGGGCCAGCCACCTTTTGACACCTTCCTAATAACAACCCCAATTCTCATCAGTCAAATGCAAGAGATGGCGAGTGACGATCTACCTAAAAGATGGCAAAAGATATGGGATACCATGGATAAAGGGGACGACGTGACCGCGGAAAGCTCCGGGCCCAACCTGCACGAATGGCTGGAAGAAGTGTATTTTGATGGACGCCGGACCCCTGATCTCACAAGAGAGGATATAACGAGGCTGGGAGAAATCATTGGAAGATTGTTGTGTTTTGAACCGTCGGCAAGAGCATCAGCGAGACAGATCCTCGATGACCCATGGTTCAATGAGTAGGCTAGGCTGACTGTTCGTGAGCAACTTGATCCTAGCTCGGGCCTAACAACTTCCTGAGACTTGTTCGATCTTCAAGCCTACATGTCGAAAATGGCCTTTAGCACTCTCTTCCTTTGCACCCACCACACTGATACACCATTCAAGGAAGGCAGCAAATCCTCTCTCGGGGTCTTTTTCGTAGTAATTCCAGTTACGCCGAATGAATCCCTTAAGTTCAGCGAAAAACTCTTCGATTAGGTTCAGGTCCGGCGAGTATGGTGGCAAATAGATTACATAGCTTCACCCCTGCGTCTTTACACATTCTTACAAGTCGCTCCGACCGGTGAAAGGACGCGTTATCCATAACAAGGACAGATTTAGGTTCTGGCCATCTCCCGCAGTGGTGAAGTAACTGGGCTAAAGAGTCTTCGAATACGGTTACATCCGTAGCACCGCGGAAGACACGTGAGAGAACAATCCCGTCCTGTGCATACGCTGGCAATATCTGGTATCTCTGGTCACGGTGGAATTGAGTCACTTGCAAAGGGGCCTTGCCAAGTGGTGCCCAAACCGTCCGTCTGAACCCAGAGTGTTTGTCACATCCAGATTCATCGACATATACGAGGTGGTACGATTTGAAGTCGGACAGGTTTTGCAAATAATAATCTCGTAAATCAGTATTTTGCTCTCTCGCACGTTGCCGTGCAGTTTTTTTCGACCAATCCTTAGCGATAAGGGCTCTCCGAATGCTGGAGGTTATAACCATGGTCTGAAACTCATCCCAAAGGAATACAGCTATCTCATCGAGGTACAAGCCAGGCTTCTCAAATAGATGATTATAGAGGGCTTCAATCATCTGGGGTGTCGCAGTTCGTTTCCAACCTACTCGGGTTTGAGGGGCGTAAATGCTTCCAAATTGTCGTAAGTTTCTGCGGATATTGGTGATGGTTAGCTTGTTGCATTCAGCCTGTTCGGCCATTTCAGGTGTGCTGAAGGACTGGCTCTCTATCATGTCACGTATGAGAACGAGCTTCGCAGGGGAGAGTCTTGGAGCCATATCGCTTTGAAGTAAATCCGTACTAGAACTGGGGAGACTTGTAACTGCGATGTGTCGGGAAGTTGTTGACTGATGGACGGGGAAAGGAGGTGCTGAAGAGATAGCGTGTGCATGAAAGTTTCGTATGAGATACACTCCTCGCGGTATGAATGTTGTATAGAATACAGCAACAATACTGGACAGCGGTCTTAAATGACGCCTGAAATACCTGATCAGATCAGAGCTAACCTATAGCGGGGGTATTTTCCAGGATTGAAGTCGCAAGAGAGCGGAGGTGTAACTGATTTCAAAACTACTGTACAACGACCTCCTCTCCAAGGCCGGGTCATTGACCTGGGCTTGATGAAAAGAATATCCACGATGTGGAAGGTGCCAAAGAATACGCCTGTCAGAGACCCGAAGGCCGCTGAACAGACTGTTCCGCCGCGATGTGCAATGCAGGGACCAATCTGTGGTGAACCGCCTTCATGATCGCAGTCACCCAAACAAGGTAAGTATGAAGAAGAAAAGAAAAAGAGAAGGAAGGATGGGGGTGGAGGGCTCAATTTATACCCCCCGAGGACGCTAGCGTTAAGCGAGCTGCAAGGGGGTTAGCGTGCACGTGATGCTTGCCCGTACTAACGAGGTCTAAGTGAGGCCCACAGTCATCACCTGATATGTGATGCCTCAGGCGGAAAGGAGTACAGGGGAGGAGCCCTGTGGAGTGTCACGTGCCTTTGCGGAAGTTTTGGGAGGATGAGCATCCAGGCTATCCCGGGTGTGAAGACGATCCAGCAAACACCGTGTCATAAGGTCTTGTCGACGGAGCCTTCATCATGAGGAACACGGCCAGCACCTCTTTATCAAAGGGGGTAAGTGAATGGTACCATTGGTGGCGCTGAAAGCTGTTCGAATGACTAAATCCTCGCCTGTCACAGAAAATCCGCCAGTCGTGGAGCAAGTATAACTTGTACAACTTGCAACGCTTCCGCAAGCCAACAACGGCGAGTCGAACATTCTTCCAGCAGAAATGGACAGCTAAAGCTGCCGCACGTGCCTATCATGGCGAGCAGGTCCGAGAGGGTCAGTGGAAGCGCATGTTCTCCAAGCACATTCGCAGTGTTATTCCCATGAACACGACCGACCTCGCAGCCGACGATGGATCCAAGGAGTCCGCCGGCCGTGGCTCTGGCTTGAGTGAGACTAGCAGTAAGAACCGCAGTCGCCCTATTCCCTTCACACAGATGGCATTCGCTCCGCTCGAGCGCCGACTGGACGTTGCCATTTTCCGAGCTCTATTTGCGAGCAGCACACGGCAAGCGAGACAGTTTGTCATCCACGGCGCAGTAACGGTCAATGGCCAGAAGGTAAGAGCAGGCTTTGCAAATTATCTACATTTGAAGGTTCGACAAGACCGCTAAGTCTGAACAACCGCGCAGATGAGACACCCCAGCTACCTCCTCAACCCTGGCGATCTTTTCCAGGTCGACCCTGAGCGCGTGATGTACGCCACTGGTGCTCCCAAAACAGCATTCGAACGACGTGAGGCCCGTCAAATGAAGCAGAAGAGCGCCGAACCCGAGGCTGAGACTGAGGCTGAGGCTGAGCAGACGGAGGCCAAGCCGGAGACCACGGAGAAGGAAAGCGCCAAGGATACTCTACGAGCACTGATGTCTCAAGCCAAAACCATCATGTCCACGGATAAAGACGTTCTTCCAGCCAAGAGAAAGCAGGAACTGCGTGGTTTCCAAAAGGCCGTGCGCCGAGTGCTGTCCCGTTCAGACACAAGCTCTGTCTTGACGGACAACTTGGAGGCCCAGTTTTCACAGCTGACTCTGCTGCTTAACGCCAAGCGTGCTGAGAAGAAACCCGCCAAGGGTTCTGAAAGAGAGACGCAAGACAAGAAGACCTCTCCTACTTCCACAAAGTCGGGTGAAGCCGCCAGCAATGCGCTTTCAGATGCCTTCCAAGCTGCTGCTGAGGGTGGCGAGGTCGATACCTCTGAGCTGACCGACGAGGAATTCGATGTCCTGCGTCACGCACTGACCCAGATGCGCGACAACCCTATTGATCACTCCAAGCCTTATGCCACCCCATGGCGCCCGCGTGATTACATGGCACCCTTCGCGTTCATTCCGCGGTACCTCGAAGTCAACCAGAATATCTGTGCTGCCGTCTACCTTCGACACCCCGTCGCTCGACCTGGCTCAGCCGAAGTGCCCACTCCCTTCGGCGAGTCGATCAGCACTCCAGCCTATGGTTGGTATCTGAAGAAACGGTGGTAAGGAATTGCTCCCCAAGCGGATTTGCTAACATATTCTGCCTTGTCTGTGTCTACGATTTGATCTTCATCCCCCTACTTGTCTCCACTGTACTATTGGGTCTCTCCATCGGTGATATCCTCTTTTTCACATCTCTGTCTGCATATATATTTCCCGGTATTCAGTAGGGGGGTCTCTTTTGCCGGTGTCATGTTCAGAATGGTGTTGGTTCTTGATGTTTATTTCGACGCTTCTTCTTGTTGAACGGGACCTCGACCTCTTGTGTCCTTCCCTACCCATGTACCACCACTCCTAGTCATAACCAAGAACTGTGCATCAATGAAAAGATGCTAACCATAATCGACAAGTTGTACGTATCACGAAGGCATATCAGTGTCTAAGCGTCTAGGTCAAATAAGTCACCCACAACAAGCCGGTCGAGACGTATAAATATCTTTGCCATCGCCCAGTGCAAGCATCCCCGTGATGCGGTATTCCTTCTATACCTCCTACCAGACCTCAGGCAAAACTAAAGCATGACTTCCAAAATCTAACCGCTTACCTCAGGTATGTCACTTTCCTACAAATTGTCATCATAACACCGAGACTAGGTCGCTGAATTTCATTTACTCAGCCCTCACCTGACGACACGGCTGGCCACTGGCGGCCGCCCTTCTAGGTACCAGACCACTTCAATGCCAAGAGCTTAGGAAGGCGGTGAGGCGCAATCGCTTTTTCGATAACAAAATAATTAACGACCACCTGCATCATCAACATTCATATCGAGATTCATTTTTCTTGAAAACCCCATATCCATGCACATAGACCCCTTTCGAGGTGGTAGCGAGAGTGTATCCGACTTTCCACCCACGATCCGGCAAATGAATCATCTGCCAGATGAGCACGAAGCTGACGACGACGGCGACACACCGCGCAAAGGATGGAAACGACTCACAACAAAGGAGGAGGTGACCCTCTTCGAGATCTGTAATCGCCATGCTGGCAGCTTCGGCCGACGTAGCGATCTGTGCAATTGGTGGAAGGTTATAGCAGCGGAATTCTCAGACTCCAACGGCCGTCCATACTCATGGCATTCAGTGCGCCGAAAAGTCGAAACGCTGACCAAGAAGCGTATCAAGTATCTCGAGGATCAGCAGCAACGTCAGCGGGACATGTCTGGCTCGACTCCGGTGAACGACTTGATGAACCCACAGTGGTGTGCGGCTCTGGATGCTTGGCTTCCTACGTGGCACAACTGGGAGCAAGCCGAGGCACGACGGATCGCGCGGAGGGATATGATGACGCGGAAACGCTTGCGCAATAAAGCAGATCGCGAATCACTGGCATTCTTTAGCCCGACAGGCGCTGTTTCGGGCAGAATCAACCTGGCATCCCCCCCCAGTCCAAACGATACAGGCGTGGAGGAAACTGACCCCTACAAGGGACCGATTGTTCTGGTGACTAGGAGTCCCGAACAACCTGCAACGTGTGCGATGCAACCCGAGGGTTCCTCAGCTGAGACACCTCTCAACCGCGGGACAAATGGGGGTGTTCGGCTGCCTCCAGGATTTGACAGGATGTTTACGCATAATACCCCTCGCCCCCAACGTCAACCCCAATGGCCCCCGGCATATCCGGCCGCACCCCGACCAGAGCCAGAGTCAGCTGATGGACGCGTCGTCGGTGCCGTACTCGAAACTCTCGGCAAATTAAACAAGCATCTGGAATCAGTATCCGGCAGTGGCGCACAGGCAGATGCTCGTTCCTCGCCGGTTGTTTCTGCGCTGGCGCAACCGCGCCTCGACCCAAGCGCACAGGTCCAAGGCACACCACAAAGGCGGCAACAGCCTGCGTCGGAAAACATTTCGCCACTGGATATTGAGCGTGTGAAGGAGCAGCTACGACAGGAGCTGAAAGAAGAGTTCCGCCAGGAGATGCACGAGGAATTGCGTCGCGATCGTGCCGCATTAGAGTCGAAGATTGACGCTGTTCAACGAACGCAGGAGATGATTTTGGAAATGCTCCGACAGGAGCCTGCTTGACGAGAAGTAATTCAACCTGGGTCAAGCCCTTATCATTAAGACCTCAGGCGATAAATGCTTGAAAGCAAATCGCGGCGCCGTCTTGTGGCCTGCTTAGTATGTACCTCTTCTTTCTTCAAAACTATGATACCCCCATGTGTTGCTGGCTATTGTTCCTCCTAAGCTCCAGACCAAAAGACAAGATCGCCGTGCCAAACCCATTGAGTAGTACCACGTCTTTTAACACAACAAGCGTTGAAGTCAAGCTAGACCTTAATGACCATCCGCCCTTGAATACCACGAGATGAAGTTGAAGACCGAATTGCTCAAGGTAATGAAATTGCTATAGATCTTGTGTGAACAGGAGTGGAAGGGGAAAGAGTACATTAAGCAACCAAGCGAGATAAATAGAAATAGGAGAAAATGGTGGTCATCGGCTAAATTACAGATAATGATAGGTGGGAACAGACAAGTCATGCCTTGTCCAGGTATAAGAATACGCCCAGGTGTCCCAAACAGCATTGAACAAGCTCTCTTTCAAGCTCTTTTCGAAAGTCCCTACCCTTTCACAGAGGTGTTTTCCAGGGAAGGCTCCTTCATACACGCAACATGCACATCTAGTAGTAGAAGGTCTCGTCAACGGTACGGCCTCGCATCCAGCGGGGCTCGGAGCCGCGAACGTAGATGTCCTCGAAGAGGATACGGGGGTTAGCCTCGGGAACGGCCATCTTCTCAGCCTCGGCGACCTCGGCGTCGACGTAGGCGCGAGCAGCCTTGTCGAGCTCCTTGAGCTCCTCCTCGGAGGTGACACCCCACTCGAGCATCTTCTGCTTGAGACCGGCGATGGGGTCGTTGGTGGAACGCATGCGCTGGATCTCCTCACGACTACGGTAGGTGGTACCGGGATCGGACATGGAGTGACCACCGTAACGATAGGTGACGTACTCGAAGACAAGGGGACCCTTGCCGGAGACGGCGTAGTCCTTACCGTACTGGACGGCGGCCTTGGTAGCCAGAACGTCCATGCCGTTGACCTTCAGACCGGGAATGTACTGACCACGCTTGTAGTACTCGGTGAGAGCGGAAGAGCGGGCGGCGGAGGTACCCATACCGTACTTGTTGTTCTCGCAACCGAAAAGGACGGGCAAATTCCAGAGCTTGGCCATGTTGAAGGCCTCAAAGACCTGACCTTGGTTGGAAGCACCGTCACCGTACAGGACGATGGAGGTGTTGGGCTGCTCGTTGTACTGCTGAGCGAAGGCGAGACCAGCACCGACGGGCACTTGAGCACCGACGATACCGTTACCACCGTAGAAGTTGGGGGCGAACATGTGCATGGAGCCACCCTTGCCGTAGGCGATACCCTCACGGCGACCGAGAAGCTCACCAATGATGGACTTGACAGTAGCACCACGCATCAAAGCGAAGCCGTGGCAACGGTAGGCAGTGATAACCTTGTCATCACGGTTGATAGCGTGCTCAATACCTACGGCGACGGCTTCCTGACCGGTAGACAAGTGACAGAAACCGCGAATCTTCTTCTCCTTGTAGAGGCGATCGGCAGCCATCTCCATGCGACTGTATCAGAGGAACGAGCTGTTAGAATACTCAAAGCGAAGCCAGAGCAATGAATGGGCGGGTGATGGATCCGGCGCATACCGCATAGAGACCATGTCGTGATACATCTGCTTCAGCTCCTTCTTGGTGGTCTCGAGAGTGTAAGGAGGAGGGTCAAGCTCGTATGTCTCGAAGCTCTCGTCGGAAAGACGAACGGTGAAGGGCTTGTCATCTTCCTATCCATTGCGCAGTCACCCAGTTAGCATTGAACTGCTCTCGAGTGCCCGGAGTCGATTTTCCAGTTTTCCGGACGGGGTTCTCAACAAACCTGCGGGATGTTCTCGGCGTGTGCTGAGGCGGCGTCGGTGGTGACGGAGCGACGGGTCAGGGGAGCGAAGGCCTGGCGACGCAGAGGCGCAGCCTGACGGGCCGCAACACGGAAGAGCATGATGTGTGGTTGTTTGAAGACACCCAATTGAAGACGGAGAGAAGGTGGTTGGAGATAGCGACACTTTTCCCGTCAGATGTTGGGAACGCAAACTTTCCCGATTACTTAAGCGCTTCCCGTTCGGGGGCCGCCGGTGTGGCTCCTGCAAACAGACCAAACCCACGGAGCTCACCAGCTGCTCTCGATGGGTGCTGTCCAGACTCCAGAATCCACTACATATGAGTATATACTGTACAACGGTACATAGCTACTCTGAAATGACGGAATGCGAAGAAAGCCTAATATTTGAGCAAATTTATCCGGTCCTAAACTACGTTACCTGGTCATTGGAAAGTCGCCTAGTGACCTTTCAACCCGATCGCTGATGCTGCTGCATCCGGGATAGCCTGGCTATCCCAACAATGCTTATCCTGCGGGCGCCGGGCTGGAAACTGGATAGATAAGGATTATCGTTTATCCCGCAGGCTTAAAAGCATTCATCACACGTACAGTAGTACATTTCGTTTCCAGCTACAGTACAGTAGTACATTTTTATTTACATATATATGTAGCGCGGCTCTACAACCGTCAGCTGAATCAACCTTTGGCCACCTGGCTTCGAGGGACGTACAAAAATGACTCGATTGGATTGCACATCCAAACGCCATCAGAAATAAGACGACTGTCGATGCGAACTACATGTATATCCAGGTAGGTAGTTATACACATCAAGACTTCCATATCGGACGGCCCCACAATTGCCGAGCCCTAACTGTATAAGACGAGGAAAGAGCGGATAGCGGTCAAGAACATGTTCATCTGGATTGGATTGCTACTGAGCTGTTCTGGTAAACCTCCACATGCCACCTAGTCAAGCAACCTGGACGTAATTGACGTTCGTCCAGATTTTCGGTCTCGTATAAAAAACAATTGGACCCGCAAACTACGAAGAACCTATGTTTGGAGATGATCAGCCATTTCTACAAATTGTAAGGGCCAGTGGAAACAAGAAAAGCCAAGCATTGTAGTTCCTCGCCGACAGACTGCATTTTATTGTCTACTACAGGTGCTGCAATTGCTGGGTAGTCTAGATGCACATGGCACTTGTTTTATCTCACGTTCGCTTGGAATTTAGGACTGGGTCACACGGTCAGCCGACTGTACTCTTCCAAGCGTAGGGATGGATGGGTCAGGATGCTGGGTCTGAAAGACGGGAGACTGTTATGGAGCTGCTGAAGTCACATCGGTCTCCGGAAATGTCGAGGGATGGAAGTAATGTTTGATCGTACACGAGTGGCCTCCATCGCTACCAGAAGCCATGGGTTTCCATGTAGTCCAGGTGCTCGGCAGTCATTTTGTTACCTGGAGGGAACTTTCAATCCCATCAGGCTGCGACTTCCCCGCACGCTTTACGAGGTTTGACTTAGAGGGTATTTACTAACCATAGACAACAACCAGGACGATAGACTGCGCGAGTACTCGGCCGTCGATTTGACTGGCGATCGAACTACCAGGGGGAGAAAAGGCTAAAAGCTTCAACAAGACTTTTTGGCTGCACATTATCTGGGAAACCCTTTTGCTACGTGATGCTTCAGCTCTCTATTCGAAGTAGAAGATTGAAGCGTGTACATGAAGACAATGATGAGCACTAGGCAGGATGAGGACTACCAGGATCAACAGAGATGTGCTGCTATTGATTGATTAAATGAGTGACAGGCGAGGGAATGTTGAATACCCAGTAGAAGAGTTGAATACAAAGCTAACATGTGGCAAAGAACCCGTCCTGTCCTGTCGGGGGAAAAAACGTGGAAGACTTGCAATTCGCGCGTGAGCGTTGCCTCGGAACACGTTAGCGCCTGCGCACAGCCCTGAATTCGACAAGAAGAACGCGAAGAGATCGGCAAAAATCACAGGATCGTCACCATAGCCGAGGACAGCAGCAGTCGCTGTTGAAGCGTCTCCGGAAACAAGGAAGAAAGTATCCAATATGAAAATCACCGGAAATCCGCTAACACCCGAGCGTGTTGCGACACCGGGCACAGTCGTTGCTTGTATCTGTCAGATAATGAGAAGTGGGAAATGGACATTGAAGTTTGTTAGGAACACTTTCCTCCATGACAGACGTTTCACACCACTCTTCCACCTTCTCGGTGGCTTACTAACCAAGCGTTCTTAGACATATGTGTATGTCACAGCTGCGCTGGAAAACTCCAGACGCATTGTTCCAACCGGCTCCATTGATGGTCGCTGTTGTGCTTCCTGCAGTCGGTCCTGAACTAGGACTAATAGAGGTGATGACGGGGAGTGGCTGATAGCTGAAGGTCAATGTGTTATCAATGCCACCTGGTGTGGTGATATTGACGGGTACCGCGCCGATAGGGTGAACAGGTGTGACACCATCGATTTGAGTGTCACCAACAACAGTCAACGAGGCAGCCGGGGCTGATCCGAAAGTGGCACTCGGTGTTCCCGTTAAACCAGTACCTTCGACGGCGAACGCCGCGCCGCCAGAAATGAGACCGGTGGTTGGGAATATCGACACTAGGCGCTGGGACCGCGAGATACGTGTAGGAGGAAGAGGCTGGGGTCGTGCCGTCCGGTATAGTTAGACTGGCGGCAGTCGCACTGGAACCAGTTGGTGGGGTAACAGTGATCGCCGTCTGCGAAAGGATTGGAAACACCGGCGCGGAAGAACCGCCAACTGTGACCGAAGTAACATGATTCAGGTGCGTGCCAGTGATGCTGACCGTGTTCCCGCTCGCGAGTGGCCCCGAGTATGGTGTCAAGGCAATGATAGTCGGCGACGGGGAGCCACTGTAAGTGTATGTGACTCCGGCACCGCCAGGCGAAAGTGAATCTGGAGGCTGGAGTTGCTCCGATATCCACCTGAGAGGCATATAGGAAGCCATTTCTTGTCAGCACGATTGTGTTACCCCCAGCCGCAGGACCGATGAAAGGGCCCAGGGAGGTAACGTTGGGGAGATTTGGAACATTGTATGTGTAAGTCAGTCGAGGAAAACTTGCTCCAGCTTCATTACTGATGACCACCGTCGCTGCACCTGCACCGAGAGGGGCGTGTGGAACCACGAATGCAAGCTTAGTGTTGCACAAGATAGCATAATTGCTAACTGTGACCGGGGTACTATTCTGCGTGACAGTCACGCTGGTTGTGTATTGGAGAGTCGTGCCAAAAACTGTGACCACATTGCCGCCAGATATAGGGTCACTGCTCGACGAAAGATGATCAAGTACTGGAGCAGAAATGGTGGAGTAGGTAAAGAACACTGGCTGGATGCTACTGAGACCACCATCGCTCACGGTCACTCTGGCCGGGCCCGCAGGAAAGGTCCATGCAGGGCTCACAAAAGCGAGAGTTGTTGTACTCGTCGAGGTAGGGACTGCAGTTACAGAATTACTACCAGAACTCAAAGTCACCAGGCCGAGCCGCTCAGGTTGGTGCCAACGAGCAAAACTGTGGTACCGTCAGAAGCGGGACCAGATGTGGGATTGAGTCCAGTAAGAGTGGGCGCTGACAGTGCGACAAGATCACAGACCGGAGCTTCTGATGAATGGCGAGAATCGGGGTGGTTTGCGAAGTGTGGTAAGTAGATAATCAGCGACCTCAACCTGAAGCTTCCTCGGGGGTTGTGTATCTTAAATATTGATTGCCTTCATCTTCAGAGCTGGGTAGCTCAGAATGCCTTCATCGGAGTCAAGCCATTAGTCTCTCATCCACGAAGGACTCATGTGATTCGTATCTGTCAGTTCTTTTCACTGCCATTGGGTTCCTGACCAACTCGAGAACTGCGGCAGATACACCTCTATCACGCAAGAGAGAAGCTGCAAGATTAAGCACGGTCTGTCTGACAAAAATGTGGCGTAATACCCATTGGAGGAGCTTTTCGTCATTGAAAGAGCGTCTGTTTACTGTAAGCCCGTCAGTCATGTGATAGAGTCGAGATTCTACCTTCCATCCGTAGAGTCTGCCTCTTCAATTTCTTCTGCTTCATGTATGTCTGTCTTAGCGCTCACAGGTCACAGAGGCGCGTATTCATCTCTGCCTTTGCTTCATGCATGCGGAAGTCTGACCTGCTATCATATATTGCTAAGGAAGAGGCTGAACTCAACAGACAATAGCGAGTCAAGAGTGACATGGCATTTGGAAAGTTAAGTCACTCGAGACATAAGACCAAAGATCATACCTATTGATACCTACTTTTTGAGCATATTATGAGTCGACTTTCTAGCAAAAAGAACAGGGCTTACATACAGACACACACAGACACACACACACACATTCTATCATCTACTCCTCTCCATTTTCAAGCTACCTGCGTTAATGCTTATCGCTTCTTGCCAACAAAGGGACCTGCCTTGAAAGAGTAAACCCAAGGTTCATTGATCATGTCTGCCGAGCAACACGTGGCGGTTCCGTTTCGGCATGTTTAGTTGTTTTCCAAAGGCCAGCGTGAGTCTTTAGATCGGACAGCCAATGTGATGTATAGATACTGAACGGTTCCGGTGGATCATTCGCGGCTTTCAGGAACCTTCAATGATCTAGGAAGATTGGGACCTCGAAGGAAAATTATTTAGTGCATGCTTGCTGTTGTAGCAGAAATCTCCAGACACATGGATGGCCGTCGATGTCCCGGGCAAAGGCCAAGCAATTTCTATCTGGGTATCTCCATTCCATTTCAGCTGAGTCCGCAATACTTTGACAAGGGTATCACTCATTAAATGCCATACCGGTTTTGTACCCTTCCATGGTCGTTGATTTACACAACCTCAAGTGCTCCTACCTCACCATGAACCCGAAACAGTCCTACCCCGTACAAATTGGACATTTATTCGATGGTAGGTATCGGGTCACTGGCAAACTTAGTTTCGATGCCTACTCAAAGAGGTTGCTATGTCAGGATCTTCAGTATGTGCCTATTGAAGTCAAGATTTGAGTCAAAACCGCTAACCCAGCCAAGAAGGTGTGCGGTGCTAAAGATGTCTACGTCGCTACGAAAGTTAATTTAATACTTAGCCTAGAGGATAGTATAATACTAACCTATTTAGCGGTTGAAGAGGGTCGGCAGCCGAGTCCTCGAATAATTATTAGTAAATCATTACGTACTATAGGGTGAACAGGTGTGACACCATCGATTTGAGTGGCGCTCGCAAGAAGCAGAGATACTTACTGGGCAGCTGGTACATAGCACCTACTAGAATTGGCAAATTCACGAGAGCGACCAGTCTTATGTGATCAAGTAATTGTTCCTCGACTAGGATGCTGATTTAGCGAGTGGGAAACGCCTTTGGTAAGCTGTGGAAGATGGAATACCGATTCGGGAAGAACTCAGTATCCGTGCGTGGGCAGCGTTTCAACGAAGATCGGACAAGGGTTTTTTGAGACTTGGAGCAATCACCCATAAGGTTGAGACACTAGAAAATCACCTCACACAGGCCATGTATCCTTCCAAGGTGTTTTGGCGTATCGTGAATGAGTGCACCTTCACAGCCTCTGGAAAAAAGTCTTTCGAACTATTTCTCCAATAACCACTCAAGTTGATTGAAATCAATTCGTTGAATACACTCAGAGTGCGAGTGCACGGAATCAGACATTCAGATCGGGCCATAAGGGAACAAGACGGATTCCAAACAGGCCTTTTAGAAAACCATCCCTGTTTTGACACAAGCTCAAACACAAAATCATAGCATCCTGTCGCTGACTTGAGATGTATGTGTTTCAGGACCATTCGTATCCACCTCCTTGAGAAGCAGCCTAGTTCTTCAAGAAAAGACCCGTGGCGCAGCAATGATCTTAGTTCCCAGACAGTGAGTGGCACCTGGCATTTTGACACACCTCCAACTAGGTGCATATTAATCGGATTGCAGATTGAGGTTGGAATCGGCCGTGGCCTTTATAATTTGCTGGGTTGCTGATTGCTGTTCAAGTTGATGAAAGTTGCCTTAGATCCCGTTCATTCACCCATTTTCTCGTCCATGTGTTTCGTCCCAGTACCTACTATCTACTTATGGAAAGACTCGTGTATTCAAAGACGGTGGTAAACTTGAGGATAAGGAATGCCAGAGAGAAAGGAAGAGATAGATGAGGCAGAAAAGGTCAACATAGCGGAGACTAGCGTTGGTCCTTCATCCCAGGTCCCTTGTGTCTTTGGCAGTGCGTCTGGTTTCTCTGAGGTCACTTCCGTTCTATCTCACGTCACCACCTTCACTGCTTTCCACAGTGTGGCAACCTGACCATGATTGTGATACCATAATTCGGACCGGTCTTCTTGTCAAAACTTGATTCGCTTGGTGAGAATGAGCTCGCCTGAACTTGAGTCTGGAAGGTTGTCTACCTCTTTCGGAGTCACTTTCCGGATTTACCAACAATGTTGTCCTTCAAAAAGCGACTCCTGATGATCAACGACAAGTGTGTTTTATGCTCCGTCTGAAACGTTGGCTCGGATCGCTCCCTGAAGCACGGGTCCGCCACCGGCAATTGCGGAGGAGTAACCTTATGCAACTTGAAGTATATCCGGCAACTGCGAGAAGAGGACGAAGCAAACAACTATTTCGGACCGGACATCTGGAGATTGAGAGCGTTGTCTACTGACATTCTCGTGTCAGCTGAGCGTGCGGTAATAGGTGTCTTTGACGTCGGCATCTATTAGTTACTGCACTCCTCCTCGCAATAGGGCGCCCGGCCTCGAAACCTGGAATGACCCATGCATGCACGTTCATTCCATTCGCGTATAGCCTGGACAAACGACCGCCAGCCTAGTACCCTTTCGTCCTCCTGAAAAAAGTGTCAAGTCCGAAGAGGAAGTCGACAGAGACCAAACAGTACTGATCACCATCGCGCTGCATGCCTGTTTCCAGACAGGCAAGACTAGGCCATTATGCAGAATCCATTTTCTTGCAGAGAGATATCTGGGAATAGAACCCCACCCCCATTAAGATTTTCGCAGTACAGGAAGTCCAAACGGCGCTGATCATTACGCGCAGTCACAATTGCGGACATGCAGGCGGGAAGAAGCGCAAATTTGGGGTTCCCGGACTTGCCCCGGGTCAGTACACTACTACACTTACAAGCCGAAGCCATTCAACATAGCTTGGGCTGGCTCTGCGACGATGAATGAACAGTCGGCGCCGAGACACTTTATCATGTGCCCAGCTCTTTTATTGGGTATGCCAGGGTAAGACCATGATGTGTTGTTCTATACTAGCCAAGTTGATGCCAACAACGGACTGCCATGGCCTGAGAGTTCACCGAACTTGGCAGGTTCTGCTGTCAACAAGTGGGTTCCATCCCAACGGCCCGGTTGCGACATTGCCGAATACTGTATTCCAACCAAAGGGGTTTCCGCTAAAGTGTGAAAAAACGGTCCACTTTTGGAGGCACCGAGGCCAAGTCTGCCCCCAGAACACCGAATACCGAATACCAACCATCAGTGTGCAGCAGGCAGGTGGATGTGTCTTTGATGATCCCTGCGAGCAAACCTTGCAAGTATGGACGGGCGCGGGGGTCCCTTGTCTGACATGTCATATGCATAAAGCAGACACCGAGGACTCTTTCGACCAATCTTGACACGTGCATTTAATCCTCCGACTTCTCAATCCTTTAAACGACGGCGAGGGACCGTGGACATGTCACCTTTTCATAGTCCATTCGGATCACGGATGAATCTCCGACAACGCTGTTTATTTGGCGCCGAGTGCCAGCACATTCGAGATACATCACGAACGGCAAAGAGTGGGAGAGCCGGAGAAAAGGTGGGAGAGACGATTGTATATCTGTCAAGTCTTTGTGTTGGTCTAGATCGCCCACGCGCGAGCTTCTAATCCAAGATGACCGAAGCCCTTTCACGCTCCGGCTCCACTATACTGAAGGGAGTCTGGAGCC